CAAACTCACCCATAAAGAACGCCCGACCGATAGTCCTACTCTACCATCAATGATGAGTCTGGCCTTATCATCCCAAAAAAGGCAAAACGATATGCTATCCGATCAACGACAGTTAAGGCTTCTGTTGATCATACTTTGTCTTCATTCAATACACCCAGTGGTACTGCCGGCTCAAAATATGCCAGTATCACCGTTGCTGCCAGTATGGCTTTGGACGAGCCTGCAACACCTGCGCCTTCCGATGCCAACACTAGTTCGGCAACTACACTTATTCATAGTCGTTTAATTCCTGCTGCTCACAGCGATGATATGGATCTGATGATAGATGCGGATACCACTCCTCCCAACATAGCCATGACCGCCCATGAGGGCAATGAATAATCGACCTATACACGTCGCATCCTTAAATGCTCGCAGCATTTTCAAGGATGCTAACAAATATACCCAGAAACAATATATATCCCATTTACGTTCCCCTGCTTTGTCTGTTGACATTTTATGTCTCTAAGAAGTATCCGCATATCATTCACAAGACCACCTCACATTCGATCAAATCAAATATCTCCATTCCTTCCTCTTTCCCCAATGTGCAATCCTGCTCTCCAAGTATTGTACTATTATCTGTTTAAACCCGATGTTACTGTTAACAGATGAAATCGTCACTTTCGATGAACGCTGTTTACAAGCGACCATTATCGATACAGTTACCCGTAATTTTATATGCTCTATCACTAATATTTACGTTCCAGCAACTACCCATGATAGAATGCCTTTCCTCGCCTCCTTGATGTCACAACCGTTTTTTACAAAGGAGGCTCCAGATGTCAGCTTTGTTGTTGGCGATTTCAATATGTCGCTAGCTTCTCTATCAACCACTTCAACCAACCCTAGCTTTCATGAATGGTATCGTCACCTCACTCACTATTATGATAACTGCTTCTCTGCTAGCATTCCTACTTTCCAGCGTGGTGCCACTCGCAGTACCATCGATTATTTCTTCTGTCACCGAAGTATTACCGCACGAGTTCTTAACAGAACTCAACGGTACCTACCTAGCACTTGGACAGACCATGTCCTCATGATGGCTGACCTGTCACCCAATCGTTTGGACATAGGACCCGGGGTATGGCGTTTCAACCCTTTGCTGCTGTCTAACGATATATTTGTGGATTTATTAAAGACTGCCCTCATTGAGTTCTTTGAAGTCCGTAATAATATCACCTCCAACCCACAAAGTACCTGGGAGGCTCTAAAACATTTATTAAAACACATTGCAGACCTATTCTCCCATGGATCTACTGCTAAAAGGCAGACAACCATTGCCGAACTTCAACACCAACGGGAAGCCCTGCTTTCCTTAAATAAGCCAGCATCCACTATAACCAACAAACAAGTGTCGCTTATTGAACAGAAACTAGACAAATTGCAGGAAGAATCCGCGCAGCAACATCTTTTACGGTCAGCCACTCGATGGCATGAGAAAGGAGAGCGCAATAATAGATACTTTTACAGGGTTATCAAAGAAAGACAAGCACAACGAACGATTCAATCTTTAAAAAGTGGTCAAGATGGCCCTGTCTTAACTAGTACTAATGCTATCCTTGAGGAAGCTCATCTGTTCTATAGCAACCTTTATCGCCCTGATCCTATCGACCTGTCAGCAGTTCAAACGTTACTCGATAATGTTCCGCAGGCGATTGGTCTTACAAACGCTCAACAGAATGATCTTACAGCACCGCCCACGTCAGAAGAACTAATTTCTATAGTTAACCACTTGCCCTCACAAAAAAGTCCTGGTTTAGATGGCATACCGTATGAGGTTTACTGCCATCTGCTTTCCTGGAACATTCCCGGCTTTAAGCAACTCTTCCTTCAAGTGTATGCTGACGCCTTTGAAAATATTTTCCCAGCCACCTGGAAACAAACTCGGATGGTCTTACTGTACAAAAAGGGAGACCCTGAACTCTTACAGAACTGGCGGCCTCTATCGATGATCAACACTGATGCGAAGATTTTCACAAAACTATTAGCTAATAGGTTCAATGTCGTTTTACCACAGCTGATTAATCGCTATCAGACTGGCTTTTTACCGCACCGACTAATCTCGGATAATGGGTGGGTTAACCAAATACTAATGTCACATTATAGCCATTGTGGTATGTCTCACCCTGCTGTTGCTGTCCTCCTTGATCAAGAAAAAGCATATGACCGAGTACATCCTACATACCTCCAGATGGTTATGAAGCACTTCGGCTTTCCTGCTCCCCTCGTATCTTGTTTATCTAGCCTATTTTTTGACACAGAAATATCCCTTAACATCAATGGATGGTTAAGTGCTCCCGTTCGCCAACAACGTGGCCTTCGTCAGGGAGACCCCTTATCACCACTGTTGTTCAATTTAGCTTTCGAACCCTTACTACGTACCATTTTGTCGAGTCCTGACATCAAAGGCGTTTCACTGCTCTCAACCTCCGCCTCCTCTAGTCGATATGGACAACTTCTAGCTCGCAGTCTGAGTGTCCGTTTTGAACCACAGCCTTTGTTTGACTGGCGACACCCCCCTCGTTTCAAATTATTGAGCTATGCGGATGATTTAGAGGTTTTTTTGACTACATCTACGGAATGGCGTGTCTTGAAAGACCTCCTTACAGTCTATGGTAACGCTAGTAATGCCCGTGTCAATTTGACAAAAACAGAATTTGTTTCCCTCTCTGGTCATCCACATACGGCATGGCTCCACATTGCCAATCAGGAATCTGTAAGCTTTCATACAGCTGAAAGTCCATCTGCTGCCAAATATCTAGGCTATCCTCTCTTCTCAAGCAATGCTCAATTAAAACACTATCTAGCTTCCCTTGAACTGAAAATAGTCCGTCACAGTAACCTCCTGAAACAACGGGGATTGTCTGTCCGAGGTGCCTCACTAGTTGCTAATTCCTTGATACTTAGTAAGTTATGGCATCTCTTGCGTGTTGTAGTTGTTCCGGTGGACTGGCTTGATAAGCTTCGTAGAATTGTCCGGTCTTTTGTGGTTCCTTTCTGGCCTGCTCCATCGTGGGAGCGCTTGTGCTCACCTAAACGTTTTGGTGGTTTAGGCTTAGTGGATCTGCACCGACAACAATTAGCTCTTCATCTTGTGTATGCTCAGCGCCTTCTACAGCCCCCTTCATCAACCGATTTTGTCTCCCCATTACTGGCACATTGTATCCAAGTGTACACCGGTCAGTTGTCCTTACTACCATGGATTTTATCGACTGCCACTTATCGTTCATCATTTCGCTTCCTTCCGAATATGATCCACCTATGTTCTCTGCTGATGAAACTTCCTTCTTCATCTCTTTCCTCCTCATGGCATGGCCGCTGGATTGCTGATTTGCCCCTTCATAGTGCCTTACAGCGTTCCCCCTCGTTTGTAGGCCCCTTACCTGTGGATCTCCATAGCCTCCCACGGCATTTAATCGTCTCTAATGTTCTCCTTTGGTCTTCCATAACTAACTGCTTCTACACGCTAGGGTATACGTATTTTCAGGACTATCCGAAACTGAAAAGGATACCTAGTTTGCTTTCCCAAGGTGTAATACAATGGCTTCCTTTTATTCAGAACCGATTGATTGACGTCCGGGCCCCTCCTCCGGCTGCTGCTCCTACGCCCACTTCACGATGGCCTAATGTATCTTACAGCACCTTATGGTTGCCTGATATGTCCCAGTGGCGTGTACCTTCCGGTTCTCAGAACAATACCACCATATTAAAGCTTTCGCTTGGTATGCTTCGGCTATACTGGCATCCTGATTATTCCGTTTTTAGTGACCCTCCTCGGATCCCTCAAGTGTTCCCTTTATGGTATCGACCTCCGGCTCAATGGAAACGGTTATGGTCACTCTCAATCCCTCATGCAGTGCTAACTCCATGGTGGCGTTTATGGCATAATTGCATTGGGTACAGAGCTTGGCTGTTTTCCATCAATCCTGTCATAGCTGACTCCCCTCTTTGCCACCATTGCAGAGACTCCCCTGAGGATGGTTTTCATTTTTTCGTTGGTTGTCCACCTTAATGGCAATTTTGGATCACGGCACTAGAGGAAAATAGAATCATCTCTTTTCCTGCCACACCTACTGGCATTTGGCATATATTGTTAACACTTTGTTCCCCGTTAGATAATTCTCCTCTGCCTGACCACACAATCGTTCAGGTTAGTTTGATAATTTTAAGTATCTGGAAATATCATTGGCGCTGCCATTTTGATCGCATCTCTTGGTCCCTAGCAGGAGTTCGTACCGTCTACCAAGACGAGGTTCGATTCAGAACACTCAATACGAGCTCGTAGTATATTTAATGGTTTCTTTGTCGTAGTTTTTATAGTGTATGCCTTTTCTTCACTTCTTTTATTGCCACTTATCAAAACATAATTTATTGTCCGTTGTTAGTCACTTTTAATAAAGTATGTGAATTAAATACAAAAAAAAAAAAAAGAAATATATTTAAATTCAGTATAGATACACTCATAACATAACATTAGGAGCTTTTTTGAGCAAGCATATTGACTATAAACATTTTATTTTGATTATTGGGGTCGTGTCTATTTTATATTTCTGGATCTCGAAGAATTGATTAGGATTTTGATTAGTTAGTTTACATTAATTAATTCTTTTGTATTGATCTACACTGTTGTACGATCAATCATTTATCACCAGTACAACCATAGTATAAGAAGAACAAATCAGTAATTTTCTTGCACCCACTTTACCATAGAAACATACTTCATTCATTTCATCTCAAATTAAATTATTTTCCGTTATCTACAACACAGGTATATGACATTTACAACTTAGTTTACTACAAGCTTCTACGCAAAAGCACCGTGAACGTAATATTGGAGATCCTGCCAAAACTAATCATCTCAAGCCATATTTGCCGTGCTTGACACCCTTTCTCAAAATCAAAAAGAAAATCAGAAGCATCCTCACGTCGATCGACCTTTTTTCTCAATTTGTGTAAACTAAAAAGTATGCAAATATAAAGTTAGAGTTGAAAGAAAAACAACTTTTAATCAGCAAAATTTTGAATTCGTACTTCTCGACAACGCATTGACGAAGAATTATCGAAAATGGCCAATAACAACGTAAATGATATAACTACAATCCATCAAACCAAACATATCAATAATGATACGGTATTGCAATATGTACAACTAGTGGATCAGTTTGATGGCAAGTGCGATGTCATTACTGCTGAAGCATGGCTCAAATCAGTAAACAAGCTACGAATGTTCTCTAACCTGGACGACACCACTGTTCTAATTACCATGTGCATTAATTTCAAAGGAGAAGCTCAAAAATGGTGGAACCAAATAGAAGACACCACTAAAACTTGGTGTGCGTTTGAAGAAAAGTTCAAAGACAAATATATACATAATGGCATCAAGCGTGGACGAAAATCAAAGAAATAAATCAACAGCCGACAGAAGACGTAGCAAGCTTCATACAAAAATTGAATCAACTATTTACAGCAGTCGAATAAGTATCGATGAATCTAAACGATGCTTTTCATATCATCTATTACCCTACTATCGCCTACGATCTAGAAAAAGAAATTAAGAAAGGACAAATAATACCCCTCACGTGCGATTAAATGACTACTGAAGCCAAAGCAATCGAGAAATTGTAAAGAAAATACAACCTGCTCTCATCTTATTCTAATCAATACCATACTGAATCAAACCACGAAAGAGAAGTAGTACTGCGAAATGACGATTGTGTGTATAATCCAAGCCATATTTCTTCAACTAATGTACACATAAATCAGTTAACGGAGCTTATCGATGTATTGAAAAACGTAAACATTAATTTGAGTACAGTATGATCAACAACAACAACAACACCACCACCACCAGAGATTCAAATATACAGATAGACCTCCTCAACTCGACATGCAGAATCGACAAGCTCATCATCCTTTAAAAGACAAAGTCATAATAAGAACTGATCATGCAGCGTTGGAGTTCATTTTTCATAACGATAAACCCACTCCCAAGGTCCAGCGGTGGAAAGCTTGCTTGCTAGATTATAATTTAAAGATATTTTACAAGAGGGGTAAAGAACCCCCTGCAGATGCGTTGTCACGTCTCCTTGATAACTAAGTCGATCACATGTACAAAAAAAAAAAAAAAAAAAAAAAAAAAAAAAATTTGTATATAAATAACAAAAAAAAAAGGGGAAAAAAATCCCTTCTTTTGTGTCGTGAAAGGGATCGTTTAACTTGAAAGTGCTGTAATTAACAAAAGAAATGCACTACCCCGGTGAAGATAGTAATTTGTTATTCCATTCGTTTAAGAGAGTGAACAAGACTCGAACGCGCTTTGACTCACGCTTGTCGGTGGGGGGTTTTTTTTTCCAGAACTACGTGAATTTGTGCTTAAAAGAAGCCCGCCTCTGTTTGAAGAGTTTGTTAAGCTTAATAAGCATGACATTGCAATCTATTGTAGCCAAAACGAAAGCCTTCGCCCCTCAGACCTGTACAACGCTTGGAAAAAGCGGTTTACACTCAAGCTGCTTGATCACGAAAAGATCCATTTAATATGCAACAGGCAAGAACAAAAAAAAAACAATAAGCTACTACGCCAAACTAATAGAAGGCTCTCTAGTAAAATAAAGTATGAAAAATCAGTATGGGAAGACATTGCCAAATCGGCAAACTCTATAGTAAGTGCATTAAATGAGGTTATATTTACAGTATAGCAACAGTGACGTTCCTAATTATTATTATAGATAGAAACAAAGCAAATTTTCGTAAATGAAGGCGTCAAGACATTAGCGAAGGCGGCAAGTATAGCTTCAGAATTGGTCCAAGAAGCGTTAGAATGGGATGCAAATACCCCAAGTAGTGAACAACAAAACAAAGAGGGCAACCAAGAGCAGGGAGATAAACAAAAAAACGAAGATGAAAAAAAGGAGTTACAGGAACGCGATGAAGTAGAAGAAGTATACGAAGAAACACCAGAGATGAATGACGAACAGCGGCTGCACGTTCTAGCTTACAAATGGTTTGCGGGCGACAAGATAACGGGCATGGAAGACATATGCCATTTGAGTTTTGGAGATATGATGCCTGCCAAACAAGTTCTATTGAAAGCAGTTACTTCTCTTTTGAAAAAGCCTTTATTGAACGAACTGGAAATGTGCGCTGTAGAACTCTCACTGTCAAGTATCTTTAATAAAATAAACCCAGCAATTGAAGAAATTTTATACGAGCAAGGCAATCAAGAAGGAGCAGTCTCAACACCCCTTGAACTAAAGGGCATCAGTAAAGTCGCCCTTGGCTTAATGGAAGAAGTTTTTGCAATCAAAGACGTTGACGAGATACTGTCATTCATATATGAAAAAAAGAGTGAAATGGTCAAGCAAAAGAAAAGGTCATCGGAGGAGTTTATTATGCTCAATATTTTGGAAAGAGTAGTGGAGAACTTTAACCTTTGGGGCTTAAGTACAAATGATTCAGAATTGACTTTCTATCGACGTTTTGCCGAGCTGTTGGATATTTTGTTCAGTGGTACTGACGTGAAAATAGCCGATGGAGAAACAGGATCAAAGAGCAGCAAAACCGCAATCGAGATCAATAAGGCTTTGTTCCACACCTCTGACACATCGTCAACGTACCCAAGAAAAATTGATCTACTTTTAAAGCTCAATGAATCTACCACTGTTGAATTGTCGTCCAGTGAATGGAAGAAAACGTCTGTTAGCGAATCCGTCATTCTCAAACAACAAACAAAGAACTTGAAAGCTAACACATGCATTTTATCCACACTACGCTCATTATACGGCAGCCAATTTAAAGACGTCTTTGCAATGGATTGGATTGGAAATGTCGGGTACTTGTACAGGATAGAAAAAAATGATCAAGTATTTATAGCAAGTCAAATAGACAGTTTAATTATACCAGAAAATATCGAAACGTTTGATTTATTTAAAAACACCTTAAAGAATCTATTCAAGCTGAAGTATTTTCTGACAGACACAAGCGCTCTACTGAAGCAAGAATTGTGCAAGATCGAGATGAACAAGAAGCTTAAGAATATTGCCAGAAATACCTTATATATTAATAACAATAACGAATTCCCCTATGTATTTATACCCCCAGCAAAAAAAAGAAAAGGCAGTAATGCTAGCGAACAAGACGATGAGAGCGAATAAAATGATGCTGACTTATTGGATTGAAAAGATATATATATATGTTTAACGGGAAGAAATGCTGACTTTGTTGGTAAGAAGAAACTTGCATGGTCTACGAAAACAACAATAAATACCCGTCCTTTGAATGTTATGTGTCTGTTTGATGAATGATGTTGTTCCAATTAAATAAAGCATTAAGGGTGGGCTACTCAAAGCCCAGGTTGGATAATAACACCTCCCTATGGTGAGCTTCCATTCTAAGAGTAGGGAAAAACGTCAGCTGTACTTGAAAAGGCAACTGTTATCTATATGAGCATTTCTTTCAAATGCAGTACAATTGTTTATCACCAACCTTTGGCGCTTGGTTATTGCCCCTTGTAGTGTGTCAGGAAAATATGTCAAATATTACCAGTCTATAGAAGCAACTGCCAAGTAGAGTTAGCAAATTGTGTCAGATGCCGGCAAAAAAAAAAATACAATCCTGTACATCATTAAGGCTGAATTTTACGCTGCCCCTTCGTAGTGCCTTACAGCGTTCCCCCTCGTTTGTAGGCCCCCAACATGTGGATCACATAGCCTTCCCATACATTTGCTCGTCTTTACTGTTCTTTTTTGGTCTTCGATAACTCACTGCTTCTACAAGCTAGGGTATAAGTACTTTCAGGACTACCCGAAGCTGAAAAGGATACCTAGCTTGCTTTTCCAAGGTATAAAACAATGGATTCCTTTTATCCAGAACCGATTGATTGACATTCGGGTCCCTCCTCCGGCTGCTGCTTCTACGCACACTTCACGATGGCTCAGCACCTCATGGTTGCCTGATACGTCCCTGGTGTGTACTTTTGGTTCTCAGAAGAATATCACCGAATTAAAGCTTTCGCTTGGGATGCTACGGCTATACTGGCATTCTGATTCTTCCGTTTTCAGTGACCTTCCTCGGATTCCTCTTCCTCTATGGTATCGGCCTCCGATTCAATGGAAACGGTTATGGTCACTCTCGACCCCTCATGCAGTGCTAACTCCATGGTGGCGTTTATGGCATAATTGCATTGGGTACAGAGCTTGGCTGTTTTCCATCAATCCTGTTATAGCTGACTCCACTCTTTGCCGCCGTTGCAGAGACTCCCCTGAGGATGGTTTCAATTTCTCGTTGGTTGCCCACCTATATGGCAATTTTGGATCACGGTACTGCAGGAAAATACAATTATATCTTTTCATGCCACACCTACCGACATTTGGCATAGATTGTTAACACTCTGTTCCCCTTTAGATAATTCTCCTCTGCCTTACAACAAAATCGTCCAGATTAGTTTGCTACTTTTAAATATCTGGAAAATCATTGACGTTGCCATTTTGATCGCATCTCTTGGTCCCAAGCAGGAGTTCGTATTGTCTACCAAGACGAGGTTCGATTCCGACCACTTCCTATCCAGCATCTCCAAAATATAAGTCAGCACTCAAAAGAACCATTTTGTAAACTGTTTAACCTCCCAAACTAAGATACTGCAATAAACAGAGTTATAAATCCCTCAGGTCTCGAGACGCCTAAAGCCATTTTTTCACATTGGCGGGAGTCTCAGGCATAATAAAAACCTTCGCTACCAGAAGGCTCCTTCACTACTTCAGAAACGCGTAAATAGTATTTATGGCAAGACGAGAGGGAATAAACTAGAGAAGCATCCAGGTGTTTACCATAGACCTGATCAGGTAAGCAACACCCAGCTTTCCATAACATGTACTACTAGCGACAGACCATATCGCTATGACATAGATATATGCAACTATCACCTCACTTAGGAAGATCGACTAGGCTAGGCAACGCAGGCTAGAAGACTCCTTTGTCACTGATGAAATGTCAATAGAATCTTTATAAATAGTCTTGCCAGAATGCTACACTTTTATTAATAATACACCCTCTTGGATGTATTTATACACATGCATCGAACTAATACGAGAGTTTGACTGTCTAAACTATGATATAAATCAATACAGCTGCACTTAAAGTTCTAAGACACCATAGTAGAATTGGACCTTGAATGTGAAACCTGTGGTATAAGAGTTGACATAACAACTGAGAAAGGTCTTGAGAACACCTAAATAAAAAGTTAGAGCACCTTGTAATAATCCGCGAGATATTACCACACAAAGGATAGTGCATTTCTACAGCGACATGCGCTTCCAGTGACAGACCATATCGCTATAACATAGTTATATGGGACTATCACCTCACTTAGGAAGATCAACTAGGCCAAGCAACGCAGACTAGAAGACTCCTTTGTCACTGAAGAGAAGGCTTGGAACCATCTAGAAACAAATCCACGAAATTTCACTCCATAAGGGATGGCGGCTCTACAGCGACATGCGCTTCCAGTGACAGGCCATATCGCTATAACATAGTTATATGGGACTATCACCTCACTTAGGAAGATCAACTAGGCCAAGCAACGCAGACTAGAAGACTCCTTTGTCACTGAAGACGCAAAACAAGGAAATTTTTGATTTTGAAAAAATTCTGACGAAAATAAATGAAAATTGGTGACGTCTGAAAAGTTTCAGCATGACTTCATGTCTAGGGGAAAAAATCTCCCCCTTTTTTTTGTATTTGTTATCTATTATAAGTGACTATCAAACGGACAAAGAATTAAATTTGATATATGGCAGCATCAATAACTCTGTCTTTAAGTGTTTCTGCATCTTCAAGCTTGTGGCGCTTCACTTTGTCTTTTACCAATGCCCAGAGCTGTTCAATTGGATTGAGCTCTGGTGATTAAGGAGGAAGATAAATGTACTTATGGTCCCAACCACTTTCATAGATAATTTCTTCTATTTGTTTAGACGAGTGGATTTGATCATGCTTGTCCATAATATCCAAGGTCTCCCTTAAGAATCTTAAATAATGACTGGCAGTTGTGCCTTTTGGCCCTCTTCTCTTTCAGGGTTGTTTCTCTTTTTGCCACCCTGGATCTTCTTTACCTTTGGCTGTTGTTTTGGTACACAAATCAGGCTTACCAAATCTACAGATGATATGGCACCAACAATGGTATGTGTAGGTGTTTTTGCCGTAGGCGTAGTGACCACTGCCATTTGCACTCTGAGAGCCCATGTTCTACTTGCTTTCATGTCGACATGGAAGCCAGCTTCATCGATAAAAACGCAGTTTTTAGAAAAATCCAGACATGAATTACTCTATGCGACGACCCAAATCGTAACGTTTTTGGATGGTATCAGAGCTTATTCTTGTTTAGGACCAAAAAGTAACCTTCTTAAAAGAGAGGTAACAATCGTCTCTCAAAAACTCATGTGCTCTTGATTCCTTGGTCTTAAGACCAACAAACTTGCTGGTAAGCATCTCAACAACGTCTTGAATACAGGTACCTGAGTTATTATCGTAAAACTTAACTAAACATTGCTTATGCTCTTCCTGTAACTGTGATTATCGGCCAGCTTTAAATATCAAGTTTCTTTTCAAGAGTAAAAGAGTCTGGATCCTTTCATAGTGTTTCCATCAGACACGAGTAGTACTTTCTTTGACGCCTGCTTTAAGAGCTGCAGCTCTAACCGACAATAGACAGTGGACTATGTTCTGGAGAAATAGTTCTTTTGTGCCGAAACCATATGCCATATACTTAGTTAAGCGTTCTACACTTATTTCATAGTCGTTCCTATTGCTTCTTCGGTTTGTCCAGTGTATTTATCGTTGTGGAAAACTTAGCGCTTTCTTTTAGGTTAGAATCATGATTAACTAATTGGTTTAAAGCGTATGGATCAGGCTTCTCATCAACAATTGTCCACTGCTTCAGCTCCATTCTCGTCGTAAATACTTCTTTTGCCGTCATCCTTTAAAACTACGAGGTGAAAAGATATCTGCGAAATTATTTCTTGATCTCCCCCCACCCCAAATTTTTAAAACTCAGTACTTTTTTTTTCATAAAATCCTCAAATTGGCAGTGGAACCCACTGTATTTAAAGAATGGCAATGGGTTAAAAATAGTAATCAAATGCAAAGGGAGGTGAAGCTGGCAAGGCAACACAGATCTTCTGGGTTTTTTTTTTTTTTTTTTCATTCATTGTGCAATAACTGTCTTTTTTCGGCAGCTCTTCACTATTCAACCTTTTCCTTCTCTTCCCTCTCTCTCGTCTTTTCAATTTTGATATACCTCTTATTACCTTTTTCTTAAACAATTATGCCTGCCTCTTTAACCTCGAAAATAAGCCGTATGAGATCTGTTAAACTTCCTTTCAATAGAAAACGCTCTGATTCGCCACCGCCACCGATGACATCCTCTAAAGAAACAACAACGTACTATTCTCAAGAAATGAATACTGAATCAAACATTTTCAATACCCCTGAACCCACACTGATTTATACGATGGATAGTCAATTACCCAAAAGTAGCTTTTTAGAAGCTTTGAATTCAGTGTCCAAACAAGCAATTCGCACACAATTTGATGATGTTTTCGACAGTTTCTTCTTTAATGATAAACGTTGTCAGCTTCGAGCACTGTTTATGACGGCTCGATTGAAGCAAAATCTAGACAGGTTAGTTAATCCTGCTCGACCAAGTTCCACTCATGGTAGACTGACGACGGAGACAGCAGCAACGGCAACCACATCATCCACACCGCCTTTGCCTCCAAAGGCCTCTTTTTCCACTCCGATTATATCCTCCCCTTCATCATCCTCATTAGAAAAAACATCAAGTACGACTATGGCATCCTCTCATCATCCGTCTTCATCACTTGACCCAAATTTGCTGCACCAACCACCACAGCGATCCTCCTCACAGCAACACAAGTCAGTTGACAGGTTCTGGCGTACTGTTTGCCATCGACTCTATACCTTGAATTACATTCTCTTCGTTTTACCTGCCGACTCGGAGACACGCAACCAATTTCTTCGAAAGATGGAATCAGGCCTTGCGCAACAGCAGCAAGGAAAAGAGTTACTACAACAGCGCGGAGGCATGGAAGCTCATTTCTCTGTCCGATATGCATTGGATCATTGCCGACGTCGAAGGAGAAAGACATTGTTAGAGGATGCCTTTGAAGCTGAAAAACGTAATGGAGGCAACGTGGAAGGAGCTATTCTACCCACCACGAGTACGCTGTCTGCCGAGGAGATGCGAAAACATAATCACATTGTCGAGAATGCCCGATACATTATTGAACAATGCTTAGACAGTGAAGCCAGATTAGGACATCAAGAAAGAGACGCTATGTATGTCCTTCACAGTATGCGAGCAGGATTATTGGATGCATTTGATATACACATCGAATTGGTAGAGGATAGAACACTTCGCCAACGATTGAAACGGCTCGTTGAAAAAAATAAAGCATCCTCTAACGCTGCCTCCTCCTCACCATTACCGATGACCTCGAAAGGCACGACGACTAGCTATGATACGATACCACCACCTTGCAAAAATCCTTTTGAAGATGAAGATTTGATTGTCACCGAAGAGGATGAATCATCTCTAGAGGAAGGAAAGTTTTTTGAAGACATTGTATATAAATCAAAAAAGAAAGAAGTTGTGGCTGGTCCAATGATGCAGTAATATACTATTTTGCCTTCTATATAATCATAATGCCATGTGTAACGATTTATGTATGACCCAAAAAAGAAAAAAGTTTGTATTTTTGTCATCTGTAAAAACCAATACGCTCTCCTCTTTTCTGTTTGGTAAATCTCCTAAATTATCGTTGCCCCTAATTCCACTGTATCTATTCAACGTCGAAATACTATATTTTTTTCATATTCTCATATTGCGCTATAAAGTCCTTGCTGGGTTGATTCCGTAAATGGCAATGTTTATGCAGTTTATGCCCTACGTCTTTTTGGGTACTTAGACATGATGCGCAAAAGTAAAAAATGAATAGCATCTTCCATAGACATACACTTGAACACGTCCGCCACTTCTCCAGTAGATAGAGGAACACTATGGCTAACACGGATACTGTTCAACAGTATCGATTTCTAATCTGATATCAATTCAAATCATAACTCATCTAAAAATTATATATGATGGCAGTAAGAAATTTATGATTCTGTTGAAGAAAAAGCATGCACCAACAATTTTTTAATATCTGTACTGCCATCAGATGACTGCGTACATCGTTCTCATTCTCATTACGGGCAGACCTTACTACTGAATTGCTAGAGAAAGCCAATGCTCTATGTCCTCAATACTAGAAGTGCATAGACGGGAAAGTATGATTTAAACTAGACCAAGAAAAATGGCAATTTATCGCTGTTCGTTATCTGGCTTCCATAACTTACTTGCAATACTTTCAGTAAATATTGAATGTTATCAAAAGGGGAAAGCACGAACAAACATCAAATTTTGTATAATAAAGTCATCGACTATACAGCTAGTTCTGCTGAATTACGGGGAGGAAAGAGAACACAAGTTTGGAACAAACCTGCTAAAGATAACATACAGTATTATTGCAATTAGCAATCCTATTTGAAGAGCATTGTCCAGGTAATTCGAGCCTATAATTGTAGTACAATGTGCTTTGTCCATTTACACTAGTGAATGGAGTTGATTAGCCAAGGTTTCAATAGACTATAAGAGGACGCACTCAAACAGTAATCCATGGGCCCGGTGGATGAAGAGATGTCGTTACTTTTCATACACTATTTTGCGTATTGCTATATGTATAAATCTCTTTGATATGTCAGTTATACCCAATCATACTTTAAAAATTTAGTATTTTAGCTTACATTTTAGACGATTCACAATTTTTAATGGTCAATATGTAATTTAAATTTAGATTTATTATAAAAATTCATAGTATTTTGGATATCAATTTGGATACTCAATTATTCAATGATAACCAAGCAGCATTAAGGATGACATACAATCGAACCCTAGAAATGAGTCTCTATCAGTAAGGAAGTCGCCAATAATAGTTTTATTGACGTTATCTTGCAATAGGCCAAATTACAAAGAACCTTGACAACTTTTTTATTAAATGACAATGTGTTCCGAGACCAACCAGATATTCGTCGGTGCCTTTTTCGGACAAGAGTTCCAAAAAAGTTCAACTTTCAATTGATTGACATCAAATCATTGATAGAGGGCTGAGGGCCATAGTATAACAACTACCATAGCGGAACGGGATGGTTATATTATCTGTTGTCAATGTTTTTGTCTCACTTTTATTTCACGTTTTATGATGCATACTATGACCCATATTCAAAACAATAATTTATGAAAAGAAAAAGCAAATCTCTGAAAAGAAAAAATCAACTGCTGTTAATGGTAACTTGCCTTTTGAAAGCCTATCTACCTGATCATATATATACGTATAGATTAATCATCGTGTACTGTTAGATGTAACGTGTATTGATTGCGGTAAAGGGGGTCATTACACCCAACAATACTTTAAATGTCAATTGTATGAGACAGAAACTGCAGATCAAGGTCAGCAGCTCAGGTGGCTTTAAAAGTTGGTAAATTCATCATTAGTAAGCGACCTCATTGTACCTATAATTGGTTCGAAAGGCAGAAAACGCAAACAGAACTTTGAGATCAAAGAGAAGAATGAAGACCCAGAGGAAGACAATGCATGTTGTACCAAATGCAAGCAACCAAGACATAAATCGGTGCATTCTCCTCTGTATCCTCAACATGTATTATCAAAGGCAGAGGTCTTTCAACATCATTTGAGAAGTAATTACAAGGCGTTTACAAGAAGGTTGCCTCTTGATAACTGTGTTTTTGGTGACTATCGCAACACTTTCAAATCAAAAGTGAAGAAGAAAGTATCGCCGTAATAAACACGGTTTTCCTTACATTTTGAGGATTTAGATAATTACACCGTTTCTTTTTTTGCTTTGGTTTTTTTTTTTTTTTTTTTTCTTTTTTTTTTTGTTTCGCACTACTGACAAGTTTTTTAATTTGAATCATTGTTTGAATGGTTTTTATTTTCGTCTACAACACAATTGCACTTTGTCTAAAAATTTTAATGACGAGCTGGCTGTATTGCTCCGGAGGATTTCAACAGGCTCCAGAAGCTCATGGATGGACGATTCGATGAGAACCAAATGATCGGTTGATATTTGTGCCACGGCCTGCTTGCTACATCTGTTTCCTCAAAAAACCATGACGCAAGGACAGGGGAGTTTTCGACATCTTATACATTAGTATTTTGTGCTGAATTGATAGGCGAGAGCGGCGGTGCCAGTATATTGTCGTTATTGACTGTGGAATCCGATCTATCGTCGCTATTGATTGTAGAACTAGTGCTTGGTACTGGATTGATGGGCGACAGTGATGGTGGCGATTTATTGCCGCTATTGACTGTAGGACTAGCGCATGAAGATGGTAATGTAGAATATACTACTGCTTGATTCTGAATCAGTCGACGACGACGATAGTGATATAGATTCTTCAGAAGATAATGGTTTATCTGTTGGATCATTTCTTGACATGGAGGTAAGTATTCTTATGATATTTCTGGATGTTTATATTTTCGTGAACGCGACTTATAATAGATATGAAAACTGTAAGGTGAAAGGAGTTTCCTCAGTCCTTTTATCATATACTGAAGATCAGAGAGGGGAGCTTTCACGGCAAACTAAATGTTTGTATTTTTTAAAAAAAAATCAGGAAAAAGTCCTCGTTCCTTAATTTCCCATTACAAGATGTACAAGTGTTATTATGATTCTATGATCATAATAACGTGTTTAGTATTTGAAGTTTTGTCTAATTCGTGTTTATATATTATAAAAGAGGTATTATAGAAATACCACATTCTTAACGCGTCTTGTGCCCTATCAGATACGTATTGAGTACATCCTTTATGAACGACAAGTTGAGTTTTTTTGTTTATTATATCGATCCAGAACGTTTTATACTCTTCAGTATGCTTCCAGGTCGTCAATTCTGACGTTAAACGTTTGCCATCATCTCCAAAAATGACATTACTAATTATTGAGTTGTATCTGCTCAATGCATACTGTTTATTCATAATGCCAAACTTTTCTACAAATGATGCCAAAGTAAGATCATCTTTATTATCAAAGCACCGCTGAATATCAGTGGCACGAAGAATGCAGCTCGCTTCATTTGGTCACAATTAATATGTAGAAAGAGCGTGTGTTATTTATTAAAAAAAAAAGAGAAACCCAGCCTATACTATGCGCATCCTATTTCAACCTTAATACTAAAAACTTTCACTATGTTATCTCCTTTCAACATTTCTTTATCTACTACAATAATACATGATTTATTCAATAAATAAAAATCAACATGAATACCCATGCTCTTCCAAACAACATATTAAAGAAAAAAAAACTGGTAAAGCACTTCTGAAGCCAACAAACACACACATCATTATTTCTTTATTTAAAAAATAACTTTAAGAAGTCATCATCGAACAAAATCCTCTCAGCGGTTTTAGAGTACTGTAAGGTTGATCTGCAACTATCTAACATTGTTACTGAAGGTTCGTCCGGTACTTTTAATAGCAATTGAGTCAAAGTTGTTTAGCATTTGCATGATTTAAATTTCATCATTTTGGAACGCTGACAATAGAATTACACATAGATCCACAATACGGACCTGACAATTCTAAATTACAAGGGACTTTAAAAAAATATGTGTCAGTAATTCATGCAAATACGAAAAATGTAAACTTAGCAAAAGACATCCAATTTGGGCCAAATGAAATAACTCAGATTCTTCAGTTGAATTGTACTTTGTTCTTTTTCGAGCCAGCACAGGTGATTTATCCCAATTATTGTGTCGTGAAACTGTAGGCAGCTGATAAAGAACAAACGCACGGTCATCATAGATAGGACGAGTACCCTAAATTACATTCTGTAATTAGTGATTTGAGTGAAAAAAAAAAATTGTTTAAGATTTTTTTCTTTTTTTTTTTTCTTGGTCTTTTTACCTTACATTCCCTTTCCATTATACTCACCCTTCTTTAAACTGCCTTCCTTGAATTTCTTTCCTTAAATTTATAGCATACAGTAAATGTCATCGTTTTCAGACCCAGAGTACGATGGCAAATATCAAAAGCCATTTACACGTGACGCGAAAACAAAACATTCACATAGGATGAACATTGGTGATAGAATGGATCAGAAAAAAGGTGACCTATCATCGCGCCTATCATGGCCTCTAGTACTAGCCGTTGTTCCCACTTTGGGTACTTTCTTTGCTGGAAGCGCTGAAGTCTGGAGTGACTTTATTATGATTGTATTGATACTCTATTATATTTACCGATGGTTAAGTGGTAAGAATTAACAAAGACTTTTTGTATTTTGAACGGCTTTTCAGTAAAGTGTATGAATCTTAATCTTCTCTCAACTTAAAAAAGCACCATGGACATACTATGAAAGTGCACGAGCCCGTAGGGTCATACATCAAAATTCGTTTGCTAGAAAAGCGAGAGCTGGACTTTCACATGGAGAAGATGAAGAACAACATAAAAGAATCGCAGCCGAACTTCGACGACATGAACTCGCTGGATTAATATGGGTTTTGATATCACCTGCTGTTGCTGGCTACCTATTGCAGTACAGCCGACAATTGGTCAGTAATGCCGATCGATATGTTAGCTCTGTTAATATCACAGTTTTCATACTCGCTGCGTCAATAAAGCCTGCTACACACTTAATGAACCTCTTGCATGAGAGAACCATCTTTTTGCAGAATACACTTCAGATATCTGATTCTCAGGTTGATCTGCTTCAAAAAAAGATTGATAAACTCCAAAAAGAAATGGATCATCTTCATCGAGCGTTTGCAACCAAAAAGGAATTTGCCCAAGTAACAGAGGACATCCATCCGACTGTCCAACAGCTAAACAAGGCAATCAAAAGATTCGAGAAACGAGAACAAGCTCTGAGAAATTGGACAGACGAGCATTTCACAACTATCGAAACAAAAATCCAGGAATTCGATCAATATATTTGTTACCGTCTTGAACAAGAGCAACGTCAGCAAACGCATAGTACTCTTTACACTCTCATTTTGTTACCACTCAACCTATTATTTTGGAGCGCAAATTGTATGACCAAGTATATGCCTTTCATCCACCGTGGTCAACAACGCTTGCTAACAGCAACAGCAAATATGCCCCCAAAGGGAACGGCAGTGAAAGCAGACTCGCAAAGAGCAAATCACAAGTTAAAAGCAGTGTCGCATTCGCTCACTGGGTGTTAAGCAGCAACATTATAGATCAGCAAGACTTATAAATAGAATAAGCACCCTTCATGTAATAGCATACAATTAGTTATCTCATCTTAGAATAACACTTATTTATGAACATTTTTATTTATTTGCTACTCAATCATTCACCCATAACCTGTATTTAATATATACTTAAACAGCTGATATCATCTATACTTGGTAATTATCCCATTTTCATCTTTCTTCTATGATGAATGATTCTGAAAGAATAGAAGGTTTTTCAGACTAAGTACTATTTGCGGAAGGTTAAAATGCATTATTCTTTTTCTTAACGTGTAATGCTAATTCTATTTGTTGTGCCTATCATTAGCTATCAGCGCATCTGTTACGAATGGCCGAAGTCACGGTAGTTCAGCTGTGGCTCTTCATAGTACTTATAGCATCTATCTTTCTATCTGGACTTTGCTGGTGTTTTTGTTGTGGGACATGCGGTAATGTGATGCAAGATTTAATCAGTAGCGTCCCCATTATGAGCAACCAAAGCTAATCTTGTTTGACAGTGGGCAGAAGTCTTTTAAGGAATACAGGTTTTTTTCGTTTTGCAAGAGACGGAGCAGACAATAGTCAAAGTCATCATCTCTCGCGAATCGCTCCTCGTCACGAAGAGTTGTGGCCGTTGAATACTTGGGAAGAGGAATCGGAAGAGTCAAATGTAGAAAACGTATAATGAGTACCTCAAATATCAACTTAAAGATCCAATAAATACAAAAACAACGAACGATAGGCATCAAGAGACAAGTTTACCCTTACACTTTTTAATTACATGGACAACCCTATATTGACAAAATGGGACTTGATATATACAAAAAGTAATTTAAGGCTTTTCAATTTTAACAGCCTTTTCACTTTCAACGGATTCCAAAGAAGCGACGATGAAAGCCAAGTGATGAAAAGCTTCTTCAGTAGTAATAGCTAGTTCCTTTCCATTGCGAACAGCCTTATAGAAAGCAGCGAATTCTCCCTCAACATCAGCAAAACCATTTCCTGGTGCCTTGGATTGCAAGGCTTTGAGCGGAGCATTATCGATTGCTTCGCCCTTTTCATTGAATAACTTTACATCCATATCATCAAGTAGCTCGATGGATCCTTTTGTACCATGTACAACCAAATGCATTCTTTTGATACCCGCTGAACACTGAGCAAATAAAAAGTAAAGATTGATTAGTAAATCATATACATTGATGAACCCGTAATAACAGAAATTTACAAAAGTAAAGTTTGCAACACCAACACCGCCATTTTCCAATTTGATGGTAGTCGCCAATGTATCTTCCAAAACATGGACCTTATATCTCTTTGTGGCGAATGCAGAGACAGATGCGAATCTTCCCAATATAGGGACCAAATGGGCCATATCATGAACACAGCCATCGCTAAGATAACCACTATAGTGTGCCATCATCAGTTGTAATGACAGAAGAGTGGAAGCATGTATACATATTTTTTCAATTACGTTCATGATGGCCCTATTCAATGAAATTATAATGCTTACCCTGGATGCTTGGGATTTTGACGCCACTTTGTTGTATGGTAAGGAGTATCAGGATTATAGGGGCGGGCAGAATCATAGGTGAAATTGATTATCTATTATATTCGAGTAAAGCCCCTTAATTCAAACGCTCTCCAAAAAGCTTGTAATAAAAAAGAATAAAGCCTTTTCAGCAACTTACCTCACCAATGTTACCATCTTGCACATATTTTGCAACAGCATAAATCAATGGATGATATGACCAGTTCTCACTAACTGCAACAACTGTTTTGGCCTGACGTGAAATGGAAACAATTTCACGAGCATCATCAAGAGAAGCGGCTAATAAATGGTATTAGCACTTGAACTATGCCATGTAACACTACAAGATAGCTTTGATAGGAAAGGTAAAGAAGTTACCAATGGGCTTTTCAAACATAACATGCTTGCCAGCTGCTACAACAGCTTCAACGATCTAATAATAGCATGAGGGGTTTATTCATTATTTGTTATTGCAGGGAAAATGATCGCGAGTGGCTCTTTTAGTACCTGCTTGTTAAACTCAACTGGCAGGAGTACATCGACTGCTTCTACGTTGACATCGTTGATGAGAGACTCGGGATTTGTGTAAACAGCTGATTCAGGAATGCCGAGCTATCAATGTAAACATAAAGCGCGCAATGTGGCTCTGTGAGGGTCGGTGACTCCAATGGTAGCAAAATCGCGCTGAGCTTACTGTACCTCTTTTGCGAAAGCCAGAGCTTTATCTTTAGACCTATTACAACAGGCGACAATTTCAAACTTGTCTTTTCCTACTGCTTGATAAGCTCTATGGTGGCGATGAGCGAAAATACCGGTACCAATGATGCCAATTTTAATAGGTTGTGCTGACATAATATATAAACGAATAAGTCTAAAAAAGTCCAAATAGAAAGAGCAAATGCAGGTTTTTAACTTTTTACTTTTACACATTGGTACAATTACGTCATATGTTGGAAAAAATCAGGGAAAGGATTACCTAAGTTTTTTGAATCACTCATATGACATTCTATTCAAACGGAGCAGTGTCTCGTTTGAACTTTATATATTCATGCGTTGTGGTCATAGAATGTTTACGACTGGTAAAGTATGATCACACATAAAGGAGGATCGACATATACTACAATCAAATATAATTATTTCTAATTTGTAATCTTGGCACCTGTATCAATAGCAGCAGCAAAACCAATGCGATCGGCCTCCATATCAAAAGTGAGGTACGTATTACGGAGAATGCTTTGTCCGATCAAATAATGTTGGAGACCGGAAACACCAACAATTCCCCAGCCGCAAAGCTTTGCGGTTTTGACGTCTTCTGTATCTAAAGGAATAACAAGACTCGAAGCTGGTACATCTACAACAACAGATGATTTATCGGTCTTCCCTTTGTAGCGTGAGAGGTACATTTGAAATCGGGTTTTGGTGTCCTTATAATAGTCGCAATCTATACGGAAGAGCTTGCCCACGTCCAAGATTTGGAAAGTGGTTTGTCCCGTGAATGCAGTCAGTAATCTCTTTGCACTCTGCATATCAATATAGGTCAAGGTAGTGCCGCTGTCGATAACAGCCTTCCTTAATTTTCTGAAAAGAGCTTGTCCTACTCTATGTCCATCCTTGTTCGTTACACCGAAACCTTGAACGTTCGTCTGCCATAAAGTGAAAGGTTTATCCTTCTCATCTGCCATTACAGGTACGTAATGAATGTCACCTGTGTATTTCTTGTTGTTTGCACCACCCAGCATTAATTCGCCAGTCCAGCCGACGGAGTCCAATTGATTACCCATATAGATTGAAAACACAGGTTGTGGTATCAGATGTTGCTCCATCATATTGAATAAGAGAGGATTATAGCTCCTTGCTCCAGTCACTAAATGGGGATATCCCAAGCCCAAGATGCCGTCCTGATGTATTTTCGCTGAGACTGAAGTATTCACATTGAGCACACCTTCTGTTTTTGTAACCAGAGCAAGTTTTTGATTCTTTACAGTGATTCCCGATAATGTAACATCGTCAGTGACAAATTTTCCAGAAGCGTATGCTGAACCATACAATATGTCAAACTTTTCCTTGAGATCGTGATACGTCGAAGACTTGGCTGAATTGAAAGTATAATAAGGGCAGTAATCATCCGGGCACTCTTTTGATGGTATCCAAAGATCAGCACTATAGTTTATGTATAGTATATCGTATTAATCAAACGGTTTGAGAATGCGTTTTTGCTGCTATATGAATATGATACCTTCCAGTGTCTATAACGACATTGAATTTTTGTGGTGGAGTGCCTACATCAATGGTCGCGAGAAATTGAGTACGGTAGTTGAATAAGGGCACGCTTGCGTCTAATCTTTTTTGAAGCTTGGAGTGTACACGATCGACTCTGCTAGTATTTGTTTCTTTGATCGCTTTTATCGGAACTTTGATGGTGTTCTTTGCTTCTGCAGCGCTTACGGAAGCAGAGATAACAGTGATCAGTAGTAAAATAAAAGTACAGGTAACAATATAGATCATGGATGATATCAAGTGGGAAAACAGCAAGTCTGCCCTTTTCTGCTTTTGTTTTTTCTTTTCATTCCAATGAGGTCTATTTATCCCTCTTCACTGGTTTCACCTCTCCGCAAATTTGTTGGTCTAAGAGGCAGCAAAGGCTGCTATCTTTAAAAATAGGAAGATAGGCTTCGCAACATAATGATTAAAATGAATCTTTTCAAAGACACGAGTAAAATTAATCTTTAATGCTCAAGTAACCGATTGGTAAGCACTGGCACTTATGTCAATCTCTTTCGCTACTGATAAAGATTTGATTAAAAAGGTCAGAATAATAGGTACACATGCAAGATGAAGGTACACGTACGGAAAAGAAGTACGAGAAGTTTTTTTTTTTTTTTCTTTGGTGGTAAATATACATACAAGTTTGTAGAAAATAGCCTTGAACACCTTGCCAAAAATAAAAAAAGAAATAATATTGATACTATAATTAGTAGAGTACAACATAACATGAACCAAAGGTACGGAATTTGTATCTAAATCACGTTCTCGCTTTTCTTTATAAATTAAACCGTCAGGTAAAACTAGCTGACATTTTATAACAAAACCTCTGACCTTGAAAGGGCAACATAAGCTCTTCTCTCGCGTTTCCAGAAGCCGAAATAATCCTGCTATTTTTAAATCATTACAAAACTAGCAGTGTCATTTAATTTACTTTCAGGATTCAAAGATATCAACTAATCATAGCGAAGGCAATAAAAAAGCGGATCTCTTAGATGTTATGCCTCGATTCAATACTCCTGCACAAAGTTGTTGTCGCATAATGAAGGTGCGTCCAAGGCGCTTTTCTATTTTAAAGATATAAAGGACGCCATATTGTTAGAGCACGTACCGTTCCTAACTCCCACATGCGCATGCGTTGAAAAAGAAGTTACTTTTAATGCTTGCTGCCTCTCATTTGATCAGCAACGATCAATAATCATTGCGCAAATTTCGAATTTGTATTAGATAAACACAGCTCTCTTCTTAACCTATGTCTGTACAGCCAAGAAAGTCCATTTTTTTGTTAACCAAAAATTGGCAATGCCATAGCACTCTTTATAAATAAAATCCAAGCATCAGTACAGCATTTTTATTCCGTAGAAATTCCTTTTAAAGGTCGGTGCACGTGGATCTAATGAATCCTTGAACCTTCTCTTTTTCTGTGCAGCTTTCATGCTTAATGCCTATGCTTAACGCAATTAATAAAATTGGTCAAGGTACATCTTTCACCCAGGTCTTGCCAAGTTTATTGATTCAACTTTTTTGAGATTTAAACAGTTTTATTTCATTTTATACTTCTATACAGGTCATCAAAGACAAAAGCATCTCATTTTGGAGGTGCAAGAATGGTAGGTGAATGAATCTGATAGGGTGAAATGAGCTTTTTTACAATGGATATATAAAGATGGCTAAATGCTACCTTTGTTTAATAATGCATCAATGACAGCTGTGATTGTATATTTTCTGTTTTCGGCTTCTTGGAAAACCACGGATCGTTCTTTATCATAAAACACTTCATCGTCAACTTCTTCAGGTTTACGAGGTAGACAGTGCATAAAGATCCAGTCAGGTTTCGCACCACCGCGAGCAATCAGGTCCTTTGTCACTTGATATCCCTTAAAGTCTATTAAACGTTTCTTCTTTTCTTCTTCTTGACCCATACTAACCCTGTTGAGATTTTTAAAATGTAATAGTCAGGTATATTTTCCACCACACCCATTACAGCTTTATACCCAACTTACCATGTATCGGTGATAATGATATCAGAATCCTTAATCGCTTCCTCTGGCTGAGTAGTAAATGTTACTGATGCACCTGTCTTTTTGGCATCAGCGAGAGCAATATCAATGACATCTTGATCGCAAGTGTAACCAGGAGGGCAAGCTGCTGCTACACTGATACCGCATTTGGGAAATGCAACGAGAATTTCTTGTAAAATATTGTTGCCATCACCCACCCAGGCGACCTTCTTACCAGGTAGTGTCTCTCGAGGATGTTGGGTGTGTGCAGAATAAATGCCTTCAGGAACATTATTATTTTTGTTATGGTAGTATTCATGAATGGTCATCAAATCAGCCAAAATTTGTGTAGGATGATATTTATCGGAGAGAGCGTTAATCACAGGCACTGAAGATTCCTTGGCGAGAGTCTACCATGAGGGCATGATACATAGTGTATGATAAAGTGAATATCAACAGATCCAATAAATGCAGGTTCCACAAAACTTTTGAAAGACGGATCATTTCTCTTACCTCAATTTCATCATGTCCTTTGACACGGGCCATGATACCATGCACCATCGAGCTAACCACACGAGCAGTATCGAGCAAAGACTCGTTAACACCGAGTTGGATATCTTGCGAGCCTAAGAACATGGCATGACCACCTGTATTCCCCGGCTTAAGCGTTAGATCAAATCGAAAGCGAGGAAGGTAAGGGATTTTTTAGCACTTACCAAGAAATGCCATGGATGATTCTGTAGCGATACGAGTACGAGTGGAGCGTTTTGAAAACAGGACAGCTAAAGTTTTTCCTGCCAAAGGACGCTTGATCTCTTCTGAAGGAGTATATTTGGCTTGAACCTTGAACTGAAGAGAATTGTAGACCAAATCCAATAATTGTTCGGCTGTAAAATCAGCGGTGGTAATGAAATGGTTGGGCTTTTTTGCTTCAATGTGGATGCCAGTCATGTTTCGTAGTTAGTTATATCTGCAGAAATAGAACGCAAGAGTTGTGGATAAAACAGCAAATGATGAGAGGCCTTTTATACAGTCTGTTTCTAAGAATTAAGCGCGGAGTGACATTATCCAGATGGGTCATAGAGTGGGGTATTTTATCTTCAATCCCCTACGGGTCGATTAAAAAATTCTACCCCAGATTGTTAAAATTCATGACTCATTTGAAAGTATATTCATGTTGACTCACTGTTATTGGGTGTGTGCAAAGGTAGAATGACACTAACAATAATTTTAATTAAACTAGTATTTATCTTGTAACAATTTTTGTTTCATGACTATTGTTATGCAGCATAGGCTCTTTTTCTACTCTTTGTTGGATTCTAATGTTTTTACATGGCTTCCAATCGAGCAAGAGGTACTCTGAAGAAATGACAGTAGGGCTGTCAATAATTTGCAATCACCAAAAACTGGAACTCTGTTTGCGAGATGTATTGTTATATATTTCTTCGATTCACACTGTAGACGAAATGGAAAGCAAGTGTCCGTCTAGCTACAACTCTGTCCATATCACATTCGTTTGGTGAGTTTCCACTGTTCATGAGTAGCATCATGGACTTGCAAAATCGCTGAAGCTGCGCATACAATCATTTTATAAGCCTTGCAAAAGCAATTATTACAGCTCATCACATCATGAAAGTCAGTTTCCCATAACAAGTTGTAACGCAACTCAAATTTACTACGGGTTATGAGATCTGTTCTTTGTTCGATTAATTGTAGTAGTTGATTAGATACTTTCAAGATACATATCTCAATATGGCCTGTTGAGTTGAATAAGCTATCATTTTCATTCTCAATGCTATTGTTGTTATAGATTTTATTGAACAGCTTGGCTGAAAGCAATCTTAAAAGATCCAATTTAAGGTGCCAATCTCCAATCCCTTCGCAGAGATAAATTTCATGTTCTGGAAAACGCTGGTTTAAGGAGGCTGGTAAGGGGTAATGCACAGGCTTCTGAATACTTTTTGCATCTGGCCTGTTTTCAAAAAGAATGACGGTGTCTCTTATATTGTGTAAATAATCGACAACATCACTCAGTTTATACCATCTAAAAAGTGAGAGCGACGGCAAGATGTGCGTTTCCCAATTAGTGTACGTCATTAAAATAAAGCAAGTATTCTTCAAAGATGGGTAGCTGTTTGTCTATGAGCAATGTCAGATGAATGAGGTATATATTACTCCAGGCTCAGCGTGAACCTTTTGAAAACTGGTCTTTTGGATTTTTGTTTTAAAGACGCAAATTGAAATACGTAAAATGAAGGAAAGGATCGCCCTTTTCCCAATGCTGACTTCCAACAAAATACTCCATTTGGATTTCTGCACAAAGCCAAAAATAAAATAAAAAAAAATTGACGGAATAGTAAATTCGTGACTGATGGACTCAAAAAAAGCAGTCTTTTAGTTTTTACTATCAAAAAAGTATAAAAAGGCCACAAAAATGCGTAAAATGGTTCTTGTTCTTTGTACTTCTGTCCTGTGCTCAGATCGGATAAATCTTTCGCCTTTTACTAAAGATTTCCGTGGATGCGGGACGCAATGGAAGTTTACCCTAATTTTTGGCACTTTTTCAATCTTGATCTCTTTAAGAGTCTTGATTGAGATTTATTATTATATTCTTTATGTAAATGATAAATGAAAAAATGTTGTATAGAATTTCCGCCTCTCGTGAGTCACTTTTTTGAAATAATTTCAAACATTGTCATTGACTCTTGAAAGAGTGGTTTTGTACTACTAAGTTGAAAATTTCTAAAATACAGTGGCTACTGCTGAATAGTTGTATAAGGACGTTGTATAATGTTCGAGAAATAGACATTTCGAGACAGTTTCTTTTTTAGAAAGTGCTTGAAAATGTTCAAGTGCAAATGTTATTTTTATTTTAGTACTGTATTACTGGTGGGAGCTTTGCAGAAGGAAAATCCATATTGATTTGGTTATTTCATATACATTTCGTCATGACGAGCTTTACGACGGACAGAAAGATATGCTTAGGCTATGTTCATGAGAAAATTGATGGGATTTTATTAGAATAATGCATTCAATCTTTTGATCATTCATTGCTAATCTACGGAAAGACAAGAGAAAAGGGAGAGCTATCTAAGGCGACTCGATGAAGGCACAAAAGTGGACGGAATTCGGGAAAATATAGTATCGACAGGAGATTGAGGGCCAAGGGGAGAACTGAAAACATATATGTCTTCTGCTTCGGAAACACGTGAAGACAGCTTCACTTCAGCACTCCCCGCTAACAGATACTCTAATTTGATTATCTTTTCATAACCTTCGAGACGTTTCTCAATTATCTGCTTGTTTTTTTCCTGAGACCTTTTGATCTCCTGCAATAGTCCGTGGGAGAAGTCAATACTGGACTAAAAAAAAAAAAAAAAAAAAAAAAAAAAAAATGCAGTTAATAAAAAAATAACACATTTTAATTTTTTAATACTCACATACCTTAAGCTCCCACATCATGTTGGTTACGTCCATAAATTCTTTCTTTGAACCAACATGCTGTATCGGTAACAAAGCACTTCCAACTCGATCTAAAACGTACAGCTGTTCACTCACCAAACCAAAATACCAGAAACGGATCCTTTTGTAAGCAGCATGGATAAAGTAGACTTTCAGCTTTTTGAAGAGATCGACATTAGCGTATTCATAACAGAAGGCTATTTTGTGCAACATAGCCAATAATCCATATGCAGCATTTACGTGATCAGTTGTTTCACCCGTAATGTCTTTCAAGCCATATGGTCCTGTCATCTCCAAGATCACAAGCTCCTGATCAAACACCTTGTCAAGAATAATAGCATCCGCATTATAGTAATGGGACAGTCGGGGACCTCGGCGTTTCAACTCAAAGTTGATTGCTTGAACACGGGTTTCACCAGGAATCAACTTACAGAACGGAGTAACCACTTTGATAGCATATCCAAAGTATTAATTAAGAATAAAGTTAATATGCACTCAACTGGGCAACCTCGATCCACTTTTCCCGTCAAGGAAAAGGGGAAACCGAGAGTCTATCGAACGGCTGTCGGACCAAGTAATTACAACGTGTTCAAAAAGCTGTGAGAAAAACAATAGGATTGCTACAGATTCTGCGGTTGTAAAAGGTGATCTATTTCAGACGATCCGTTAACTTGGGTGACACTTTACATTAAAAGAAATCAATACACGTAGCTACAAGTCATGCGAATCATAACTTACAATACGAGGAAAACTTCATAGCAGAACGTAAAAGTAGGATTATTGGTAGGTTTGACCCGTCAAGAAGGCATTTATCAACACCTTCAAGCTGTTAAAAATGTTAGTCATTAGTCGTAATACAGTCTTTTTTCGGCCAGCTTACCAACGAGTCAAACCATTCATTGTAAAGAGAACCGAATTTCGAAAAAATGTCCTCTGTGCTTCTTTTAAACAGTTTATTGGTAGCTTGTACCAGATCTGTCGGATACGTTGCTCGACTTTGACTGCTTCCTATACCTTCACCAACTTGAATAATATTTAAATACTCCTGACAACATTGTTACTTATCACTTATAAATTTCAATTCACCCATATTGTTCAGTAGATGCGACTTGATAATTGAAAAAGACTGAAGGTGATAAGGATCACCTTCAGTCCTTTTAATATACACTGAAAAGGAGAAAGAGAAGCGTTCATAGAGAAGCGTTCATAGCGAATTAAACGTTTGTATTTAACAACAAAAGAAAGAAGGAGAAGAAGAGAAACAAAACAAAAAAAGGGAGCTAAATACTCGTTCCTGACATTCTCAACCAGTAAGAATGCAGCATTATATAAGCGGCTTTCTAAAATACAAGGTGACGTGTACTAAGTGTTATCATGATTCTATGATCTTAATACGTGTATAGTATGTTGAAGGTGTGGCTAACTCATGTTTATACACTTTCATTATTATCCTGTATAATAATTCCACTTTAAATTTATTTTAGCATTTAAATCTGATTTCAACATCACTTATACGTCGCGAAAAAATCACGTTTCACACGAGATGTATACTTCATTTCAGCAAGACCTTCCAAAAGAATAGCATTATTGGTTGTGAAAAACAGATTGGCTTCACTAGAGTTTAAGAACTATAATACGAGTCAGTTTTACATTTCTCTTGATTTTTAGGAATAAACTTTACGTTTTGCCAGCTTTCTTCAAGATCTTGTACTTGCTGTAAGTTTATATTCTCGTTCTTCATCAGATTGATAATAGCTGCTTGCATATCATTTTCGGCATCATTGCGGTCCCAGAGCCCTTGACTCATTAGAAGTCTTATAAATGAAATCCTTTTGTCGAGTAATTGAGCAAGAACTTCCGTTAATGATGACATTTGCTGGCAACTTTTCAAGTTGAAAAAAAAAAGATACTTTTAGAAACGCTGATTTTCTGATTTTACTTTTATACCACAAATAAGCGTTCTTAAAATTCAGCACAATGACACGACTTCACTGCTCTTTTCAATGGTCAAGATGTCAACAAAGAGGACAATACACTGATGCTATGAACGTGTGAGATTAATATTACCTTTTGAAAAAAGCTAATCTATCTCTGATTGTAGTTTCTCTTGCCAAATATCTCGTAAATCTTCTATTTATAGTAGCAGTACTTATTAGCTGCTACTACATCATTTTGTCATTTTCTACAGAGCCAGTTCATCTCCAAGAAAATAAAGAATTCATTCTTTTATTATTCATTGAAGTAATTGAATTTGGACCATTGTTCAGTCTCACCCATTTTCTCTTTTGTCTTCTATTTATAAACATCACACTCTGTGTACTTCTGATTACCTCTGATTACCGGTATTGAGCTATGTATACTATGTACGATTTATGTACACTCTCATGCACGGTGCATCGTAATTATCACTTGGCATTATCCGTTGAGAGAGTTTACTTTCTACAGTTCATAGTAAATTGTCTACTTATATTTCAAGGATATCTATAGGAATGGTCTGGCTTTACTTGATTTTTTCATAACCCCTCAATTTCAATTGCTTTTAAATGAGGGCCAAGGCTGCTCACTGCTTTAAATAAAACTACCAAATTTATGTAGGCTTATATACAAACAGTTCAATAAAGTTAAGTAAACTGAGAGTACATCTGATTTTAATGGTATCATTTGGCATTATAGAAGAGTTGAGCAATTTAAAGAGGTCCAAAAATCAAGTAAAAATACGTGTATGCGAATTTGGATATTCTGCAACCATCATCAATTTGCTTGAGTTATTGGTTCTTCAACTGATCTAATTGCCGCCTCATAATTTTGTTTTCTCTTTGTAGCAAAAGATTCTCACGTTGGTATGCTTGCAATTGCTGTTCCAAAGCGTCCTATAGCACAGAACGTCAGGTTTGTTACATTGATCATTTATCAAGTTTCCTGCAGTTAAACTGAAAACTTACAATCCTGGCAGACGGCTCTATTGATGCTTGGCTATTATTCACAGCTTGAGATAGTGATTTCTCTGTCGCCTTTAATTGTAAACACTGTAGAAGCTCTGTTATCAATTGTTTCTGCGAGTCGTTTTGCTGTAGGAGTTGATGCAGCTGTCTATATACGGCACTGATGGCGTTCTCTTTATAGGTTGGTGCCACCGAATTGCTAGGATCATTGTACTCAGATCGTGTTGTATTACCCATGGCATTCATGTCTGATAAACTCTGCTGTACTGAATTAACCTCGTAAATAGGATCGGTACCATTGCTCACTAAAAACCTCCCTACTTTGGCTGTTTCTGCTCCGGCTGAGACATTTGAGCTTCGTCGTGACAAAGATACATAGTCTTTAGTTAACGAAGGACTCGTTTGCTGTGAATGATAACATGGGCTCTTATCTATGTAAACAGGGTTAGCTGTTATACTTGTTACATTGCAATAAATTGAGAATACATCGATTCCCTACTTACTGTCATCCTTACTAGCGGCGCGACATAATGGTCTAGTAGGCTCATCAACAAAATGCACACTTGGTTGCTTTCCATGTCTTGCATGCTTATCAACAGTTTTCAGTGGCTCCTTTATGTAACAACGTGGTATTTGAGCATTTGGTGGCAAATTGTTTTGTAATTTAAATTTTTCTTTTTTTTTTTTGAAAACGTAAAGTACCTCTATCATCAATATAGGCGGGGCTGAACTTTGATGTTGATGCTGATGTTTAATATTTTTATTTTGAAAAGGCAGCAATTCTTGCTCTGAGCTCTCTTTTCCTCGCAGCATACCATTCTCGTACGTCGCAACAGTCGATCCAGCATGAATGGTTGAAATAGTCGCCGCAACATAGGTATCGTTGGTATTTCGTTTCCTAACGGTTGACCATGATTCAGAGGCTGCTTGTCTTGTATGTGTAGGCTTCTTGATGACAACGTTGCCGAAAGAGATATGTCTTCGTGGAGGGTTGGGATGAAGAAAATGATTGTTACAGTCGCGACTCGATGGATGATCTAGCCCCTGTTGGTTTTCCTCACCAAAATCCCATTCGTCCATACTTGCTGCTCTATCTTGTTTATACGGTAGCTTTTTGAAAGGTCTATTCTCTATTGGAGGTATATTCACAATTAGGTTTTTTGCTAACCAATCTGGCTTCTTGACTTGTTTGAAAAAAGGGTGTAATAGTAATTTTTCAGCAGAAGGTCTAATAAGATGAAAAGTACTTGTCATTTACAATTTTCTTTATTCTTCCTCATCATGCAAACGTATCTGCCAACGTCAATTACCTTTCCGCTGGGTCTTTCTGTAAGCAAGAAGCTATCATTTCCTTGAATACCTTTGAGAATTTGTTTTGAGGAGTCAAATCTTCCAATGCAGGAGGTTCATTCATTAGCGTTAGCATAAGAACTTTTAATGGGGGATATTTTGCAAACGGAGCTTGGCCTGTAGCTAATTCAATGGCTGTAATACCAAAACTCCAAATGTCTGCCTTATAATCATAGTTGGCTTGTTCCATCACCTCAGGAGCCATCCAGCAAGGCTATGATAGTTTGATTTTTCAGTGGATCACGTTGGTATCAATGTATTCAAATCTTCCCTTACCGTGCCAACAAACGTTTTTCTAACACCCTTCTCACCCGACTCCATTAATGAGCTAGAAACGCCAAAATCTGCCAACATAACTAATCCATCCTCGTCCATGAGTAAATTACCAGCTTTTACATCACGATGGATATGCCCATTTTTATGTAGGTAAGTTAGGCCTTCAAGGGCTTGCTTCAAGATAGCAGCAATCGTGACTTCATCGAAACCTTCTCGATAATATAGTTTGAGCAGATCCAAACACGAGCCTATTGAGATGTAGGAACTGTGTCAATTTCTTATATCCTCGTCGTCTACTTTATGAACAGAAAATACTTTCCTACCGCCATATAAGGAGTTACAATATGGAGCTTCGATCCATGCACAAAAGAGCCATAGACTGGTAACACATGAGGATGCTTTGAAAGTGCCATGAGCGCTGTTTCTCTCTATTTTTTTTTTCGGATCATCTTAATATCAAAAATGTTATGTCTCGTTCAGTTTCTGAATGGACAGGAGATGTACCCGTAAACTATCGATTTGATTTCTTTCAAACTTGTCTAAATCAATTATTTTCACAGCAACCCTTTTTTTGTGCTCGATATGAACGGCACTATAAACTACTGCTGATGATCCATATCCTAATCATAATTGAACAATACCATTCATGTTTATATAGTAGTCCTCAAAACTGGAAAAGAAGTGGTAGGAAATTTATACCAATGGGTTGCTTAAGGTCAAAGTCATCTATGACAAGGTTGCGCTGCTGTCGCTCACTAGTGTCTATAGTGTGGTGCTATACAAGTTTAAACAAAGGCTTGCTATTCATTTACATCACATGTCATATTTACCAATGGCCGAGTTGATGAGAATTGGTTTCGGCAAGGTATACAACTCATCGGTGCTATCTATATTGTATGCTTGTTCATTTAGTCCATTTAAAGCAAACATGTTACTATTATTTGGTGTATATGTCGATGGAAACAGACGCAGAAAGGGAAAAGAAGAAAAAAAAATGAACGAACAGAAGAAAATATAAAATTAGGACGTTTAGAGCTGGTCGATATGTAAAGAGACGAAAAAAAAGGAGTCTATCAATTATGCGCGTACGGGTTGAACGGTACGGATTGAAATTACATTTCACGGGATGTATATACATACTCAATTCAGACTTGGCTTTATGAAATTAAAAAATAGTCAAGGCAGTAAAGCAACTGTCAAATGGTAAAAGTACCCTATGTATGTCTTTTCACTCAAGCTGTGACACATTCCAAGCAAAGCAAGGTTACATTTGCAACCCAAAGTACTGCATAAGAAAGATACAGTATTAATGCAAACACTTACAGTGCGTCGTCTGTTCGAGTGATCGTTCAACCTTACAGGCTCGCTACTTAAGTGAGTCTTATGTTTCATACATTTAATTATTCACTCAAATAAACGCATTTGCAATTAAACTTACTCATATATTAAGCAGTGTATATAGTTCGCATAGACTTGATCATCTATTTATAAAAGAAACTTGAACTCTAAAAATACCCAGAATTTGGAAACTCTCTGCTAAAAATGGATCTACTTGTACGTCATTACCATATACAAATGTGCCACGCTATCAATGTCAAGCTGCATTCCAATAATCAAGAATCAGGTCTATCAAAAAAAACATACAAAAAATCACAAAGTTTTTGGTGCGAACTCTATAAAAATAGAAATCCTGCTTGAAACTTCGCGGCACTATAATTAACATTCAAAATAGCTTTTTCCATTCTTCTTTTCATTACAAGTGCAACTTTAGTTATCGTCGAATAAGACTTACGCCGAAGACTTTAACCGGCAGAAGCACCTTTGTTCTCCTCCTCTTACCATCAACAGTGGAAGAAAGTTGGTAAGCTCACCTTCTTGCATAAACTTGTAATTGTTTCTCAATTGACAGGTTCTTGATCAGCTTATTTAGCATAAATAGACGTTCAGCCCGAGAACATCTAATCTTAATACACATTGTTATAGACCTATGCTAATTATATGTGCATAGTAGTACATTATCTTTTTTCCTTGACCTTCTGCCTTGTTAATCGTTTTTCATTGCTTTTTCTCTTGCAATCATTCCCCTAAAACAATATATTGCAAACGATCCTCACCATAGGACAACCGATCCTTTCTTTTCATGCCGTTACAAAAAACAGCTAGAACGGAATCAAAAGGGCCTAAGGCAAAGACAGAGCCCAGCTTGGAAGGATTAACTGGTAATCTATCGGATCGGCCGCGAAATCCCATTCAGGCTTTTGACATTTTCTGTTTTTCTTAATAGATGCTTCGCAACAGAACCAGTTACCTCCACCAAAAGATAAAAAGAGACACCTGTTTCGATTTGGAAGGAAGAAAAGTAAAGTATATTTTCTGCTGCTGCTGCTGCTTGTTATGGAAAAGTAACTCAACTTACGTTTCTTTTCGCCTGCATAGGTCGATCAGATATGGGAGCTGCTAGCCTTTTTACCACGACTCCAGTGAAATCTATGAATACAGACAATACTGATACATCATCTATTTTTGCACCGCGTAAAAGGTCAAAAGATTATGAGAACAGTATTCACAGCTTTACTCAAAATGAAGCACCTACGACGGATGACACTAATAACAACAACAATAAGGCTGCAAATAACTACGAACGAAAAAAATCTGGAACTTCAAACAGCTCGAAAGGCAAAGAGAGAGAGAAATCAGAAGGCAACATTTTCTTTTTATCCGATGATGGAACGCAAAATAAAGTAAGTACTCATTTCTGCTTCGCGAGTTTTGGCAACTTTATTCTAACTTTTTTTACTGATATATTCTTAGCCTCTTGAATGTATAGTATATTTATATGAACAAAATTCTTTTGCTCAGAACTTTAGTAACTCGATTTTATTTTTGACTAGTGGATCAAAATTTCAATTCTTTAGACGAGATCATTAATCCTGAGTATCGTAACGGGAGACGAAGGACATCAGTTACGCCGGTAAGAATAGCGGTTTTAGATTCGTCCTACAAGTGATCTGACATTCGATTACTTTTTCAGCAAGGCACAGGGCAATCAGATAGTAATGCAGAGCATTGGGCACCTCCTGACAGTTGGGCTGTGCAGCCTGCAGATGGCAACCTTGTTACAGCTGAAGATGAATTCCAAACGCCAGCAGTGGTGATGAAGAATGAGCCATCAGATTATTTTCCTGTTGTTGAGCATGAGAATTGGAATATACCTAGCAAAAACGTAACGTAGAACTGATCCTCAACTCGGGCAATCTAACATCTCCTTATTGTCAATTAAAAGGTATATTCTCTTTTTTTTTCTCTCATAGTATTGTATCCGAATTTTTCGACCTGATGGTACTTTTGGTACTTTAATCGCACCGTTGAATACTACAACAAACGAACTCATCCAAAGGCTTGCTGGAAAATTCTTTTTACACGATCTCAGCAAATACAGACTAAGTTTACTCATTCATAATAATGGTAAGAAAGTGATTCGAAACTCTTTTTCCAAACATCTTGATAACGTGCTTTATTGTGCTGTTGAATCAACTTGTAGAGCGAGTATTAGAGCCTAATGAACATCCCATACAGATTCAAAAAGCCTTACTAGAACAGATAGGCTATACGGAAGAAGATAGAATTGAAGATGTTGGAAGAGAAGACAACTCGTATCTGTACCGTTTCGAATTTGGTCCCAATGTTGCTCAAACCGTACAAGAAGAAGACTTGGGGAATTATAGACGCGTGGATCTCCAAGCACGAAATATGTCAACTGTACCTATCTTCCTTTACAAATACGCTTCAAAAATCACATCACTGGATCTCTCTAGAAATTTGTTGATCGAAATACCAGCAGATTTTTTGCAGATGTGTAAGAACCTTAAAAAACTATGGTTAACAAATAACGAGTATAAAACACTGCCTTCATCGCTGCATTGCATTCCCTACCTGGAACATTTGAATATATCTGGCAATAAGCTTCAAGATCTCCAGTCAGCGCATCTTGAAGAACTCACTGCATTACGCACATTACGAGCCTATAATAACAGCCTCAAAACGTTACCGGAATCTTTTGCTAGCTTACAACAACTGAGCATCTTATTTATATCCAACAACTCTTTTCGAAAGTTTCCTGAAGTCATTTGTAAGATCACCAGCCTTGCTTATCTTGATATCAGCTTCAATAAGATTACCTCTTTTCCTGACGAAATATGCAACTTGACACAGCTCGTCGGCTTATTTGCTACTGCTAATCGTTTAAGAGGACGGTTGCCTTCAGGCATATCAAAATTGGAGAAATTACAAGAGCTGGATTTAAGGCAGAATGAAATTACTGACCTGGATGAGCTTTATCTCTTGCCTAAACTGGAAATTATTTCTATCGATTATAATGCGATCAGTTTTGTCAACTATAATTTCCAGCATTTACGGCAATTGAAAATGTCCAAAAACCACTTGACACAATTCACATTATCCACTGCTGATTTAATCAATTCGAATGGAACGTTAACAAGTACGAAAAGTACATTGACAAGCTTGAACCTTGCCAACTGCAAGTTAGCATCCTTGCCCGATGATCTGTTCAAAAGCGCAGTTGCACTCGAACAACTTATACTGGACAATAATAGTTTAAGCTCACTACCGACGAGTATAGGCGCTTTAACGAAACTCTTGCGTCTGTCCGTTCAGGGAAATAATCTGGAATCACTGCCATCCAATATTCACAAGCTGACTGAATTGAAAGTATTAGATGCTCAGAAGAATAACTTAAAGTCATTACCACGAGAAATATGGCTTTGTGTATCTTTACAGACGTTAAACTGCTCATCCAACTTACTGGAAGCCTTTCCTGAACCATATTCACCCTCGACGCCAGCATCGTCTGGGAACGATCTTCCTGCGGAAACAGCAGCGTCCTTCAATGCTGGCCAAGGCACGTTGCCGGTACCGATGACAGATAATACAGCCTTCCATTCACCCGTAGGTTATCCTATGGATGGTGACAAGACCAATGAAGGTAATCAAGCCAACAACAATCTTCTTTCCTGTGGATTCCAGCCACCGCCCAACTTCAACCCACCTTCCTTTTTTGCCAGTCCCCGCAATCACCCTCCCCCTCTTTCACTGTCATTGAGATATCTCTTTCTCGGTGATAATCGATTTACGGATGATATATGGTCACCCTTGTCCTTGTTCCTTGAATTGCGAACGCTCAACCTGTGTTTCAACGATCTCTATGAAATTCCACCGGAAGGCCTTTGCCACCAGCACCTTTATGAACTCTATCTGTCGGGTAATCACTTGGCTTCCCTTCCAGCCGACGATCTGGAAAAGCTCAGTTATCTGCGTGTACTAGCTGTCAACGGCAATAAACTGCAAACTTTACCTGCGGAAATCGGCAAACTACGCAAATTGTTAGTGTTGGACGTTGCCAACAATGTGCTTAAATATAATATATCCAATTGGCCGTATGATTGGAACTGGTAAGTTTAACAAGTGACATGAAAAAAAAAACAAAAAAAAAAACGGTTCGGCTAAAGGGAGTTACCTATGATGATTAGGAACTGGAACTTGGGCTTGAAATACCTTAATCTATCGGGCAACAAGCGTTTAGAAATCAAAAGGGCACATCCTGAAATGCAAAACCCCAAGGAGAAAAACTTGTCCGACTTTAGTGCGTTGGTACGGTTGCGTATGCTCGGTTTGATGGATGTCACGATCCTTGGGGTTTCCACACCCGAGGAATACCACGACCGTCGTGTACGTACGTCACCTTCTGAAGTGAACAGTATGGCTTATGGTGTAGCGGATTGGCTTGGACCGAGTGATCACTTGGCCACGTGGGATCTTGTCATGCCGCGCTTTAGAAATAGGGACGATGAATGTTTCTTTGGATTGTTTGATGGACGCAAACATATGAAAACAGGATGTCGTATGACACGTTATCTGAATGATAACATGACCTACCATTTTATGAACGAACTCGAAAAGACAAAAAATGATGACACGATCGTATCGGCCATTCGACGCACATTTTTAGCACTGGAAAAAGAGTTTGGATCGTTTGACAACGAGGATAAGGATTTAGGGGCATCGGCACTGATCTGTTATATCGCAGGTACGAAACTCTACGTCGGCAATGTGGGTGACGCATTGGCTGTCCTGTCTCGTAACAATGGGCAAGCGCTTGAAATTACGCAAAAACATATACCATTGAATCCGAGTGAAATCTCACGTATCCGAGCGGCCGGAGGCTACGTGTCTAATTCTGGGCTCTTGAATGACGAACTGAATGTTTCACGAAGTTTTGGCTATTACCATTTGATTCCCGTGGTGAACGCGAATCCTTATATTTCGACGATTGATTTAGCAGAGAATGATGAATTTGTTATCATGGCGTCCCGTGGATTATGGGATCGTATTTCTTATCAGACCGCTGTCGATATCGCGCGTACGGAGAAAGATGACCTCATGATAGCAGCACAGAAACTCCGTGATTTTGCTTTAACGTATGGTGCTGACGATAATGTGATGGTGATGATTATTGGTGTGGGCGATCTCTTTAATAAACGAGACAAACGCTTCCGCCATTTGCGTGGGTTGAATCTCGGTACGGGACGCGCCGGTCCGACGGACCTTGTGATGGAGGAAGCGATTGGCACGCCGAGCATGATGGTCAAGACGAAGCGTCGCATGAAGGATGAGTCACCAAGCGATTCTATTTTGGCAAGGTTGGATCGCGAGGTGCCTCCGCCTACGAATCAAGTGGCGCTCGTGTTTACGGATATCAAGAGCTCCACGTTGCTATGGGATACACAGCCGGAAGACATGCGATCGGCTATCAAGATTCACGATGCGATTATGCGACGAACACTGCGTAGCATTGGAGGCTATGAAGTGAAAACCGAAGGAGATGCGTTTATGGTGTGTTTCCAGGATACGGTGGCGGCACTTTTATGGTGCTTTACAGTACAGCTGCAACTTTTAGAGGCAGATTGGCCTGCTGGCATTTTGGAAACGGAAGAAGGACGGGAGATAAAAAAGGAAGGTCAGATCATCTATCGCGGATTATCTGTACGCATGGGCATTCATATTGGTATACCCGTTTATGAAAGAAACCCGATTACGAAGCGAATGGATTATTTTGGCCCTGTCGTCAACAAGGCAAGTCGTATTTGTAACGCAGCAGACGGTGGGCAAATCTGTGTCTCTTCCGACGTGATTGCTGCTCTTCGCGAAATGCCTGGTGTGCTGAACGACGATGCTACGACTCCGTCAGCGGAAGAGGCGGCGATCATCAGCTCTCATTCCTTGGGCCGCGACATCCAGCAGATCAAGAGGCTTGGTTTCCATGTGGTTGAGTTGGGCGAACGTCGTCTCAAAGGTTTAGAAACTCCAGAAATGCTCTGTCTCGTGTTTCCTAAAGCGTTGGCAGGACGTATGGAAATGGAAAAGAATGATATCATGGCGTCCACCACACCTGTGCTCACCACGTCCACGCCACAAATCGAAGAGACGCTTTCCGAGCCATCGACGCTGCATAAGAGCGACTTGCTCACTGTAGATAATACCCCACAGCTTTCTCCTCAGCGAAGAGATTCGAATGACATACAACCCTCACCGTCACCCACACCGCCCGCTCGCTGTTTGAATCGTCAAATTGATCCCAATTTTGTCATCTCTTTAAGTAATTTAGCCATACGTTTAGAGTCTATCACAACAGGCACGGTGGCGGACACTTCATTATATACACGCTTCAATATACCCCCTGGATTACCCAATCTGACCCATCAACATATTCTAACCACCCAATCTCAATACTCGGAAGCTTTCAACAAAAGAATGCATGAGGTCGCCACCGATGAAGAATTGCTTATGCTTATGGAAAACTTTATTACGAGAATAGAGGTAAGAAAAGAGAAAGCTTATCTCAAGTCTTTTGGCTAAAAGCTTGACTCACGCATCTATTTCGGAAATAGAATGCTGCTGCTTCCTTATACTTGAAGAAGTTGGGCAAGTTTTCAGGTGTATTAGAAAGACTAGGAGAAGCCATAGAAATAGATCCATCTCATATTTTGAGGGCTTTACAAATCTATTCAGAAGTATCTCATCTTGATGAAAACAAATAAGAATGTTGCCTTGATGGCTATTCTATTTTATTTTTTTTTGGGATCAGAAGCCCAATTTATCCCCATTGTACTAAAGTTTAACCCAAAAAAAAAAAAGAACGTTTTACATAGAATATCTCTTCTCACCTTATCCTTTACTTTACCCGTTCTACCTATTATTTACTTTATACATACAAGATGGTGAGACGTATTATCTTTTTCTTTTTCTTTTTTTTTTTTTTTTTTTTGTACAGTTCATACGATTCAAATACATGATGTTTTTCTTTGCTTTTGTGTTTTTGCTTTTTTTTTTTCTCATGATCTAGCAAAGAAAGAGAAAGGCAATAGCAGATAGGAAAAGGCACATTTTAGACATACGAAAATGGAGCGGTTGTAGTACAGAGAAATGAAGAAGGACAGTCCATGATTTGTTCCTGGGAAAAGAGCGGTTGTACATGGAACAAATGTCTGTGCAATCGGTCGAGCATAAAATACACCAAGGTGGGGTGTGTGTGTGTGTGTTTTGCCTACACCACACCACTCGAGCGGCGGGAAAAAAGTAACTTATTTGTCCAACCTTGGAAAGGATGATACAGATCTCTCGCTCTGTTCTTTCTAATTTTTGAGTTTCTTTCTCATAAACCTTTTTTTTTTTTTTTATCATTACAAAACCTTGTTTAAAACACATGACAAACGTAAAAGAAATGAGTGTGAAAGAGATACAGCCGGTAGTGTTAGAGAAAGAAGCATCTTGCGTTGTCAGTGAACATAGTCACCAGGCGCAGAAGCAGTCAGAAGAACAGGTCAAAGAGAGTACTCTATCCAGTTCTTCCGCCCATGAAGACAAAGGCGATGACCAGCAGACAGTAGCAATGGATGCAACCCATGGTCAACATGGAGAAGAAGAAGAAGAAAGGGTAGACTATGCTCCTAACGAGGAGAGTCAACAGAGGTCAACAGAGAATGATTTCTCGCAAGTCATCACAGCCATCCAAGAGAGTGTACAGTCCAACATTTCTGAAGCAAGGACAATGCAGCGCTTAAGTGGACAGGATGAACAGGATAAAAAGGAGGAGGAAAATCAGGATACTTGTGTTTCTGATGATGCTACTAAAGAAAAGAGAGAAGCGTTATCACTCGATGCTGCATGTGGAGACAAAGGTGATGAAGAGAATATCATGGCTGCGAGCGCGCCAAGTTCCCCTCGTCCCAGAGCGGTTACGATGAAACAAGTAGATACTGTACAAAACCAAACAAACAGTGAGACACTATCGGATGGCCTAGAGGAGCTTTCGATAACGGACGAAATGACCTCACCCACGCGAGGCATTGCCTTGAACAAGGATGCTAATGATGATGATGAAAGAACGCCATCCACTACAGATCTATCAGAAAACCAAGAAAGCCAGATGGCATCCAATGGCATCACAACAGAGAAGGAGGAAAAAGTGACTACTACTACTACAGTGATGTCAGCGAATACAAATGATCTTAAACTGGCCAATATTGATTATACACAAGTAAAAGAAAACTTTTTGAGCCCTAGAGCTCAAGAAAGATTTGGTAAGTTGTAAAGAAAAGAAAGGGGAAAAGCCATGGAATTTTTGTTTTTTGATGATGCATGTTGTATCTTTTTTTCTTGATAGATCATGAAATGTTGAAGGGAGTAAGATTGTTTTTCAATAATAAGTTTTCAGAGGCTAAACAGATTTTCGAGAGACGATCCACTCAGTAAGTGCTCATGACAAGAATAGAATCTATTTGAGTTTGGTTATTCATCACGGCTCGCTCCGTATTGAAGGGATCCACTGTATGCATTAGGTCTTGGCTCGATGGCATTTATACAAGGTAAGTGGGTATTCTACTTGTGAATGAGCTTTTTGCTGCCTTTCTTATATATATGTATATTTATACTTCTGGATACTACACCCACTGCCACCCACCAGCTATTACGGTAATTGAAAGTTTTCTTCTTTTCGATGGGGGCTATGGATAAAGAAGGCATTTTGTCAAACTGACACACCTATGTTGTACTTGCCTAACTAGTCATACAATCCTAAAGATGTGGAAAGGGCTCTTTCCATTTTAACCGACACTTATCATTTTGCCAATGCACAAATTGAGGCTGCATCGGCTCAAAAACCGTTCAAAGATACTGTATCTCATTACATTACCAACTTGATGGGAGCCAACTCTACGAACCTTCCTACGAATACACGACCCTTCAATAAGTATGAGCTTCAAGAGCAGCAGTTTTTGCCCAATGGTGCATTGCGTGCGCATGTCATCAAGGCAGAATGTGCGCTGTTGATGGCTATGCTTTATCTATCCATGGAAACCATGGTTGGCTATCTTAAAGCAGGATTGAATCTTCGAAGAGGTAATGTGTGAGAGAGAGAGAGAGAGAGAGGAAAGGTAGTCATGAGGATGCGTTTGCTGACGCGCGAGGTATGATAGCGTATAGTAGCTATAGCCTGGTATGGCAAGAATATAAACGGATGGGTCAGCATTTCCATAAATACATGGACGATAATACGGTCTCGGCTATTCAATTTGGGTAAAAGCCATTTGTTTTTTCAAAGATGGAGCTGTTGACGCATCTGTAGCTGACACCCGTTTCTCTATGGCAACACGCTTAGTATTGGCTCTGTGCATTTATTATTGTCCTCGTTGCCGCCAAAGATTTTAAAGATTGTTTCTGCGTTTGGATGGAAAGCCGACAAACATCTTGGTTTTGCGTTATTGAAAGTGTGTCTTGAAGAAAAACGGATTCGATCACCCCTTGCCTCGTTAATGTAAGTTTCTGAGCAGAGAAGAGGATATCGAGCGTGTAGCCGCTGTGATTAACACGGGGTCTATTGTGTGTGTGTGTGTGTGTATATGTAGGTTGGTTTCTTACTATGTCCTCCTTACGAGTTATGCGCCTCAAATACTTGTGCGTGAATTCATTCAGCCGGCCATTGAGTGTCTTTTGGATGCTCAGCAAAATTATGCGAATTCAGCGTTTTTTCTGTTTTTTGCAGGCCGTGTCTCTCGTTTAGCGCGCAATATCCCTCTGTCGACACAGTCGTTTTCGTATATGCATGAGGTGACCCAAGGCGATTGGGCCGAGACAACGCTGGGTCGTTTAGCCACGTATGAGATGGCGGTCAATGCAGCGATGGGGTTGGACTGGGCGAGTGCGGCAGCTCGTGCGGACGAGCTGCAGTCGAGCTACAATGCACCGGCTTATTTGAAATTCTTTTACGGCGCGTGTATGGAGATGATGTCGGGCAAGCGAACGGAAGCGATTCTTGCGTTTGCAGAAGCGCGTCAACTCATGGACAAGAAACGCCATTCGGAGCCTGAGCAATATGTCGCGAACCGAGTCGCTTTTTTCGAGCTCAGTGGGTATCAAGACCTCGAGTTCAGTTTGCCTGCGTTGGAGCTCTTGTTCACAAGTAATGCCTTCCCTTGCATGGCACCTGCCTGTCTGGAGCAATGCTTGACGACCGTCGATGAGACGCTGAACGCCCTCCATGAACGTGAACAACTGGAATACGATGTGCGTAAAGTAGAGCTCGTGCCTGAAACAGCAGCACCTGATTACTACGACCAACGAGGCACGCTTTTGTTGCTCAGAGCATCTCTATTGAATGCTTTAGGCCGTTATAAGGAAGGTATTCCTCATTTAAATTGGGTGATAGACAATAGAGAGAAATTCAAGCATACCAAATGGCTTGTTCCATTTGCTTATTGGTAAGTACGACCATGGGGTATCCTGAGGCGGGGGGGGGAGGAAACTATGTTGTAACTATTGATCGTATTTTTCTCTCAAGGGAATCTGGTAATCTCTGCTGGGGAACTGAGCAATTCACCAAAGCACGAGCACTATGGGAATCGACATTGAGTCATTCAGGATATGATTTCGAGTACAGATTAGCGACGGTAAAGTATTATTTGTTGATAACTATGTTTTTTTCTCTAAAAAGTCATGATCTATTGAAACATACAGGGCCAAAAAAAAAAAAAAAAAAAAAAAAAAAAAAAAAAATTGGGGTGGGGGTGATAAAAAATAGCGTTTGCATCTTGCCATCCAACATGCCATAGAACTAGGTGTGCCTGAAACGATTGTTCCCAAGCAAACCAAAGGAAAAACGACTCACGGCCGGAAACGTTTGTCGATTGTCTCTTCAAAATCCACAGGCAGCATTGCATTTTCTTGATCTTTTTAACGTTTTTCATAGGGAACGGTGGAAAGCTCTTTTTTTCATACGACTATGTTGGAATCCATTACCTTTATAGGATTGAAAAATAAAAGAACGTTATTCTGTAGGAGTTGATTGTTGGTTTGTTTGTAGATGAGAGAAAACGCAGTACTTGTTAGAATAGACTCTGGATGAATAAGCACACTATTAGGATGAGATTCCACCAGTGCTAGTATAATAAAGGAGTAAGCGTATCAGACATCTGGTTATATGGTTAGAGATGGATGGAAGGATGGCACGTTATGTCCATGCCTTTTGATAGGGCTCCCTAAGTTAGATTGAGGTTTTGAACGCGCCACTTCTCTTGTAAGATATCTCTTTATTTCAATAACACTCCGTCCTATCTACAAAAGAACGATGTATAAAAGTAAAAGAGATGGAAAGATGGCGGTGTATCAAAGGCACATGTATAATCAAGTAGCAATCTATGGGACACACGAGAATGAGTGGATAAGCATCAGCGAATCGACCTCGGGGGGAATGGCTCACGGTTGTTGTCAGAAAGTAGATGGTAGGCAGGTGGAATGCATTCCGAACGGGACTTGAAAAGAGAAAACGGCACTTTTCCCCCTTTGATCCTTATTTCAAGTGAGACTAGTTTATCCCCCACACTGTAATGGCTCTATGGAAATGTTGTTTGTTTATTTGTTTGAAGTTTTTTTTACTTGTGACGATCTTTTATTCAGAAGGGAAGCATCATGTTGTCAAAGAAAAGAGGCACTCGGTTCCTTGTCAAACTTAATTTGAATTTAGACGACACAATGTAATCGAAGCTTGTACATTGCTGCGCAGAGGGTAACATTAGAGGTACACGTGCTTTAGATCATCCGACTATCCTATAAGTTTCTTTATCCAGTTAGAGTTGGAAGAAAGTTGGCACCCCTTTTTTCATTTTTCTGGCTTTTTACCCCTAATCACCCTTTTTTCCTCCATTATACCTTTCTATTGTGTCTCTGCTTGTGTGTATGTGTATTTGAGTGTGTTTGTTTCTTTTGCTTGATTCTGTCTTTTTTTTTTTTTTTTTTTTTTTTTTTTCCTGGTTTTTTCTTTCTTTTTTTTTTTTTTTTTTTTTTGTTTCCTTGAGCCTCCCTCTCTCCCACACACACACACACACACACCCTCCAGTACATAGACATCTTTTTGCTGTGCGTTGTAGATAAAAGGATACCCCATCACCACGATCCAACGATCCATTACCCAAGAGCAGTATATTATTAGATCTTTCTTTGTTGTATTTTTACAATTCTACAGCCATGATAACGACCACACATCATTCTTCAATGTACAAGAAAGGAAACAGTGTCTCTAATGTGGCTCAATCTTCTACCAACATTGTCGGTGTTCACTACAGAGTAGGAAAGAAACTTGGAGAAGGAAGCTTTGGTGTATTATATGAAGGTGGAATACCCCCATTTTCCTTGGATTCCCTTAAAATAGTAATAGGATTAACTTTTCTTTTTTTCTTTGCCCGCACACATCCTTTAGGTCTCAATTTGCTAAATAACCAGTCGGTGGCTATCAAATTTGAACCGAGAAAGTCAGATGCACCACAACTAAGAGATGAATATCGCACCTACAAAGTACTTGCTGGTCTACGTAAAGTACACTGACTTGTAGTAATAGAAAACAAAAAGAAAATGGCAAAAACAAAAACGACATGATGAAGCATCTTACCCGATCTTTCTTTCTTTTTTTTTTTTTTTTTTTTTTTGTTTTCTCCTTACTTGCTGCCACTCCTCCTTGCCCGCCCCCCTTCCTGTGCATTAGCTGGCATCCCCAGTGCTTATTATTTTGGTCAGGAAGGGCTGCACAACATTCTCGTGATCGATCTACTAGGACCCAGTTTGGAGGATCTGTTTGATATTTGCGGAAGAAAACATTCGATAAAAACAGTCGCCATGCTGGCAAAACAAATGGTAAAACGGTTTTTTTTCTCTTTCTTTGCTGCTTGATCTGCACTAAATGGAGGAGAATGATTCTAACATCATCTTTAGATCAATCGAGTCGAAAGTGTGCACGAGAGAAATTTGATTTACAGAGATATAAAGCCCGACAACTTTTTGATTGGCCGTCCAGGTACCAAATATGCCAACATGGTCTTTTTAATTGATTATGGTATGGCCAAATTGTACCGAGATCCGAAAACAAAGCAGCATATACCCTACAGAGAGCGTAAAAGTCTCTCGGGCACAGCAAGATACATGAGTATCAATACCCATTTAGGAAGAGGTAAGCCTTGGATACACCCGCAGGCTGATCAAAAAAGAAGGGGGCCGCCATCGGGCGGGGAAAGGAAGGCATGATGTGACATTGATTTCTCATTTATAGAACAATCAAGAAGAGATGACTTGGAATCATTAGGACACGTCTTTATGTATTTTCTAAGAGGTTCACTTCCTTGGCAAGGATTAAAAGCCGCTACCAACAAGCAAAAATACGAACGCATTGGTGAAAAGAAGCAAACCACGACTGTCAAAGACTTGTGCGATGGTTTTCCAGGTAAACAAACAAAGAAAGATCCCCAACTTGAGAACAAGAAAAAAATGTGTACTTAGCACATAGAAATGTATATAGAAGAATTTGGTATTTACTTGCAATACGTACGTAAATTGGGCTTTGAAGAAACGCCCGATTACGACTTTTTGAGAGAGCTGTTCAACAAAGTATTACACCGCATCGGTGAGACGGATGATGGTGTGTATGATTGGATGCTACTCAATGGACAAAACGGAGGAAAATTGGAGGTAAAATGGAGCAGACAAAGCCCCCCCCCCTCTCTCTCTTCCTTCTATGAATCTCTATGGACTCTTAATTTTTTATTTTTTATTTTTTCTTTTAGACTCGCGAAAGTCGACGACAAGCCCGTGAAGAGCAACAATCCAAAACACGACGAACACATGTCGTTCCAACCACTTCTGTTCGTCGTCATGCTTCTCATCCCAAGCTGTCCTCAACAGCACCCAATCACGTCCTCACCACCCATACCCATACCCCTACGACAACACCTCCCATGCCTTCTACTTTAGCAGCAGCAGGCAAGAAATCGACCGGTGCTGTGAATATGCATACCAAAAACCCTATGAATACCACTCTTGCTGATACCACTAAAAATAATCACACGCTGTCCAACAAGAAGGCCCATCTCAACATGCCTCTTCCCCCCTCTCATGGGGAGTCGGCTGCTCATCAGGATCAGTCGCCAAAGGAACCACCACCACAACGACAACAGCAGCCTCATGGATTTTGGCATACCCTCATGTCATTAATGACGTGTGGTGGTAGTAGTAATAGTGATGCTGGCTCACGTTAAACAAGAAAAAAACAAGTCTCATCCCCTATTTTTACCACTTTTATATTACTATGACTACTATTACTACTATTGCTACTACTATTACTACTACTCTAGAATGACTTTGTTATGATTTAGAAAAAAAAATTATTTTTTTTTTTTTTTTTTTGTTGATTATTTTTGTTTTTTATGTAAAAAAGAAAAAAAAAAAAAGATTTTTTTACTTTTATGAAACGAGATATATTTTTTAATGTTCTTTGTAATAGGGTAGAGGATGATGTTGTCCCCATAGGGCATGACCACGAGCCTGTGGAGCCATAGACATGCTTGTATTATGTAAAGGCATCACCGTCATAGGATAAAAGGTAGACAAAGACGGAGAAAGAGGTACCATAGCGGGTGAGTAGTAGAAAGCAGGGGAGCAAGGCATCATCTGCTGTGAAGGAGCAGGAGGAGGAGGCGGTGTCAAAAGAACATTTTCTGAGAGTGGCGAACTCGTTGCTGTTGTACATTGTTCTTGTGAATTCCTTCGACTCGTTGTTGTTGTTGTTGTTGTTGCATGGCTGCTACTGCTACTGCTGTTGTTCTGAGAGAAGGGTTGCCTTGTCTTTTGGACAGGAGACATGGATGTTGAAGGGCACATGGACATCGATAGCATCCTTCCCTTGTCATCCACATAGGAAGGCGGCGGCGGCGGCTGTTCCTGTCCCTGTCCCTGTTCTTCTTTCTTTTTTTTGCTCTTCTTTTTTGGATAGGAACGTAATGTTTTGCTTGTGCCCTTTTTTCGATGATGGCAGGAAGGGTGGATCCCCTCGTCTTCATTCACGCTTTCCACGTCTGCTTCTGCTGCTTCGTCTTCACTGCTTGTAGTATCTTTTGTGGGAGAAAGCATGGTTGTGGAGTCAGCGGGGGAAGAAGGGGGGTGGCTGGCTTTGCTTGAACAATCACTCTTTCCTCTCGGATGTGGACCTCTTCTTTCTATGCGCTCATCGTGTGGACAAAGGGATGAAACAGAGGAGGTGGTTGTTGTGCTGCCGCTCCTTGGCACTGCAGTGGACAGAGCCATGGAAGCAGGTGGCTGCTGTGAGGGTCGTAGGGCAGTGGCCTGATCAAGACTTGCGCGTTGGGGTGAAAATGCAAAAGGAAACGGTGCTGATGTGTAATACATGGGATAGATGCTCTGTGCTAGCGTGTTTGCGGGCGCCGGTAACGATGAGGAAGGTAGCGGCGTCGGCCACATCAGGGGGGTAGGCGCCATGGTGACGACGGGCGATGAGGTAGCTGACGTGGGAGAAGCGGATCCATAATATCCTTGATGTTGTTGTGGAACCATAGACGGAAAGGAAGACATTCTATTGTATCCCTCTCCTCCCTGATGGCTCATCCTTTGTTGTTGTTGTTGTTGTTGCTGCTGACGGAGTGCAGCCATCTTTACTTGAAAACGATGTCTATCTCTCATCCTTTGAATAACAGCCTCGTTCGCTTCGATACGCTGGCTTTCAGCATCGATTTTATTTGCCCAGCTATCGACTTTTCTTTGAATAAAAAGACGATGGTGTTTGGTGGCGTCTCTTCTTTCCATAATGGGGCGCACTCCTTTGGGTATCTGTGAAAGAGAAGCTTGGCCATGCCTCTCATGGCTGATCTGGCTGAATGTCTCGTCTGACAAAGTAGGCTGTTGGATCTTTCCTACTTTATCTTCTTTTTCATCATCCTCATCATCCTCATCTGAAGACGACGACGACGAGGATATATCTGAATCAAGTACAGTCGTTGTCGTTCGCATCATTCGTTTTACCTTTGTTACGTCTTGCTCTCCTGATGCTCGTTGAGAAGCAGCAGTAGCTGTAGAAGGCTGTAGCCAATGGTCAAACATACTTGTGGAAAAGCTGTCCCTCTTGTTGTCTAGAGCAGCCAAGGAACGCGGATAACTGCTGTCCATACTCTCCTCCAAGCACGCAGCATTGTCTTTTTCTGTTGCTGTAGGAAGAGTAGTGATGTCTCGTGTCGATTTCGCTGTAGCGGTAGGACCATGTTGTTGGCCTATCTTTTCTGACGGGCGTGCTTCTAAAAGTGTCTCATTGGCCAATGATACATCCTGACCTAATATCGAGGAAAAAAAACGGTTGAGTATCACAAGTTGGCCTTGCTTTTTTTTTTTTTTTCTTTGAACGCAATCACTCACTACTCTTCTCTAAAAAATGAGGTTCATGCTGATTTTTCCCAAGACTATCAGCACTACCCGCATCCTCCTGGGCGTGAGGAGAAGGGCTACTCTGCTGAGACTGCGTGGCTGCCGTCGTTGTCGCAGCGGGTTTCTTTGTGTCTTGTGCAAAACTATTTTTCATGATCCCATCCAAATTCAAACCGAGAGAGAACCGTTTGAGTTCGATGTATGTTTTACTATGACTGCTGTGCTTTTCGTCTGCTTGTTTTTGGATAGCCGTGCGTGGACTATCACCACCGTCCTTTGTTGACTTTTTTTTTTTATAAAGGCGCTGTAACTTTAGTAACCCCATGTTGATAGAAACCGTTCTAAAAGTAAAAAAGAGGACGACTGAGGAAAAAACGACAAGTTAAAAGAACGAGAGGAAAAAAAAAAAGAGTGCATCGTTGCGAAAGAGGCGTTTGATATCATATATACAACACAGCTGGAAAAAAAAAAAAAAAAAAGAAAGCTAAAAAATCGATTTCCTTAAAGGACCCCTTTCAACCATCATCATCATGATGTTGTTGACTTGCTGGTGATACAAGGGCAATCATCCTTTCAAAAAGGCGTTTTTTCATTCTTCGTGGGCAATCTGTTACGCAAAAAAGTAGTGTCAAAACAAAAAAACGTGATTTATTCATGAAAATCCCAAGTCCTTATAAGATCCTATTTTATGGATTTGCTCCACTCTCTCCTTCTTTCATTGTAAAAAAGAGGCGCTTTATTTTCACGTCAAGATGAAAAACTGTCAACTGAATGCGATTTCAACGTTATCAACAACCAAAAGCCTTGTCGGTAAGGGCATGAGTGCAAAGAGTTGATCTTTAACGACTACTGTTGTCTGTTGTCTCGCGTTATGGGCCTTGAAATGAACGTGATAACAAAACAAGAGTTTTCGAATCCAAAAATCAGGTATAAGAGAACGTTCGTCATCCATTCAACACACCTTTTTTTTTTCTTTCCCCTCCAGTTTTCTCAAAAGGCATAGACAAGCGTCCTTCTAGGCAAGCGCATTCAAAGGGACAAAGATCCCAACATGGGTTTGCCAGAGTAGGAACTATATTGTTTTTATTAGGATGACGGATATTTCGAAAGAAAAACAAAAGAAAGAGCATAAATAGATGTAAAAAATAGAGATGTATATATGTATGTTTAAGTAAACGATAGTAAATAGTAAGGCTAAAGCAAGTTATATATATATTGTGGAGGCTGGGGCTTCACTTCTTTCACTTCCACTTGATGCATTCTGGATTCAATTTGCGGCCCAATTTAATATTGAATTCGGTCAAGGTATCTTCTATCATTTGATGCGTAATGCAAATGTTTTGTCTTCCATCGGCCAATGTTTTACGATAGCAAAGCAAGTCTAGTCTTGCCAATGTGTCTATCACGTCGTCTTTATGGATGCATGTCTCTTTACATATCTCATCAATCGTGACGTCTCCTTCAAAATGAATCAGCGAGGCGAGGATCGTAGACGACCAGTACGACTGATACCCTAGGCTGCCCAAACGCGATAAGGGCTTCTCTGGCGATCCAATCTTGCCTTCGCGTTTCGAAAATTCATAACCTATCCAATAGAAAAACAAAGGGTCAGTGCCCTCATCCAACCGACCTTGCCATTGAAAAACCTAGGCACTTTACTCAACTCAATCAGCAGTCGCCCATAACCTCGTCTCTGATGTGATGGTAAGGTCATAATACAGGCCAAATTATAATTGTCGTAGGATATTTTCTCCTAATGAAAAACACAAGGGGCTCAGCAAATGGATTCGTCCTCACTTGGGGTACAGCATGTATGTTACCTTGGAGAAATAAGCAACCATATTATCCACACTTTTGTTTCTACTGTTGCGTTCTGTTAAAACATAGAAATTAAAGCCTTCTGTATCAAAATACAGCGTCTTGTTATCCAAAAACAGTTTGGCCAGCAAGCACAAATTTTGACAGTAAAGCTGAAAAAGTAACCTTCCTGTGAGTCCCCATTGTCTGCTGCACTCACCATCTTTGTTTTTGCTCTTTACCTTGTGTTCTTGACCATCTACCTCGTATACTTTTAAATCATTATTCGAATAAATCACCCTTCCTGGTGGCTTTTTGGCTTTACAATGTAGCTAATAGAACAAATAGGAGAAGCAAGTTTTATGAGTTTTTTTTTTTTTTCAAATATGATTTTTCTTTTTTTTTTTTTTTTTTCTTCTAACCTTGTGGCTGGCTAATTGGGTATCTTTTTTCATATAACGCAAACAGAAATCACAAATGTAAAGACGATCCATCAGTGATCCGAAATCAGCGGGGTAAGGAGAGTAGAACCACGCGCCCATTTCAAACTGACCATACACTACTTTATTGACATTGGCTGGTAGTGGTTCTGAACTCGTCGTCAACGGTGGTGTAGTCGCTCTACGAACCGTCTTTGTTGTTGTTGTTGTTTCTTCCTAACAATAATCTCAGCATCAGCCCATGACAAAAATGAAAAAAAAAACAAACTAAAAAAAACCATCGTGTCTTTACAATGCTACCATTCATTTTGGAGACTGATTTTGAATCTATTGTCAACGGGGGAGGGTATCAAGATTAATGTTTACAATTTCAATCGAGGGAAAGCATTGCCTTTCTTCTTACTCAGTCTCGATTTCTTTTTGGGACAAGATTCATCAACTAATGCAGGATGAAAAAGCATGAAAGAGAAAAGACAGGTTAAAAAAACGGAATATTGGTTTAGATCTCGCGGCAAAAACGCGTAAGTGAATGGAAAACTAACTTTCAGAGCTTGCTCTTTTTTCGCCAGGCATCAACGGCAAATCACTTGCTTTTTTGAAAGCGTTTTTTTTATTATTATGATTATTTTATATACAGTTTTGTCTTATTCTTTTTTTTCTTTTTTTTTAATAAAAAAAAACCCAGCCTTTTGTGTGTTCACTGTTGTCGTTATTGTAGGCAGAGTGCGGCTCAAAGAAGGAAAAAAAAAGAGAACATTTTTTTCTCTCTCTCTCAGACGCAAAAAGTAAAAAACAAAAAATGTCCAAGGTAAAAAAAAAAAAAAAAGAAAAAGAAAAACCAACTTGGCTTAGGCTGTGTGGCGGATGTTTAAAATGAGTCTGAAAATAGAGGCAAAAGGTAACCCAAGCATTCGAGTTTATTGTTCCTTTTTCTTTGCGAGGCCATTCTTTTGGTATGCCATCAATTCGTCACCAATGGCTTCAACAACACGATGAAGATCTGCTCTCGCTTTTTCCTCTGTTTCACCACGTAACTCTGAGTAATATTTTATCTTTGGCTCTGTACCACTATAAAAAGAAAAACATCATGCGATCAGATAAGCCTTCAAAAAGTAAGTGTAGGCAGGGTGCGCATAGATTTACCTTGTACGGATAGTGAATACTGTGTGGTTCTCCAAACGGAACGTGATCATTTCAGATGAGGCCGACACGGGCAATGTAGGTACAGTATCTTTGACAGAGGAATCGTAGCCTACAGTCAAATCTCTGATACCAATGACTTTATGTCCTCCCACTGTGGCAGGATAATGCAACTTGTATCCCGTCTATCAAAAAAAAAAAAAAAAAAAAGTTGGTTTCGTATAGGTAAAAAATTCTTTGAAGAAATAGAAAAACAAACCTTGGAAGTGCTGTCTTGCTCTTTCACGTCTCCGTAACGGATACGATCAAAGATCTTTGAAATCTTTTGCTTATCGTCACAAATAAAGTACGAGTTTTCACTCACAAAGTAGCCGTACTTTTTGTATAATTCTTCAAGATAAGCATAAACCGTCATACCGCGTTTATAGAGTTGAACAGCCCATTCGGAAAAGAAAGCAAGTGCACTGACACCGTCCTTGTCTTTCACAATGTCACCAATCGTAAAGCCAATGGCTTCTTCATACGCAAACACAACCGTATAGTTTTGTTTCTCAAGGTTGATTGCTGTATTACCGATCCATTTGAACCCAGTGAGAGACTCTTCAAATCGGAAGCCTTCCACTTCAGCCATACGAGCTAAAAACTTGGAAGACACAGTACTGGCTACCATCGCCAATTGCTCTATAGAAAAAGTGTTAACCTAAGAAACACAATCAAACGATTGCTTTTGACCCCCCCCCCTCATCCTACCTGGCTTCTTGCCTGCAGCAATGGCTTTCTCGAAACATGCAGCTCCCAGAACCGAACCAATCTGATTACCGTTGAAAATAATCCATTCTCCACTAAGGAAATGATTCAAAACAAGGTGAGAACCCAAACAAATAAAGTCAATAGATGTAGTAGACTTACTTGGGTTGCTTTTCGGCAATCGCTAAACGATCGGCATCAGGATCGTTTGCTAAAATGATATTACCATTGACCTTATCCGCTGTTTCCATCGCTAATGTTAACGCTCCTTTACCTTCCTCGGGGTTAGGGAAAGCCACGGTAGGGAAATCAGGGTCAGGCTGGATCTGGGCTTCCACAGGCGTGAACTCTGGGAGATCGAAACAGGCAAAAGCTCGTTTGGCGAAAGGTGCACCTACACCGTGCATAGCGGTGTATACAAATTTAACATCGGTGGACGCATTGTCCTGTCTAGTTTGGCAAAGGCTCTTTACTTCTTCAAAGTAAGCATCAATGACACCTTTTTTTTTGGGATCACTGACCAAAGGACTCTGGGAAACGAGTTCGTAGTTCCAATCCCAAGGCTCGAGATGTTCCAAGATGGACTCGGCAATACCTTCGTCATGAGGTGGGATAATCTGGCATGCATTTTCCCAGTAGACTTTGTAACCATTGTCATCTTTAGGGTTCTGGTATAAATGAGTGTGATCATCAATTGGCTTTTTCACAAATAAAGAAAAAAAAGAAAAAGATAGAAATCTTACGTGTGATGCAGTAATCATTATACCACCAGCAGCTTTTAGTTTCTTTATAGTATAAGGCTAAGCAGATAAAATTGTTTTTTTTTAGTACAACCATTGGAAAATATACCCGCTTACAAAAAGGCTTTAGCGTAACATTACCACTAAGGGTGTATGAACCAAGTCTTTATAATACCACACTTTGAACCCACGTTGGATAAATGCTGCAGCCGTAAGACGGGCGAAATTGTCAGAATGGTGACGATGATCATGGCCGACAACCACGCCTCTCTCTTTGGCATTTTCAACTGTTTTCTCCATATACATAGCTAAACCTTGAGAAGCTTGAAGAACTGTCAAATCGTTCATTCTCGAGAAACCAGCTTCCATTCTCGCACGAAGACCTAAAGGGTGAGATAGTTATGAGCAAGCTTTCCTCTACGATGCACATTCAGGACAAAAAGTCATTACCAGCAGTGCCAAACTCAATACGACTGCCGAGACGTTTTTCGAGTTCTGCTACATTGCTCTCTTTTTGAAGCTGTAATATTTCGTTACGGGTTTCTTCATTCTTTTGAAAGTTTTCAAATAGGGCGTTAGGAATCCTAGTGACATTACATGAGGCATCCGTTATTGTCTTACTTTATCCACGGAAAGCCATTTTTCGACAAGTGCTTCCACTGATGCTGACATGTTGTTCTGAATTGGGCAAAGAGGGAAAAGAAAAAGCGTAAGTGTGGAAAAATTAACCAAAAAAAAAAAGTTTTGCCCTGTTCCCCTTATGCAATTCTTTCTTTTTAGGAAATTGAATCGGGGGAAGAAAAAATCTCGCATTTTCCTTTTTTGTCACTGCCCGGGTGACAACACCCTTTTCATCCATATGGGAAATGCCCTTGTTCCTGTCTTTCATACTAATCGATCGACTTGTTCGAAATGAGTTTTGGAAGACCTCCCAATGTCGAATCGTCACCTGGAAAACCTCCTTTGAAAGGAAGTTTTCCCTTGGACCATGACGGTGAATGCAAGACGTTTATGAAAGACTATGTGAAATGTCTGCGCGAAAATAAGAACAATAACGGTCTATGCAGACAATTCTCAGAAGCCTATCTCAAATGTCGTATGGAAAAGTAAAGTAGCTTCACTTATACGTTGGCTTTTCTTTATAAGTGTATCCACTCAATCATTATATATTTGTTTATCACTCGGGGAACCACTTAGCGGTTTAATGGATGAAGAAGATACGAGAAACCTAGGATTTGCAGATTTACATGGCGAAAAATCGCATCAAACTTAAACACCAACAGTCTATCATCTTCCAAAGAAAATCTTAGTCATATTTAGCACTTTTCACTACATAATCCATGTACAGCGCGTAAGCAGAACCGATAGGCTAAACGTAGGAAGCATAGCCATGGAAAGAACAAACGAAAAAAACAAAAAATAATCAACATTCATAGTTTCCTTGAGGTTTTTTTTTTTTTGGTCCATTCTTTTACGTAACTTACTTGTCCAACAGCAGCAAGTATATAATCCATCAATAAATTATTTGTTGGGCCAACACCTCTTACGACACAACGCAAAACTTCACTTATAAAGTCTGTTACGATCATGTATTGGCCTTGATGTAAACCTTTCATCAACGATTTCGCACAGGCTTCACTCGTTTGTGGAGTATTGGCTCCTTCAATAATCTTTGTCACTTCCGGCTTTGTCAAGTTTTCAGTCTCAAAGCCGGGTGATTCAATGCCACCTGGAAAAAAGATGTGAACGCCAATATTGTATCTTTTAAGCTCGTTTCGCAGTGTATCGGCCAATCCTCGAATAGCATATTTCGTAGGTGCATAGGTAGCCCATCCTGCGAAACTGAGCATGCCCAACATGGAGGAAATGAAAACAATTTTTCCATTCTTTACATGAGAATCTCTCATCCTCTGTGCTGCTTGCTTAACATACGTCAGTATGATACGTACATTACAGAAACCATAATAGACCCGTTAAACTTTTTTTTTCTATCCAAGCGCGATCGAGGTGAGGCGGTGAAAGAGACTTACATGCGCTACATAGACTTGACCTAAATAGTTTAAATGGGTCAACTTTTCAAACTCTTCCATGGTATGGTCGAGGAAAAATTTAGGGAAGGAAGCACCTTTGAAAAACAAACAAACGTTGCTTTTGTTAGTGGTCAGTTCGGCATCGGTTTCTTATCTCTAGAGTTTTTACCTGCGCAAGCACATACAAAGTCTGGATTACGGCCCATTTTCACATTCGCTTCGTCAAAAGCACGCTCAACGTCCTTTCGGTTCGTCACATCCGCACTAATCCAAATAACCTTTTGACTCTCATTCAAACAACTGGCCTAAATGAAAGAAAGGTATGTTGGCATTTGTACAAGAGCAATGCAATGCTGATCTACTACCTTGATCTCTTCTGCCGCACTTTCCAACTCGTTTATTCTTCTGGCTACGATACACACATCCGCGCCTTCTTTGGCGAGTTCGACGGCTAGCGCTTTTCCTAAACCTGTACTTCCACCTGTAATAAAGCAGTGTTTTCCTGCTGCTTTAAAAGGCACTCTTGTGACCCTGCGGTAAACAAAGTCTGCACCCACTACGAAGACTGCTGCTGCACTCAAAGCAACAACCGCTATTGTCCAAGGAGAGAAGCTCATGAAAATGATCTTGTTGAAAGAGTGAGCTATTGAAGATGTCCACAAAAAAAAAAATCAATTTATCTCCTGAAGCCGAAGTTTGCGGGCTAAAGTAGTGTGAGAGAATTCCTTGGTAGTTGGCTTTTTCTTGATCCCTATTGCTCTGAACATGGTTCAAAGTTTCAACTTTTCAGGCATTCTCAATACATTTAGAGTATTATGCAACCCAAGCTTGGCTATGCCTCATTTGATTGTCGATGGTATAAAATAGAGTCTTTTTTTTTTCATTTGGAATGTTTGGCGAATGAAATATTTTACCCCATAGACATCAGACAGATCAACTTTACGAATTTGAAAAAGTACGGCAACATAAAAGCTATCGGCTTTGATAAGGACAACTGCTTGACAGCCCCTTATGCTTCTGATATACACCCCTCACTGAAGGTGAACATTGTTCTGAACCAGGCCTTACACCCCCTCCCCCCAGGATGCCTGATCGACTTTTTCTTTCCAACCATTAGGGAGCTTGGCAAAATTGTTTGACAGCTTTCACAAAGGATAAAATCATTATTGTGTCCAATTCGGCTGGGACAAATGACGATACAGATTACAAAGATAAGTATAGCCTTTTTCGTGACAGCCTGTTCTAAAGATATGATTTTGAACACTTTTTGGACAAAATACAAGCCAGCAATGTAGAGAAATCACTGGGTGTATCTGTGCTGAGGCATAAAGACAAAAAGCCGGCCGGTGGACACTCTTTGTACCAGCATTTCCGTCCCATCGAACCTCATCAAACTGCCTTTGTGGGCGACCGTATCTTGACCGACGTTGTATTCGGAAATAGAAACGGTAATTTGACTATATGGACGAGTAAGATCATTACAGAAAGGGGAGATAATAAAGCTGCGCTGGTAGTAAGTATGAACTTTACTCGAATGGATCATTGATATGTACTGAATATTAGAGGAAATATATGCATCATGGGAAAACTAATTATATACAAACTCTGGCTTCTTTTTAGCTTCGTCGTATGGAACATTATTTGATTCGGTTTTTACAACAAATGAACGTAAAGCCGCCGCCACATCCCGCTGTAAATAATACTGAAGCGGCAGCTGTATTGAATGTCTATACTAATCGGAATAAAGACTGATGATCAGGCATATTCGGTAGCGTCTGGTAGGCGCAATGTTCGTGTTACTGCATCTAATGCTCTCATCTTCATACGCGCTTGTCTTGGCGTGTATATATGGAATTGCTCTTTGAAATGAATAATAATGAGTTTTACTGTCACATCCTTCAATAAGTTGACTGCATCCGTATCTGCGTAAAAGGCGTTGACATCGACAAAAGGGTCCGCAATCCAGTGTTTCCATATCAATCTCAGTGCCGAGACGTCCACCTGTGGTGGGGGAGAATGAGACGGTCAATCGAGTTTTGACAAACATTGTGTGGATGGGGCTTCCCTTACCTGATGTGCTAAGCGTTGATAAAGGTCTTCTTCGTCATTTGTCAGATCGGCTTTTCTAACCTGAAATTTATCATTCATGCCATCCAAAATGCGTCTCAGCTTTGTACGAAAGTTGGCAATATTGCCTTGAAACGATGTGACTGCACGATCCGTCGGCGATGTCACTGTATGATCGTACACTGACTGGGCGATGCGTAAACCCTCCTCGTTCGTAATGAAACGACTGTAAACAAACACGCGGCGTTGTCGTCTCCAGTATTCCTTTTCTTTCTCTTTTGCATCCATGCCAGCCGGTAATGGGCTGCTGAGGGGTACATGAATAGAATCCTCGTCGGCTGTCGATCTTTCTGTTGAGCTCTTCCCTTTCGACCCTCCATGACGTTGAAGGGCGGGAAGCTTTGATTTAAAGACCACAGAAATAGTGTGGGAGCCTGCTTTGCTTTTCCCCTGCGAGTAATAGTTATTCTCCGGCACGGCAGCTGAGCATGCCTTGCTGGGTTGGGTCGACGGCGAACGTCTTTTTTTGCTCCCTTTCAATAGGCGAGATGCATTGGATAGGCTTCGCTTTTCGTCCTCATCAAGTGACACAGTGGAGTCTGACAAATGTTCCTGCAATGGTTCGTCATTGCTTGGAATGTAAGATAACGGCTGTTGCGTTTGTGTCGATAGTTTAATGGGTGTTCTGCTTCGGGTGCGTGTACGAGAAGGCGGCGGCCGTCGACTGTTTCCCCTCTCTTTCTTGACAGATTCGAGTGAATCTGATGTATTACTGTTCATTTTGCTCGCTTCATGGTGGCGGGTGCGTTTGGATGATACGGGTGCTGACACTTGTGCTTGGTAAAATGTCGATATTTTCACAGTGGCTCTATATTCTTCTCCGAATGTTCGCTGTATTCTATCTTGCTCTTCCTTCAGAAAGTCAGCTCTCTCGTCGTTCGTCCCTCTCACAAAAGAGAGATCGGTGTGCAGCTCATCCAAGTAGATTTCGGGATCACCTCTCGGTGAAAATGTCAATGAGTTCTCTGTTGAAGGATCTACTGCCGAAATGGGGAGGGAGGTCAATATAATTATCCATCATGAGCCAATTATTACTACTCGTTTGCAAATATTACTTGACACTGCAGCTACTGACCGTTCTCTATTGTCTGATATCATGAGATAAATCCTTTGTTAGTATGGGCAGACAGGATTTTTTTTCTGATAAAATCACAGGTAGGTCACCTTCTATTAGTTCGCTATTGGATGAAGGAGGTATCTTGTTTCTGTTTCGTGTTCTGGTGGATATAGGTGCTCTTTCTTTCGGCATTAGATAAATAAGAAAGGTCAATAAAAAAGGAAAACAAAGGGGAAAGAAGAACCTTTTTTTTTTCCTATTTTTAATGTCAAAGTCTGAGTTATCGGTTCACGCGAGTAAAGTGAATTACCAAACACGTATTTGGTTGTCAAATGGTAGAGCCTGCTATTGTTCAGAGCCTCTGCTTTACATTGTGTACTATGTATACATATACATAGACATGTTGTCGGTTAAAAATGCGTCCTTGCCAACTACAAAAAGGATTCTGACTATATCAGTATGATTCGTATGCCGCAATACCGTCATATCCAAGAATTAATATACATATGCTGTTTTTAACGTGAAAATGATGAGAAGATCAGGCATTGTTAACAGTGGGCAAGATACAGATTGAACGGCCATATATATATATACTTATAAAGAGAGTTACAAGAATGAAGTAGGCAGTATGTTGATGACGGCGATAATAATTGACTATCGCAAACTGTACACACATAAAAATCGCTTCAAATAGTACCTTCTAATAGCGGAAAGTTAGTATATCCCCCATCTATTGACATTGATACTTTAAATGTACCTCAAGAGAAATGATACGCAAATTAAAGAGAAGTTGTCATGCGGGAACCAGCCAACAGTTGTATACACATCGGTCTTATCTTTAAAGCCTACCTAAATGTATTAAAGAGAAACAAATAGACTCCAAACATAGGATTAAAAAGACCAAGAAAAAAATTGTGGGCAAAGAATGCGTACAACTGCTGTACATATACGTAACATTGGAACTTGCGTGAATAACAGTATCCGTTGTACTAAATCATGTTTTCTAGCAAAATCGCTTGAAATACCATAATGATGTGCGCACGCAACCAAAAAAAAAAAAAAAAAGCAGACATACATCTGCATCAGGTATTCACTTTTTATTATCAATCTATCATACAGCGCGTACAATAATTGTTCCATAGTTTGATTCAAATCTCATTTTTGCCTAAACCAAAAAAGGGGGGAAATGACGGTTTACGAGTCGTTTATAAACTTCTTTGAAAATTCATGTTCTTGGAGAAACATGAAGATAGCCGCTTTGAAAAGAAAACCAAGACTTTCATTAGACGTTTCTAAAAAAAAGTTATGGAAAATATGATTCCGTCCGGATTCGAACCGGAGACCGCCTGTGTGTTAGACAGGCGTGATAACCAACTACACCACGGAATCACTTGATATTTAAAAAATTGCTTAGTAATAAATATGTGATTTGTTATAAAGCAGCTCACGTGGATTGGTCGGACCGCATTATGTTTAACGCCGAAACTTATCGGTGTAGTTTTGATATACCGACTGATGAATTTTTGTTAAAGGAGCCAAACACGCGGATCATAGACAGTCTATATGATTACACACACTGCCATATGTTTTCACCGTGTAATGCTTCCGATTGTATATTGTGCTTTACAATTGCTTTCCATACTTCGTTACTCATATTACGGTTAAGTGCCATATACCTTTTCGGATCATTTTCGATCATATTTTATTTGTTGAAGTCTATGCTTAATTTTTTTTTGTGTTACTGAGATCGCTTGATTATTTATTTTTTCCTCGAAAATTGGAAGCCATCAAGTACTTAGCTTATACAAAGAAAAAATGTTGAGAGTTTAGAATGCTATAAACTGCAAAGTAAACTGAGTTGTTATTGTGCTATAATTGAATATGGAGTAAACAGGAAAGCTCTGCATATTATGAATTGTAGTGAAAAGTTACTGCTGACAGTGCATCAAAGCTGCTAATCGATTTTTACATGCTAGGACGCCGAAAAGGCGCCGAATTTCAGTATGAATTTCGTTTTTTGGGGGTAAAATTTTTTGAATCCGATTGTGGCGGGTATTCATCTCTTGGCTTTCCTGCAGATCATGCTCTTGAATTCGTGCTCAATATGAACGAATATTGCTGCTGGTATACTATTACTCGAAACCAATGCTTGGCTTGAATTTAAGACAAGAAAATCTTACAAAACTTATACGGTCGCCGAGCCTTCTTCGAATAACAGCCATTAGCGTAAAAAGAAAACCTTGGCAAAAGTATTAAAGGCCGGGTACCATCATTTCTATCTTCTTTTTCGTTTCCTTTGTCTTTTTAAACAATTATTCTCTATTCTAACACTTAGCATGGAGGGTGAAATTGCTGCCGTAAGCCATATTAAGGTCAATTATAGTAAAGAGGGCGAAAAATTGAAATCAATTCATCGTATAGTTAGTTATAGATAATGGTTCTGGTATGTGCAAAGCAGGCTTTGCAGGCGACGACGCTCCTCGAGCTGTAAGTATACGGAGAAACTCTAACATAAAAAGCGACATTCTTTTAGACGAGGTGTACTCAAAACGCTGTCTGTAATTAAGGTGTTTCCTTCCATTGTAGGTCGCCCTCGACATCAGGGTGTTATGGTCGGTATGGGGCAAAAAGACTCTTATATTGGCGATGAGGCACAATCGAAGCGTGGTATTTTAACTTTACGGTACCCTATTGAGCATGGTATCGTTACCAATTGGGATGACATGGAGAAAATCTGGCATCATACATTTTACAACGAACTACGCGTAGCGCCCGAAGAGCATCCTGTGCTGCTAACTGAAGCACCGTTGAATCCGAAATCAAATCGTGAAAAGATGACTCAGATCATGTTTGAGACTTTCAATACTCCCGCGTTCTATGTTTCGATCCAAGCTGTATTATCGCTCTATGCTTCCGGACGAACAACTGGTTTAGTTCTAGATTCAGGTGATGGAGTCACTCATACGGTACCCATTTATGAAGGATACTCCCTACCTCATGCAATTTTTAGGCTAGACATGGCTGGCCGCGATATCACTGATTATTTGGTACGAATATTAGCTGAAAGGGGTTACTCATTTACTACAACGGCGGAAAGGGAGATTGTTCGTGATATAAAGGAAAAATTATGCTATGTAGCTCTTGACTTTGAACAGGAAAACTTAACGGCGGAACAGACTTCATCTTTGGAGAAAGCATACGAGTTACCTGACGGCCGTCACTGCACCGTTGGTAATCAACGGTAATTCATTTGTACAAAAAGCCTCTATAAAATGGTTGAAAGGGGAGAGGCCCTAATGCCAGAGAGATATTATTTCGATACATGCATTCTGACTTGTTCCATTGATTTTCATTTGACAAGTTTCCGGGCTCCTGAAGCCCTATTTCAACCATCGCTGCTGGGTCTCGAGGGACCTGGCATACACGAAACAATCTACAATTCCATTATGAGATGTGATGTGGATATTCGTAAGGATTTATACCCTAATATTGTATTGGTAGAGTATGCAATATAAATACTGGCAAAGAAGCAGGATAGAAACTGACTGATTTTTGTTTTTCGAATGGACAGTCGGGAGGCACGACCCTGTATCCTGGACTGGCAGATCGCGTACAAAAAGAAATGGTACATCTCGCCCCTTCCTCAATGAAAGTCAAAATTGTAGCACCCCCAGAAAGGAAGTATTCGGTCTGGATTGGTGGATCCATCTTAGCCTCTTTGTCAACGTTTCAACAAATGTGGGTATCGAAGGAAGAATACGATGAATCTGGTCCTGCCATTGTTCATAGGAAATGCTTTTAATAAAGTGAATGTCTTTTGTAATAAACTACCTTAGTCAAGTCTGAATACTCTAAAATTCATTTAAACCAGCTCCTCAACTTTGTTAAAATACTACCTTTCTGGTTTTCTATCAGTCCGTTCTTGCAAGGAAGAACATAATCAACCTATGCTCTACTATTGCCTTTCATGACAATAATACGTCCATTTGTGAATAGAACTACTGTATGTGACAGCTTATCATCGATACACTAAAGGCATGTTTAATGTGATCTTTGTTTGAAGAGTTGCTTAAAGTTCTTTTTTTTTTATATTAATTTAGTGTACGCAATTGAACCTCACCGCTTACGAAAAGCGAACAATGATGAGAGCCATGCTAAAATCAGGTTTGCATTCTTATATTTTATGAGATGTTGGGCGTGATTTGCTCATATAACCATCACACCTTAAATACTAGTAAATTCGTTATATTATATATGAATGAGAGAGGTATAGAATACAATAATAGTTGTACTTGATCAGGAAATGATACATTATTTTGTGTAAACCTACTCAAATCAACTGATATTGTTGATAGCAATTGTTCTAGAGGCATGTGTAAAAGAAAAGCGCCTGTAAATTTTCACTTTTTAATTTTAGTTTTAAACCTTTGCAATAAATACATATAGTACAGCATGAAGTTATTTATAGTCTTGTGGCAATAATTTTCTTAGAACACCTACAGTGTTGATTATGAAAGACAGTGTATTAGACAACAGTCTCTATTTCTCTGGAAGAGGAATAACATACCATCCAAAATAAAACTCGTCAATCCCCAGATCTCTTTTTCAGGACCAATTTCTTTCGGCATTTTAAACACAGTATACTTTAATTTGCTATCTCTAAACATCTTTGTTTCACGACTTTCTGGCCGCAATAAATAGTCGACTGGTACCGTAAATACATCATGCACTTCTTCCTGGTTGAAATTGGTCAGATTAACCTCATCCTTGATGAAGCCCACATAGGGATGGACTTTGAGTGAGCCATCCTTATTTGGCAGTGTCGAAAAGCGACCCAATATATCTATGGAGGTTGGGTCAACACCTATCTCTTCTTGTGCTTCTCTTAGTGCCGTGAACTCAGTCGAGCTGTCGGTTTCGTCTATAAAAGATATCTAAGTGACCACCTCCAGAAAAATAGACCACATTCTTGACAGTAATTACCTGTTTTACCTCCGGGAAAACTGATAGAAAAGTAATTTTTTTTAGTTGGTTGCAATGCCAGCCATGGAGTACAAGATGTCGACTTTTTTACCTGACTTCGCCTCGATGAACCCTCATGTTCAAGTTTCTGACAGTGAACAGAATACTAGGCTTATGATTTACCACACAGAGAGGAACCAGCACGGCTGCGTCTTTAGCATCCGGTTTATATTTCAGTTTATACCGAGGGCAGTTGAGTAATCTCTTCTTAAAGAGGGCCAAGCTATGAGCGTCAAACGATATGGGTTTCAAATTTGGAGGCATTTGCATAAAAAGATGTGCATAGACAATAATAGGTAGGCCAACTGCCAAAATTTATGTCGTAGTATGCTCACCAACCCCACACGATGATTTTATCGGCGAATTATTTATTCATTATGAACCTTATTTTTGTTTCTTTTGAATGATCTTTTGCAGAGTTCCTACAGAATAGTCAACGAACACGTAAAATGAATGGGCTGTAAGACAAAGAAAATCTCTCTTTTTATTTTGGCATTGTTTGGGACGACAGGTCCTATTTAAGGAAATGTTTTTTTTAAGACTCTACTTTATATTGCAACAAAGAAGGACGAACATCTTTGGTCAAACTTATTCGTAGTGATCCTCTTACTTCTTTCCTTCTTTCAGCAGCTCTACTTTTGAATTTAAAGGAGATCAAAATCAGATAAATGATACGGCCGTTTAAATTGAAAGAACAGATTACACATTCACATAACCCCTATATTCATAAATGTTGTGCGTGTATACATTTACGAATTGGATCCGTTATCTCTTGTTTGATATGGATGGTACGTAGCAGAACTCTACATAAGGTGTAATGATATCGATCTCATACTGGTTTTCTACAAGGGACTATCTCTCTATTTTGCTGTATTATCATTCCAAGGCAAAAGCCGTAAGTTTAAGAGTGGTAGCAAACAAAGATCATCCGTTACCTGGTCAAATTAAAAAATGGGTTTCCAATTATGTAGCATTTGTTTCTTATATGAGCGGTGCTGCATTATACATATTCGGCACAATCAATCTGATTCTCGCAGGCATTGCTTTAGGATCATTGTTTCCGATTTATTTGGTAAAAATGATATTTTTGGAAAAATGTTATAGAGACAACGCGGGGGATTGCTGTTATACTCAAACGGATATGGTATTAGAAATCAGTGACAGGATTGAGATCAGCTTCACAGATTTTATGGGTTGCCATCATTGTTTATGTGGTAGACTTAATCATCAACGTGATTGTATTCAGCGTCAATAAAACGCAGTATATCCATTGGTGTGTAAGCTCGAATTTTGTTCGTCTAGATTCCATATTTACAGAGCTGCAACTACCGATACAACAAACCAGCACTAACAATACTACAGCAACATCACCTTCATATAATATGTCGAAAATGGATTTTTATAACTGCTCAAGAACATGGGAAGACGAACTAAAGTTTTTGATTCTAACACATGTCGTCATGGGATGTCTCTATGTAAAGACTCCACAGTTATTTTTTTAATGCGATAATAACGCGATTGACTTTTTCTGTTTTGCTTTTGTAGGCCTATTGGGCACTGAGCATCTTCTCCTACTATATAAAGATTCGATATGAAATGAGGACTGAAATGCTTCGCGAAATGACGCGTATGCAACCCATGATGGGAGCCATGATCCCGCCTCCACAGGGTGGTCCGATCATTCCCAATGCAGATATCATGTTGTGAACATCCCAATAGAGCTTTCTTTTTCAGCATACCCTTGTATCCTTAATAAAATACGTTTAATAGTTGCACATCCTATCTGGAATGCTTCATGAAATGATCAAGTTTTATTCATCCCTTCTCTTTTATTGCTGGCTACATAATATATATATATATATATATATATACATATATATGATGCATCTAATGATATCGGTATGAATTGGGTATAATGCCAATGGTATAGCAGTCTTCTTTTCCTTTTTTTTGTCTGCTTGTAAGGATCATAGAATGTTGGCATACGCTCTATAAATCGTCTGTACAATATATACCTATTTTTGATATGAACAGAAGACTCGACTTGTTTCTCAATTATGTTTTATCCTTTTGCTATGAATATCTATAGATGAATGAGTAACAGTGATTCAATCTGCAACGAGGAGTAGTATGGTATCCTTACCTGTAACGTTCGTTCCACTTGCAGCGACGGGTTTTCGAGCATGAGAACCTAAAATGATGACAACAGAAAAGCTTGAGCATAACTTTCCGAAATGTAAGTGTGGAAATGTTTTTTACCACTGTCTACGCTCTCAGATGTTGTCGCTCCCTGTGTAAAATCAAGTAATTATCGTTACTCTTCAGGTTGTACCATTCGTAAGAAAAAAAGACCCATCAACTTACCTTGTTGGCTGGTATATTACTGTTTTCAACATAGGAGCGAATCTCTTCTGTTTTCTCCAAAACGGATAGCCACAGATCAAGCAAATGATCAGTTCGATTAATGGTTTCAGAAAACTGATGGATACGCTCACTAGCCTCTTCAAAATGCTTGAGTGATATTTCAAGAACTCGATTCATTGCGCGTACAGTTTCATATTCATTTTTTAATTGCTCGTTGATCTGTGGAGAGTTGTTTGGATTCTCGACGATGGGTTCTGATTGATTAGCAGAACGTGACAAGATGGTGGATCGACGTTTAGTCTTTTTCAATAAACTGTTATTCCGTCTTGCTGGAGTAGTACTAGTAGAAGCAATACCAGTAGCTGGTGAAGGTACATCGTTCATATCCATATTCAGGCTACTGCTTTCAGCCATTAACACGATGACTCGATGAAAAAGGGGGAGAGCTTTTAGTGCCTCGAACCCAAAAATTTTAAATGCAGATAGTGTTCGCGAATATATTTATGATGTATGCATCCTACGTGGATTACATAATCGTGGTGTAGAGCACAACGCCAAACATCAAACATGTTTTTCTCTGCCATTGAATGCTATCACTGAAATATATTGCGTTTACTGACGGCATTTTTCCGAATAGCAGACTCAATTTGGCAGAGATTCATGTTAAACAGGTAGCTAAAAGAGGTTCTCATTTTGTATAGAATTCCATACAAAGAGCTTATCAATTTTGGCTATTACTAAAAACGCCGCTGAATGGCATTCCGTAAGTATTTACGAATAGTTTGTTGAGTTCTAAAAGATAGTAAAAGATATTTTTTATTGAAATAAATTGCTAGCAGCCGTTGCTGAAGTCTACATCAGTGCAGCTTTTTTATTTCGTTACTCTTACGTTGAAGTAACCTTTTATTCCAAGTGATGATTTGAAACAGATATTTTTTTTCTTTTTTTTTTGACAAATGACAATGTGCAAACGAAGTTCGTGTTTGTCGGTTTGTACAAGCGTGCACAAAATTTGAAACTGCATTATCGGTTATAGGCCCAGATTGAATGCTCGCCACAATATGTTTTTTTTAACCTTGTATCTGGTCAATGCTCGCTTTTTTGGATCAACTAAATCGAGTTTTTCTGAAATGCCCTTTTTTTTTTTGGATGGAAAACGAAACAAATCTAAAAAACTGAGTGCAGAGATCAAGGATCATGATACTTTATGTTTGTACCTGTACATATTTAAATTTTTTTAGAAAAAGAGAAACTGTATTCAATACGGTGCAAAGAGCATTAGTCATTTTAAAAAGTCTTGTGGACACCTTGACTACTGATGATAACGATTGAAGTTTTGAAAATGGTTTTAGAGGCATTGTTGCCTTTGAACCGATATCTGCTTCTGTAAGGGACACTTCATTACAGAAGTGGCATGTCTGTATTTGCAAAATGATTAGGTAAACTACAAGAGAAATGGTTTACATTGTATTATACATGTAGCATGTCCGTGCTTGTATAAATTACCGTAAGAACAGCTTCTTGCGTAAAATCAGAAATACAACAGCTGCTTCCAACGATAGATTTCGGGCCTTTGCTGAAAAACGTTCTAAAGTAGATAATGGTTGGCCTGTTTCATCCTTTGGATACTGAGCTTTACAGACGGCAGATAGCCTCCCATTGCTGTTTATCAGCTTAATGGAAGAGGCAAACAATCATAGAGAATCTGTCCTCAGATGAATTCCTCGCTTTAGCCTTATGCTTGCATCTGTAAAAGTTCTTTGTCAGATTAGATTTTCGATTTCGTTTTCACGTGAGCTTTGACAGATCATTTTGCTTTTAGCCATCTTGACTGCCCTGACAAAAAAATTTTTTTTTCTATAAAGAAAATGTTTGTGAAATTGTTATTTAATACACAATCCCGTACAGAACTATAGTTCGGACTCGAAAGATAGACAAATTAGCAGACTAATCGCGGGGTATGTTTGGAAATTTACAAAATGAGTCATAACAAATGGAAGCCAAGCATTGGATTGGCAACGAGTCGTCGTGTCAAAATTGTTCATTGTGAGTTGTTAAGCTAACCCTTTATGGTTGGGCCATCCATTGAGTTGAGGAAATAAACCCCATAAACACAGCCAAGACCCTGTCATGAATATCTCATTTATAGTCGATTCCTCAACGTGGAACCGTTACCAGAAATCTCCTTAGCCTCTCAGAGACCACGACGATTGCAGATCAAAGAAAAACTTTGTGTACACAGTTCTTGGAAATCGTTTGCGCATAATTAAGTAGCCTTAACATGAACACTTTTGCGTGTCATTCAATAGTGAGCATTGCACATATGCCACACGCAATGTACGCAAACATACTGGTTTTTTTTTTTGTTTTCTGTTCAGTATCGTTCATAGCGGTTCATATCAACGTTGTTTGCATATCCATTTGTTCTTTCATTATCCTTTTATAACTAGTACAAGTAATACAAGTACTACATACTGAATAAAACTGATCCTTTGTTTACTTTTCTTCCCTTGAATAATTACACCCTTTGTTACCTTTTGTTGCTCTTATTTCTCTTCGGGCTATTCTAAGGGAAACTAGGCAGAAGACTTTCAAATTGAGCAATTGGTGCAAACATGTGATCAATGGAACAATATACTTTTAAAAATCAAAGGGTCGTAACAATGGTCGTATTACTTTATAAAAGAACTTGGCAAAGTTTGAATGACGTATACCAGGAACAAACAAGTTCATCGTCAGGAGAATTCAGTTATGAAATAAACAGAAAAGGTTTACTTAAGCACACAAAAGTCTATTTTTACCATCTTTGATGTGGGGTTACGCAGAACTTTTTCTAAATATACGCAAACCATTATCTGATAAAAAGGGTATTGACATCGTGAGAAGTTATATCAACCTTATTTTCATTGCACATTTTAATTAAAGATAATAAAGGTCCAAGTGCATAGTTCCTGTCACGTTCATTCTGTTCTGTATCGAACGACAGTCAAGAAAAAGACCCTTTTATCCATGCTTGTGTTAGATGACAGCAAAACTGGGATTATTTGCAAACTACTTAAACACCGAAGAACCGAAGCAAGAGAGCAGAAAGAATCGCGAGAGCCATTCTGATAAACAACTTGTCAAATTGTCAAAGAAGCAATTAAAAAATAAAGGACATTTGTTTAAAAGGAAGCCAAGTAAGAGCGATTTTCATTCGACTTGAGGAGGAGACAGCAGCAGTCAGATCGAAACCAAGAATTTTTTTAATGCCTTTTATTTGAAAAGCCTCTCTGCTTCCATTAGTCTTTGATCCATTCGCTAATACAAAAAGGGCCTTCAAAAAAATTTTTCCTTTGGTTAGGAAAAGGACGGTTTCAGTCCTATTTTTTTTATTTTTTTTTTTTTTTTTTTTTTTTTGTTATATACTTACTTTCTGTTGATATATAAAAGGCGGACAATCTTATCATCTCCTTTACCATTTTCAGACTTTTTTTTTTTTTTTTTTTTCCTTGTATTTTTAATTACCTTATCATTCTTTTTTTGTTGGCTTTATACATTTATTATTGAAGAGCAACTAGCAAACAAAGACCAAGAATTTAATGAAACTTTTCGACCGCGCCAGATTTGGTGGATCCAGCACACCCGCTGAGTCATCGTCAGCAACAGCATACACTATGGACAGTCGTTTATCAAAGGAAAATTCAATCACATCTGTTGAATTAGGCACGATTGGAAGCCGGCGTTCATTCGAAGTGGAAGAGGAAGCCGCTGGACCCGTTCCTCATATGGGTCTTATGAGTAGCTGTAATATGGTAAGGTTTTCCGGCAACCCCAAGAAACATTTAAAAAAAAGTGTCCACATGCTCATCCCTTCGGTTGGCTGTATTTATAGATTATTGGTCTTATCATTGGTAGTGGTATTTTTGCTTCACCCGGCCCTGTCACAGCCAAAGTGGGAGCTGTAGGTCCTTCACTCATTATCTGGGTGGTTGCTGGTGCCATTAGTATGATTGGTGCCTTATGTTATGCTGAACTCGGTACGATGATCACCAAATCCGGCGGTGAATACCAATATTTAAAGTCGTCGTACGGTGTTTGTATTGGTATTTTGTTCAGTTGGGCCAACCTCATCCTCAGTAACCCGATTGGTACAGCTTCGATTGCGACCGTCTTTGCTCAATACATCATGCAAATGGCTTATTTCAACCCGGATCATCCAGACGACGCACCACACTATCCAAGCTACGCTTTGAAGCTAGTGACGATCGGTTGTATCTGGGTCGTGGTCTTTCTCAATGCCTTTGGCCGAAAAGCAGGCGCCATGGTCGCCAACATCTTTACAGCGGCCAAGTTAGTGGCACTTGTGATGATCATCATCATTGGCTGGGTTTGGCTTGGCAAGGGCCATACCGGGCCCTTCAAAACAGCTTTCAGCGGCGGCACGAGCAATGCGCTCGATTACGGCACCGCCATGTACATGGCTCTTTTCTCGTACAATGGTTGGAACAATTTGAACTATGGTATTTCTGAAGTCAAGAATCCCAAACGTACCTTGCCCCTGGCTATTACGATCTCTTGTATTTTGGTCACTGTCGTGTATGTCTTGGCCAATATGGCTTATTTTGCCACGCTTCCTCTTGCTACCGTCGCTACGTCCTCTACCGTGGCGATGCAATTGGGTATGGTGTCGATGGGCAAAGGCGGCGCTTATTTCTTTGCCCTCATGGTCATCTTGTCTACGTTTGGTGCGGTGAATGGTAACGTGTGGGCTGCTTCTCGTCTTGTCGTGACAGCAGCAAAAGAAGACGGGGTGTTTATGCCTCCGTTCTTTGGAAAGCTCAATGAAAAACGGCAAACACCTATCCGTGCGCTTATTTTCGTGGGCGTGATTTCAACGATCTGGTCTATTCCTGGTGATTTTACGTACTTGGCGACGCTTTACAGTTTTATCAATTTCTTCTTTTATGGCTGTGCTATTCTTGGTTTAATCGTCATGCGTTTCCGCAAGAAGACAAAACATTTACCCCGACCTTTCAAGATCTGGCTTCCATTTGCCATTTTCTTTGTCATTATCGATATTTACATTGTCATTGCTCCTTTGGTGGATGCAGGTGCCAGTGGTGTGGCTATCTATGTTATTTGTATTTGCGTGGCGCTCTTGGCTATCCCTATGTGGTTCATTCGGGTGAGGAAGCCTGGCATTGGTCGCCGTCTTTTCGGATGGATTCCTGGTTATAGCGATCCTTTTGTTTTAGAAGCACGTCGTAAGAAGGAGTTGGAAAGATCTCGTTCCGACGATAACAGTTTCAATATGGCCATCTGTGAACAACACGACTTTACTCTAACAAAAGAAAAATCAGAACTGTAACCCCCTAGCGTTGTACATATTAGAAAACAGTCATCGATCGTTTCTTTTAACCGATAATACCCCCCCTCCCGCACGCACACACTCATAGGATGATTTGAAAACGATTGTGCATAAGTATCATTCTTAAATTTTTTAAACATTTTGCATTTTGCAAGATGATGTAGATAATTATTGTATTTTATATTTTGTAATCCCTCTGGTCCCGATTTTTTTTTATAATTTTTTTTTTTTGCATGTAGACACATCTGAATAAACTAGTCAATTCCTCTTTTTTTTTTTTTTTAAAAAAAAAAAGGTTGAGCTGCATGTCTTGTATCACGATGGTGGACATGAAAAAACGCCAAGCATTTTACTGCTACTTTTTACCCCATTGAGCGCGCTCTTCCAATGCTCATCCTAATATGAGTAAGAAGGGACCTTTTTTATTTTTTATCCTATTTTTCATCATATTATGTAAAGACAAACTGTAGAAATAGATATACCATTTAGGTTGTCTCGATCCTATTTTCTTTCTTGAAAATGAACGCGATCGGGCCCAGACTCGGGTAGGAGGGGTCATAGACTGGTTCAAATGATAGAAAAGCTTTTTACTTGATCAATCCCTGAAAGATGTGTCTCTATGCGTCTAGATTTTCTACATAATTGAAAAGGTACGGGTATTAAGGTACAGTCAACGGCTGAAAATGAGTATCGTGATGATGGCGAAATAGAAAAAAAAAAAAAAACCCAGAGAGACATGCCCGCTCCCCCTTTTACTGTCTCCGATAGATTACTAAGCACACATACACCTATTCATTCATCCATTCATGCATACATTGTATAAAATTTGATCCGACCGGGTCCTCGGCCTTTCTATCGCCCCGTAGAAGAAAAAAAGTAGCACCTGTTTTGCTCGACTCTGGATCATCAAGGGAAAGCACCCATTTTTGTTTTGATATCCTAGCGCAGTTATACGCACGAAGGGTCTATCGTATTTTGTGAGCTGAGCGTTCTCTTACTCCTTTTTCTTTTTTTTTTTTTTTTTTTTTAATTCTGTCCATTATCTATTTTCATTAAAAATGAGGCAGATATGTTTAAGTTTTTTGTATCCATCATCATGAGGGATGAGGGATAAGACAGTGACAGGATGCATTTTTTAGTCTCTTATGTATACATCATCCTCAGGCACTCTACATACCTTGTCTATAGCCGAATGACCTGAATGGGAGTTGATAAGAAAAACTTTTTATGTCAACGCCCATGTTTTTCTATCCTATCCTTTAAAAAGTCTTTTGTTTTCAATAGAGTCCCTCCTCCTTTTGCTTCCTCCTCTCTTCTTCTACGTTTCTCCTCTTTTGTTCCGTGTATTTTACAACTGACAATCACTTGCTACTTTTATACTCGACTCGTTTCTCCGCTACACCACATCATTGACACAACATGAGAGAGAGGACAGTGTTGGAAAAGATGGATACAGAACACGATTGTCCTGATGAGGGCCATGCTGAAAAAGAAGACGCTGCCACTGTTCCTCCTCCTCTTACGCACCTATCCACCACAACAACGGCGTTGGAGGAAGAGGAAGGAGGCCATGATACCCACCCTAGAGCGTATACTTTGGAGGACACGGATTTGAATGAAAAGTATGTCAGCTCAAGTAGCGTCCTCAGCGACGATTCAAGAGAACAGAGAGAGGCAGAAGGCAAACAAATCACAAGAATTATAGATATTCGGTTGATGCCCTTATTTTGTGTGTTTTATTTCATGGATCATCTCGACAGGGCCAATATCGGTAATGTCAGGTAGGGAAGCATGGGAGCGGGAGAGGAAATATAAAAGTCGATAGGTACTGTCCAACTCATATTCAACCCTTAGTCTTGCGGGAATACAGACGGATCTCAATGTAAAAATAAAGGATAAATACACAAGTAGATAAAAGAGGGTCATAGGATCAGGGCACTCATACTTTTCTCCCCCTAGTTGACAGCAAAACAATTGAGTGCAGCTATCTCGGCATTTTATATTACTTATGTAAGGGAAAGGGTTGGCTTGAATGAGGTGCCACGATAACAAGACACTGAGACGAAGAATACATTGGTTTTTTTTTTTTTTTTTTTTTTTTTTTTTTTGGCTAGATCATTTTTGAAGTGCCATCCAACATTATATTGAAGCGTACAAGTGCCGTGATGTGGCTCTCGGTCATCATGCTGATATGGGGCGTGATGACACTCGCCATGGCTTTTGTGAGGGATTTCCAAAGCTTGTTTGCTTGTCGTCTTTTACTTGGGTAAGCAACTTTTTTCTTTTTTTTTGGTTCCATGGGCTGGCTCCTCGACTCGACCCTCACCGCTTCCTTTCTTTTTTTTTTTTTTTTTTTTTTTTTCTAAAAGGGCTGCAGAAAGCGGGTATATTCCAGGTATACTGTATTTGATGTCTAAATTCTACCGACCTCGTGAGTTTGGCTTACGTATCGCGCTTTTCCTGTGCATGTCGTCGGTCTCGGGGCTTGTGTCAGGGCCGATTGCGTATGGCACAGCGTACCTCGAAGGGCAAAAGGGGCTCCACGGCTGGCAGTACCTGTTTATTCTCGAAGGCGTGCCGACGATTGTCCTGAGCGTGGTCTCGTATTTTTTTCTGTTTGACGATGTGAGTCAGGTGTCTTGGCTCACAGCGCATCAGAAGGCGGTGCACAAGGCGCTGACGCATGCCACGGAAGTCGAGGCGCCGATCACGGTGCATAGCTTCCTCCGCGCCGTGAGCGACTGGAAGTGCGGCCTGTTCTCGAGCGTGTACTTTTTGAGTGCTGTCAACACCGTGAGCTTCCAGGTGTTCACGCCCACCATCATTGACGGCTTTGGGTTTTCGGTGCTGACGTCTCAATTGCTCTCGGCGCCACCGCATTTCATGCAGCTGGTCGCGGTCATCACCGGTGGCTATATAGCGGATAGGTATGCGAATAAAAGAGGCGTCTTGATCATGGCAGGGTTTGGCACAGGCGCGCTAGGTTACTTGTTACTGATTGTACTCAAAGACATTTGGGGTAAGCCATCGCATGTTCGGAGGATGTTAGTTATTAAAAAAAAAAAAAACCATAAAAGACTCAACCGCTCTCGCCCCTCTCCCCACTCATTCTAGCACGCTATGTTGCCTTGTTTATCATTTCTGGAGGCATGGGTTTACAAAGTAAGGAAAATCAAGGTCCACGTGTCACAACACAACCAAGTCAACCTAACGCCTTGCTTTTTTTTTTTTTTTTTCCATCAGTGGCGGCGAATGTGGGTTGGGCACCTATCAATTTTCCAGAGCTTGAAATACGGGCGATTGCCGTTGCCTTTGTTGTCATGATGGGTAGTACGGGAGGTATTGTCGCCTCTTATTTATACCCTGGAACGGATAAACCTCAGTTTTGTAAGTCAATGCATGCCCAATGGAGGTGAAGAGCAGGTAGACTGAAAAAAAATTTGATTGTGTAGACTTTGGAAATACATTCAATGTGTGTACCGCAGTGGCAGGAGCTTTGTGTTCTGCATTGACAAGCTATCTCTTGCGCAGACAAAATAAAAAGATGGACATGTTGGAAAAAGAGTACAAGGCAGAAACATGGGTAGGCGACATCCACTTGGAACAACAACAGCAGCAGCAGCAGCATCAACAACGGCACTTTCGTTACTACTATTAAAGAAAAAAAAAAAAAAAAAAAAAAGGAAAAGTAATTTTAGTCTATGTATATCTCTACTCTCTTTTTCTATTCTCAAAAATAGGTTGTAATCTAATCCCCTTCTTTTTTTTTTCTAAATAAATCTTTATTACTCTACGCTTCAACAAAAAAAAAAAGATAAACCTTTTAGCACTGCAATAAAACTGTTTAATTACAAGGTACAGAGAAAAAAAAAAACATATAAAGGAAAGTGAGTGAGTGAGTGAGCGAGAGAGAAAGAAAGAAGGTGACGTGTTTTTGCGTGTCAAAGGACTCAAACCCGAGGGGATGAGAGAGAGAGAGAGAGAATGCGTTGATGCGTGAGTAAGTGAGTGTCAGTGAAAAATAGACAGAAGGAAAGGCTTCTAAATGGCAGGCAGATTGAGATGGAAAAAAAAAAAGGGTAATTGTACACGCTTTCCTCCCATCTCTTTTTCTTTAAACGGTAAAATAGAAAAAAGAAAAAAAAAAAAAAAAAGATATTAAACAATCTAGATATATTCCTCATCGTCATCAGAGATGAATTCATCCGACTCGTAGTTGAGTTGTTCAAAATTAACACGGTATCTAAGGATACCGCCGATACCACCGAAACCACGAACGAATTGAGCACCTTCTTGAGAACGGTCGGTGACGATTTCGAGGGAGGTACCGAAATCCTTGTATTTGAGAGTGAACCATTCTAATAATGGAATGCATTCGACGACTTCCATTTCTGAATTGGCGGTGGCTTCAGGACACTTGTCGACCAAGAACTCCTTGGACTTTTCTTCTTGGGCATTGGGAATGACGACGGATTCCTCACCGGCAGCGTCACGGAGAGTATAACGGTTGACAGTGAGGTTTTCCCAGACAATCAATGTTTCGACCGCACCCATTTCAAGGGCCTTCATGGTATCTTCCACGCCAAAGCAGTACTTGCCAGAGTCTTGTGAGATTTCGTCAAAGTATTGGCCGATCAAACGCTTTTCTTGGATAAACTTGACGTTGGATAGAGCTTCCGCTGACAACTCAATGGCTTGATTGAAACCGTTTTCGCCACCATAAGACACATCGACAATCTTGACGACCTTGGCACGGAGACGAGGGTCAAAGAGATCGGATTGGGACAATTCGTTCTTAAAGTCAGCGGAACCGGCCAACACTAAACCGGCGACGTTGACCTTGTCGTTGGTGATGAAGAGTTGCACAGCCAATTCAGCAATTTTACGCACGTAGTTGTGTCTCTTTTCCTCACGAAGACGCGAGAAACGAAGGGCAGACTGACCACCACGACCGTGCTTCTTGGGAAGATCGACGGACAATTTATGGATCACATCACGGATATTACCACACACAGTACCGAAAAGTGTACCGTTACCGTCCATCACAATAAAACCAAACTTGACATCGTTATCCAAGAGTTCGGCTAATGCTTCGACGTGGAATTTGTTATCACATAAATAGAGCGAGGTGTTGATAGGCTTATGTGGTTCAAAATCAATATTGACTTTCTTTTCCTTTCCTTCATCGGTAATAATAGTACCACAATAGACGACCAGACCCTTGTCGGGAACTACACAAGAGAAAAAAAAATCAAAAAAAAAAAATCGCGCCTCCATAAGCTATTGTTTTTTTTTTTCGAAAGGAGGACCTTTCCCTCGTCGAAATGGAATGTTACCTCTGTTGTATAATTTCAAACGTTGTTGTGTAGAAGTGATGGCAGACAAGACTGACAAACGGTTGACACGTGATTTAATGTTGGAGGCTGTACCATATTCATCTGCCAACATTTTAACGACACGAGAGATTTGATCCTTGGGTGCTTTTTTTGAATGAAATTAGGTTAATCTTAAGGGAGCAATATCATTTGTTTTTGCTTTGCAAACACCCAAACTTACGAATAATGAGAGAAATCATAGAGGTACCGTTACTATTCAAATAGAAAAAAAAAAAAAAAAAAAACCATGAGGCCTGAGTGAGTACTTTGCCATTCCCTGTTGCATCTTGGAGATAGTTTACCCCTTGGCTAACGAAAGTTGCTTGATCAACTTTTTCATCTTCCAAATCTCGACATTTTGATCGACGTCTGTGGGTTGTGCTGAAGACATTTTTTAGTAGATGTGTATACTCTTTCTCACTAAAGCCGTTAAAAAAGAGAGAAGGAAAGAAAAAAAGAGAGAAGAATATTTTATAACAACGGCCGAATAGATTCGCAGTTGACATTTTTTTTTTTTTCTTTTTTTTTTAGTCTCTTTCGACAAAAACCAGTAGAAAACTGTAGTGTGGCTTTTTTCTGGGCCAATGTAAGGAGTTGGGGACATTGTATCTAGCTCTTGTTTATCACATTTACTCATCGACACTAAAAGATACACAGACACACACACACACACACACACACACACACACACACACACACACAAACATACAGATACAATGCATTATGACCACATGACGAAAAAGAAAGGAACAGCCTTAAGCTTTATAGACATGGACGCAGAAACCAATGAAACGGCTGCTCATCATGAATGTGAGTCAGTGTAGGTTGAATCTGTTTAAACTCTAAAAAATTCGTTTCAATGATATCACCCTTGACATTTTATGCACAATGATCCAATGTCACTCAACACGACAACGCGATTTTATGTATGATTATACAAAAGGAAATCTTTTTTATTTTATTCATTTCATTTTTTAAATAAAAAAAAAGGCCAAGCAGTAGAGAGACAAGCATTCCATACATTACCTAATAGTCAATTGAACAACAAAAAGGACATGTTAGAGATATTACGCTCACTATAAGCATCGGTCATAGGCTATTCTCGTTTCTTTTTTCTTTTTTTGTTTTCCTTTCTCAGGGACGTTTTGCGTATGAATAAACATCCTAGTTTATATTATCCATCATGAAGCTCGGACTGGTGCCAGCTAAGTCTCATCATAAAAGAAAGGAAAAAAAAGAAAAAAAAGGGCTGCTGCATCCCCTTTTTATAGAATAGATTACTTTACCTTGTACTGAAACGTATTTTTTCGCCATGATGGAGAGAAAAGGACAGTAAAAAAAAAACCAGAAAAAGAAACAGACCCATTTTATATAGTTAGAAACGAAAAAAAATTTTTTAATGGTTGACAGGCTGTGGGACTGCTAAGGCCAAATAGACTGGCAAAGATGATCTTAAACCCCGTCCTCGTACACGTTATGCTCGTTTCAAATCAAAAAAGCCATAGGCATCATCAGTGAGGTGAGGTGTTACCTTGAAAAAATTTCCTGCCAAATACCAGTTGTGAGAGGATCAAGACAATGAGGACGTGAAGCGTCAAGTAGAATTCGATAGAGTTTATTGTTCAATGGTGAGTTGCGGTATCTATGGCTGACAAAGTGATATGTGTGTGTGTGTGTGTGTGTGTGGGATGCACACACACATGGGTGGATATAAACCCTACAACGGCTCTTTTCGCTTGAGTGCCGATGTGTGGTGGTAAAGAGTTCAATGGACGATTCTCTTGGGGGGGGGGTTCTTTCTTTTGCTCTTTCTTACAAAGACCATGGAGCTATGATCCATCACTTTTTTCTTTTTCTTGTGGTTTTATTGATAAATTCGATTTGCTCTACTTTCTTTTTTAGTTTCTTATCTTTCCTACCTGCTACTCTTCAAAGAATGTACACCAATTGGGATGAAAACCTCATGGATACGATTGCTGAATTGAGGTGGTATCCGATCAAACAAGTCATTGATTATCTGCATACATTACGCACGTTGATTATTGATACACCTGGAAAGTTTGGCGTGACGTACCTTCCTACACTTGAATTCACTTTGAAAAGAGAAGCAACCACAGCGGCAGTCGTAGTAGCAGCAACAGCAGCAGAAGCACCGTCGTCACCCGAGGATAAAAAGGAGAACGGTCCGTGTGAGCAAGTCTATGTCCCTTGCAAACTTCCAGCAACCAAATATAAACGCTTCCCAGAGACATCGGCTTATGTGTGTGAGAGTCATACGCATTTTGGACAATTCATGCCCAAGCTGGCTTTGATGGCCAACATCTTGGTGAATATCCACCGTTTAGAAAGAGATTATCCTGGTTTCAATACACAAGGCGAGCTCGAAGAAAAGGCACTGGCCCTCATCCAAGAAGCATTGACGTCCATTGAAAGTCGACAGGGTGTCATGGGCAGAGAAGCATTTGAAAAGAAATACGACTTGCACTGGTCAGGCTCGGTCGAAGGCGATTTCTTTGAAACATTGGCTGATGTGAGTGAGGATGGACAACAGCAGCAGCAAGAGCAGCAGCAAGAGCAGCAGCAAGAGCAGCAGCAAGAGCAGCAGCAGCAGCAGCAGCAGCCAGCAAAAGATCCTCGCGAGGATGTCGACAATAAAAAAGCAACGTCTCCAGAACGTCCTGCAGAGGCGAAAGAAAAGGAAAAGCAAAGAGACACTTGACTTGATGTGGGTGGCTCTCTCTTGAGATGCGATTTTCCTAGGGTCGGCGTTATTCAGTCAAGCATTTGGAAGGCTATTTTCTTTACTGACACTTGAACATAAAGAGCAAGCATCTCTCTTTACCCATATTATGTAATAAAGGGTGCCTGGGCCCACTTTTCTTTTTTTTTTTTTTTTTTTTTTTTTTTTTTTTTTTTTTTCCTTTTCTGAACGTCTGCATGAAAAAAGTAGATTTGGGACGCGACAGGATCTTCCCGACTCGCCTCGGAGACCAATGCACCTTTCACTGTTTCCTTTCTCTTTCCCTCATGATCCCTCCTGATCCCTCCTGAGCATGGACATGGGATGTCCTTGGGGACTCTCTCCTAAAAAGTAGGTTATCTTTTTGTGTGTTTCGGAGTCGTTTCTTTTTCTGGATTTTTTTTGTTTAGGCCCTGTCTGGTAACAGCATGATTTCATTTTTGTATTTTGAACGAAAAAAGAAATATGTCATCATCTTTTCGTCATCATTTATGCGCGCTGTTGCAAAAAAAAAAAAAAAAAGCAAATTTATAAATAAGCAATGAATTTTCCAATGAGAACAGCTTTTCGTTATCTATCCAAACTACCTACAACACACACACACACACACACACACACACACACACACACACTTACTTAACAAACATGCCTTCTGATCAAGCCGTCAAAGTTGTCTACAAGGGTAACGACAATAACGAATACTTTGTTATCGCTAATCCCGGTATGGTGAGCAAGTGGAAGAAAGACAAGAGCATTCCCATGGTCGACGTGGTCCAAAACTTCAACATCCACACGACTTCCAACGGTAGTACCACCGGTGAAGCCATTAATCCTGCCAGCGGAGCATTGAAAACCGTGTTTAATACCACCAACGAAGATGAGATTGTCAAAAAGATTCTATGTGAAGGTCATGAAAAGGGCTTTTAAAAAAAAACCGATCGTTGGGAGCATTAGAAAGAGAGCCACCACTTCTTTTATAAACACGTCGCCCCTCCCCACCCCCCCCCCATTCTATCCTATTTTAAACTGTATATACAAGTGATTCACTCCTTATCTCAATCGAGGTTGGTTTAGCCATCCACCTGACCCCCCCCCCCTTCATTGAATTATAAAAACCAATAAAAACAGATCCCATCTGCACCCTACCAGTGATATTTGATTGAAAGTGTTGGAATGAAACGTCTTTTGGGGTAATGGTTCACTTTTATTAAGAACGATGGCTATCGTTAAAAAAAAAAAAAAAAAAAAAAAAAAAAGTGAATAGGGTATCATGGGGTGGGGTATCATCAGTGTACTTTTAAAAGGACAATGGGATCGTGCGTCGACACGGTAGTAGCCGGATTGGCCCAGCCAAAAGAACGTTGAACGGCTTGCTGCCATCCATGGACCATTTTCTTGCGTTGGGTGGCTGGAATAGTGGGCAAGAAGAGGGTGCGATCTTGTTGTGGTTGTTGTGAATGCCCGTTCGGCAAGTCTTCCTTGGACTTGTAGATACCCAAAGCAAAACCGGCCGCGATGGCCGCTCCCAAAGCCGTCGTTTCTCTCATCTGGGGCCGATCGACGGGGATGCCCAACACGTCCGCCTGTATCTGCATGGTCAAGTCGGAATGCGACATGCCGCCATCCACCTTCAGCACGCGCAAAGGAGACCCCGAGTCCTTGTTCATCGCGTCCAAAAGAGCGCGTGATTGGTAACACACAGCTTCGAGGGCAGCACGGCAAATGTGCTCCAGCCTGGTAAAATGCGTGATGCCGCACAGCGTGCCTCTGGCATCCGATCGCCAGTAAGGCGCCAATAACCCTCCAAACGCCGTGACAAAATACACGCCGGCCGTGTTCTTCACTTTGGACGCCAACCGATTCACTTCTCTCGTGCTCTGAATGACCCCCAGATTGTCTCGAAGCCACCCAATCGCAGCGCCGGCCACCGCAATCGACCCCTCCAAGGCGTACGTAGGCGGGCTCTCGCTGCCCCATTGATAGGCCACCGTCGTCAGCAATCCGTTCTTGGACGGCACCGCTTGATGGCCCGTATTGAACAGCATGAAGCAGCCGGTGCCGTACGTGTTTTTGGCCTCCCCCACAGAGAAGCATTGGTGGCCCACCAGCGCCGCTTGCTGATCTCCCAAACAACCCGCCAAGGGAACGCCCGCCAAAGACCCTTCCACGATCTCGCCATAGATCTCGGAAGACGAGGCAATGCGCGGCAACACAATGTCTTGCAATCCAAAAAACGCAATGGCTTCCTCACTCCACCGGAGGGTATGGAGATCCATGAGCATGGTTCGACTCGCGTTGGTGACATCCGTCATATAAGCCCCATCATGAACGCATCCACCTGTCAGATTCTACAAAAAAAAAAAAAAAAAAAAAAAAAAAAAAAGTCCAAAAAATAAGAAGGGCAAGCACGACATCCCAATCGCCCCTTAGGATGGGGGAAAAAAAAGGCCCCCACATCCTGTCTGTGCCCCTACTTACATAGATCAGCCAAGTGTCCACAGTACCCACACGCAGGCGGTGTTGTGCTTGTGCCTGTGACACCCTAGGGATGTGATCCAACAACCATCTCAGCTTGACCGCCGTAAAATAAGTCGCTAAAGGCAATCCACAGATGGCCTTTAAAGCATCCACGCCCTTGTCGGATTGTTGGGCCAGTCTGTGGACCGTGTCAATGGTGCGCGTGTCGCTCCAGAGAATGGCTGGATACAAGGGACGGCCTGTCTGACTGTCCCACGTAATGAGTGTTTCTCGTTGGTTGGTCAAACCGATGCCTTTGATATCAGACGCTTTCAATCCCATCAATTCAAGCTTGAGCACCGCATGTTCAATACAGGAATACACCGATTCCAATAATTCATAAGGATCATGTTCTATCCAACTAAAAAGAAAAACGAGACAACGGATCAATACACACACACACACATTGTCTCTCTTCTTCTTCTTCTTCTTCAGGCGAGCGATGCCCACTCTGTTTGTTTGTTTTTACCCAGGTTGAGGAGAGCTTTGCTCAAATTCAATTTGATGAAATGTCATCATCTCGCCTTTCTCGTTAAAGATAATGAACCGAGTGGAGGTGGTTCCTTGGTCTATCGATCCTATGAGGGTGGGCATGTTGTTGTTTTTTTCTCCGTGTCTTTTTGAGGATGCTGCTAAAATCGTCGGTCCGTTGGTTGTATTGAAAGAAGACAAGTTTTTCAGTGTTTTTCAAAAAAGAAATAATAACGGGAAAAAAATGGTTCTTTTTTTTTTTCTGTCCCGTTTTTATAGAAAACAAGAATGGGGTCTCGGAGTGTGTTTGTTTTTTCGTTTTATGTTGGAAGCAGTAAAAGCCGAATTTTTTGTTTCTCGAAGGACAAGTCATTATTGGTGCTTTCCCAGCAAAAAGGGGAAAAACAATGAGAAAATATTTTCTGTATTTTTGCGGGGTAAAAAAAAAAAAAAAAAAAAAAAAAACCATCCACAGCCACGCTCTCTGTTACTTTGGTGAGTTGGTTGGCTGACAGCACACTCATCCATCTCCCATGGGAGTGAACCCACAAAAAAGACACACAGCGTTATCATGAGTGTGATGGACGCATGTTCCAATAGAACGGGGAAGAGGGACAAGAGGGGGTCTACAGCTCATAACGCTTATCCCGTCAAAAAGTCGGTACACATCCTCTATCTGACTTTTCTTATCAGATGCTTTTGTCTACCCAGAAACCTGGCTTCAGGGTAGAGAATGGAAAGCACATAGCGTCCCTGTTCTTGCTACCCTAAAGACCTACTCCCATCATCATGATGCGTCTTGAATGACAATCCAATGACTGTATCAAAGCTTTTATTTATGCAGAAAAGGTCCGCCTCTCTTTACCACGTACGCCTACTGTTTTTGGGAAAACAGTAGGCATAACGTAACAATGTATGTCATGCTGTGGACGAGCAAATAAAAAAAAAAAAAAAAAAGCACTCTAACCAACAGAGCTAAAAAAGCGCGATCTCGGTCTTTTTTGATTTGGCAGTGCAAAGAGGAGGGGGGTGCGGGAGGGAGAATGCACCGAATGAAGGTTGAGGATACCGACAGTGAATGATACTAAAAAATGCCGCCGCAAAGAGCTCATCCTGCTAAGTATAAACCTCTTCTTCTTCACGAGACACTGGCGCGGGTTATTTCAACAAGCCCACAAAAAGACCTGTTTCCAGATTCACCGTCGTTTTCATCATGAACACGCAAAAAAGTCATCCTGTTCAACCCAGTCTGTGATGCACAAAGAGGAAAAAAAAAAAAAGCAGTGGCAGCCACACGTTTCTCATTCGTGCACATCCAACCCAAAAATAGTTATTTATAGACAGAGTAGCACAATCGTGATGTATCCCAATCACTGGCTCTTTTTTGCCATCTCTTTCAACATCTCTTTGCAACGCAGACGGCAGATACGTCAGTTTGATGTGGACCAAAATAGCTTTTTTAAAGCGTGGTAGTCGTGGTGATACGAGACCCTGAACAGGGCACGAATGAGAAAACCTCACATCGTCCGCTAAAAATAAAGAAAAGACGATGATTGACCTCAACCAAGCGTCAACAACAGATCATGTCAAAAAAAAAAAAGCGCCAAATCTTGTGCACTACACTTGGAAAAAAACGCGACCCTGATGATTGCTTGAGTCGCTCCTATTTCAAATCAAACGAGTCGTTGTTACAGATCCATTCTTGCTCCTTTTCGTGAAAGAGCAAAAAGTGGGTCAAACATAAAGAGGTCCTCGATGAGGCTAAAAAAAAAAAAAAAAAAGTCGAGGTGACGTTGACCTTTAGAAAAAAAGACATGAACGGAGTTTAGAAAGATTTCCTCGCAAAGGGAAGAAAAAAAAAAAAGGCAGCAGCCTTTTTCTGGTTTCTCTTACTATTATTCGATTTATTCCTATTGCTGCTATTCAGTCATGAAGTTTATTATTAAAGGTGGTGTTTGGAAAAACACAGAGGACGAAATTTTGAAAGCTGCCGTTAGTAAATACGGTAAAAATCAATGGGCTCGTATCTCTTCATTGTTGGTACGAAAAACACCAAAGCAATGTAAAGCAAGATGGTACGAATGGTTAGATCCTAGTATTAAAAAGGTAAAAACATAAAGGCATTCTTTTACCCCTCCCCCATCCTTTCTCATGACGCATGCTCTCATTGTTTTTAGACGGAATGGTCAAAAGAAGAAGACGAAAAATTACTTCACTTGGCCAAATTGATGCCAACACAATGGCGTACGATTGCACCCATCGTAGGCCGTACACCAGCTCAATGTTTAGAACGTTATCAACGCTTGCTAGATGAAGCGGAAGCTCGCGAATCAGATCGTTCAGCTGAACTAGGCCTCACTGGCGCTGCAGGCCACGAAACTGGTCCCAGTGCTGACGATGTACGTAAACTAAGACCAGGCGAAGTCGACCCCGAACCAGAAACAAAGCCAGCCAGACCGGATCCTGTCGATATGGACGAAGACGAAAAAGAAATGTTGTCAGAAGCACGTGCGAGATTAGCCAACACACAGGGTAAAAAAGCCAAGCGAAAGGCAAGAGAAAGACAGTTGGAAGAAGCGAGAAGATTGACAGCCCTTCAGAAACGAAGAGAGTTGAAAGCAGCCGGTATTCAGTAAGTTTTGAGAAAGAGAGAGTTACATATAGCACCATGTTATTTGCTGTCAAACACACCTTACTCAATGGGACGCTCCCCCTTCTCCATTTTTTTTTTTTTTTGTTTGCTAGTATGCGTATGAAACAAAAGAAAAACGTCATGGATTACAATACAGATATACCCTTTGAAAAGAAGCCTGCCTTGGGTTTCTACGACACCACCGAAGAAGCCAACAGAAAAGTCGATCCTGGAAAGCTCACCAACGTCCATCTATCCAAACTGAACAGACGACGTGCTGATATCGAAGACGAAAAGAACCGAGAAAAGAAACGAAAAGCCAAGCAAAATCAAAAAAACAACGCACCCCAAGGCAATCAGGGACGATTTGTGGCTGCTAAAAATGCACAAAAGATTGTACAAATGCAAGAACAAGAGCAAATCGCTAAACGTCGTAAGCTTGTCTTGCCTGCTCCTCAGGTAGGCGAACAAGAATTGGAGGAAATCGTAAAGACGGGTTTTGCTGGCGAAACTGCCAAAACCTTGGTCTTGGACAACGACGTGGATGCCACGGAAGGTTTGGTGAGCGATTATTCCTTCACTCCCGCCGGTCGCATCGCCACTGCCACAAGAACGCCTAGAGCTCCTCCCAGCAGTAAGTTTTTGCCATTTCCCCCCCCCCCCCAACATAGAACAAACACACGCTCTTTTTGGCGCCCTAGCTAACACCCCCCCCTCTCTCTTTCCCTTTTCTTACGCGCGGGGACCGTATAGACGATCATTTATTGATTGAAGCCAGAAATCTCAAAGCCCTCAGTACAGCACAGACACCGTTGTTAGGCGGAGAAAATGCTTCCTTGGAAGGAGGCACAGGTTTTGAAGGCATCGCGCCCAAATCCCAAGCCATTCAAACACCCAATCCTTTGGCCACCCCTCTCCGCCATCCCTCGGCCACTCCCTTTGGCAAGACCCCCATGGATACCCCTTTCAGAACGCCTCGTGAAGAAAAACTATCACACCTACAACGTAAAAAGACCTTGCTCCAAGGCCTGGCGAGCTTGCCTAAGCCTCGTAACGAGTGGGAAATCAGACTGCCCGACATAGAATCGAACGCTTCTACTGCCACCACCACCGACGCGAACACCAGCATGGCCGTCGAAGACATGAGTGATCTGGAAAGAGAACAGAAAGAAGCAGAGGAAAAGGAAGCCAAAGAACGTGCTCTGCGTCGTTCATTGCCTGTCCAACTCAATTTACCACGTCCTTCCACAGCTGTCACCGATCTGACCGCCGATGAGGAGTTGGACCCAGTGGAAAAGATGATTGCCGAAGAATTACAGCGCTTACTGAAGCACGACGCTGTGAAATACCCTGTGGCAGGTGGCAAGGTCGCCCCAGGTGCCACTCGATTACCAGAAGACCTGGAACACTTGGAGGACGAGTTTGACTCGATCACTTTACAAGAGGCACGTCAAGAATTAGATAAAGACATCCGACGTCATTTGGGACTCGACGACAAGGACGATATCAAAAAAGCGGTATGGGATCATCTGTCCGCTCATCCACACTTTGAACAACAATGGAATCAACAACATTGTCAGCTTCTCTTTTCTGCCAAGTATAACCGATTCATGACAGAAGACGAGATGGACGATGAAAAAGATAAAATTCAAGGTTTAAGCAAAATGATCGAGGTAAGCAACCTTAGGAAGCATTTGAAAAGAGAGATAGAAGCTGTGGTAGACTGATCTCCTCCCCCCCCCTTTTCTATGATGGCCCCCTTTTTCTGTCATTTAGGCGAGTCGTCAAACCATGGTCAGAGATGCTACAAAAGCTGGTAAATTAGAGAATAAATTGGACGTGAGATTAGGTGGTTATATGGCCAGATCAAAGACATTATCACAACAGTTGATCGATGCCTTTGAAGAATACGAAGCAGCACAAGTCGAGTACCAAAGCTTTGTCAACTTGCAAATCGCTGAAAAGGCCGCCATCCCCAGACGTGTCGAAGCGCTTGAAGAAGAAGTCTACAAGTTGGCTTCCAGAGAAAGAGAATTGCAACAAAAATACAAAGACCTTTATGATGAAAAGGTGGCCCTCTGTACCTAAGAATGACCATCCTATCTCCCTGTTTGCATGCCTCATCCTCACGTAGTCTTCATTTTGATGCTTCTTTCTTTTTTCTCTCGTGGACAATGTATGTCCTTCCACTGTAACCCCCTATTTAAAAGAACAAAAATTCCTCATTTACAATCATCAATAAAACAGTAGTTGCAAGAAACGCAAAACGACGTTCTGTCATGGCTGTCTATGCCGTGCACGGCCCTCCATACTATCTCACGTGATCACTCTCACGATGACGACTCTCCACATCTTTAGACAACTCTATTCAAATTCTGCCTTAAATCGTCGTTTTAGGACGCATATTTAGAAATGGCACAAAATTTCAATATCCGAGTTCCTTTTTTTCCCTCCTCTGCTTTTCAATCTTGTTCTTTTTTATCCCTTATCAAAATTTCATTCCACCTAAAAACAGAGACAATGACGCATCGCTTTGTGGACATCAAGCCCAATTGTGGCTGTCATATCGAGAGAGCCCTCTTTCGTGACGAGAGCTATATCTACATTACAGGAGCGGAAAAACAGTCTGACTCTCCTTCAGGGAAAAGTTACATCACTTATCATATTCGTATTGGTGTAAAGTTCATTGAAACGATGCATGTTGGACCTATGGGGGGAAAACATGACATACTCATTCCGTTGCCATGCTGGAAATAACTCATAAAGTGGTTGTTTTTTCTCTCTCTTTTTTAGGATATTGAAACAAGACGTCGCTACAGTGAATTTGAATCCTTTAGAAAAGCTTTAACATTACTTCATCCTGCACTTATCGTACCGCCTATACCCGAAAAGCATTCTCTAGGTAATTTTTTTTTTTGGGTTTATGCAAGAACCTGATTGAGTTTTAACGAGCCCTACTCTGTTTCCCTTTCATTTTTGGACTATCCAACTAGTGGACTATGCAGCTTTACAAACAAGAGTCAAAGACGACTTGCCCATGATTGAGAAAAGAAAACGCATGTTACAAACGTTCCTGAATAGAGTAGCGAAACACCCAGAGTTGGGTCGGGACCATGTGTTTCATCGCTTTTTGGAGAATAGTGTGAACTGGGTAAAGCTCATAAAAGCATTGCCTGTAGGAGAGCATTCACTCAAACATTTGGCTACGTCCGTTTTAGGCAGATGTACTTCAGTCTCCACCTCTTTCTACTTTACCAAAAGATCCCCTACGCATGATCGTCACCACACAATTACCAAAAGAGCATCCGTCTTTTCCTTCTCATCAACAACAACAACAACAACAACAGCAGCAGCAGCAGCAGCTTCAAACGCATACCTATAGTCCAATACTGTCCAGTAATTTGATACCAACCCCTTCTGCAGCCTATCAACTAAAGAATCCAGACCCACGCTTTGAGGAAACAGAAAAGTTTACTTTCAGAATAGCCAACTACATGAGTAATAATTTGGACAAAAGTCAACGTAAAGTGATACGCAGATTAGGAGGTAAAAGAACAATAAAGAAAAAAAAAAAAAAAACCAAATCCAATCCATTGTGCCATGTTATCAACTACCCCCCCCATTCTGTGATAGAGCTGGCCAATGATTATGCAGAATTGGGAGCTGTCTACAATGGATTTAGTTTGAATGAAACAGGTGCGGTAGCCAATGCCATTGAAAAAATTGGACAAGCAGTGGATGCTTCCTATACAGAAACAGCGCAAATGGTCACTTCATTGGAAGGTGAATTTGCTGAACCCATCCAAGAACATGCTCAGTTTGCTCAAATCATCAAAGAAGTCCTGAAATTCCGACATTTGAAACATGCCCAGGTCGAGTTGATTGAAAATGCCCTGAATAACAAAAAAGAAACCCTGGACAATCTGCAAAGTATGGAAAACGAAGCAAGACGATTGGAAGAAGCCATGACACGCGAAAGAACCATGAGCGGCCTACAGGCCGCCGCTGTCGACGAGACAGAGGGAATGGGACAATCCATAGCAGAAGAGCAGCAGCAGGCCGACAATCCACAGAGCAGCCGTCAGCAACGTGATCCTTATTCCACACTTGCCCAGCCACCGCGACGAACCACCCGTACTAGCTGGACAGGTGCGCCGATGAAGGTCATCAGTGCTGTTGGCCATACCTTACAAAACATGATTGATGTCAACCCCGAAGCAACACGCCGCAACCAAATAGGCATGTCGAAAGATGCCATCGCTGTTTTGCAAAAAGCACTCGACATCAGTCGAAAGGATTTAGGCGGCATCTCTTCAGAGCTTCAAGCGGATATCGATCGTTTTCAAAAGGAAAAAATTCAAAATATGCGCGACATGTTGATAGCTTATGCTAAAATTCACATTCGATATTGCCAAAAGGTAAACCCCCCTTGATCCATTTCTCAATCTGACATGTACCCTATTCAATCATTCCTTTTCCATTTCATTTGATATCAACAGAATCTGGAATGCTGGCAAGAAGCCCGTGCCGAAGTCGACAAGATACCAATTTAAATCTGATTTACTGTATATATGTCCCAAGATGGATAGGCCTCCTCCATCCTTCTTTTTTTCTTTTTCATCTTCCCAACGCGTATAGGTAGGCAGAATAGTCACCCTTTATTTTTGTTTGTTGGTGAGGGAAGGATCCTTTCCCCCTCCCCCCTTTTATTAATGTATTTACAATGAATCATTACCAGCGCGACACTTGCATTTCTATCACTACTCTAACGTAATGTGTTTAATAAAATATATACTGATATTATGCTGTTGATTCCCACAATCCCTGCATTTTGCGCTCCAACGAAAACTGCTTGTTTATCCTATCCACAACGTCTATGGATACTACCGTTTTAGTCTTTTATGCCCGTCATCATCCAAAGGTGTGTTTTCTTTTTTACCTGCGCCATAATGCGATGTCAAATCTGTTCCCGGCGATAATTTATCATGTACATTGGCTTCTTCTTTTGTCATCACCACCGTATTCAAAAGGCTGCTTTTCTTTGTCGCGTCCCATCGAGTCATCACCAACATTCTATCCTGTGCTCCAGAAATAGAACTCTTTCCTTGCCAAATTTCATCAAAAATATACCCCACTTGATTTGTGTCCAAAATATCAGTGCTAGGTAAGAGTACAATGGCAATAGCCCGTTTCATCAGCACATGAACTCGATAGCCAAATCCGCTCAGATACTTACGTATTGTTGAAAACAAATTCTTCTCTTGATGCCAGCTCTTTTTGCATACGAGCATAAACACCATCGCGCATCTTGTTGGTAGGGAGCTTGTAGGCTGTGAATTCTGCAAGCTGTACTAAAATGTACGTGGTCAATGCCATACCAAACATACTCGCTACAGGACTGAGTATGGGTAGAGAACGTCTCCTAAAATCTTCTGATACTAAAAAAAACAACAACATGCCATTGGGTTACCTCCTGGAAATGCCCCGTCCTCGAGTCGTGTCTTGATTTACCTTTTTCTTTGCCCATATGCACATTTTTCTCTATCGAATAGACGACCGGTACCCCGCGATCGATACCCAATTTTCTTAATTGTCGTCGGTACATACGAGCTAATGGATCAGCCATCGTTAGGTTGACGTCTGTCATCTGTATCAAAGACGGGTCTGCTTTTGATCCTGCACTCATAGCACTGACGATTTGAATATCATGTTCTCGGCAATATTGCGCTAGCATCACTTTATCTTTCACATCTGTCAAAGTATCTACTACGAAATCGGGTTTCCTGCTCCCTGTCAATATCAATGTGTCCAAACTATGGACGTTGACTTCAGCTTGTTTTGTTTCTACTTTGGCTTGAGGTGCAATGTCGGCGAGATAACGCTTCATGATGAGTGATTTGGACTGGCCAACATCGGACACTTTCGCCACAGCATGACGAGTCAAGCTATCCACACCAATCACACCGCGATCGACAATGCGAATGTGACCTAAACCTGAACGCACCAGCATGAGAGCTGTCCATGAACCTATCGCACCCGCTCCTAAAACAACCACATACGATTGACGGATTTTCCTCACTCCTTCCTCACCGAAAAAAGCAATGTTTCGAGCCAACAACTCTTCCACAAGTGTCTCATCGATGACGGGATTCGCTTCCTCACCGTTGACCGTTTTATGCATTTCGTCATCGATAAGCGATATAATGGCTGGACCCGAAGGTTTCTCTTCCTTAATAACTTGGTGAAATGCCGATTTGTCTTGTTCTATACGCGATCGTGTCAAACGTTGATAGCCAAGCAACGCTGTCGCTGTTAAAACTGTTGCTGCTACGGCTGTAAGTGTAAGTCGTGAACCTTCTGGACGTTTGTCCAAGAAACTGCTGATGCTATTCATAGTAGAAAGTGACTTCTGTAGCGTCTTGAATAAAAGAAATAGCCCATTCCTTTTTTTTTTGTTTTTTTCTTCTTGCTTTATTTTTTTACATTTATGCGGAAATTTAAAAAAGAAATTGAGGATCACCAAGATGAATGCCATCGGATATAGAGATGAAAAAAGCACACAGAATAAAAGTGTGATAAGCAGTAATTATCGTAGATGCATATGTAAATCAAATTGTTCAAAGCACGCAAACACACATACAGAAAAGAAAGGATGTCATTCAATATATCTTTTGAGCACTTGTTCGTTCAAAAGGGTATCACGGCCTCAGTGGAAGCAATTGAACTTTTTACGTGACGTAGAAAAGGCACCAACAAACAACCTTTTTATAACGGAGCATCAAAAACTACTAAAATTGAACAATAGGATGAAAAAGAAGTGTTCGTCAGTCAACTTTCTCGCACTTCTCCATCTGCAATAAATAACCCAACCGTGGAAAGCACTCATTCAACTGCAGATCCATTCCCAAAAGGCAACAGAGAAGGATGAGTTACCATAAACGAAACGAAGAAATAGGTACACCCCTTAGAGATGCCCAAAAGCAAACTGAAACCAGCTCCTTATGACAAAACCGAAAACCTTACTTGTTTAATTTATAGGAGCCGAGATTGGCTTATTCTATCACATCGACAAGACGGCAGTCTTGCAAGAAGCTCGTGTTTTCAACGATTCACACATTAATGCGAGAAAGTGCCGTCTTCTTTTGACAAAGATTATTTACCTTTTGTACACCAGTGAATCCTTCAACGTGAAAGAGGCAACTGAGCTTTTCTTCAATGTCATCAAGCTTTTTCAATCCAAAGACGTAAAAAAATAGTACATGAAGCCTCTACAGAAATACGAGCGTTTACCAACTAATAGCATCTATCATGCTCCCTTTAGACATCTTTACGCCAATTGATGTACCTTGTCATCAAGGAATTGTCTGGCATTGCTGAAGATGTCATCATGGTCACACAGTCTTTGATAAAAGATATTCAGTCCAAGCAAGAAACAGTTTATAGAGCGAACGCGATTCGTGCCTTGTGCCTCATTACTGATGTAAGTCGCTCTAGACATCTTATAACAAAGCGGTTCTATTCGTAGATAGACTACATTGGTCTAAAATTATTTTTCCTCCCTCGCTGAAGCCTTCCATGATTCAAGGTATTGAGCGTATTTTAAAGGCTTCCATTGTTGACAAAACACCTTCCGTATCCTCTGCTGCTCTTGTATCCTCCTATCACCTCTTTAAAATCGCCAAGGATATAGTAAAGCGTTGGTCAAATGAAGTTCAAGAGGCCATCCATCAGAAAGCTTCAAACTCGGGTTTTTCTTCAGTTGCTTCCAACTATTTCTCGGGAGGACAAAAAAACTCTCAAGTCATCCAATCCACCAGCAATATCAATCAATACCATGCTATCAGTTTACTTTATTTAATCCGTCAACATGATCGTATGGCTATTGCTAAATTAGTACAGACTTTTGCTGGCTCTCGCTCCAGCGGAGGAGGCTTCTTCGGCGGAGCCAACTCTGGCGGCACCTTGAAAAATCCTGCTGCTATTTGTATGTTGATCCGATTCGCAAGTAAAGTCATCGAAGACGATCCCAGGTAAAGTTCCTCCATCACATTGTATTCCAAGAAAGCGCACATAGGGTTAAAACCTTTTTTTTTTTTTTTTTGCTCTGATTTTAAACATGATCCATGGGGCTCTTTCGGTATGGTGATGTAGCTCAACGCGCCAAATTTATGAGATTTTGGAAGGATTCTTGCGACATAAGAGCGATATGGTCAACTTGGAAGCAGCTCGTGCTATTTGTGACATTCCTGACATTCCAGCAAAAGAGCTTCATCCTGCGGTCTCTGTATTACAGTTGTTTTTGTCATCACCCAAACCTACCGTTCGCTTCGCAGCTATCCGTACTCTCAACAAATTATCTCTTGATAACCCCACAGCGGTTGCCTCATGCAATCTCGATATCGAAAACTTGATCTCCGATCAAAACCGTAGTATCGCTACGTTTGCCATTACCACTTTATTGAAAACAGGCAATGAGGCTTCTGTGGATCGATTAATGAAACAGATAAGTGGATTCATGGGCGATATTTCTGATGAATTCAAGGTGATTGTCGTGGAGGCCATACGTTCTTTGTGTCTCAAGTTCCCCTCAAAGCACAGCGTCATGCTAAGCTTCCTCAGTGGTGTCTTGCGTGATGAAGGTGGCTACAACTTCAAAAAGGCAGTAGTGGAAGCCATTTTTGATATGGTGAAGCATATTCCTGAATCGAAAAATGTAGCACTTTCTCACTTGTGTGAATTCATTGAAGATTGTGAATTTACGAAACTTTCCGTACGCGTGCTCTATTTGCTGGGACAGGAAGGGCCTAAAACGCCTACGCCTACAAAGTACATTCGTTATATTTATAACCGCGTTATTCTCGAGAATTCCATTGTTCGTGCGGCTGCTGTGAGTGCACTCGGCAAATTCGGCTTCTACTGCTCCGATCCTTCTGTGAAGAAGAGTGTTCATGTATTATTAGACCGCTGTTTAGACGATGTGGATGATGAAGTGCGAGATCGTGCTACACTCTATCTGGCCATGTTGAATGATGAGCCTCTTGCTAAAAAATATGCTGCTGATGGTGAGTACATTTGTAAAATAGTGTGTTGTTGATCAGTAGGTTCTGAATCATCTCGTCTGTCGGTTTTTCCCATTAGAGGCCACATTTGCTCTCGCAACATTGGAACGTCAGTTAGTCGAATATGTGAGTGCTGAAGACAACAGTAAACAATTCAATCTCGATGCTATTCCAGTGATCAGTAAGAAGCAAGAAGAAGAAGAGCGTCGCCGTAATCGTGTCGAAACTACCACTTTATTACCCGCTGAAAAGAAGAACGGAAAGACGACAGCATCCAAAAAGGATAAGACATCTTCTTCATCCACTTCTCACTTTGATCGACAAGCTCAATATGCTGAGAAATTATCTGCAGTGGCAGAATTCGCATCTTTCGGTGCATTATTTAAATCAAGTGAACCTGTTCAATTAACGGAAAGCGAAACCGAATACGTCGTTGAATGCATTAAACATACTTTTGCAAAACATATTGTTTTCCAATTCAATTGTACAAATACACTCAACGAACAAGTTTTGGAAAATGTGCATATGGTCATGCAGCCTGAAATCGATGGTTTAGTTCAAGTAGCCGAAATTCCTGCTGAAAAGTTGGAATATGATGTTACAAATGTCATTTACGTCGCTTTTGAACAGGAAGACCCTGAAGAGCTTGCTAATGGTAGATAAAATGAAAGAGTTGATAGATACGCTTTCGAAGAAATTCACATTTTGATCTTCTGTATATAGTTTCATTCACAAATACACTCCAGTTCGAAGTCAAGGATTGCGATCCTGCAACAGGGGAAGCCGATCCCGAGGGCTACGAGGATGAATATCAAGTTGAAGATATCGACGTCCTAACAAGTGACTATATTCGTCCCGATTACATATCGAACTTTGCTGAAACATTCGAGAGCTTGGCAGAAAATGAAGTAGTGGAGGCTTTTGCATTGGATAGGGAGAAAGCCCCCAATCTTAAAGGTATTTGAATGGTTGGTTGTCTCCATAGGCTGCCTTTCTTGGATAGCTAACGTTTTCTTTTATTTATAGTTGCTTGTAAATCTATAATCGACCTATTGAGCATGCAACCATTAGATGACAGTGATAAACCAAAGAATAACAATCTACATACCTTATACTTATCGGGAACATTCTTAGATGGATCAAAAGTACTATGTAAATGTAGAATGACTTTTAATGCGTCTGCTGGCGTTGCATTCGAATTAGCAGTTAGAAGTGAAAATATGGATGTGTCACAAATTGTTCTTTTAGCCATTTCATAAACTTAATAAATGTACATTTATATATTAGGTTGTCTTTTTTCTTTTGGTTTTTTTAGGTTTTTTTTTTGTCTGGCTTGTTTGAAAGACATCACTGTATTAGCTATGCTTTTCGTACATCAGTGAAATTGCTAAATCTTTGAGGAACTAGTTGAAGCCAACATTTCTCACTGATGTAAAGCCCTGAATACAGAATACATCAGCTTGGTATCCTTTTGTCCTATTTAATCGTGCATGAAGAAGGACTTCTAAAAGAACCTCCTCCAATTAAAATGGCCAAATTTATACATACTGTTGAAGTCACAAACAGTGAACCAGAGTACCTTCAAATTAAAGCTGGTCTTTAAGTTTATTACTTTTCATATTTTCCATTACAGATCACATACTGTACAATGGCCTCCAAACTTGATCAAGCACTTGATGATGTTATTAGGGACAGAAGGAAGGAAAGGTCCCATGCCAGCAGCGGTAGAGGTAGCAGAAGAGATGTGCGTCCTGCTCAAAGACGCGGTGGGGATTCGAGTATTCGTAAGAGATTAGGCCCGGGTTTCAACAGCAGAAATAATAACAGTAGCAGCAGCGGCAGTTTTGGTGGTCCTAATCGATCTTTTGTTCGCACCGTTGACATTGGAAAAGTAAGTTTGGCTACCTCACAGCGATAAACAAGCAAGCACGTAAAAGATTTAAAAGACGTTGGGTTTCTATATTCACACACACACATCCGTAACTTGTGCGCATTAGAGAGGAAGCAATGACAGAAGTCGAAACGTTAATGGTCAGTGGACCCATGACAAGTTTGATGAGGGCAGTGACTCTATTTTATCTCGCTTGGGCTCTTCAGGCCCCTCTGGTGACCGTAATAATCGACGCAGCATCGTAGAGCTTCATATTGAAAACTTACATTACAACGTTACGGAGAAGGATGTCGAAGAATTGTTCTCTACAGTTGGAGAAGTGGCCAAAGCACGTATCAAATTCGATCAATCCGGTAGATCGACGGGTGTAGCATTTGTACAATACTATGAAATGGCAGACGCTGAAAAGGCTGTAGAGACATATAATAATATTGAACTTGATGGTAATCAGTAATATATTTATACATTGTCAACAGAGAAATAGTCAGTTAACAGTTCACGTTTGATCCCCATTCTATCAGGACAACCCATGCGTATTGAGATTAAGGAAAGAGAACCTACTTTACGCAGTAATAGACCACGCTTTGGAGGAGGGTAAGAAATTTTAAGAGGAATCTTCTTTCTTTTGAAACGGTTGCTTTGATTCATCATCTTCTACTTTTTTTACGTAGTCGTTTCACGAATAGCAACCGTTATGGTAGAGGTTTTGGTGGCAGAGACAATAGAGACGGTAGAGATCATAGACGCTCAAGAGAACATCGTGATAATAGGGACGACCGTAAAAAGCAAGAGGTTACAGCAGAAGATTTAGATAAAGATTTGGAAAGTTACATGCAAACGAACGTAAGAGAACTTAAATGTTGGCATAAAACTTTTATTTGCATACCACTAACTATTTATGTTCTCAATAGAATGCCTCTGAACCAACAGACATGGTGTTAGACTAGGCCCCTTCATACACAGTTTTACCGCGACCAATTTTGCACAATATCTGATATTTATGTAAAGCCGAGTTACGAAAGAGGCAAAAAAACTTTACGAACAGACAAAATTTTCTATGACCTTTTATTCGACTGTATATAATTGCATTTTTCCCTCTGTGTATTTAAATAGTTCATGATCGAAAACAAATTCAGATATAACGCTAAACTTTATGCTTGTGTAATATCAATGAGATGTTATATATGTGAGTTTTCTTAAGCAGTCAATGACATTTATACAGGTCAGCTTGCTTTGAACCGCAGATGTAGGGACATACTTTCGAACAAATGCCATGCTGAAAGTACCTTGACGAGGTAAAAGTTGGTTACACACACGACTTGCAGGCATTAAATTGTTATACAAACTGTGCTTAATGCCATTGTTCATCAACTGTCCTTTTCTTTTTCCTTTTTTTTTTTTTTTTTTTTTTTTTTTTTGTGTGTGTTTTTATAGTGTTCCTCTGTTATTCATAATTGACCCTCTTTTACCTATATATACACTTTAATAACTTCTCAGTAGTTTGCCACACTGGCGTTTGCATAGTACACATTATCAACAACAGTTCTCTGAACAATTTTTAGAAGGGAAAGGAGACGGCCATCGATGCATATCCATGTTTCGACCAAAACGCGAGTAATCTACTACTGCTGGTATGTGATTATATGAACGGCTCTGCAACACTTTTAATTTCACTGATATCAATCATGAACTTTTCCACTGTGCGTGCACAGCTTTCTCGCATTAGGCGGCTTTTTGGTAAATAACATACTATCCATGCTAGTGTTGATGGCAAAGTTAGTACTAATTATTGTAAATCTATTTGTATCGATTCAAAATAAACAAAGTATGGGTAAGAACTTGGTTGAAGCTTTAGTTCTCTCAGTCATCGATGTTCTTCCACTGGCATCAATGAACTGTATCACTCATTTCCTCTTTCTTATCCATTAGCTACAATTTTGGTGTGATGACTGGTCTCTTATTGATGCCTTCGTTTCAAAAAGATATGGATATTACGTCCGAGATGATAAACAGCATATTAATCAGTACTCTCATGGCAGGTGCCTTCATAGGTGCAATTTTTTCAGGGCCACTAGCAGATATGATCGGTAGAAAAGCACTTATGGGTTTAGGAACAATCATATTTATTCTGGGAAATGTGCTTCAAGTTGGTTCAAACCATATACATGCGATGTATGGTGGACGAACTGTAACGGGGCTAAGCTTAGGGTAAGGTTCTTTTCCGTCAAAATTACTTGCAGCCTATATGAATCAAATGGAGGTTCTATGCTAAATATCAACCCTTCCATCAAAAAATGTATAGAATTTTATCTATGACTGTACCACTATGTAACGTTTCAATTGGGTTCAGTGTGGGATTTAATCTTAAAGAAGGAGATGATGACCTTCCTATAGCCTGACTCTAACGAAACAACATTACTTAGATCAATCAGAAATAGCCCCAAAAGACATGCGTGGACGATTAATGTCTACTCAACAGTTCACTATCACGCTCGGGACGTGCGTATCGTATTGGTTTGATTACATGTTTGTAAAGATGCCCGAATCAACTGGTTGGAGGTAAAAACCCAAACAACACGAAGTAGTAAGTTTAGTCCAGATGTTTGTTGAAAGAATAATCGAAATCTCAATTTATTTATAATTGTCTTGTTATATGGCAACAAAAACATTCATCGGCATAGATTAGCGGTTGGTCTTCAACTCATTCCAGCAGTGTTCTGTTTGTTTGGGCTGACCGTATTTCTACCAGAAAGTCCACGACATTCCATCGACAAACATCGGTTTGACGAAGCGTTAACAACTTTATCGAAAATACGTGGGGATGGCAAAACGGATGATACAGATGTACTTATGGAATTTACGGAAATGAAACAGAATATCTCTTTTGAGCAAAGGATGTACAAACATAATAAATACAAGCGTATTTTCGCAAAGGGTGCGGAAAATAACCGAAAACGGCTATGGATTGGTATGGCAGTACAGATATTTCAACAATTAACTGGTGTCAATGCTCTGCTGTACGTACAACCGTTCAATACCATCATTCTACTCAAACTAAAATTGGTATATCTTCGATTGCGTTCTAGAGTTTTTGCACCACAAATATTTCAGTCGACTGGGTTAAAAGGGAGGGACGCTGCTTTGTTCGGTAAGCTTCGTAAAGGGCTATACCTTTGTGCAGTTCATAGATTATTAACGTGTTCCATTTTCCGCAGCAAATGGTTTAAGCGGGTCTATCAACTTATTAGCTGCTATTCCAGCGATGATATTTGTAAGTTTTGTTAAAATCACGGTAGAGAGCGTCACAGTAACCATAAAACCACCTTTTTCTATCATGTAACAGGTCGATCGTTGGGGTAGACGGAAAACGATGATTGCTGGTGCACTTCTACTAAGTGTTTGTAACGGAAGTTTAGCTATTCTGTCTGCTGCTCATGGTTTTACTTACAATGCTAGCACATCAGTTCTCCACGAAGAAATGCCGTCTGCCAATACAGGCAAAACTAGTAATCCGATCTTTTTGATATTCGACGCCAATGGGTCTACTATTGGTTTCCTTTTCCTCATTTACGTTTGTGTGGCAGTGTATTCTTGCACTTGGGGGACGCTGGGGTGGATTTATCCTGCAGAACTCTACTCACAGGGTGTACGTGCCAAAGCTCTGGGCATTTCGACGGCATCTAATTGGTTGTTTACTTATGTCGTTTTGCAGCTGACACCGATTATGTTGAAGAGTATCTACTGGCGCACTTTCGTGTTGTTCTGTGCCTCATGTTTAATTATAGCTTTTGTGGTGCATTGGCAATTTCCAGAAACAAATGTAAGGTTTCGAAGGATCAAAGGTTCCTTTTTGGACACTCAGTTGATACAATTCATTTTTTTTTTTTCGCCTTCCTTTTACAATATAAGGGTAAATCACTAGAGGAAGTTGACCTTATTTTTAGTGGCAAGTTTCGTTTCTACGACGTGGATGTGCATCATCCACAAACAGCAGCAGCAGCCTTAAAACTTATGGAAGAAGCACAACAAAGGAATAGAAACATGTACAGATTTCCCTTTACACCTGAGAGGTCGCTGTTGAATTACAATCATCAAAGTAGAAGGACGCTTTTGCCAAATTATGTCGTAACACCGCCATCGTTTAGACAGTTTTGATGACTCTTTTCCTTACTTTGGTCGGCCTTAAAATCTAATATGCATTTGTAGTATATAATCAGCATTACAAGCCTTCACTTATCAACATCTTCTGATTGTCAAAAAAGTTTCGCAAGGCCCGAAATTCCCTTATAGGATTGAATCATTATTGACTAAAATAGGCTCGAACAAAAGTAACCTTTCGGATTTATTTCAAACGATGGTATTCTTTGCCTCGCTCGCTCAGAGAAAAGCTGCTACCGCTTACAATCCTTTGAGTTTTTCCTCCGTCGTAATACACTAGTATATGATTTGATTGACACACAAGTTAGGCTGTTCTACTCAACAAAGCTTGTAATTTGTACTTTGAATAATTGTACAGTTTCAAAACTAAACCATTGTTGCTACTCGCTATTTCTTGTTCAAGTTGCATTTCTCTTCATTGCGGCGTTTCTCACCAAACATTCTGGATACTTTTGTATTGAAAATTTTGCCTTATCATTCGGAAGTCCTAATGATTTTGCACTGTAAGGAAGGTGAGCATATATGAAACTTCAGTTAGTACCTTTCTATGTCAGACAGTTTGGTTAAAATCAATTTCAACGTACAAATAGAATATATCTCCAGAAGATCGTAACTCGGATACACTTTCTGCTTCGCTAGAGATGATCAAATGCTGCCCCTTTTTTGTGTACTCTGCTAGCTGTTTTCCTAGTTGCAGTGTCAGTAATCTGGCCTGCTGATGATCGCGAATAGCATTTGAGTAACATAATTCAAAGTAAACATTTCGACTCATGGCTTTTGTAATATCTGATGGGTTGAGTTCAAACGTCAGTCGTTCTGTGCAGTCTAAAGCAATAATATCAATATCATAAATCTCGCAACATTCTTTGAAAACTGCCAAATTGTTGGTTCGAACGGCCACTAAATCGTAGGATTGTTTGAATTTCGAAAATTCAAGCTTTTGGGATAGAAATTGAAGTGCAAAAGACGGGAAGGGTCAGCAAAGCGAACGAGTCGGACTGTAATGTAGTATTCATACTTTACTTCTTTCAAAGATTCATTTGTTGTAATTGTGATGCGGTGTAATAAATGCAAAGGGTATCTAGAGTTTAGCGTTGATTGATCTGAGAAGGCTGATGTATCTATTTTTTTTAATGTAATCTACTTAAATAAAGTAGGCATGCTTAATACTCGAGAGCATCTTTCTACCCTTTTTGTCTTTTGTGTACATTTAAAAGAGAATGTATTTACTCTACTCAAATTGCTTGCTTCGACTGTTTGGTTTAAAGCGACTGTGTATGGACTGACTATAACAACAACACAACTCGATTATGAGTCAACTGAATTACTGATGACGAGGTTATCAGGAAAAAAAGGGATCAGTTTACGTTGTGTCAGCCGTGACAAACTTAGCTTGAGTTTATTCACAGTCTTTTGATCTAATTGCTGCCCTGATGGACAAGGTATGTTCAGATCGTACAACATGTTTTGAAATTCCTCGACAAGACAACAAAATGAAAAGTCTAAAAGAATATAAAGATCCGTCTTTCTTTCCATCATATTAAACTAACGCGGGGAAATTTGTGGCTTTTCAATGTTGATCTTGGACCGACACAGTTTATCACGGTATGATACGCTCTCTTAATTACGAAAAGGAACATTGGACATTGCGTAATTCAAAAGATTCATGTAGAAAAAGATATAGCAAGCAAGACATGTAGTGTAAACTGGACTTGATCTCTTCGTATGAGCATGTCCTGAGCTTCTCGCCTTTCAGGACTTATTATAGTTGTAGCTTCAACTTCGAATGCTCTCTGAAGGGTTCAAATAATGAAGGAGCTTATCGACTGAACTGGTTTCAAATAATAAGCATTCAATGTGACCACAGCGTATATGCACTGAAATAGCTGTAAACACCAGAAGAACACGATGTCACGTCAATAAAAAAACTAAGAACATCTTGCATTGATATCTCAAATAAAATCATGAGGCTGTATCAGCTATCTGTGTAACTATTTAAAGTGGATTAGCTTCCTTGCATGAAATAAACCAAATTAGTCAGTGTACGACGAGCGCCGTAATCTTGTTCAAGTTCAATATAATAATAGCTCACACCCGTGAAAGCGCATTCATTTCTTCCCTTGCGTGGTTACCATATGTCAATAACTGTAATGTATTCTCATGGACCTTCAAGGATCAGTGTTGGTATACCGGAGCCTTACGAAATCTACCGCAGACGCGTGTTTAAAGAAGCCATGGTCGCTTTGTTAAATCGATGAATTAGATACTCATTTAATATCCCCATTCAACCATCAATTGAGCTCATCACTTTCACAGTCGAATGCAGTAATGCGTTCAACGTATATATGTAAACGTGTTATCGGATACTTAGATTCAGTTTTCGTGAAAAGCAGTTCGATGATTGGAATTTAGAAAAAATATGGATTAGAATAGTGTCAAAATGAGCCTTCAACTGTAATGGAAAGGAGGTAGAGTGATCATATTTTGGGAGAGTAAGATTACTGTTCCTGCTCAGTTAAAGTGATATCACAAATTGAAAAACCCTGAGACTACAATATCGATGTATGCCCAGCGGAAAAAGGGAGTTCTGTCAAGATTCTTCAATCATCTTTTAAGCAGCACAGTATTCAAGTCTTTGTAGCTTAGATGTATAAACACATCGGGGGAATCAAAGATACCTCGGCATGATTGACATCACTCATCTATCAATGTAAACACTACATAAAAAAAGTAACCCTTCCACTTGCAAGTGCTTCCTTAATTGCTTTACTCTCAATTCTAAAGCTGCCTCGTTACGTTGATCTTTTTGTGGATAGTCGCAAAATCGTCGATAGAAGATACATTGCTTAAGCTTGCATTTACAACTAATTTCGAGAAATAAAAAAAACCAGACAATTCAATTGTCGTGCAGATGCAAAGCGGAAAGTATAGTTAATATTTTAAAAGAAATATTGTGGAGATGGTGTCATCAGTACAGCTGCTATCCAGCTACTTGACCACCCCGATCAAAGGTCAGAATTAATAAAATAACTATTTTCGGCGTCAACAATACAAAGATATGCACTGAGTTTCTGTTAATACACACTTTCAAAGCGTTTCAAACATACGTAAAGCGTGTCAATGGCTTGTCCTCGTTTGGGAGTCGTTTGCTTAAATTCTAGCGGGGAAGCATTGTAGCACTCACCGGCTTTCAATGTCTAACAATAGTTGGGAACAAATAGGTATTTCTACTGTTTCTTGTCGCTTTATTAATTCACAGTAGACTTATTAAAAAGTAGTGTACAAAACAGCAACTTTGCATCAATGACCACACCGTGCAATATGTTCAGTCTTTTTATAGCTTAATAATATGATATATTAGTTAAAGTGAAAACAATTATTCTTATAATAAAATCGTTTTGATTGTAGTTTTCTATTTTGGCTGATGGTGCTCTAGTTGGTGAAGGTGCTCAACTTGTCTATCAGTTCCTTCATTTTCTATTCTGCGTATCACTTGCGGGTACAGATCCCAATCAGCTGCCTGCTGACCTTGACCATTTGCTGTATTAGACTGGGGCTGACTCGTTGAATTTGGTGGTATACTGCGACCTTGCCCAGTAGCATCATTTTTGTCGCCTCCGCCTCCCTGATTCATAACATCGCGATACACCGCAGGATGAGTTAAAATATCAGTATTTCCTGGTTGGCTGTTTGCAGATGGTTGTTGAGAAGACATTCTATTGGAAAAATATACGAAAAAAGGAAAAGAAAATGATTTAAAACAATCAGAAACAGAAAGGAATGGTTATAATCTGTCATAACGTCATATTACCAAATTAAGATTCATGCAAAAAGAAAGTGTTTCTTCGTCAAGGACCCATCACAAGCACCAACGAAAATAAGTACCTCTTTTAACAAGAAAGCCACGGACAGCATGGTACTCTCAAGGTGTCGATCACCATCCAATACAAGCCGTATGCATCAAGGATGATTGATTCTCGAAAAGCGGACGGGCACGTGCAATGCAACGAAATTATTGGTCGTTTTCATAGTGTAAAATACAAAAAAGTAAATTCCAGGGTCCTCCTCCTCTCCAACCTACCAGTCCAAGCTTTCCCCGCCTTTTTTTTTTTTAAAATCGTTCCTTAGTTCTTCGCTTTCAAACGTATCACCCTTCTAGAAGCGATCTATCTATTGACTATTTCACAATGACCACCCCTTTAAAAACAATAGCAACAAAATACTCCAAATATCTTACACCGAAACGGCTCCTGTTCCGCTCATCAGACAACTTGCAGTCTCTTGGTCAGGTCAGAGAGGTCTTTAAACAGTTGGGAAAGTATGGTGAGATGGCCGAATACAAAGTAATGAGAGTAAGTATAGTCTGGGAGATAAGGAGGTTTCATGAAGCCAATTGCCTGTGGTCTAACCTTTTATGCAAATTATTCTGTCATTTGCAACTACTCAATATTATTGTAGTGTCCTGAGACCTTCCAATACCTCAACTACGGCTTCATCGTCTACAAAAATAGTCAGGATGCGGATAAAGCAATGAAGGATAAGTTCATCAAGATTCAGCCTTCCGACGTTTTTAATGAACCTTTTGAAATCAGTCTTCACCTAGCCGAACGCGATGGAGGAAACACACTAAAGAAATGGAAACATAATAGTAACAAAGGCAGTGATCGATTCAGTGACAATAGGAGTAATAGAGACAATGAGGATACCACAATAGAAACTGAGGTCAATAAAGAGCTATAATCGGATAAGAACGACACGTTTTGCTCTTATGGAAAGGGGAGATTTAAAGTTAGGATGCTTGCAAAGGGAAGGAGGAGTACTTCCATTTTTTGGCTTTTGTCAGATGATATGCATACAGTCGTGGTTATACGGGTTTAATTTGAAAGCAGACTGCAACGAGGAACTCTAAATATCTCTTTCAGGAACAAACTTTTTTAAAACCGTTCTAACCAAAAAGAAGAGAAAAAAAAAAGAGGGAAAATGAGAAAACAGTACAAAAAAAAATGAGACGCATAAGAGAAAGAAAGAAAGAGCAACAATGCGAAGAGGGAGTATATGACGCTGATATCGTAAAAATGAAAAATTCACTTTTAAAGAAGGTCAGCAAGGTTGTTCATGCATAAATTGATCTGGCTTCATCAATACGGAGTACAACAAAGCTTCTTTTTTTTTTTTTTTACACTTATACTTGACATTAATGACATATGAATCATCTTTAGTTGAAAAGATGAATGACAAATTTGCAGTTATTTGTTCAGCAAAAAGTCTTTTTCGAATCAGCCTAATGAATATCAAAGAGGCACTAATTTTATGATATGCAATGAATTGTAAAACATGGCCTCATTGTAATATGAAAATGTAGTTTTGAAATGTAGGTGAATGCATTATCCGAATATGCTGATAATGGCAGTCAGACCACATGCTTCTCTATACACTCTCGTTCATTTTCCTTACTTGACATATGGCGTATAATTACTAATTGACTACGACGAGTACTTAGCATTGTTATATCCCTTTCATAGCCTAAATTTGGCTCTCTTTAGCTGTTCTTCTCCTTCCTCCCAAAACTCTATCATCCCTTGAAACTGTATTTTACCAATGCAATACCCGCCCCGCCCCCCCCAAATTGCTCACAGACATGAATTATGCACAAGTCAAACAAAATATTTACTTGCACAATCTGTTCTTTAGTATAAATTTTAATGTGAAATGTCCCTTTTCTCTCTTTTCCTTTCTCCATCTCTATTTTATACTTTATCATTCAACTTGAAAAAAATAAAAGAGTTATAAGAAATGCTTGTCTGCGCTTCTCCGCAACAAGCTACCAATACAGTTACAGCTTCTATAGTTGCTCATAATACTCCAGCTACCACCCACGATAACCATTGTGACCGACATCATGTCTTCAGGTTGCAGCAGACGAATGACGACCAGTTAGAATCGCAACAAATTCCCTTTTCAACGCCATCACCACCATTACAGCATCATCAACCACCATTGTATGCCTATACTCCTACACATCATACATCCACTGTCTATAACACTATGGAAAGCTATGCTAATTATACTAGTGAGGCTCCACATGCTACACAAGTAAGAGATAAGGAAGAGGTGTGTCCCTAAATCAGTAACAAGCTTTCAGATATTTTTTGTTGAAAGTATTTTTATTTACTCCGCTTCCCTCTCATTCACTGACGCTATTGGCAGGTCTGGCCACCCGATGTAGAAGCGGCCTTTGTAAGCGGTAAGCCTGGCTGTCATACTTGGAGCTTTTCATTCTTTTGCCCCTTATCGGCTAATAAACTAGATTATATTCAGCATTAGAAAACCTTCCAAAATTAGGCAGAAGGAAGGTTATAGTCAACGGAAAGCCTTGTGGTAGAAAAAAAAAAAATCAAAAGGATTCTTTCCAATCCAACTGGACGGAGAGTACTCACATCCCTTTTTTTTTTTTTTTTTTTTTTTTTCTCCATTATCACAGGTCGTAATGAGCTTATCTCTGATTACATTTTCCGCAAAACAGGCAAAGTTCGCACAAGAAAGCAAGTATCATCGCATATCCAAGTTCTTAAAAATACGCGTAAAGCAGATCCTTATTGTAAGTGACGAATGACATGCTATGTATTTTGATCATGATGAATTTCCTCTTGCTCACTATCGAATGCATAACGATATAGTTCTGCGACTATTAACCGACACGACCACATCCGAAGATGAAGGCTATGCACAGTTTTCTCCACGCGCTCGAGCTTTAGCCTCCTTCTATCATCAAGCCACGTTTACCAACCACTGTCACCGCAAAAAGACAACCAACGCATCTCGTTATCTGACGCCCACCACATCAACGGCGTTACCAACCGTCATCATCGATTCGACGGCTTCGGATGTCTCCTCTATGTCGTCTGTTTCACCAGCAGCAGCTGATTACACATTTGATTTACTGTCACCACAAGATAAAGAGCACCTGTGGAACAAATCGAACCCATTTTTTGAACCGTTCATCCACGCCTCTGCTAATACGACCAGCGATCTTTTGGGACAATTATTTCCTTTGTCACCCCATACCAAAACAATCTCTCCACCTGAACTCTTTTTGCAGCAACGAAAGAAGAAAAAGAACAACAGATTAAGCTTGAGAAAATCAAAGAAAAACAGCGAAGAGGATAGACAGACGAGAAAAAATAGAAAGGCGAATGCGACTGCTATGAAAAGTAATAAGAAGTCGCATTCGCTCGATCGGCTTGCCCACCATTCCTTCCACGAACTCTCCACCATTGTTTCCGCTGCGGGTGGTCGGTGGATGCCTGGCGTCAGCCCTATGCCCCACCCGTGCCTCCATGGGAGTTACCATTATAGCAGTTCTTGGAGCAACACCAATATTTACCCCTTTTGGCCCACGTACATGTGTTTATATTTGGAAGTATTGAAAGAGACGGATGCCATGACATCCACAGCCATGCCCAGCATGCCTGTACCGTTGGCTACGTTTCCTGAAAACCTGCACACTTACCTGCCTGCCATCATGGAGCCCTCGGAAGTGGGCAAAAACAAATGCCCACCCGTGTTAAGTTTAACCGCCAATCAGCACGTGACAACATTAGCCGCCCACGTGAGACTCCATCTCACACGATCGGCCGAACCACAGAGTCTCACCACAGCGACCACCTTCAACAACACTTTTTTTTTCGAGTCTCAGGAACGCCGCACAGTAGAATGCACGACGACGGTTTATTCTTTTGGTGCCGTCGTTTTGGAATCCAAAGAAACACAGCAAGCGCTTTACATGAGTGAGAATCGATACACCTATAACTTTGCTCTTGTCAACCAGTTTTTTGATGCCTTTCTGAAAGGAATCCAAGCGATTCAATCGAAGGAAGAAATCAATGCTGCTATCAATAATTTGTGCATAGTCCAGGTAAAGGAAAGAAAAACCATGACGGCAGGTTTGCCATGAAGAATGTAAAAAATCCCAACCCTTTTTTTTTTTCCCTACTCCTTTCTTAGGTATTTGAAGATGTAGAAGATAAATTGATGGCGCCAAAGGAGATCAGTCACCTTTCGTTTACATCATCGTCTACGTCTACATTACCTTTGTTGGTCGTTGTGTATGAGTTTGAAAATAACACAGATAGCAGTACAAACAGTCATCAAGGAACCATCGATATCAGGTTAGTGGATACAGTAACGCCAACGTTACAAAAAGACTTGGATTTCCTTGGGATTCAACAGTTACCGCCTACTACGCCTGATAGTACCTGCTTCCAACCAGCAGCAGCAGCAGCAGCAGCAGCAGCAACCACCACCACCATTACTACTACTACTACTACTGCTACGGCAATAACAACACCTGTAGAAACGGTCCATCAGGATCCATTGGCAAGTGTGGAATCACCCCTCTCCACTACGCATGGTGGTGGCGGCACTCTGACAAATCCAATAAACGTCCATACTACTACGTACTCACCAGAAGTATCCGTTTCACGGCCTTCCTCAGAGACTTACGATGAAAGCGATGGGATTTTGTTTTAGTGCCCATGTGAGAGTACTGTATCGTGTGTGCTTTCTCAACCACCCAACGTATGTTTAATAATGTCTAATCAATGCTATGCATTCGTATTCCCCTTTTTTTTTGTTTTTCTTTTTTTTTTTTTGATTGTCTATGATTTTTATTCATATTTACTACCTATACATATTTATACTATTTAGATTATCCTATTCGCCTCTCTAGAAATTTAATTTGTAATAGATCTCCATTGTCACTTTTTTTTTTGCAAATGCCTACAGAACCCTCCTAATAAAAGATCCATTGCCAAGATAATGACACAATATCAAAAAAAGACGATCGTATGTTTTATCTACTACTTTAGTACCATCGATGAGAGTTGTCAAGTGTTTGCATAAATGGCCTCTTAGAAATGGAGAGGGAACAAGCGGCAAGGTGTGTTCTTAGGATTCAGAAGAGCGTTTTACATCACACATGAAAGGTCAAGTAGCTTGACGTACAAAAGCTGTACGGTTCCAGTAGTGTTTCATCGATAGAAAGGGCTCAAATTGAAAAGTAGGGCTGTCCACCCTAATAAGAAAAGTTTTATTTCTTTCCTATGTATCCAAACTAGCAACTGTAGCCAATACATACAATAGTATTCTTGCCTCTCTTTCTGCAAAGGAATTATCCTTGGATGATATTCGGAGGTTAAAATGTGAGGAAGGGGAACACACAACAGCTTCTCACATGAGGCGCCAGTGATAGGTCGTGAAACTCCTTATTGTTTGCTTCACGATAAGAAAGAAGGTTACTCTCCTTTGCATGACATGTATGTAGCTTAATAGCTGGATAGACTTTTCTTTTTTTTTTTCTTGACTTATGCAAAGTAATATGTGGATACATGTAAAGGGATGCAAAGCAGTCATCACGGGGGGAGCCATTCAAAGGAGGTTTGGTTGCTCTCATTCTCAATAGATGAGTGAGTTTTATGGAGCAATTCCCCCAGATCGTGCTCTGTTATGCTCTCTCCTCCAACAAAAAGATCAAATGGTGGCTTTTCATTCGAAGGTTTGTGAAATTGCATTCTCCACACACCCACAACGAGGATGTTCCAATTGACCAACCAAATTGGCAATGATTTGATAGGCATCCATTAGAGATGACTGTTATCATATCAAGCTATACATCATTTGTCTACATACTGTCTTTATCTGAAGGATGGTTTCTTTCCATTGCTCTCAGAGGGTGCTATTCCTCAGAAAACAGGAGTGTCAGACTATCTTGGAAGCAAAGGAGCCATGGTTTCAATAAGTTTTTCTTTTATTGTAAACCCTCCCTTCTGAGCACAAGTCATGTAAAAAGAGGCACACATCAAGATACATCGAACCGTAAACATGAGGCGCAACACAAACAAATGGACAGACAGTAAAAAAGCTCTTCTCTTGCTTGGCCTACATCGGATGGGATGACATCTTTATGCTCTTTTTCTAAGTTTGTATTCGTTCGCGTTGATGTTCATATGAGTTATCTGACGGGCCACCTAAAGTCACTGCAATTTGTCTAAACGCGTGCATAACGATATGCAGAGGTCATACATCTCGTCTGCATGAAGGCAAACTGTAATTATCCAAACAGCGTACGTTGTTTGAAGCGCCTTGGTGAACGTATGATGCACAGATGTTTCCATCCTTCTCAGACTATCAAAGCATGATTCATTGATTAGTTCATTAGAAGGTAGATTAAACTATCGGTAGGGTGTGGTATCTTCTATTGACACCTTTTTCATAGGGTGAAGAATGGGTATATTTACTATGCGACGTAGGGTTATTATACTGCAATAATAATTCATTAAAAATATAGACCCAGGATTTTATTTAGCGTCTGTGTCCGTCCAATGATAATAACAGTTTCATCGTCTGTTCATTCCTATCTATAAACGATCAGCATTTCGTTTCTTCATCTCAGAAGCTTGTATTACTGCCTTTCAAACCGGTTGTATTACCTTTGTCATAGAGCCGTTCATGAAAAAGAGGATGTGCCAGCCTTTGCCATCATTCCATAAAAGCGACTCTTTGTAGACATTGGGCTTTTTCGAGACAGCAACGAGATAATTCAACTGCCTACGAGATACGTTTTGGTATCCATTTCTGCCCTGTGCTTTGTAACAAGTATCTCCAACTTGTTTGGCAACTTGGGCCTCCTTTCCAGATTTTGTTTTTTTTTTTTTTTTTTTTTTGTGGACGCGAAAGACGGCCATCCCGAGATGTCGATAAACCCCGCCTTAGAAAGGTTCAAATGGCCCAAAGACGATCGAATGGAATTGCATAGAGCGAAAAACGATGACGTTTGCGAGAGGGTGCAGACGCTTATTCCTCAAATAGATAGGTCAAATTAGAGTATAGCTCTCCCTTCCATCTTGTCATGTACGCAGCAGCGAATGGTTCTAGATTCCTTCGTGAACCCGCTTTGCCATCCTTCAGTGAAACTCGATTACCAAAGATGCTTTAGCTCTTCCTACAAAAAAGTTTAATCTAATACACATCCTCATAAAAAAAAAAGCAGTGCGCCATCGCTTGGGAAAAAAAAAAACCAAAAAAAAACTAATAGTAGTTTCCTAATTTGTCTGATTGGCCCCTTCTGAGTACAATCCATAAGGTATCACTAAGCACACACACAAGAAGCACAGTTTGTATTACACTATGCCCCCCACTTTTTCTAACCAGGCTAGGAAATGAATCCGCGGATTATAATCTGAACAAGACGAATATTTGACATGTCAAAATCGAAAAATTCAGATCAGCTTAAAACAGGCAAATTTATAGATCAAAAAGGTATCAAAACATCAAATATTAGGAAAAAAAAGATAAAAATTGACAGTTCTTTTTCAATTCCAATAAAGGGACCTTAAGCGATAGGTGTTTTCCAACCCTTCCTTTTTTTCCCTTTTGGACACTCTCACAAAAAGAAAAAAAAAGAACCCGAGAAGGCAAGAAGATTTCACACGGAACATCACTGGGCTTGTTCTCCGGTTTTCTCTTAAACGAAACATGAGCCATAATTAACTCATAACAAAAAAAGACATGGAAGTGATGGGCTGCAGCTATGAAATTTCCAATAGGATAAAGAGAAAAAAAAAAAAAAAAAAAAAAGACAGTACCAGCCCAGCCTCGGATCAGCAGATTTTTCCTTTTTTTTTTCGCACTGTGAAATGCTATCCTAACGCAGAAACGCCATCCATGCATTCGTCCATCATGCTGCGTTTATATATTGGAAATCGCTAACTATAATCCAAGTTCAGTACAGGATTTTCCCCCAAGTGTCTGATAAAAAAAATTTCTATGGGGTTTAGTAATCATTATCCGTAGAAAAAACGACATAGAAATGTGTGCAATTTGCATGTTTATTCAGTATGTTAACGTAACTCTTTACTCTACGAACATGAGTCCTACATAAATTAAAATGAGTCCATTTTTCAGCTTCTCCTTTTTTTTTTTTTTTTTTTTTTTTCTATATGCATTAAACATTTATAATTATAATGAAGCCTCCTAATGTAGCTCTGTCTAACTCTGTGTGTGTGGGTGTGTAAAAGGCTCCTGCCAAACTTGGTAAAATACACTTTTTTGTGATCTGTTTCCCTGTACTCCCCAAGGATTTCTTATAATAATACAAACAATGAGGGCGATTCTTGAAAAGGGAAAAAAAAAAAAAAAAAGAAAAGACAGGAGAAACAGATATCTTAAATAAATATTTAAACCCTGTTTCCCCCACAGTCATTTTTTTTTTTTTTTTCTTACAACCTTTATTCTTTTCTTTTTCCCTTCTCTTCTACCTTATTCTTTTTTTTTTCCCTTCTCTTCTACCTTATTCTTTTTTTTTTCAAATTCGACCACTAAAAAAAATAATAATATGTCTTCTACTGAAAATCATCACGACGTTGAATCAAAGCAAGCAAATGCTATTGCAGCTCCACCAGTGATGGCTGCACCTACTATCGCCAACCCTGGTCCTTTGGGTCTTTGCGGTTTTGCTTTGACTACTTTTGTTTTGTCTCTTCATAATGCTGGTGCTGGCTTACCTCCTACCGCTGCACACGGCGTGGTAACAGGTCTTGCTTTCTTCTATGGTGGCCTTGTTCAGGTACATACATTATGAATTGAGCAGTCATTCTTTTAATTAGGCTTTCAATGACTAACAAGCAAACAAACAAACAAACAAATTTAAAAAAAAAATTATAATTAGCTTTTGGCTGGTATGTGGGAGTTCAAAACAGGAAATACGTTCGGTGCGACTGCATTCTCTAGTTATGGTGGTTTCTGGTTATCATTTGGTTTGATCTTTATTCCTGGTGCCAACATCACAGGCAGCTATGGCACAGACAAAGCTCTTCTCGAAAAATCTTTGGGTTACTATCTTTTAGGCTGGACTATCTTTACCGGCATCATGTTGATCGCTTCTCATCGTTCCAACGTTGGTTTGATTTCTCTCTTCTTCTTCTTATTCATTACCTTCATCATGTTGACTGCTGGTAAATTGAACGAGTCTATCTCCTGTCAAGTAGCCGGTGGTGCTTTGGGTATCATTACTGCTCTGATCGCTTGGTATAATGCATTGGCCGGCTTACTGACCAAACAATCATCCTATTTCACCTTGCCTCTTGGTCGTATCAACTAGGGGAAGGGAGGACACACACTTTTTACCCCCCCCCTCCACCCCATATTACCAATTAATTAACTAATGTATACCACTCATACTAATCCTAATACTACTACTATTACTTATTCACTATCACTACTTATATCATTTACTTATTATAACATCTCAGGGCCAAATCAGACTTTTTTTCAGAAAAATCGTTTAGGGGAGATCCCTTCTATACCCCTAAACATCATTCACCTTCTTCTAAATGCATGCATTTATTGCATATAAATTATGCTATTAAAAAAAAAAAAAGAAATAGTTTAAATTGAGTCCTCGAAAGCATGTTTTTCATTTTATACAACTTCTAAGTCCATTTGAAAGACGAAAAATGCAACAAGTAACAATGCTTCTTTCTTTCCATTAAAAAAAATATATATATATTGGGTTAAAAGTATACTCAACAAACTATACACATCCGAGCTCGTACATGTACGCTCTCTTTTTTTTTTTTTTTTTTTCCTCTTCAGTTGACGGTTCGATACGACTCCTAAACTCTCCAAGTACATAAAAACCTTACCCCTTTTGCAGATGAAAATCTCGTAGATTTTTCAGGCAACACTTTCATACGATGACTTGCCAAAGCCAATGAGCTCTTTAAAGCGCGTCATTCACTTTTTCATCTCCAGCTTCTACAATGGGTGTATTCTTTGGTAAAAAACCAAAGCTAAAAAAGTCGTTCACGAATGAATTGTACAATAGCCCTTCTATTCCTTCCCCCATGTGGGGTTACCCTTCTGTCGACCATCATTGCTTTTATGTTGGGAGAGGGGGTGGATCTATACGCAGAGGTCGTACTATCGCAAGTAAGGTTGACTAGTAGGCAGACAGTCGCTGTACCGTAAACAACCTAGTTAGCAAACGGTCAAGCTATGGACGCGTTCAAACAATGGAAGGGTTGTTGGAAAGAATATTGCTTCGTGAAAGCCCTGTTTCAAAGCCATCTGTTTTGTAAATTTATTATCACGACACAAAAAAAAGGCCGTTGCCTATTTTCTTATAAGATGGAAATGAAGTCCTTTTTCAACTATTGGATGACTACAGTAAAGCTCACCCTTGATATGAACTATAGCATTTCGTTTTTTTTGTTTTGTATCATTTTTGGACAACGAAGGAGGACGTTGGTAAGCTTCAGTATAACGACGTTCTCGTTTTCTGCAATCTGTGCATATTTGAAATACAAAGTGGTGGTGTTTTATGCATTTAGAATGGAGTATATTGAGACTATGTACGCTTTCATCTGGGTTGGACAGTTGTGGACTCAAACAGTGCATTTGGTTATTGTTCAATTCTCCACTAACTCTACTTTTGTTACATAGCCTACCCAGCGCCTTGCTATGCAACCTGAAATTCAAACATACGATTATTGTCTTGTCCGCATGAAGATCAAATTTTGTCAAGATTATGTAAGACAGCTTTTCTGATTGGGCAATTTCCTCATTATTTCCAGGAAAAATATTGTCCCAATCTTGGATTCAAATTTTTTTTTTTTTTTTTTTTTTTTCAGTTTTCTCTTTCTTATATTTTGGCCTTTTCTTGTGTTTGGTTTTTTTTATTAGTTTTTTTTTTTTTTTGTTCTAACAGAGAAAAGAAAGCCTTTTCTTGTGTTTTCAACTGATTCTTTGTTTCCATTAAGTTTTTTTTTTTTTTTGACTTTTTGATATAATCAACCCGGTCATTATATAAAAGTTCATTGTTTTGTAGAAGGGAAGAAACGCTTTTTTCCTCTTATAAACCCACGCAGCAGGACCAAGATATTTTGTGAATGGCTTCTTCATGTTTATGTATCCTGTGATACCAGCAAGTACAAGTCAAGTAACCTCAGAGCCTGAAAATCATACCAGTAACATGCCTCGTAATAGAAGTCTTTCTGCTGCTTCAGCTACCAGTGCTACCAACGCCTATTCCAACAACAACAACAACAACAACAACAATACGAGCAACAGTGGTTCATCCCCAGCTTTGTTATCGAGAGGATTTGCAAGCCTACGAAGGGCCCACAGAAGATTATCCAACTCAACACCTATTACCCCTACCTCACCCTCTTCACAGCATCAACCACCACCACCACTACCACCACCACCACCACCACTGCTCATGCCGCAGGACCCACAAGAATCCAATCCTATGGCAACCTCCAATCATTCCGACAGACCTTCCTCCATTGAATCCCTCCCTGAGAAACCCCGATTAAGACTCATTCCCAACGTAGGAGTAGCCACCAGAAGTTTTGTATTTGATATCATTGATAAGGAACTGGAGATAGGTGTCACTTATAGAGTGGGGAGGTTCTCCGATAGAAATGCACTCTCTGACAGATTATCTTTTAAAAGTAAAGTCGTGAGTCGCAATCATGCAGAGTTATGGACCGAACAAGGAAAGGTAACAATAGAAATAAGAAAAAAAAAAACCCAGAATACAAGTACAGACCATACTAAAGAAAAAGCAAACTGGTAAATTCTTGGAAAAAAAACCAAAAAACCCCCCCACTCCCCAAGGTCTTTTTACGTGACATAGGATCGTCGAGTGGTACCTTTCTAAACAGAATTCGACTGAGTCCACCCAGTCATATAAGCCCTCCTCACGAGATAAAGGATGGTGATACGATTCAATTAGGCGTTGATTACCAGGGTGGGTTGGAGCCTATTTATCGAGCAGTGCGTATTCGTGTAGAATTGAATAGACAACAGCAAACGGCCGATAACCCATTTACCCGGACTGCATTCCAACAGTTGCGTTCTCATCTTATTGCTCACCCAGCAGCAGCAGCATCCGTACCAGGATTGCCACCGACAACGACAACAGCCTCAACAACAGCTGCAGATTTTGTTCAACCTGCCGACTTGGGACTTCACCGTGAACCTACCAAAGTGGATCATGCGACAACCATGGAACCCTCCTCTGCCATGGCTTCATCTATATCGGTTGCTGATATGGCCAGTCGGATGCCCTTGAATACATCAAGGGCAGACATTCAAGAATGTTGTATTTGTCTTTATGCTATTGCGCCTTTTCAAGCTCTATTTATTGCACCCTGCTCACATATATTTCACTTTAAATGCCTTCGACCCATCGTATTCCAAAATTATCCAGGCTTTTCTTGCCCGCTTTGTCGTAGTTACTTTGATTTGGAAGCGAGCGTGGCCGTGGAAGTAGAGGAAGTCTTGGAGGCCTTGGAGGAAGCTAAGCGACATCAACAACAACGACAACAACAACAACAACAACAAAAGCATACACATGCGCGAACAGCATCCATTGACCCTGTACCAGAGTTAAACGAAGAAGAAGAAGAAGAAGAGGAGGAGGAGGAGGAGGAGGAGGAGGCCGCAGGATTTTCTGGAGGAACAGATGAAGAGGCTGATATCAATACGGCAGGACGTATGGAGATGTCATCACCGGTGGTCTGCGTTACCACTCCACCGGTACCTTATGTAGAGGAAGAGGAGGAGGAGGAGGGGCAGACGGCATCCATCACACCCACAGCAACATCCCTGACGCAAGCCATTTTGATGAATCAAACCGACAACAACAGTCGGTCCTCTATTTCCTCTGAAGAACAACCCCATTTACAAACACACTTGAACGGTAGACCTACAACCACCACCTCCAATAGAAATGGGGAAGCCTTACTTTCTACGACCTTGGTAGGGTCGCCGATTTTTGATACACATATGATATCTGCTACTACGACTTCCAGCAACTCCGCTACCTCTGGACAATAATAAGAGTGGATAGACAACACCAAAGAGAGAGTCCTTTTTTGCTTTGGTTTATTTTAATTTTTTCATTTTACCCGTTTTTTTTGTTTTTTTTGTACAGATTTGCGATAAACCCCTTTTTCTTTGCTGTCCGTTCGAAATCCATCCAGCACATTGGATCATATAACCCACTTCATCCCACTTTAAATTTGTTAGACTAACCCTATTTTGTGTATCATCAAGAAAAAAAAATAAGCCCACAGTTTTCTATAGACCAAGAATAATGTATTATATATTCTTTGACCTCCATTCTCCTTTTTCCAACCTTGTTACCCTCCCACCTTTTTATTTTGGCTACCTTGCAGTCAAAAACATGTTGAATAAAAAAAGAACGTTGCATATGTCATAGTCCTCACGTAATTTTTTGTTTTTATTGTTACAAATTGGGGAAAAAAAAAAAAAGCTACGGGTATGAGTGAGATGGTAGTAGCTTATCGATAAGAATCATTACGATCCATAAGTTAAAGGTCTTGTTAATATTTCACGGACGATAGCAGATGCGCTTTCTATAGGTGCTCTCACTGTTAAACGATACATCTACATTTTTTAAATTAAAAAAAAAAAAAAAAAAAAAAAGTCAGTTCTATAGATGGGCTGATTGTGGGAGGCTCACGCATCACTTACATTTTGTTCAAGGTTCGGTTCCAGCCGTAATAAAACACCAATCTTTCCTCCTTGTGGACCTGAATCTATAATACCGGCACCCACATAGTTATTGGGATTGGGATCCACCCCTATCAATAGCCCCAAGCCGAACTCTTGCAGTAGCGTCGTCACATGCGCAGGTTGAATAGGCACCTCGCTCTTGAAAATCACTTGGCTCTCGCGAGGAGGACCCCCGATTTGATTCCAACGTTTGAAAAAGTTGCTTCCGTCCATCGTCGTGATGGGTTCTTGAAACTTGGTCAGGAGAATGGGTAATTTAAGGTGAAGCACCTGACTCTCCCGATCCATGGTATACGCAATGAAAATCTCTGGTGAGTGAAGAAAAACATCCCTACATTCGACCGAAAGAAGCTGCTGCATTTGTGATCCGCTGGGTAGGAGAGCTTGCCCTTCATCAGGCGACAACACGGTCACATTCACGCCTTCGACAGGTCCAACGACCAGACGGATACCCGACATCGTGTACGCTGTTTTATTGGTCAAGTAGAGAGCCACTCTGCCCTGAGCGGCGTGATATTCTGACTTGACGGACACTTGCATTTGCTGGTCTTCATATAAAACACCCTCTGCTTTGTGCTGAAGTAAGTTATAACCGAGCTCATAATCAGGTGCGAGCGGCGTAGTTGTATCGAGGTGCGTTGTTTGAAGTGCACTTTGTTGATGAGAAGAACGATCCTCGAGTGTCAAGTCGGATAAATCGAGCAAGTCGCGCTCCTTCTCTTGTGGTGGGTTTGGCTGAGTCAGCATGGACGAAAGGTGGCTCGAAGGCGCAGTCATGGATCGTACAGGCGCCGCCCCAGCAGAGGAGGGCGGTGCGGGTGCCGAAGAACGACTATAGCCCGTCGTCGTCGTCGTCGTCGTGGTGTGGAAGTGATCAGCTGAGCTTGATCGAACAGAGACCATCCGTTTAAGCGTGTCTTGACGTTCCGCGTTGGCTTCACGACCACCAATCACCCATACACGGCTGTCCACCGTATCCCCTTGCTTCTCGTTTAGTTTCAATAATAAAGTGGATTCCCTTTCTGGGAAAGGAGGCATTTCCTCACACACTGTCTGCAGCATGTCGTCCGTTGCCATCGTTGAAATAGAAAAGTATTCACATGCTCTTTGCTGGAGCTCAGCATCCAAAACATATCGGTATTGATTCAGTACAGGCAATATCTGTCCTTTGATCTCTGGAAACAAATTCACAAATTTGACATACGTCGTCAAGAGAAGCGCGCGCGTTTGCAATGAGCAAAGATTGAACTTGGCGTGGATGGCATTGAATTGCTCAATAGGACTGCAGCCCCTGAGGTTGGCGATTAAATGACCGAATTCACCAAGAATATAGCCTCCGACTTTGACCATGGTTTCGTTGTATTGGGGCGATCCCAAATAATTAAGTACGGTTTTGGCTGCATATTCTTGTAAATCTTCGTTGTTCGTCACAATTTGAACGACGCGAAACCACACTTCCTCACTGACTTGTTCTCCCGCTGTAGAGATAAGCTGGAGAATAATATCGACATACCATGAGTACGTTGAGGCGAACTTTTCCGCTAAAATGGCTATTTTCAACACCATTTCCTCACGCATGGCATAATCTGCTACCTGCAGGTAACGCAGTAATTCCGATACAATCACTTTGGCATTCGATGTATCGCACATCGAATACAATAAATCCAATCCTCGGCGACGGACACTGATATCTTTATCTCGGAGTGACATCAGAATGGTCTCTTGGTGCCGTTTGATGGGCTCAAGCGACGTCAAACAAGCTGCTAAATGAGCCATGGTTTCCAAACCTAAATACCTCACATTCGTTTCCTTGCTAGATATGAATCTGCCCAAAAGCGCTGCTGCTTGCGCGCAAATGCTGGAATTACTGTCCACATGAATAGCAAGGTTGATCGCTTCAAAGAGAACGGCATTTTGCGCGTTGCTGTGTTGAACATTCTTTGGTGTATCCTGTGAATTCGTGATAATGATTTGCAGTAATTCTGTAATATCGGCTTGTAGCTTGGGATCGTCTTTTGGAGAAAAAAAATAAAAGATGAATGAATATCACGGAAAATAAAAACCCATTTCAAACGAGTCGGCCCCCCCCCCTCCCCTAATACCTACCAGGTGGAGGATAATATTGAAGTAAACGTAAGCATTTCACTTGTAGCCAAGGAATGGGCACTTTGTAATAGATATAATCGATACTATAATCTCGATCAATGAGAATCTACACAACTCAAAAAATGGTCAGGGTTTTTTTCTCCCTCTTCCTCATCTTTTTGAGCATCAACTTACCCTTTTCAATCGATTCACTGCTTTTTCGTAACATCCGCTATATTCGTTAGGATAGCTTTGGGCTAGAGCCAGAATCAATGTTGTAACACTCAATGCAACACCCTATCGAACACATCCATAAGCATCGAGCTTGAAATCAGCTTATATAACTCTGTCTTACCAAATCGTATTCATCCATTAAAGACACAATTCTTTCAGCCCATTCCATCACCGGAACTACATCTGGATGTTTACGAAACAGACGTAACAATGTCAAAGCAGCCTTCTTCTTAACAAAGCTTTTTGACGTCCTATAGAAAATTTATCCCATTCGTCAATGCCCTGCTCTTCCAATACCATTGTCCCAGAAAAAAAAAACCCTACGGTGATATCAATAAACGATGAACATCCACAGCGAGACTTTCGGCCATTTCTCTACCACCAATATTTGCAATGGCATGCAACGCTAAACAGTTGTTGATCTCGTTCATATCATCTAGATCCTTCTTGATCGAGTTGACAACAAGTCGAAGCAAATCACTGTTCTCATGGAAAAGCAAGGTCACTGCTAGATAACCCTAGATTGCCATTTTTGTTAGAATAAACATAGTAGTCCCACCCTGATGATAGATCAGTCAAACTCACAATTTGTTTTTCGCTGTACTTTTGACTAGAAATCAAGTTGACAGCTTCCATATGACCGAAATCAATATCCCAACCGAGAATGTACATGTATAGTAATTTGCAGACATATTTCTTCTTTTGATACCCATTCAAATTTCCCTCTGTAAAGGGCGTGTTACTGTCAATCCCAATAGTGTGTGTCTTAAAGACTCGTCATCGCTTCATTCCTACCTTTGAATTTCGAACGGATATTGGCCATTTCTTTGTTGATTCTTTTTTCCTCCAGCTCACGTATACGACCTAGAAGAAGGAGAAAGTGAGGAGGTTAATAGCCCCACTTGCGATCGAGGGACGATGAAAATCAATCACTTACATTTTCTAATGTCGGCTAAGAAAAAAAAAAGGTTCTGTTAAAGATGACGAATGGACAATGTTCGTAAAACATGTAAAGCTAATTTACCAATAAAAACCGTCAAGCCTCGCATGGAGCTCATTGTGGAGTAGTGAAGTCTATTGTGGAAGTCAAAAGCGACTAACTATTTGTATGCAACTCAAAATAAAGTGATGAACGGAGCTAGAAAGCGTAAGTAACCCACAGCCGTAATATTCACTTTTTTGGAGTAGGACAATCATTCATTTGGGGGAACTTAATTTACATTTTTTATTAACAAGTACTGTACAGAAAAAAACAAAAAGTTTCTTTTTTTTTTGTTTTTGTTTTTTTTTTTAACTGACTACCGTTGTTACTACCGTCGTTACTACCGTTATTATTCAAAACCAAAGCCAGTAGAACACTCACTAATGGCCTTGAAAAGTTGCGTACGCAGAATATCATAAGATTCATATTGCGGTAAATCAATTTGATTGAAACTAATAGGAGGAAAAAAGAGAGCGTCAATACAAATCGTATAAAATGAGACATGAAGACTCTCTCACAAAAATATCACTTACCAAGTATGTGCTGAGGGTAACCTATTTACACTTCCAAACTCTTTGTGTATTTGGAACTTTTGTATGCCGTTCGAACCTTGTAACTTGGCAAAGCCTTCTAAAGGAACTTTTGAGGTACCAGTTGAGAACTGAAGTAGCTTGGCTCTTTCTTCTTGATCAAATGATCGCACCGCTCTCCAAAACCATTGAATTTGTGGCGACGATAAAGTGTAACCTTCATATTCAGTGTTAGCTTTCCAATCCTCAATATCAATGTCAGGTAGGCCGGATATGAGTAGTTCTAATTCCTGCTCATTGAAAATTTGTATCAGATCCCGTGGAATGATATCATGAAAACCTTGCAAGAAAGCATTCACTTGGTCTTTGATCGCCAACACGAGTTTGTGTTCAGTAACCAACGTAACATATTCATGCTTGTTCTCCTCAGTAACAGAAATTTCACGGCCATTGGGCTTTAGATCAATTGTTTTGGTTGTACCAAAGTCGTCGGTTTCGATACTAAATGTTAAATCCATGATATCCGTTATATCGTTCTCTAGCATCCAGACTAAACTCTTGTAGTAAGCTAGATCAACTGCTTCAAGATCACGATAGTCAACAGGACGTTCAAGCATAAGCTTATAGAAGGAACGTGTAAAGTAGGCATCCAATAATCTACCATCATGAATGGCTTTACCAATCACGCGCCCGACGAACTTGAAGTAGCTCAAATGCTCAGGATTAATACCAGAGGCGCGATTGGGTTGATAGGTCAGCTTATCAGCAGCTGAGGTGATGAATAAAGCATAATTTGGATCGAACATTTGTCTTGCAAGCACTTGGAACCATTCCCTGGAAAGGCCACCAGCATCTGTACCATCTTCATTGTCAAACTGGACATTGAGTTTGCCATACCTTATTTCGTCACCTGTAAACCCTTGCAACTGACGATACGTATCTTCAAAGACATGGTCACGACGAACATTGAGTCGAATAGGGTTATGGAAATTCTCCTCTTCTGAACGCTTATGAAGCTGCTGGTTGAAATAACTACGCTTATTATCAAATTCCAGTATTTTGGGGTTCTTCACGAGAAGCGAAAATGCACCATTCATCAAAGATGGATTGTTGCGAACCATAATATTCAATAGCTTCTTATGTTCCTCTGTAAAGCTGAGGAAGAATTGTTCTGCGGTTGTAGCCTCACGCGCTTTCATACTGTTACCGTTGACAATTGAATATTTAGATACAGCCATAAAGGACTCCACCAAAGGTAAAAGAACTGTAGCCACATTGAGCAAATCCTCTCTACCTTGAATGGCCTTTAAGCAGCCACTCAACATTCTCCACACTGGCGCGAAATCTAGCTTGTTGTATAACTTGACCAAATTTTGTTGATTTTGTTCAGTTTCATCAGAAGTCATATGACGTTTATGGGTATACAAGTAATCCATTGCTTTTAGAATACGTAACAGTCTGGCTTGATGAGATGTCGCAGCAGAAAACTGAACCAGAACAGAGCCTGTAAGTTCTGTACCTTCCTTTAACTGTTCTAACACAGCAGCAAGCTGCTTGAGATCGCTTAATACTTCCCCACCACAGATATTGGCTACTGCAGTTAAGGCATCTATGATCCATATAAGAACGCCATCAGGGGAGGATAAATAAGAAAGAATACTAACAGTATACTGGAAAGTATGACTGGAGCATTCGCCGTTACAAAATACGTTGACGATCTTTTGAAGATAATCTTTGGGAATCTCGGGAGCGTGGTGTTGCGATTGTTTCTGTCCATCCGATGTTGGTTTTTGATCCCTCAGCTTATTGTATTTCCGAACCAATTTGGGATAATATCGGCAAATAGTCATCAAAAAGTTCGTCAACTGCTCCATCAAAAAGGTATTGTTTACAAAAGCCTTACGGTCCAGAAGTCCCAGCAGAAACAGTATAGGTGTTTCATGACATAGCCTTGATTTCCATTTGCGGTTGTTTGTTGAAAGACGGCGCTTCCGATTCCAGACTTCTTTATTCGCCAAGAAGAATCCAATAGAACGGTCGTTCCAAGTAACGACATAGTATGCTATCTCCAAACATCGTTGAATAATTAAATTGCTTTTAGTGGCTTGCTTGGCTACATCTTCGTCTGTGATATCTCCACCACTAGTAAATGAGTCTTCACTAGCATCTTGTAACTGACAAAGTAACAAGGATAGCAAGTCATCACGGGTTTTACTATTTTCGCATAAACTTAACAGTAATCGATTCAAAAGGGTCTTGGAGAGTGAATGAGGTACGAAGAGTAATTTAACGAGAGAAAGTAACTCTGAATGCTCTACCAATCGAATGGCGTTGCGATGAAGTATAGCTCTCCTATTTGTTCCTGCATCCCTAGACAATTGCTCATCACTATGGACACTCGTTTCCACAGGCTCAGTCTGCGGCTCCTGTTGAGCTGTTGTAGCCTCAATAGTATTCGTAGCATCAATATCAGAAATATGCCTGCTGGATAATTGTTCGGAAATTTCAGCTCGAAGGTCTTGAGGCAAGGCATCCAAAAATTCAGGACTGATATCATCGTCCATGTCGTCCATCATTGATTGGTATTCCATTGCAGTTTGACTGAGAACTTCGGCACGCAAATTCTCAGGTATCGCACGTAAGAATTCAACATCTATTCCCGTACCAGTGATGTCAACTTCTTCCCCATCAATCATTATTGTAACAGGTTCTTCCTCTCCTTCCTCTTCTTCGTCTTCAGCCTCTTCATCATCTTCTTCTTCGGACATCTCATACGCCATTGCGTCCTCATCACCTACAGTTGCTTCTCTCATCGATGCTTCATTTGCTGTTGTTGCTGTACTACCTGTATTTTCGTCTAAATTTACGGGTAAATAGAGTGAAGTGCCGTACAATTTTGCATTCTCATCTTTCGATTCGCTTTCTATTTCAATTGTATCTTTCAAACGTTCAGTCAGATCTTTCGATAACTTGACAGCTTTCTCTGTAGCGACGGGTATCATGAAAACCATCATAAATTCTTGACTCCAACGATCAACTGTTTGTACTATTGAGAAATCTTTTACTATAGCTAAAGCATGTCTCGTCTCTTTTTCAGCAGTTTCATCAGAGGAGGAACTTGTATCTGCATTAATGTTTGAGGATGTATTAGTATTGCTACGTCCCTGTTGTTGATGTTGTCGTTGTTGATGATGACGTTGCTCCTGAATCAGTTCTTCCAAAATTTGAACAGCACTAAAACCAATTATATCTTCATATGCTTGCAAATGACTGCTACTCGTAACGGGTAACATTCTATGTCCAGATGCTGATTGGTTTTCTGTTTCGTCTTCTCCCATAGCGTTTCTTACTATTGGATGCAGGAGCATATTATTCTCTCTTGACCGCGAACCATGGGCATGTGAAAGACCGAATGCTAATCATAGACCAAAAGGTCATAAATATTTGACGCGCTGATATTGATAAAAGATCAAACTTACCATTTATACGGGTTATTCCGCCCAGGTAAGAACCCACTACAGAATACACATAAAGAAAAATTAGTCTGGCTAGTTTCAGTCATTTAACGAATATGTCCTTACAATTTCGAGCAACATTGGTCATTTCTTCCTCGTTCAAATCTTCTTCAAGGACATCTTCCTCTGCTTCCGAATCAGAGCCTGAGATATCGCCTCCACGCTCTTCTATAGGATTGTCTTCGACCTAGATATTTTGAAAATAAATTGTAAGTATGAGGTGCTATTGTCATTCTTATGATTGTGTTACCATTTGAACACGTCGGGTTCTGAAATGACCACGACGGTGCACTTCTTCCGTTCCAATTCTAGCACCCAAATTTCTTGCTAAATCTCTCACTTCATCCAAACTGGTTATGGATGCAGCAGAAGAGCCCTCAGATGAATCATATACACTTGATGGCGCAATAGATATGCCAGATTCGGACCCGGAGGTACTACTGCTTTCATCTTCATCACTACTTTCATCCTGTTATGGGGAAAAGGTATCATTTAGTGCTCGCCATTGTATTATATAGTGCTCCATTGTAATGATACTAACTATATCTTCCTCTTCTTCGTCTTCCGTGTCCGACTGATGATATCGATGACTCCTCATCAAGTCTTCCATTTCTTCATCTTCCTCTAATTCACCGTCGTCATCTGATTCATCCGAGGAAGATGTATCGTCTATGATCTCTTGGCCAGAACTATGTCTAGAGTTTAGTAACGGAAATCCAAAGCAGTGATTGTGTAAAGACTTTACCTGGCCATCTCAACGTCAGAATCCTCCGATGCTGCGTCTATCTCTTCTTCATCAGTTACTGTACCATCCATCATGGCTAAAGACGAGTTTCTATAAATATCATTCACATCGGCTAGAGGAGAATCGTCATCATCTGTATCCATGGGTATAAACGCTTCGTCATATTCATCGCCGATGTTGCTTTGCTGTTCCTTGTTCTCTGCGTTAAGCGCTGTAGGGTCCAAACGAATAGCCAACTTGGTGAGTTGTTCCAATGGTACCAAAATCGAGTTGAGCACCGACTTAGCATGAGGATAGTTTACATCAACATCCTCAATAACAGAAATAAGGAGGGATACAAATTTCTTTTCAATCATCAACTCACACATTTGAGAGATAGCTTCAGGCTCGATAACCGAGCCTGGTATCAAAGGTGTATAATGAGCAAATAAAAGTCGATGACTTAATTCAGATAAGGCAATATAGTGGCTGTACTTGTGACGAAGACTTCCATTGGACTGCAGGGTTTCCTTGAAAGCACGAATGATTAGATCCAATACATGTTTTCTTATACGTGTTATTGCGACGTGCGCAGATTGGTCTTCTTTGACAGCATATTCGTGATTCACTAATCGAGTGGTATCATAGCACATACTGACGATAATGGAATAAGCCCAGGTTGAAACATGCTGCTTGAGTGTTTGCTTTTTACTGTCATCAGAAAATGGTGTAGTTGCATCGTAAGGTAAGAATTGCGTTATCATTTTGTACACTACAGAATCTCGATTTTGTGAAGAAGATTCAAAAATATCGTATTTGCAACTGGGGTATGAAGAGACAAGTTCGAAGACAAGCTTCAATAGGAAGCCTCTATATGCAATAGACAAAATATTTTCGTCGTTATTATCTGATTCATTAAGCTGTTGCAGTAAAAACTTCATAACAAGAACTGAAGAACCCTTTGCTGCTTTGTTCGATGCATCTTTCACTGTGTGGGCAGCATCCTCATTACTTTGATTGAACTTAATGCTGACTTTGCCATCAGGATATTGTGTCAAGCGCGCCAATTGGGAACTGACGTCTAAAAAGATCTCAGGATCACGAAGAGCTAGAAAACCATTGCTGCGAATAAAAGTTGATACTGTATGGAATTCTGTCTTCACCAAAGAAAACCAATATGGAAGCCATTCGCGCATACGCTCTTTGATCACATCCTTGCTTTCCATCAAATGACGCAATATCAATACTATATATAGCTGAACCATCTTGAGTCGCTCAGCATTCTGTTTTGATTGCTCGAATAATAAATTTAAGCCATCCCATTTCATGAACAATTGGGCAGTATCATAATGCTTCGTCAAGCGTACGATGATACGAAGAGTAGCGATGAAATTATCTTGTGTAAGCTTATCAAGCTTGAGCAAATCAATGCAGTACTTTAAAAGCGTTGTACGATTTTCATTTGAGATGACTGGAGATTTCTTTGTGGAATCGACCCTGCTTGCTTCATTACTGACTATAGTTGCGTCTGTCACACTTTCATCTGTAGGAGGGTCAGAGAACGCTAACTTTGTTTCCAACACGGAGAATAATGTAGTCAACCAATGTGGATTCGCAAATTCTCGATAGGTTACAATGATATTTAGGAAATCAAACCAATCAATGTAATCAGATAAGGCCGACATGATCAGTGGCATTACCTGATGCATAGCTGTCTCAGACGGCTCATGCATCATAAGAGCAAATATACGTATTCGATTGATAGTTGCTTCGAATACCGCCCGTTTATCTTCAAAAGATGCGGCTGGGACTGTTTCGTTTTCATATTGATGTCCTTGAGAGAACAAATGTATTGTTCGTTTAGTATTGTCTTCAATATTAGCAGGATCACCACAACAGAGAACGACCATTAGATCACGTATTTCCAAATCAACATCATTACGAACATTTACTAAAGACGCAAGTTGTTGAGGTAGATTCTCCCGCATTTCACGGCGCATACTTGATAAGTCATCGAAAAGTTCCTTCGACTCCAAAGAGACCATCTCTTCCTCTCCAGATCCAGATTCATCTGTTTCAACGTCAGTGTCAATATCCTCATAATTCTCATCATTATCGTCTTCCATAATTTCTTCCTCTGGTTCAGCAGTTTGTGGAATATTTTCTTGTCGCTCGGCTCCATGATGAGAAGGGACTGGATCCATAGAATCCAAGCGTGTAATAAGTTGATAAAGTAGGTTTCGTCGTTCCCCCTCATTGAGGGGTATTACTTCTGTCTCTATATCTGCCAATACCGTTTCTATAGCCGACGTATTATACCACAAATTCACCAAAATGCGACGAGTTGCATTACGCTCAGCAGCTGTCAAAGGCGTTGACGTAACCAAATTGCTGGACGAAATGTTACTCAAAATTGGTCTACCAGCACTGACAGGATGCTCTACCAAACGACGACTAAACAAGTAATCTAAAGCACAAAGACCATATTGAAAACGCGACAGAGCATTTTCGACAAGATGAGATTCAAAGCCCATACCAATCAAAGCAGTACGGTTGGCTATAAAATCTGGAGAAGAGGAATCGATACTGCTAATGAGTCCTTGTTCATCATTTTCTTCATTGTTGTTGCGACGACGAGGATATCGCTGTTCACCATCTGACTTGAAATGCAACGTTAGGCATCTAAGCAATGACTGCAAGACATGCTTTGAAAGTTTATGTATTCCACTTGATTGCGTTAAGACGTAAGGCGATAAAGCACAACAAACCTCGAGATGAACTGCAGCTATCCATTGAAATGGTTCGAACTTTTCATATATGCCATCTTTGAGCGTTATTGAGTTGACTTGCACAGAAAAGTGGATGGTCTTGGCAGAACCGAGGTGATTAAGGATTGCGAGTAGAAGTTCGATACACGTATTGACCCTTTTACAAAGAGTGGATTCCGACTTTCCATCATTCACTAATAAGTTCATTTGCGTCCAAAATTGGGGGAAAAGTGTGTTCAACATTAGATCAAGGACGCCTTCTAACCTTAAAGCGATAGCAATAGGCATGTGAATTGCTGTACTGGATCGATCATTGAGAAGTAACATAGATATCATTGAGAAAATTGAAGCATAAAAATTGTAACGGTATTCCAGCTTTAAATCATTAAGATACTGAAGACACTCTTTGAAAAATACAGTCATTTCTAGGCCCACTTCTAGAGCTCGTTGCGCATTCAGATCAGAGTCGGAAAAACGAACAGGTGCTTTTGTAGATGCTTTGATAATTCCCTGAAATATCGGCATGATAGCAGGCGGTATCTCTCCAATCAATAATTTGAATCGTCGAGTGTTAACTAGTCGAGGATCTCTAGGCTTTTCTTCATCATCCTTGTCCTCAAGGATAGTTGTATACCAAGATTCTGGAACTGAATTCCTTAGTAAAATGTTTTGCCACACCATTGTCCTATGAATTTCCCCAAGAACTTGCACGAAGGTTTTCCGTTCTCCTTCTTTATCATCTTCAGAAATAAAAACCTTTTTCAAACACCAAGCGATAAGTTCCTCTGAATGATCTGATGAAGTCAAGATAGAGGAGGCGAAGACTGACGACAGCAATCCGGTATAGCCAAAAAGGATACTGCATTTACGGAACAGTTTATTACCTTTTTCAATGGAAACATTATTTTGACCTAATATTGAATAGAAACGTGCGCATTTTAGTTTCCCCAGGTCACATTAACATCAATTACACGAATCCGCTCGGCTGATACTTACCATTTGCTTCAATAACCTCGTGTATTGTACTTTTTCCCTTTTGAAAGTCTTTGAAAATGAATTGAGAAGACTCGTATATCTTCGAGGCTATCAAACCTGCCAGTTGCAGTGGATTGGCATCTGATAGCACGCGGAAGACAAAACTTAAAGAGTCAAAAGCAGAAGTAATCACAAAGTCATAAGGTAGATTGGGTAATTCATAAAACTGAAGAATTAATTTGCCGTAGGTAGACCACCTTTCCGTATTTGATGTGTTCCTCAGAAAACCTTCTAAAAACTATTAAAAAAAAAGGGGGGTTGAGTATTGTGCGTCATTTTTAAAAAAAGGAAGAAACATCGTACTAATTCCTACCTTTGCCACCAAGTCGACATAACCCAAAGTTAGGCATTGCGGCTTTTCTTTTTTTAAGGGCGTAGGCTTAAGTACAAGTCTATCAGAATGGTCCATGGGCCTACTACTATACGAATCTTCTTCTGTTTGACTTCCTACTTCAATAACCTTTCGCAAGAGTTCGTTCTCTATTAACTGGTGCACTTGTTCCTTTAACTTGGGTTGGTGACGGGTTAATTCATCCATCATGACACCGATATTAGTTGCTGCACTATTCGTGAGCTCATATACGTAATGGTTGACAAATGGAGGTGAAGTCAATAGTTTGAAAAAGTAATTGAGAGAATCCAATTCATTCAAAATAGTAAGGCCTGTCTCATTCAAACAAAAGGCTCCAAAGCTGTTGATAGCTGCTACCAATACCTCATGACTATAACTTGGTGGGCTGTCTTTGATGGTTTCATCGCTGCAATAATAACTGTTGAAGGCTTTCAAAATAGCTTGAGGGAGCTTAAGTTCCTGTTGCAGAGCAGAGAGTGAGGTAGGTTCAGAGTGAATAAATAAGGTAGTGAAATTGATTGCTTGGGCAAAAATAGAGGGCCCAAAGACAGGCAGATGTTGAGAGATAGTGATGATACTTTGACCGATATTTGTCGTATCCATTAAATTACGTAAACCATCTGTAGTAGCTGTGGTATAAGATGGATCCATTAGGTGCATTAGAAGGCGGAAATTAAGTTTAATTAAGTGCAAATAGTTGTATTTAGAGACTTGGTCTTCATTATGAGCTCTATGTAATTGTAAGCGTTTTTCAACAATGACTTGAATGGTATCTGTGATTACATGTATGCCGTTGGCATTAAAGAAAGATGGGTATGCTGTGTCTATTGTAGTCAAAATTGTGTCCAAAAGGCTGAGGACATGATGCAATACCTGAAGAAATGAAAAGTAGGTTAATGATCAGACTTTCGTCTATTTTCTTGCAATGCATTGCTTCACTTGCCTTCTCATTTACTGTACTCAAATGATTTGCCTGGTCGAGCAGTTGAACTAGAGTTGAAATGATGCCGGCCGTCATCAGCATTGTTTGACCAGCGGGCGTTTGTAACAAAAATGATATTAAGTTAAAGAAAGCACCATAAAAATCGGATGTGTATGCTATAGATTGAAGATCATAGTTAGCTTCGCATTAAAATTACTTTACTGTGTTTCCAATGAGTTACCAGAAGCAGGTTTGACAAGTTGGCGTAAAATATGAACAAGAATACCATGATTAGCGGATGCGTTGAGAGTAGATAATACCTCGCTTGCTTTTGATTTGTGCCTCGCAACGGCTTCCAAAGCATGTAAGGCATAGGTTTGAATGTCCTACAAAAACAATATCATACGTTTAGATTGATTATTGTCTTTCCTGTTATGGAAAGTAGAAGTCGACAATACAAATACGTACTATAGGAATATCCTTTTCATCGTATGTTATAAGCTGCGCAATTTGTTGTACGATGTGAGGTTCATACAGAAAAAGCCTGTTTTGAATGATCGTTTCTGGCATAGTGTGTGCTATAAGGAGAAAGGTTCAGTAACTAACGCAAAAAGTTTACACTATACTACAATAATAATTACCCATGATGACTATTGATATGAATCTTATGACCAACAACTGTCTACAAACAAATACGTTGTTTGCGTTGTTGGCAAGTCTGACTTTTACCAACAGTTCAAAGTGATATTCGTCAGGGATGTTATATTCCTGTACTAATTTCCAGAATAATTCTAGATCAGATAACTGCTGCTGTTGCTGATTTATTGCATAGTCAATTGTTTGTAGTCCTTCTTTTTTATCTTTGTTATCGGTGCTTTTGGATGTTCGGAAAAATGATAATTGTATTTTTGTTACTGAATTCCTTTCAGAGACATTTGTGGATTCTGCATTTTTTATGCGATCGATCAAGTTGACGGATGATTTACTACCGATGCTTCCTCTGTCTTTTGCTAATTCGATTACTTTATCCTGTTGTACATAAAATGCTGAAACTACTGCTCGAGGGTCACTGACCCGCAATGCTGGTTTAAGGAGTAGTTTTAGAACTGCCTCTAAAACGTCAATGTCGGTAGTATTCAATAGATTGTTTAAATGCTGTAGTAGGTAAGTTGCAGGAAAATTCGAAGAGTCAGCTCAACTGATACCAGGTATACTCTGTTTGTTAAAAGACATTAGTGCGTACCTCGTAAGAGTTGTAAAGACTTTTATTTGCGCAAAAATCGAACAATATTTTTGTAAAGTTCAATATGGCCAATAATAGACTTTTCTCGGCTTTTGTAAATGGCTCTTTCTGCACATGTTCATGCAAATGATGCGTCGTTTCGGCAATATTTTTCAAAATGTCATCGAATCGGTTGAGTACTTCAACATACTGAAATAGATCGCCTTTAAGAGAAGTCCATGAGTTAATTTTGTCAGCGAATTCGGGGATCTGTTCTTGATCGTCATGCAAAAGATGATCCACAATGGATCTCAACTGAGAAGGCTTTTCATTAACAAGGACGTAAATGCAAAAGTTGTGAGTCTCAGGTCTTATTTTCTTTTTTCGCTGAAATTGACATTACCAAAGGTTGCACTTTCCTCACTGGAAGTCTAGTGATATGCATTCAGTTTAGTATTTACAACAGCTCGCAGCAATAGAAGAGAAAGATGCTATTCATAAATAGCAGCGAACTTTTTCGGAATTTTTACTCAAGGAGAGCAATTTTGAGCTACAAGAGTTAAAATTTTCGCAAAGCTTTCCTGATCAAATAGCAATCCTGTATTTCTGTTCGAGAGGTAAGGGAAGCCCTAATGGTCTACCCGAAATATATTTTTTTTCGGCGGCGATTCTTTTTCAATTCAGGTGATGATTATGCAGCCACAATTTTTTTCATTTACAGCATTTGTTGGTACAGCAGTTCCAAGATTCGTCGAGTTAAAAAAGAATGCTCGTAAATTCGAATTTGCTTCAGTCCGTTCATTTTATTGAAACAACTCTCTTGTCCTTTATCAAGAGCAAAAGGGCACCGTTTGCTATGAAATAAGCGGATTGAGTAAGCCTTTGAAAATGCATCGATTTGATACTGGGTATTTGTAATGAGAAAAAAAAGAGTGGGCTGTTTGTTCAACTGCTCCTTCTGCATCTGACCGTCTCAAACAAAGAAGCAGCTATGAGCACCCCAAACAGAATTAAAATAATTCTGCTTTACATGACGGTGACTCGTAACCATTGTTTAGAGCTGTGGATTCTACCTGCTAAGCTATCTCTCGAAATACTCATTGCCTAAAGCTTTATATATTTTTCATAGCTATTAACTGTCTACTCTTGCTTTGTTTGCTGCAAATATTCGGTCCAAGCTACAGAAGATTTAGCTATTACTTCGAAATGGATGGTGCTTGAATGATTTCATGGTTCCTGGTCTTCGATGCCGACTTTGTTCGATTGTGAAGTAAAGGTTATATGTTTTTATGCACAAACTTGATAATTAACCATTCATAGATGAGGTTTGAAGGAAAAGTTAAGCTGGGAACTTCATGAAAGAAATGAAGACCGGCCGTTTGTAACCACGCTTAAGACACATTGTCTCTCACGTCGAAACTGCTGCTCGAACTCTGCCAACATTGCGATACTTATTCCCTTCAAATATCTCTCTTTGAATATTCCTTAACTTAAATTACTTCCAACTTGGATATTATAACTAGCTACAATGTTAATCATTCTTCGGTATGTAGTACCCATGCTAAGTACGACTTATTCAAACGCGCTTTTTGTGCGTTTGATCGATCGATTGAGGGCTAGTATACTGATCAATAGGCCGTAACGTGGGCAGTACATAAAGCTAAAATATTTCTTGTTCACTTGGAATAGATTTTTACAAAAATAAAGAACGAAGAGTGATAAGCTCTTCAATGGCGTTAGGCCCGCTTCTTTCCTTCTCTCATAATAAAAGCTCTTCTCTTTAGTATTTCAAAATTGAATGTAAACTATTTTTATAATTGTGTGATAAGAGTGTGTGCCAACTCGATTGCCTTTTTAGGTTAAATTGAATTCAAATAGAAAACGGGTCCATCTGATCATTGTGAAGGAGTTATTTGTTATCAATTCGGTTATATGATAGAATAAAAATATGGTATTTACTACAAAAAAGCATTTATATCAGCGCAAAGTACACAATGAACCCAAATGGGTAGAGCCCTTAATAAAATAACCAACCAATTTGTAAGGTAACCTAAGCTGAAGAGTGTTACATTTTTTTCGCTCCTTTGTAGTGCTGACACTCAAGATCAATGCTGGAGAAGTAGTTCGCGAATCAATGGTTGTTGTATTGGGTTCTGTCGCGTAACTTGAGCAATACAAAAGATGACAACAAGGCCGTTCTAGTTTTTCCTTTATCAGCTCTTTTTTTGGTTTTAGTTTTTCTTGACGACACGACATTTTTTTACGTGGGAGACATGTCAGAAGAATAGCAGAAAAACGAAAGAGTAATAGCTAGTATATCACCAACTTTTTCCCTATTTCCCGCGATACATTTATCAACCAAAGCTCATCTGTGGCACACAAGGTCTTTAACTTGAAGAGTAACTGGACGGCGCGATCACCCGAAGAATAGTCATCATGAATAACAATAAATTCATCAACGATGCTTTCTGCGACTGCTATGTAATACTTCTTTGGAAGACTCTCTTCTTAACTTTATTGTACTTCTGCCCCGTTGTGTATTTTCGGATACATGAATAGATGAGCCTTCCTCTTTGAACGACTTACATACTTGTTGTTTGGCTTTACATTTACTTTTTACCTGTTCGTCTTCTCGTCATTTGTATATGTAAATGGATGTACCCATAAAAGAACTGTAACGTGGTTTGTTTTGTTTTTTTTCAATCTTTTTATTCTGGTACTTTTTTCCGTACTTGCTTTTTAATTATTTATTGTTCATATTGTTGACATGCATTTTGTTGAACCAATACAGATTGAATAAGGATATATTAATTGCCATCACAATATGCATGCACTTTTAACTGTTTGTATACGTTATTTATAGAGTATGAAATGAAATCATGCGTAAATTAACTAAAATGATGAGGCATTTTGTAAGAAAGTTTAAATTGTTGCTGTTGCTGCTGCTCCTATGACCATAGAATTGGAATCTTGGTTGAGATAGCCAGTATCTGCAGCATAGTCCAAAACGACGCCAACAAATTCATTTAGAATATTGATAGAACCATCATTTTGTGTTTGTACATTAGCGGTATGAAATTGGTCAGCGATGTTTGTTGCAGAGGCTTCGGTAGGTGTCGAAGCAGATGAGGATGATGATGATGATAATGCACATGAGGGCGATAAAAGGTTATGCATGGAAGGTAGCACACAGCAGAAGTTTGCGTCTCCCCCTGCTGTCGTCGTCGTCGTTGTTGTTGTGGAGGAAGTGGTAGACAATAAAGGTGATAGCAGTAAGATATGAGCGCTTTTGTTGTTGTTGTTGTTGTTGTTGTCCTGTTCTTGTTGCAGTTGAGTGATATGGCTATTAGGATGACTTGGAAGGGAGATATCGGAGGCGCAACTATTCGCTGGACTGTTGCTTCCGTTGCTTTGTGGAATATCTAAACTGTCATAAACACTGTTATTTATGTGTCGTTGTAAGAATAGATCGAGGGGCGGTTCAGATGGCAAATGTGGAGATAAATCGGGTAAGAATGCAGGGCTTGCTGTAGTGAGAGGCGTGGATGAAGGTAGGGTCGCTTGTTGCTTTTGCTGCTGTAAGGTTTGGTAGTAATGATGAGGGTGGTCTGTAACGTGATTCATGGTTTCAATGGATGGTAGTTTGATCTTTTGTTGTGGTGTACTGTAAAATGGCAACTCTTTGTTCATGACGGAACTATCGTGATGACGGTCATTTGGATGGATATTTGTAATGCTTATAGGATCTGTGGAGGGTAATAAAAAGGTGGCTGGCGATGTTGTGTCCATGCAAATGGACGCTTGTTGCTGCCTGTTCGTAGGGTGAAGTGATAGTCTGCTTTTGACGGGTAGTGGACCATCCAGGATGAGGCGTCTGCCTAATCTTCTGGCAATTTCATGCTTCACAAAGTCTTGCTTTTCAACAGACTTTCCTTCGCCGAATTTTTGACGTGCTAATCGATAGACACGGCATCTCAGATCATTTTGCCTGTTCTTTTCTCTGTTTTCTGCACGCCACTTTCGCATTCTATCATTATTACTGGGATTAGATTTCAAATGAAAGAGGCAAAGTTTTTATTTGAATGATACCAAGAAAAGAAAAAAAAAAGAGAGAGAGAGGGAGGGAGGATCAACATACCTTTCGGTACTTTCTTCTTTCGATATCACTTTTTTAGAGTGACCTTTCCACCTCTTTTGATCACGACAGCGAACATAGGGGATATTATGAATATTTGGATTCTCCATATGGCGTTTTCTATAACATTTTATTGAATGAGTATGTATTCCGTTTTTATCCAGTGCATTTCTGGTACTTACAAGTTTGAACGAGTAACAAAGACTGTGAATTTTGAGTAATATATAATAACGCAAAGCAGAAGGGAGGAGGTTACATCAACTCAAACTACACGCAATGGAGTAAGTGGCTTGGGGACTACCAGCTTTCATACCTTTTGGACATTGGGAGCAGGTGAAAATCTTTGTTGATGCTGGTTCTTCTGTTACTGCAGTTGACATAGGTAAAAACGTATCGTAGGATTTTAAAAGAGCACGGATAATTTTCAATAGACAAAATAAGAGAAAAAGGACAGAAAGAAAAGAAAAAGGAAAACAGGGTTTATGTATAAATAAAGCTACATAAAATGAATATATATGGTTATATATGTATTCTGTGTCGTGTATATAAAAGATGTAAATAAACAAAAGAACTGTGTTCTAAGTTTAAAAGGACCACCTTTCTTTCGCTTTGATAAGCAAAGAAGCAGCCAATTTGCCTTTTTTTTTTTTTTAAGTTACACCCTCACTCCCGCTCTCTTTCTCATGATGACATTCGCAGCGCCACTGACTTTAGAGTATCACTTAGCCTTCTTTTGATATGTTATTTATTGCTGTATGGCTTTTTGAAAAGATGGTATCCACTTACATGCGCATGTTTTTGTTGCAAAAATGCAATGAATTCAATTTGGGCGGGAAAATCTGTGTTGGCAGCAACAAAAATGCACCTGAATAAAACTGTACATAGAGCCTAAGTTTGAGTTGCTTAAGTGACATTAGCATTTCAAGGTGCATAAACTTTACTGCAAATCACCACTGTACACTTGCACTCATTCAGATTAAAGAAAGAGAATTAGCATCTGACTATGGTTCCTCTTGTATAGCTCGATATCTTCCTTTTTTAGATATCAAAGCACTTATCAAAATGTGAGTTCTGCTGTTCTTCTTGCTGTCTTTCTTTGAAATGTCTATGATTCTTTTCAGTTTTCAGTCAAATAGCAAGAGAGTCCAAATGTCGGAAGTCATGTGAAAGACCCTCTTTTTCATCTGAGAGCAAAAGTGTAGAACTCATGGATCAAACGACATTGTCTGCTACTGGAAAACAACTAGAAAAAGACCACTATTTGTACTTCTATATTGCAGCATGATGACGATCACTTTAGCTTGTCTGTTATCCAGAACTTAACTTTCCCCGATTGAGCACATAACCTATTTTACGACACTTTTCCCTTTAGTTGGCCCCCCTGAATCCATTTTTGTTCCCAAGCAGGTTCAGGAATTTTCTATGTTGTCATTCTTGAAAAGATATGTAAGGAACCTTCCATTCCCATCTGGACAATAACCATGCAAATCCTCTTTTAAAAGGATGAATAAAGTTTCTTTCAGTGACAAGTTTATTATCTTCTATAGTGTGACTGAGCCAACAACAGAAATAAACATAGTATACATGCTTTTGTTGGTAAGCATTGAACGATGGGTAATAGGTTTGCTAGCCATACATCCAGCTCCGTTGTTCTTCTTCCTCTTCTTCTTTCACCTGCTCTTCTGTCTCAAATTTGTGTCGACACATAGGACATGTATGATGCAACTGTAACCAAGGAACAATACATTCTAGATCAAATAAATGCCCACTTGCGTAAAATGATACACAGTGAATAGGGCGCAAAGAACGAGAATCTACCTTTCTCTTCCTACTCACTTACCATGGCAATTGGGTGACAGTATGATCACTTGATCTAAGGTTCTCTTTACAAATAATACAACTCTCCTCCCTTGATCATCACGAAGCAAGTGAGTATAACCGGCTCATTTTTACTCCAGGAATAATGTTTCTGAACTCACTTACTTGTCTAATGTATTTTTGTTCAGGTTCGGTAAGGTATCAATGAATCTTTTTGAGGCAGGTGGAGGGCCCTTGGCTTCATTTTGAGACTCTTCTAATAACTGTGAAACAAGATCGTCTAGGAATCTTTCCTGATCAACATCACCTCCTGTTCGCATCTGTTGTCGGAATTGGCCAAAGAACCTAGATAACGGTATTCCAGTTATCGAATTAATTTCGTGAAACAAACTTCAACAGCCTTACAAAATCACGCAAGCCCTTGCCTAGCCGTTTGAAGGAGCTGTTCCACATGACGCATGTCTCCCAAGGTTGATGAGCTGGTGTTTGATATAGATCCGGATGCTGGGTTCATGAATGCATCGAGATCGACATCGTATGTCTTTTTCTTCTTATGACTGTTTGGTTGAATACCAAGTTCATCTAAATCGAAAGAGAACAAAAAGCGTTCGTATCTGAGTATAGGCTTCAAATAGGTCATCTATCACTGTTATAAAGCATAATACCATAATAACTGGCCATTATTTCGAAATGTAAAAGAGACACGAGTAGGAAAGGTACACGTAATTGAATATTCAATTTGATTTATGCAATTCATCTATCGTTCAGAAACAGTTTAGCCCATCATAATTCGAACTCCTACTTGCGCTTTTCTGCCATAATTTGAAGGGTTACAGAACATATCATTTTCTTCTTAATAACAACGAAAGATCAGTTATAAATATCTTTGGTTAGAGTCTTATGTAATGTTTCTTTCGTCTATCGATATTTGGCGAGGTGTTGATTTTGTGAATTCGTATTACGAAACACTGTTGCGGCAGGATGTGTATTCTTATAGTAGAAAGCTTGCAAAAAAAAGGTTTTCATGTCATATTACGGGTGAGCATCGACAGCCTGTAGAGGGTTAAATGTGTCTGTGTCCATTCGTGTATAATGCCTGTTATCGATTAGGAATAAATGACTGTAGCTCTCCAGAATGGCAATATGCCTATAGTTGTACTACATTGCGTTTCGTCTTCTGTAACATCCAGTTAAAGTGATTTATGATTGTTCATTGTTTAAACAAGCTATCTAGCAGAATTGCGCTCACGAAATGCAGAAATAATCAAACAGAATGATGCAACACAGTTTACTTGGCTGCTACATAAAGCATGGCAGTGAATCCGTACGATTTCAATGTCAACAGATGACGATCTTTCGAGGGGATCAAACTGCTTTTTTATTATTGAATGCGGGATCTTCAGTATATATGAATCATAATTGAGTGAAAATAATGAACAATGTGGCGATCAACTAAACATTCAGAATAAGGCTCCCATTGCAGCGAATAGCCTATAATGCTGAGTTTCTTTCTAAACAGAAAATCAAAGCTCTTCATACCCACCCTTTTTTCTGCGTCCCCTTTTCAACATTGGCTCATTTTTTTTTATTTTTTTTTAAAAGCCTAAAAGCCTTGTTTCTCCTATCTTAGTCCCTTTCTTCTCTTTCCAATCTCTTAAACCTTCTTTTCTTCACATTTCGAAACCTTTCTCTGGTCATTTCGTTCATTTACACTCATTTTGTCAAAGAGACTGAACCATTGGCCGCAACATGATATACCTCACATCGAATAAGAAAGTGCTGCTGCCAGCCGTTCTGTTATTCACTCTCGTTTCACTAATATTCATATACAACGCAACAAAAGAACCCTTTAAAGGTTACACCAAGTCAATGGAACTGCAACAATCCTTTGAGACGAATAAGAAACCTTCGATTTTGAATAATACAGCACAAGTCGATCATTTGGAATTGACAAGAAAGGAATGGGAGTCTTGTCTTGATCCCGGAGAAACCGCTTCTGTCTATCTTTCCATTGTTATAGTTACTAGAGTTGATAATTATGCTGGGTAAAGAAAAGAAAGGTGCTTATATGACTATCCTCCTTTTGTCTGATTAAATGTTTTTATGATTGTTTATTTGAGTAGAGGTCAGCAGCATCGTTTACAGAATTTCATTGATTCTGCATATATTTTAGCAGAAAAAACACAAACAGACATGGAATTATTGATTGTCGAATGGAATCCGCCCGAGAATAAAAGGCGAGTGATAGATGCTTTTGTAAGTTCTTACTAGTCTTTGAAAGCTAGTCGTCCTCTTTTTTTGGTATTTTTTTTTTCATGTACAGCCAATTAATGCTTATTCTGGAATGCGTATAGAGGTTTAGAGCATCCAACTATTTGAAATATAGAATCATTACTATACCAAATTCTCTACATCAAATCATGAAGAATCGCGGTAACTCACCTTTACATGAATTTGAAGGAAAGAATGTGGGTATTCGCTTTGCTAGAGGCGAATTTGTAGTTTGTACCAACCAAGGTAACATCAGTAGTGAATAATTGGATCGTAGTACCAGTGGACTAAGCTGTTTTTCTTCCACAGATGATATTTGGTCTCACAACTTCCACAATGCTGTTCAATCAAGAGTCTTTCAAAAAAATGTCATTTATCTACAACATCAGGATCCCCATAATATTCATGATAATTTACCACCTTCCATTGTCAATTTGGAACCCTTTCCTTCTGATGAAACCATCTACGAAAGCTGTAAACTAGGCGATCAATCATGGGGAAATTACACTCTTCCTCCACCCATCAAGGTCACTAGTCGTTGGGACATCAAGGATAAAAAGAAAGAGATTCACATTTTGGAAGCAGCAGATCAAGCAGGTGACTTTACCATGGCTCATAGAGATACTTGGAAAATCCCAAGAGGTTATCGTGAAGATGGCGGTGTTGCTTGGTAAGTATTCTATTTGCATTCATTGTGCATGGAAAAAAAAAAAAAGAAAAGAAATTGTTCCTGACCCATATGGCATGCTGTGCACGTTAGGATGGATATTGAATTCATATGTACCGCTGCATGGACAAAGAATATTCCTGTTGTCTACGTCAAACCTGGCTTTACTTGCCATCAAGAACATGCCAATGTCTGGGAGAACAATAAGGAAGCGATGAACGACAATAAGAATATAGACATGGGCAAAATTGAACGTAAAGAAAGTGTTTACATGAACAAAGATGGTGAATGGGCTTTGATGAATTACAACATTTGGGAGAAAGGTTTAGGTTGTATCGAGTTCCAAGGTGGACTTCCTCTGTAAAGAAAAGAGCTCAGGACACTGCAATTGCTATCCTTATTTAATTGATCTTTCTTTTTTTGATACTATCACTTGCATGCGACACTGTCATGACTGTTGATTTTTGGTGGTGGGGAAGCCTTCTTCACCATTAGACTGTCAGAACTAAAGTCCATAGTTTCCCTGGATAGGCTGTTATTTGTAACGTTAATTTATTTTTCTACATCATTTGTTGTTTTTGCTCCTTCCAATTTTATTATATATTATTATCATTATTGTTACAGTGATTAAATTGTGTATATTATTTTTTCTATCTTACTCTCTAAGCACCCTCTGAAGTAACCTGAGATAACTTGGTAAGCTTCTAGGAAGCCCATCGGATGGAAAACTAGGAATTCTGTTATTCAATTTATTAGTTGTTGAATACAAATTTTATTACTTATGCCAGATGTATTATTTGCATTACTTTGAATAATCATTTTGCTAGTTAAAAAACATCAAATCCTATGTCAATAGCTGTTCGACTTCTCTTACATAGTATGGACTAATGATATTCAACCTATCGATTACATCAAAGCTTCGTAAACAATACTCAAAAGCCGGTGAACGTACGAAAAGAAAAATCGAACAATTGTCCCGGAGCATGTGTGGGCCTGCAGTTGACCAACAACAGCAGCAGCAAGTAGTAGTTGATGTAAGTGCTGCAGCATCTGCACCATTCGTAGTAGCTGAAGGGTTTGATAGCCTTGATTTAAGCACGGAATACGATCCAGCCGCTGCTGCTTATCTCAGTGATTACCAGAGGATGACCTTCAAGCTGAAGAAATTGCCGCAAACACTCAACTTTGTGTCCCGTTGGAATCTCCTCCTGATGAACCCACACAGTCAACTATGCCCCGTTTAAATTACCAAGCCTTGTGGGGGGCAGTTTGGTAAAGAACCTTTAACGTGGTATCTTGCGTCAACGGCTTTGCATGGTGAGTCAACGTTCCGTGCGAGCCCTCTAGACATAGACCCTGTCTCCTGCGTTTGTAACCAGAAGAAGCAAAAGGTCGTAACAGTTTATTTTTTCAATTGCAAGTTTGTCATTGCATTTCAGCTATTAAAAGTTTAAGACTGAAAAATTGAAATCTTTCTTTTAATAGCACAAGCTGAAATTACTGTTGCTTACTGCAACTGCCGTACGCTTTCCGAAGCATTCATCTTAAGGCAATGAATGCCAGCTTCAGCTGAGCAGACTAAAACAGCTGTTGATTTTGCTGTTTTAGATTATCTTCACACCCTGAAGATGGAAGCTTCCATCTCAAATGATGCATACACAAATGTGTATAATATCCATCTCTTCAAAGACTTGAAAATAGAGATGGATATCAAAAATGTAATATATAAAGAACTTTATTGTCACTTCCTTTTATGAACATTTTGAGTTTTATTTTTAGGCAAAGCCCTTGACGAAAAATGTCCTTAACAGGACTTCATTTTGTTTATTGTAAGCTGTTTCTGCATGCTGAAGATTCTGTTCGGGAAGCCGGCAATTGCCCTGATTATCATTGCCTCTTTTGCGACGTAAGTTTCTTAATTGCATTTCTATTTTTATTTTTATTTTTTTTTTTTTTTTTGCAATAGTTGGGACTATCATTCATCACAACAGTATTACAGAATTCTAGTCGCAAAATTATTACAATGGATGGCAACTTCCAATTGGAAAGGAGGAACGTTGATAATGGGATTCCCGCAGCACAAGCTGTAGGGATTCTCGGTAAGTCGGCTTCTGAAGCCGAAGCCTGGGGCAGTAAAGAAGAGGTCGAGCAGTTTGAGGTGGCCAATAGACATACCAAGAATGAAGTGACGGTAAGTAGCCTGTAACACTTGAAGAATGAGAGTAATTTGTTAACATTGATAAATTTGACAATGAATGCATACACATAGTGTGTTGCTGTAGAGGTGAGTAATCAAAGGTTCAAAGCCGCAAGCAGTAGCACACGTAAGCTCGATAATCGTTACGATGAAAATGGAGTTTTCTCTCTTAGTTGCGCCAGATGTTATGACGCCTCATAAGCGAATAACTTCTTGAGAAGAGGTTTCACCTCTCTAAATATATAATATGATCCAAATCTGAAGTTAATGCACTTCAGTGTTTTTATCTGTTCTTTTCTTGCCCCCACGTGTTTCTTGTATTTGTTTACTCAATAAACGTTATTTTAAGTACTATCTTTCGGCCCGTTGTAACAAATCTTCAGAGACGTTTATAACACCAACCCCACAGTCTTGTTCCATTCATTGGTCCTCATCATTTCTGTCACAGCTCACAATCATGACACCATGCATAATTCAGGTTAGACGCTTTTTTTATCATTTAAATGATGTGGACACATCAATAACAATTCATTTAGTGAGCTCAGTGAATGCTTTATCATCCATAAAAGAGAAACTGAATGCTGATCTTTCGTTTGTAATAGTGACGGGTGTCATCTGAGAGTGGCAGAGATGCTTAGATGCTTTGAGGATTAAAGCAGGGCGGAAATATACGGCGAGGCCTTCTTGCCATACGATAACTTTTACGTTGAGAAAGCGCTCAAAAAGAGTCTAAATCTAACTCCTTAGATGTCTTGAGTAAAACTGGTTTTTTTGTCAAAAATTAAAGAAAACCATTCAAATTAGGTTTATTTTAAATGTCTGAGTTCAATGAGAGCATGTCTGAAAAAGAAAAAAAAGTTAGCGTTAAATTAAGCAGCAAATTTTTCATTCTACTACTCTTTTTTTTCTTTTGTGCTGATTGTTGAATTATCTGAGTTATCGACCAGTACAGACATTATCTATATTTTTTTGGTACTATATAAGCAATGTGGCTGACGAAAGATGATGACAGTTCAGAATATGTTGCAGCTGTGCCAAAATACTTCAAATCAGACAGACAAAAGAAGTTATGGAAATGGATAGCAATTGGTGTGGCAGCTGTCATTATTATTGTCATTGTTGTAGTGGTGGCTGTCGTCGTTACTGAAAATAAGAGGAAAAGTAGCAGCAATAACACTGCGTCTGACGGAATCAATACAGCCAATGGACGATATCCTATCTCTCCTTATTCTCACATCACCTTGATGAAAACGTTCAATGGAACCTCCACCGGTAACAATTCAAGAGTTTTTGTCATTGGTGATGTTCACGGATGTCTGGATGATCTCAACGCACTCGTAACAAAGATCAATTACAATCCAGCAAATGACAAAATCATTTTAGCAGGTGATATAGTAGCAAAAGGACCCGATAGTGTTGGTGTTATACGGAGAGCGAAAGAATTAGGGGCTTATTGTGTTCGTGGAAATCATGATGATAAAGTTTTGCGTTTAAAGTCGTTTGAGATGCAACACGGTCGAAAAGCAATGTTCCCACTGGATGCTACTATGCCAGAAGGGAATGTACCCGATCCGATAAAATTCAAAAATTACCATGCAGCCATTGCATTGTAAGTATTTCTTATCTGCTGTTAATTTTAGTAGCAATATTAAACCATTTAACCGGTTTCCCCGATATTAGAAATATGACAAAAGAAGATTACGAATATTTGGTTAATTGCCCAGTTATTCTGCATTTACCCAATTACAATGACACAGTAGTGGTTCATGCTGGCGTTGATCCAAACCTGAAAAGCTTAGAAGATCAGATTCCCTATCTAGTGATGAACATGCGTAATATATACAACTCAGTTCCTACGCCAGAAAAAGATGTTGGTATCCAATGGGCGCAAGAATGGAATTCTTTGCAGAAGAATTTAGTTACCAATTATACCAACGTTTTTTATGGACATGATTCTAGTAGAGGATTGAATATTCAAGCGTATACCTTCGGTTTAGACACTGGTTGCGTCGAGGGAAAAGAATTAACAGCTATGGAAATTTCAACCAGGGAAGTCACTCAAGTGAAGTGTTCTGCTTATCTAAAGCATTACACTGAGCAGGAGGATATCATTTAGAAAGTAAAATTACACATTATTCAACCTTAAGCACTGTTTTACTATTTCAATACATGCAAAGCCGTTCCCTTGTATCATGCTTACATTTTACATATTGCATCTCATGTATATTACATACATTACATCTGTACAGAAACTTTTATTTATTGTAATCAATATTGTCCTTTTTTGAAAAAAGTTTATTTGGCCTAGTAGAAATAAACTCTAACAATTAATGCATATCTTTTTATACAATTGTGATCGTTTTGCATGTCCCTGCCGCACGGTGGTCCACTGAAAAGAATCAAGAGTCATAAGACTGTGCTATTGCTCGTCTTTGATTGTCAAATCGTGATTTGAGGCGATATGACGATATCCTGTATCTTGAGTAATTGATGTATGAGATGTCAAGCGCAAAGCCAACACGGACTCATTTTGTCAGACTCAATGATAAGCAGTTGCTAAGTGGCAGCAATTATAGCTGATTGAAAAGTAAATTATACAGAGAGTGGCTGTGGAACCTTTATCTTTGCAGGTCCATGAAGAGAACTAGGTGGGCGATAACGATTTCAAGCTTGCTTGGGCTTTATTGACGTTACGTTGTAACGGATCATCGACATTTGCTGGAGGGGGTTGCATCATTATCTGCTTTTCTGAAGCGAATATAAAAATCAAGCTTTGCTTCAAGAATGACATTGCCAAGGATGTAATAAGAGTTTCATTTGTCACGTACAAAAATGGGTAATCCTTCATTGAAACTGCGTCGATAAAATATACAGAGAGTAAGGATATCAACTCTTCTCGGCTTTTCGCTTTAACGTTTTGTTATTCTTCGTCGTCGTCGTCTTCATCGTCTGCAACTACCTTTGGCGGATACTTTTTTAAAGCCAAATCCATTTCTTTAGGGTAAACTGAAGCTAATTGTCTTTTTATAGTGTTGATTTTTCGAAACACAGAATCCAAGTCGCCCTTCACTTCTTTAAGCAATTTTGTATGTGCTTCGAATTGCTTATGCACATTCTGATATCGCGCTTGACTGAACCGATTGAAGGCGTCTAATTTTTGTTCCGCATTTTTAAAAGTGGATAAGCTATGTAAATGTTCAAACAGTTGTTCAGTATGCTATCGCTTTATTTGGCAACGGAGCAAACAAAAAAATCTTCGAGATTCTTTACCTCTCATTTTGATTGTTGGTAATTTGGATTAACTCTTGATCCCTTTTCATTTGCAAGAATTCCTGAGCAGTAGCTGCATGACTAAATTCTGGCATGGTTCAGGTCAACTGCTTTTTTTGGCGTGAAATGCACAGCAAAAAAAAACAAAAAAAAAACAAAGAGTGGTTATCTCTTTGAATGAGGGAGGACATTAAATAATTTTGCAGGTGAGCGTCGTTCCTTTTTGTGCAAGTTACAAAAGATAGCCCATCTGCTCTTGCCAATTGATTTAGCGCAAGAATAATTTGCAACAGTGTATGAAAACTTGAAACAAATCAATTAAAATATTTTTTTTTGTTTTTTCATCAGATGGTCACAACAATAACAACGAAAAGGGCTTTCTTGCTAAAGAAAGTATAATAACCTAACTATTGTTCTTCAACTGCTCGTACCTGGATTTTGCTTCTCACTTTGCATGAAACTCAGTCTCATCACGCTGCACCGTCAAGAGACTTATGTAAGCCTGTTACTGCCAACTTTTGGGATTTTTCTGGAGGAAGAGGGTCCAGCAGGTTGAGAAATCATCATCATGAGATTTCCAAAGGTTTCTAAGCAATTCAAAGATTTAGGTTATCGTGTAACACTCGGCTAGGTTAGTTCCGTTCTACGACATTTGCAAAAAGATAAGAATCAATCAAAAAGCTTACAAAGAATGAATCGAAAACAATGATTTTGGGGCAAGAGTACATATACAACAATGGAAATAAACACTATATATCGTGAAAACGCTAAGTTACTTTTGTGTGAGCTGCCCCCCTTACACTCTTTTTTTCCCTGTTTATTTTGTTTTTAAATTTTCCTTCATTTTGTAAATTCTTTTCTTTTTCTTCATCTTTTCCTGTTATAAGAATATATAGTTTGAACGTAAAAATACAAGAGTACAACTGGCATCGTTATTACGTTACAGATATAATAGCACTTACTCTACCTGCCTTTTAGCTTATGTTACTCAATCCATTCAGAATGATTACAGCAAGAGTTTGCAGATTCGTAACGAATTGGATATTCGCTTTCGTTTATTTGTATGTATATCTTGCATCCATCATCAAAGCAACTCTTATTTTGGTTAAAAAGAGAGACAACAAATATGCTCAACGACAGCACGAATCAAAGGAGGAGCTGTACAAGTACTACAAAGAGCATTTTCCATCTCATTTTCAACAGACATGCGATACTTTGGCGACGTGCGCATCATCCACTGCTGCATACAATGAAAATAAAAGCAAAGCACTGATCAACAGATTACCCAATGAAGTTCTATACAAAATATTTGATTTACTTGAAATGGATGATTTATCCCGCGCTACAGCTGTAAATAAACGTTGGCATAAAGTCATCAACCCCATTCTATGGAAGTCAGTAATACCTGATGCTGCACTTATCAGTTGCGTACCTGCATTTGCTATGGCAGACAGAAAGTATAAAACAACCCATTTTCATCCAAAATCACACATATCGCCACGCTTTTCTTTTCACAAGCCCCAATACGGAATTGCTGTTCGCTCACTCGATCTCACTCATATTTCTTTCTCTGTAACGGATTGCTATATTCGTCATATCGCGAGTTATTGTCCGAACTTACTCTATTTGAATCTTTCCGAATGTCACTACCTCACAGACGATAGCCTCTTTTATATTAGTCGCTGCTTACCGTCCCTCGAAACACTTATTTTGCAAGGCTGCTATCTGATCACTGATAAAGGACTATCCGTGCTTGCTGCCAACCAGAAAAATTTAGTTACGGTGAATTTAGGTGGCTGCACTGGCATTACAGAAAACGGTGTCATAAACCTCCTCACATCTACTTGTACTTCTTCTAGCAGTGACAACGGAAAGCAAAAATCTTCGTCCATCCGACGACTTTGGTTGAATGACTGCCGTTTTAAAAAGACAAGAATACTTCTTCAGCAGATTGGTCGCACCTGCAATACACGACTTGAATGGCTGGATATTGCTCGCTGTGGTCATGACGGTGGCAAAGAAGGTGACACCGATTATGACTATGGTAACCTTCTTCACCACTCCGATATTGAACAGCTTATTTTGGCCTGTCCCAATGTAACCCGTCTTAACCTTGGCATGAAACCTATCAAGGAGGAGTCAGCCATCACGGCTTTAATGAATGCTCATGAAGCCGAAGATCATCCGTTCAACGAGTTGACCCACTTACTTCAGCGCTTCAACCTTGAACCTTCATTATCGCAAACGTCGCAACACACCTTAAGAGACCATCGTCTTCGCATGAATGCGCGACAGATTCAACTTCAACAACGAGACGTCATATCGTCGGATACAGTAACCTTTATTATCACGCATTTGACAAAATTGGAGCGCTTGGATTTGTCTCGTTGGAGATGTCTATCCGAGAAGGTCATGCACACATTGTCACTTGAAGGTCAGACTTCCGGTCGATGGACTCACTTGAATCTCACAGGATACTCACCGACCAGAAAAGGCATGGCGTACCTCTTGGATCTTTACAGACAGTACAACAGCAATATTCGTATCACTATCAGAAACGATGAAATCTTGGTTCCACGCTTTAGAATTTCTCGTCGTCGTCATGTTTCTTCTCCTGTCCCTCTCCCTAATGATGAAGCTCGCATGGATTTCTCTTCTGTTGGTTGTAGCAGTACAAGCAGCTCACCAACTGTTTCCCCTAGTTCAAGCACAAGCAGGATCAGCATAACAACGAAAATTGGGAATACTGCTACTCTGCTAGAAACAAAAAACCAATCCACTTTCTAGCCATCTGTTTTCTTATATTTGATTAGGAATTCCCATTTTACCAATTCTGTTTCAAATTAGTATAGCCTGTATTTCTTTGCTTATTTATAACATTTCTTTGTCTTTACGCACTTTACTTTCGAAGTATACCCCTAGTATTTTTTTATTTGCACATACGATCATACGACACCTTGAGCTATTATGTATATCATTCTATTGAATAAACTTATAAATATCTGAAATAAATGTGTATAAAAGAGAATTTGGTTTTCTGCTCATATGTGTTTATGTATTTAGAATTGAATAAACCAAGCTAGTATCATTGAAAGTTTTACGTATCGTAAAGAATTGCAAAAGGCAGATCGATACCATTTTTACAATAGGGCCTATTATTTGGGCTCTGTGCGCGTCCATCATGAATATGATGAGAATGGGATTGCAATTTTGTTGGAGCTCATGTTTTATAGCCGTCTCTTACAACAGTCGGCTATGTTTGACATCCAATCTTTCTCTATCCTGACTTCCATTTTCGAAAAGAGTAATGCTGTTCATGTCTTTTTTTTTTTTCAACAGCTACATATATTGAGAGAAAGGGTAGCACGTTTCATGACTAATCCTAACCGTTGCTATTGGCATCATTGAGACGACGTCCCTTGTATAACGCATAAATATAATTTCTATACATTTTATAATGTTCATCAAAATAACAATGCCAATCGTATCGATAGCTGAAATTGGATAAAAATGAGCAATTTTTGTTTTGAGCGATTGATGTGCACGTTGAGACTTGCAAAGGAAACCTACTTCTCTAGTCATGTATTACCAATCTTAATGTTAGTGAGAGAAAACAACAATCACAGCTGCTCTATAATCGATTATCACCCAGGAACAAAGAAAATTCACGATGCGTTCCCACACAATTCAAGTCTAATGCATTTTAATTTCAAGCTCTAAGCTTTTATAAGCAGTATGCTTTATATTATTAGCAGACACTGTATTAAATCTATGTTTGGAAGAACTGTGTAATATCTTTTACATAATGTGCCATATTTTGTGGACAATAAGACAAACAGAAATTGTAAAGGAGTTGTAGCGTCATTAACCGAGTAGAAGAATAGCATGTCCTCCTTACTATTTGTACATCAAAACCATCATTCAATTCAACAATCAAAAGACCAGTTTATAAGTGTTATCCATTTATTCGGGTAAACAGCAACTGAACATTTGAACAGAAGAAAGCGTAATTATTTTACGTCATATTAATATCTTACAACAAACTTACTTCTTCTATTCAACGTTCAACGACTGTGGCTACCCCTATTGTACAAATTATTAATGATGAGCAGAAATCATCTCATATATATTGTTTGATTGGATGAAGACGCGTGAAAATGGAAGATTTGGGAATGAATTATAGCAAGCGACAGTAGAACTGGTTTTCGAGGACCGGTTTCATAGCACATTTTCCCAAGAGTCTTGCTACATTTTCTTCATTATAAGTGTTGACTGCAGCTATAGAAAAGGCTGCGAACACGCTTGAAAATCTGTTTATCGTATGTTCAAGAGTATATTGACTACCTTTTTTCTTTCATTTTTATTAGAAAGAATACTTTTTGTTTATTTGTAGACAGGTATAGATAGAGCAAACGATGGCCAGGCTGATAAGCGAAACAATGCTGAAAACAAGCATTAGTGTCGGTTTAACTAAAGCAATTATATCTATACCCTACTGCAGCCAATTTTTGTACCGAACTTTTTTTTTCCTTTTCATAAAACATGGCTATCAAATGAATTTTATAGAAGATATTTACATACTGTAAATAATAGAGGATGATAATGAGAATGAGAAAATGGTGGTATTTTATTCACATGCTCTTAGAGAAGGGAGTGGTCAAGGATATCAAATGTGAGTATGGATGTACGGTCAAGCATTTGAAGACAAGCATAGGTTTGAAGTTGGTTGGAGCAACAACAACCATCCAATGGTGCAGCCAAAGGTAAATGTTTTCTGAATGGCTTGATTAAACCACGGGGTCGTTGCATTTGTTTCCCGTAGTAGTTTTGAAGTATTCAACGCAAATTGCTAGGCTTAATGGGATCGAGAGATGGAACATGATCTGAAATAGGAGATATGCTGATGCCATGCACAGTTTTCGAAGTTGAATATAAGATACTGATGATGAGAGCTTAAATGACATGCTTAGTATGACTAGAATGCTCTTCAACAGAACGATCAAAGATGCAGGCATCATTGACAAAGTGGTGAGTAAATTATTTCATATCCTTGAATATGAAATCCATTGCTAGGGAGAATTTGCTAGTGAGTGCTTTCACACCCAATAGTGCACCAATATGATGTTAGTGAAACATTTCTGTTTGCTAATGTAGTTTGCATTGATCATTTTCTTGATTCTCAAGGATCAAGGCATATACGGTCAGCAGTGAGGTTGCCTTCAGCATCTTTTGTTGCTGATACTCAAAGGGATGTTAATCCTGTAGGCGATTGGACTTCACAATGGTACCTTCTGCTAACTATTTCGCGGCATTCTCATCTACTACTGACATCAGTGTATCTGCAACGAGATACTGTCTCTTATGAGCTACTTTACCTTCACGTGTAGTCGAATGTACCAGACTTTCCAGATAAATTGCAAAATGATTTCTAGTCAATTTTCCGATTCTCATCAATATACTTTTTCAATGCAGATACCAATATCTTCTGTTGTAATTCAGGCCTGCATAAGGAATGTTCGGCTTGTATTCACTATCATCTATAGAATCATAGGATAACTTTATTTTGATCCAATTAATAGCTACATCTGTCAAGGTAACACCAACCTGTGGTGAAACATCTCTGCCTATGATAGCATCCATGTTGTCATTATCTAATTTCATGTATGTCAAAAGGCATGTTTACAGATATGACCGTTCTAAGAAATGTCAAGCTTATCACATTGGCAACTATATGAAGAGTATAGTTCTTATAATTATTGTTGAGATTGTTTTTCATATGAGTCTTGAACTGCTATTCTGTAGCTTCATATATGCTTCATAATCGTTCCTCTGCGCCAGGCTAAATGGTTCTTTGTGTAGCACATGTTGATAGTAGAGTACTTGTTAACAGGTACCCAGAGTGATGCATTGCGCTATGCTTGAAACTCTTGTGCATCCGAGGATTATGATCATCAGAAGCATGCTTACGTTTTCTATGGCGTTTGATGGCATCATGACGACCCAGAGAATTATATTTCTTATCGTCTCTGTTAGCCACATCATTATCTGATGTTAGTTTCTCATTTTTATTCCTTTTAAACCATAACTGTCTTTTACCAAAAGATTCATAAGCCTTTCTAAATTCATTGCTGAGTAACACCCTACGTTGGTTGAAGAGCTGTGCAGCCTTTCTCCATCTTGCTGGAAGACGATCCATCTCATCCGGTTTGCAGCAAAATTATGAGTGAACCGCCAGTGCAGCAAAATAAATAGTGAACCGCCGGTGCAACAAAATAAATGATGAACCGGTGGTGCAGTAAACTGATAATAGTGAACCGCTGGTGCAGCAAAACTGATAGTGAACCGGCGGTGCAACAAAATAAATAATGAGCCGGCGATGCATTAAAACAAGATGTGAACCGCCGGTGCAAAACATTATCTCTTTTTTAACCCAAAAGAAAATGAATATTACCCGCGAGCAAGCTGTTTGTATGTTTTTCTCTGAAGAATTTAGTGAAGAAAATGCAGCAAGACTATCAGAAAAGATCGCTGATTTTGGCTCGTTTGATGTGTGCTATGAAACCGATCCTAGAAAACCAGTATTAGTGGCATTGGCACGAATTCGGAGCGATCCGTTTTCTTTCAAGCGATACACTATTGAGAACTTGAATTCACAGAATAATGAAGCAGAAAACAAGGGTTCTGAACTTGGTAAGCGTTGTATATGCAGTGTATTTTGTTCTACTCACTGTTTTAACAAGAATGTCTATAATACAGCTTCTGAATTGCAACTTATAAGTTTTTTGAACGAGGTGTTTGTAAATGCTGTTGAAACACCTAATGAAAGTGTTTATTCTCTTAAAAGAGTCACTACAAATGACATTTATCAGATGATATTAACCAAAACTGACTGTATGAATAAGAAGTCAGAAGCAGCCTTTGCCACATGGTATTCAAAAAAAGGCATTCAATTCATGAAATCGCCAGTCATAAGGAAAAGGGAACGAGGCACAAACAGCCGCTATCGCGAGCTATATGTGACGTGTTTGGTGAGATAATAACTACAATACTCGAGTACGTACAACCAGGTAGAGAATACATTCTACCACGGTCTATCTATATTGCATCTAATATAGGTTATGTACAACATAGAACAAGATACAGGCCTAAATATAATAATCAACCAATAAGCATCTGAACCTGAAATTAGTGACTAGCATACGCGTCCTCAAATAATATAATTCCCATTAAACCTCACAAAGTAAATAATCCTTCTACTTCATCTGAAGAACAATAAAGACACCTAAGTTCATAGTCATCGACTTACAACTGTTATCAATTTTATAATAAGCAAATACAACAATATGTTTCAAAAGATGACTATATAGGTGAGAGCTAATTAGCAATTTTTTGCAAAAATGTATGCTAAAATTGTTACTTCTTTTTGTAGAGAGTCTAGTGGAGAATATAGCCAACTATGTGCCAAAATATCATAATCAAATAAATTCATTGAAAAGTAAAGATTATGTTATTGTTGGATATGCCAGAAAATCCCCGGGTCAAGAAGACAGGCAAAAAAGAATTAACATACTGAACCGTATGGTGCAGTGTTTAGTAGAAAGGTCAATGTGTGATAAGATCTTTGTCTCATCTTCATGTTTGGCGTCGGACAGTCTTGCTTCAAGAGATATTGATAATGAGAACGATGTATTGGCTGACTTGACGAGGGTTGATGGAAATACGCAAAGTATAGTATATTTATAAATGAGTGTACATGAAGGCCATTTCATTTTTGTATTAACCTTTTCTTCAGGCATGATTTCTTACATTAGTGCTTCGGAACAGGATATCTGTCTCGTAGCTGTGGATTTTGTAGGACTGTTAACAAATACGAATGATTTATACTCTTTCATTAGGTAATTTACACTATGTAGGAGAAAAATTTCGTCAGTAATGCTCACAATTTCTTTCGCCTTAGTAAATATGAAAAATTAAAAACAATAATAATTGACAGCTTGCCTGTCAATCATAAAGTACATGTTTTTCAACGAGAAGCGGTTCTAAACAATCTGTCAAGCTTAACCCCATTTGATTGTAGATCAAAGTGTATACAAAGATCCAAGATAATTTGAATGCGTTTCTTCTTTATTGCTATCCCTCTTATTGTAATTTTTTATATTCTAATAAAATTTAAACAAATCATTAAGTTGTGCGAGTTTTTCAAAATTTGGGCTAACAACAGTTCAGCCATTATTCGTAAAGAAATCCATATACATGAGGAATAAATCTATTGTTCAGAAAAGTTGCTTCCGTCTGAATTATATTCGTAACGCATTGTTTGATTGGATGAAACTTATACATCTTGAAAATAGAAGAATTGGAATGAATTTCAGTGAGGGACAGTAGAACTGGTTTTCTAGGATCGGTTTCATAGCACACATCAAACGAGCCAAAATCAGTGATCTTTTCTGATAGTCTTGCTGCATTTTCTTCACTAAATTTTTCAGAGAAAAACATACAAACAGCTTGCTCGCGGGTAATATTCATTTTCTTTTGGGTTAAAAAAGAGATAATGTTTTGCACCGGCGGTTCACATCTTGTTTTAATGCACCGGCGGTTCACGACTTGTTTTGTTCCACAACTAGTTTTGATGCACTGGCGGCTCACAACTTATTTCGATATACAAATAGTTTTGATGCACACTAGCTGCAACGGCAAGTGATCTGCGTAGCTGACTATGAGATTCTGACTCAAGGTAAGACACAATAGGAGGTTGGTGCTACTAACGCCTCTAAATATAGGTTACAACAATGAGACGGCTGGGTAATAGTTTAAACGGGAGTCTTTATACAGATAAGGTAAGGTCAGGAAAAGAACAAATAAAACTACTAGGAATACATTAATCATTGACGCGGATTTTACTTATTATAATTGGAGTACAACCTCTCTAATAGCGCAATGCCGCTCATTATACTTGTTCTGATGCACCGGCGGTTCACAAATTGTTTGATACACAACTTCTTTTACTGCACCGGCGGTTCACTCCTATTTTCATTCATATTTTCAGTTTACTGCACCAGCACTTCACTATACTAGCGGTTCAATCATATTTTCAGTTTTGCTGCACTGGCAGTTCATAGATGGCTTTGTTTCTGAATACGCCAAATTTTATAAGCCTGACTGCACTTTATGTCACACTTTCTTCCGCTACTTTATTTGTGGTATTGTGTAAGCTTTGCTTAATGCTGATCTGCTTCTGTATAAAGACTTGAAACAAATTTTTACTATAACCACTACGCGAGGTTCATCACCTCTTTTTTTGTACCATGCTTTGATATCAGGATGATTTTAAAATGAATTCAAGAAGAGGTCGCAATATTTTATTATACTCTTGAGTCGCAAGATGCTACTTTATTAAAGCTGTACTTGATTACATCTTACTTTTGCTTTCGACCAAATAAGCCCCAGAAGCCTCCTGAACTCGATGACTTTGTGCGATCATGTAAGGCTTGGTCGGGATATTTGACGAAATTGGCTGCAAGGTCGAAATAAAAAGGCTTGCAGGCAACAGGTTCAAATTTAGGTGGGAAGTCGATAAGCATGTCTTTTCTAATAATTGAAGGGTATGTATCTAAGTTATCAATGAGTGTTCCTTCGCTTATATCCAAGCCTGACATTTTGTCTACAATATTGCTTTCGTCATCGGCGTTGCTGCTAGAATTTCCATGTTCGAGATACCAAGCTGCACGTGCTTTCCATGTACCAGCACGAATGGATTCCTCCAAATCTGTAAGGTCCTTCTCTGAAATCTTTAGAATTGAATCCTTGTCAAATGAACGAACATCTGAAAGACCTTTCTTAGCCTGCACAACGTAATTTTGAGCCTTTTGATAAAGTGCAAGTGACTCTGCAGTTTTCTTCATATTGTCGTATATCAATGCAACTTGAACGCATCTGCATGCTTTATAATACAATGTCATTGTTTGCAATTCCCCATCAAGTGATATATCATCTTTTACTTGAGGTAGCTCCCATATATACTCAGCGTTCTATGAGCAAAGAAAAAGAAATAAGATACAAATTCTTCAAAAAAAAAAATACTGACGATGAAAAAGCATATACCTTTAAAATCTCATCATACAATCGAATAATTTCCTGAAGTCTTCCATCCTTTTCAATTGTTCTGGCCTTGCAAAGATCACGTTGAATAGTAGTACTGTAAAGGTTATACTCAATGAAGGTGAATAGCTGATTCAAATCTTCTGTTACTTTAGCGGATCTAGAAGACGCCACTTTTGCGGTTGCTTGCTTATTCTCTTTCAACGCTTTCTTGCAAAGTTTCTCGGCTTTAGCCCATTCACTGATAATTTCATCAAACAGACCAGTAGTCATCTCACTCATTTTGTCCAACTTTGATCTAGCTTCTCGGGCCTTATGAACAGCATCTGCCAACGATTCATTTTTCACTGCAAATTCTTTATCGCGCCAAGTCAACATTAGCATAGATCGTGCATTCTTCTTTTTGTCATTTTGAGCAATTTTTGCAAGTTCCGCCTCTAAATCATCCACTTCCTTGCTACGATGCTTCTTAATAATACTCTCAGCATCTTGTCCGTCACTGATCTGCATCTTATAAGCGCAAAATCTAATATTGGGAGCAATCTCATCAATGGCAGAGTAACACAATGCCTCTTGTTCTGCGTTGCTGTTTGTTTCCGCGAATTGCTCGTAAATGTAGCTGAGAAGTTATGTTGAACCGATTAGTTTAATCTTCTCAGTAAACCCCCCCCCAAAAAAAAACTTATACCTTGCGATAATGAAGTGATTTAATGCTTCCTGGAAATTTTGCTGCTCGAACGAAAGATAGCCTCTCAAGACATTAGTATAGGCCTAAAATATAAGATATGAGCATCGTCTCTCAATAACGCCTTCATTACCATGAGTGTGTTTGAGATACCTTGACATCCAAAATACTTCTAGCATCTACATTTTGCTGTTGACATAAATCAAGAAGTTGCTGAGCGTATTGGGCTGCCCTTTTCAAACGTTTAATGAGATGATAATGATATCGAGTATCCATACTATTTGCACTTTCTTGCTTCAATTCCATTGCATAGGCCCAAGCCCGTTCACTCTCATAGATGAAGAGCTGCAAATAGCGAACATCGGTGACTACAGCAGGCAAAGGTTTTTGTACATTGGTCTTTTTACTGTTGGGCTGCGATAACTTCAGAATCTGACGAAGACGACGGACTCTATTCGCGCAATATTCACTACAATATATCGTAAGGAAAATGGAGTAAGAGCAAAGCTGTTGAAGTTGTCATACAATAGATAGATATTACCGATAGCGTTGATAGTCTTCGTTTCTCAGACCGTATGTCATACGGGATTCGTTAATGAGACTCAAAACTGTTATGTTCATCGCTGGTTAGATGTGAAGTGAAATTGAGGGCAAATATTTTCTTGTACTTTACCATCAACAAAAAGTGGTTCCGTTTTCTGATCAACTTCCATTGCTATATTGTAGCAACAAAACGTTAAAGATGGCATATATTATTATCTACTGATTATACATAACTTACGTTCTGCCATTATTAATGTCGAAAATAGAGGAGGAAGCGAAGAGAGGAAAAAAGAAGTTAATTTTAAGTAGCGTTTATTTGTGAAAGCGGCTGCTTTCTAATATAGGATAATCTGATCTACCGTCAGTGCAAGAATCCTAACTCTGCGAAGATAGTATGCACACTGAACACTTTTCAACATTTTGCATTGTTTAACTTTGTGAGCTAGAAAGGATGAGCTCATGGTTCTTTGACGTTAAATTCGCGTAAAAAATGGTCAAGTTCTTATATAATTAGGCGAACACTTATGGAAATAATGGAAATGACTACCAGTTTAAAGGGAGGAAGACGAAAGATTGATAGCAACTCATTGAAAGCTATGGTGAGTTAGCAGTAATCATAGGCGAGCAGGAAAACATTACTCTTAATAATCTATACCAATCTTCATATTTCACATTCATTGTATTAAAAACCAACAATAAATAAGCCTATTTTTCACTTAGAAACCCTGTTGTTAACTCTGTTGTTAACTCTGTTGTTCATTTGACTACTTGATGAACGAAATGGTTAATGGTTGTTCAATCAATTCAACGCTTATGGGCTCATAAAGATACATCCTATAGCTATCATCAAGAACCTCATTCAGGCCTGCATGGTCTAGTCGACAATCCTTTTGGGTTCGTGACTTCCGCCCGACCCTGCCAAGCTGTGATGGCGAAAAAAAAAAGCTCGAGGTCGGAGCTTTCGAAATTTCAAGCACAACAAGAAATTTACCACACTCGTTAAAATGCATTGACAGCCAAAGAGTTAGTAGGTTCCTTCTCTGCTAAATAATATGGGTAAATATCATAGATACTCTAACATCCATCCATCAATCAAACCATCATAGTACATATTAACTGATGTTTATATGATGATCTCCTTTACAATATAAGGTATCAGCCGTGATTCTCGCCACAAGCGTAGCGCCTCTGGTGCTAGACGTGCACAATACAGAAAGAAGAGAAAGTAAGTGTTAATACATTCTGGACATGCGATCGGTCGAGCTGAACAGAAAGTCAACTACGTTAAGCCTTGCGAATTGGACGTTTATAAACCAAATTGTGGATCTACGATGCAGTAACCCAAAAGCGTTTAGCCAATGTCTTGGTGAAAGCTTAACATTATTAATGTTAATTCAGCATGGCGACTACAGTTGGCCGATCGCTTATATTACTAAATTGGTTGCAATTGCGTTAACATAATAATTTTTGTTTACTAGGTTCGAATTGGGTCGTCAATCCGCTAACACCAAGTTGGGTGCCAAGCGTATTCACCTTGTTCGTGTCCGTGGTGGTAACTACAAGCGTCGTGCTCTTCGTCTCGAATCCGGTAACTTCTCTTGGGGTTCTGAAGGTATCTCCCGTAAGACTCGTGTCTTGACTGTTGTCTACAACGCTTCCAACAACGAATTGGTCCGTACCAACACTCTCGTCAAGGGTGCTGTCATCCAAATTGATGCCACTCCTTTCCGTCAATGGTATGAATCTCACTATGCCAAGACTCTTGGTAAGAACAAGGCTGCTGAAGCTGTAAGTATTATATAGAGATTAAGGAATTCGGATAACGTTTATGGAAGGGGATTCTTAGTCATCTTCTTTGACTTTATAGGAAGCTTCTGCTGAAAAGAAGTCCAAGGCTGTCCAAAAGAAGCTCGAAGCTCGTGCTGCTTCTGCCGCCATTGATCCCCTCTTGAACGATCAATTCAATGCTGGTCGTCTCTATGCTGTCATCGCTTCCCGTCCTGGTCAATCTGGCCGTTGTGATGGTTACATTCTTGAAGGCAAGGAACTTGAATTCTACCTTCGTAAGATTAAGGTAAGAAAACAGAATCATGGAGGATAAAGCTTTTGTAGTACTGTTGATGAATTTGTTCACTGACGTTCATCTGTATCATTTTTTTACTCATTATAGAGCAAGAAGCACTAAATTGTTTAGACTATTTGAATCCTTCTCTTTTCTCTGTGCGACGCTTTCTGTATACGAGTTATATATTTGTTGTTTTAAATAAAACTCGATTTCTGTAAAATCAGTATGTGTAAACAGTAATGCGTAACTTTATGAGAATGATCATTTATGGGCTAGTTCATTTTTGTATTTCGCATTCTTAAACCGACATTTTTAATTGGGGAGATTAAGAATTTCAGAATGATTAGAAAACTCTTAAGCTCTTTGTAATGAAGTTACAGATTATTTTGTCACAAGTCGTATCTTCGAGATAACATTGCTAATTTCTGTTAATAACGTTGGTGAGCTGTTGCGAACATTTTAAATTGCTCTCTGATAAAGCAGTCGAAGATTGACCCGCCGGACCGGACTGGAGAAAGTCTATTCGTGGGTTTTGGCTCTACACCAAACACAGCACCCAAATTTTCCAGTTTCAAAGAAAGGGGGGAAAAATAGGCAGAGGATATGCAATTGAATAAACAGCTAAATCCAAAGATCTCCCTCTTTTTACTTCGATATCGTCAGACTACACTATGGTAGAGTTTCATTAGAAAGACCTCAATTATCTATTTTAGATATAGATGGATGTGGGATCGATGTCATGGGCGTATGTATGAAACTCAATGGAATTGGAATGGATGGATGATAGTATGCATACAAAGAGAAACCCGACCACTCTGTTCAACATTGACATTTGGAAAGGCAGCCGCGATCGATGTAGCTTAATGTTAGCGACACAAATTCAGCCGCTTCTGGCTAGCGTATGTACTGTGTGTGTATAATGCCCTTTCGTTAGACGCAACTATCTGCTCGAAGCTATACTGGAAAAGACATCCCATTGATTCTGCCTATCCATCTATATCAGTGATTCCGAGCCTTCATACTAATCGTTGCATTATTATCTCATGTTCTGTCATAGAGCGCCGAAGAACAGAAGGTCACCAAGAACCCTATGCGTAACCTCAAGATTGAAAAGTTGGTTCTCAACATTTGTGTTGGTGAATCCGGCGATAGATTGACTCGTGCTGCTAAGGTGCTCGAACAATTGACTGGTCAAACTCCCGTCTACTCCAAGGCCCGTTACACTGTCCGTACCTTCTCTATCCGTCGTAACGAAAAGATTGCTGTTCACGTCACTGTTCGTGGTCCCAAGGCCGAAGAAATCCTTGAACGTGGTTTGAAGGTTAAGGAATATGAACTCAAGGCTCGTAACTTCTCTGAAACCGGTAACTTCGGTTTCGGTATTGACGAACACATTGATTTGGGTATCAAGTATGATCCCTCTATTGGTATCTACGGTATGGATTATTATGTTGTTATGGGTCGCCCTGGTTTCCGTGTTTCTCGCAGAAAGCACTGTAAGGCCAAGGTTGGTACTAACCACCGTATCACCAAGGAAGAAGCTCAAGAATGGTTCAAGCAACGTTTCGATGGTGTTATCTCTTACAAGAACTAAATTAACTGACTATGAATCTTCTCCTTCACCTCACTACTACTATTTCGGCTTAAAATAAAAAGTTTATGCTCCTATATTTTATTGCACCACCAATTCACTGTACATGGGGCGTTTCATTGCTTGGAGCTATGAGTTTTTGCTGGGTAATTATGTTTGCAGGTGAGGAAACCTGATTCATTTGCATTTTCGGTAGTCGGAGGAGGCAAGATGTTATTAGAGGCGACTGAGATCTTGTATAAGCATTCCAATCATTTGAGCATCGAGGGATATAATTAGAAAGTGTAACTTTTTAGCTGATATGTCGTGCGATTTCCGTTCTTGTTAAAAAAGAATTGAATTATGAATCATTTTATTGAACGGTTATCTGAAATGAATTTACTTTATAGTAGGATATAAGCTAGCAGGACCGCGTTTACTGAACAACACAAACCACTACGAGTTACATTTGTTAGGGCATTTATTACAACGAGCAATAGCCTTTACACCTCACAATAAATGTCAAAACTAATACTTTTATGAAAACATTCATCTCATTATGGTTTGGTCATTTTCTTTTTTTTTTTTTTTCCTTTACGAATCGGTAATGCATTGTTAACAGTTGTGACAAGGTTGCCTTTTTCGAGTCGCTTGAGCATCAATTTTTCGATGTCGTGTGGCTCTTTACGAGGCCGTGAACGGTTGTGGTCGGCAGAGGATAACTGTGGTACTGTGATATTAATAAAATTGTTCCACTACGTTCGATTTTCGATTTACACTCTTGGTTTATTATAGTACTTGAGCCATTTTCCCTTCAATAACATTAAATTATAAATATAGTACACGGTAGCATCATATCTCACGCTAATAGACGCTTTCATCTAGGAGTTTGAGGACAGACATTTTAAAAAACTTATGCTCATTTCACGCTAATGAAAAATTGAAATGAAATCAAGACATAGTAATAAGCCAAGCAATAGCATAAAGTAGCCGCTCCAAGATGTTGAATCACAGCAGTTTCTTACTGTAATACAAATGTGCGTGTTCTTGTAGAAGATCGCTGACAGCATCCATAAACGTTCAGTTTATCGATGTATAATTGACATACAGTCAACGCTTCCCTTGAACTAGCTGTATATTCATATTAAGCCTGCTATTGTTTGATTTGTCAAATTCATCATGCTTGGTAAATAAACGATACGGATATTTGTGTTATTATAGTAACTGGAAGCTTTCATTGAAAAACATCCAACTTAAGGTTATCGCTAGACTGTCATCAGAGGTTACCTGTTATGGCTCAATTATCATAAATTTTCGGATCCTCGATTGTACGCCCACATTTTAGGAGGATGTGCAAAATAGGCTTGTTTCATTCTAAACCATGGGAGTCACATGTGAAAGTTTCTTGCCTTACAAGGTCAATGCTTTTATGAAAAGACTAGAACAAGTCTGTCACGAAATTTCATTTCTTATAGATCATTAAAACATAGCAAATGTTTGGCTTCATAGATGACTTTATTTTTTTACAGCAAGTATTATATAGTGTCTACCGAAACTAACAGATCTATTGCATCCCTTGAAAAAAGAATGCAAAAGATACTAATTAGAATTTGATGGGAAAGACAGAGAACGATCCCGGGGCCGGTTACCCTGAGCGAGCTTAAAGTCAAAACTGACAGAATGTCAACTAAAATGCATTGATGTACACGTCAAAAGCATAGCCAATCCTTTTGCTCCTTCAGGGCATGCCCTCTTTATAGACAAACAACTTTTTTAGTCCTTTAGTAGCACAAAATCCTTCTAAATAAACAACTTTTCAGCCCTTCAGTATCACAGCAGGATATGAAACAGTGTAGCCATCGTCAGAAACGGGAAAAAAAGAAAACTGCTTTGGCTCAACTAAAGAGAAATGTTTACTATATAAAAACCTGTATTGGCATGAAAGGCAAATTTGCTTAATGTGCTAACTAAATAATTTGCTTGATACATATCAATGTAGACTTTTTTTGCAAAGGCAAAAGTATCTTGCTGAAAATAAGCTTTGAGTGCATAGTCGTAAGATTTTCAAGTTGTCTTTTAATATATCCTATTTAGTAAATGAACGACTTGTGACCTTATCAAGAGTCCAGATGAACCCCTATTTTTGGTCAATAATATGATAAGGCGTTTTAATACCTTGGTTGTCCAACTGAAAAAAGATGCTAAAAAAACTTTGTACTCCAAAAAGGCGTTTCAAGATATCGATAGTCATGGCAATGGAAGGAAAATCCTTCTTATGCGGGGTGATCAAGTTGACCTCCTTAAAATTTGCTCATTATTAAAGTTCAATTGAGTTTGAATTTCAATCTTATAAAACGGCGTCCAAAAGCCCAAATTTTTCCTTTAAACCATACATACGATTTTCAAAAATATATAGGATTTTAACTGTTTCATCTACGTGCATTTGTTCTCTTTTTTACCCATGACTTCTGAAATCGACAAAGTTATTGATACCCCTCTTGAAAGTATTGAAAACAACTCCTCATCACTCGTCAAGAAGATGGACGCGTCAGCATTACCCCACAAGCAGACAAAAGTTGCATCGATTCCCATTGATGAATTAGAAGATGGTGAAATGATCAGCCCTTCTCCTTCACCTCCACGTAACACTGAAGCCGCTCATCAAGCACACAGTAGCGTTAGTACAGTACCTTCTCCCTCCCCATCTGCCATGAAGCACAAAATGAATAATTCTGTTGACAAAGGAACTGCAAGTGATTATATCAGCAGCAACAGCCGTCGAACCATCAGCAACAATCCGAGTGACAGTGAAAGCAACAGTAATAAGCACAGTAGACGTAGCAGCAGAAGTCCCAGCCGAATTACTGCACGAAATGAACGAAGCCGTAGCAGAGATAGAAACGACAATGCTAAAGCCCACAAAGAACGTCAACAGCAACATCAGCGCCAGAGCAGCACTAACAGTAAAGATGGAAATACCAGCCGCACCTCTGCCAGAGAAGTTGAACGCAGAGACCTTGATCGATATACCCGTGACAGAGACAGTAGAGATAGTCGATTCAGAAAAGAACAACGAAGCAGCAAGGACAGTGCAAGAGATCGTAACGACCGTTCGAATGAGAAGATTGGCCGCAAAGAGAAGGAAAGAGATGCTTCAGCCACTCGTACTACCAACGATAGAGACAGAGATCGAGACAGAGAACGTGATCGTGACAAAGATAAGTATAGAGATAGACGCAGCCGCAGCAAAGAACGTGAGCGCGAAAGGGATAAAGATAGAGAAAGAGTCAGAGATAAGGAGCGAGATATGGGCAGGGATAGAGAAAGAGATCGTGCTAGAGATCGAGATCGAGAAAGGAATCGCGACAAAGGAAGAGACCGCGACAGAGATAAAGATAAAGAACTAGACATGGACAGAAGCCGACGCTATGACAAGACCCGTTCTCAATCAAGATCACCCTCAGTCTCAGCTACTCGAAAGACCATCAAGACCTCTGGCACTCCAAGCAGATCATCCAGATCACCTTCAATTTCAGCTTCACGAAAGACTACCAAGACATCTAGCGCCTCAAGCAGATCATCCAGATCCCGATCACCTTCCATTTCAGCTTCACGAAAGACCTTCAAGACATCTAACGCCCCTAACAGATCATCCAGATCTAGATCCAGATCCAGATCACCTTCACGAAAGACCAACAAGTTATCTAATGCTCCTAGTAGACCATCCAGATCCAAATCACCTCTATCTGCAGCTTCACGAAAGACAATCAAGACATCGAATGCCCCAAGCAGATCATCCAGGTCCAGATCCAGATCCAGATCACCTTCACGAAAGACCAACAAGTTATCTAATGCCCCTAACAGACCATCCAGATCCAAATCACCTCCACTTTCAGCTTCACGAAAGACAATCAAGACATCGAATGCCCCAAGCAGATCATCCAGATCCAGATCCAGATCCAGATCACCTTTACGAAAGACCAACAAGGCATCGAATGCCCCAATCAAACCATCCAGATCCAAATCACCTCCACTTTCAGCTTCACGAAAGACCATCAAGACATCGAATGCCCCAAGCAGATCCTCCAGCCCTGTAAGAAAAAGCCCGCCATCGTCTAGTGTCATTGGTGTTAAACGACAACGACGTGATAGTACCCCCGACAGCAAGAGTCGCCGACCACGCACAAGCAATAGAGAACCCGACCATCACAAGAATGCCACGAGTACCAGCCGCAGCCGCACATCAAGCCCTACCAATTCTCCGAAGAAGCAAGAAAATATTACTAAGCCGACGCCACCTCAAAACCATACGACCTCTACCACTGCAGATAAAGCCTCTTCAACTGCTTCATCAGTAAAGACATCCTTACAAAGACAGCCTGCAATCCATACGACCTCTACCACTGCATCCTCACAGAAACAGCCTGCAACCTATATTACCCCTCCCGCTGCAGCTAAGACCTCCTCAACTCTTCGTGCAGTAGGAATACATAAGAATATTTCATCACCTGAACAAATTCGTTTATTCATCGAAGGGTAAGCCTCACGACTTTTTGTTATACTACTTATTGGTGATTGATATCTCTAACAATGTCCTTTTAATTTTTCTAGATTTAATAAACTAGCCCTTACTTCTAAACGCAGAGGTGATACCCAGAAAGACGGTTTAATCGCATCTATCGACCACATGTACGCAGTTTGCAATTATATCATCTACTTTTACTATCTCGATCAAGACCCTGCTCAGAACCTCAGAGAACGCATTAAGGCATGGAGAAGTTTGGTGACATTTTGCGACGCCATCGTTTGCCGAAGAGAAGTCCGGGAGGAACCCAAGCTCTACTCCTTATGTGCGCGCCTGAAGGCTCTCGTTCTCTACCATATTTATGACAATACTTTTCCCAGGACAGAATCTCCATTAAAGTCTATCCATCACCAGCAACCCACCGAAGGCAGTATAGCAGCAAACCAAGAGTCGATAGAACGATTGAAAGGAACGGAGATTGTCCTCACTGAATACGACAGAGCGATCAAATGGCTTCGAATCTCAGAAAGGCACCTCTCACTTGGAAGAATCAAGCAGAATTTCCCCCGCACCTACGCCAACATCTGTGAAAGAGGTGATATTTCAGACGGCCTTATGTTTGGAGATGAAGCAGGAACATTATCGCCTCCTACAGATTTAGGTAAAATGTACCCTCTCATACCCCACCAACCGTTGCATTTGGCTGCCATCATGGCCAAATGTCTCATGCAAGAATATACCATAGATAAGAACTTACCATACGAACCTATAACGAGAGAACAATCTAAATCTACCATAATTAGTTCCCTCCATTAAATCATAGCTATATTGCTTATGTATTTGTTATAAAAATAAACGAAAAAAACCCATAGAAATTACCTTGGGTTTTTGTAATAAACTTTGATCTATACTGAATACACTTGATTGTCTTATAGAATTGTTTTTCGTTGAAAACATCTTTTTTATCATATATATGTTTTTTAGGGTTATGAAAAATACTATCTTTTGCATCGGTAGTTCACAATTCGTCCTGTCTTGAAAACACCAAAATCCATAAACTTGACTTTCTTAATAAAGTATAGAGGGATGTAAAGTTAGGCAATTCTAAAACCAAGGAATGCTGCAACGTAGCCCTATTCTGCATAATGATACGACAAATTTTTGTGAAAACATGCACTTTTAGTGACACTTAATACGAGAAGACAATTGAATATAGGTTATAGTAACGTTCTGTGCCAAGTGCTATGCTGTTGATTGTATTCTTTTCTTTTTTTCATTTTCTATTGAAAGACACCAATACTGTAGCCTTTTTCTTGGAAAAATTTCAATGAGTCGGTCGAGCAATATACATGAATCTGCAAAAAAAAAAAAAAAAATGTTTTTCTTTATTATCTATCATTATGACTGTTTCGATATTAGATTAAGATTATTTTGAATTAAATTGTATGAGTAGAGACTATTAAGAGAAATTACACAGAATAAAGTAGCGAGTAGTTTAAACGGGAGGTATCTAACCAGTTGTGCACTTATGGAACAATAACCGGTGATAAAGAAAAGAGGAGGAAGTGGTAGGCACAGGTTATTATTTACCAGCCTTGCTTCCAAGCAAGAGACGTTTCGATCAGGATAAGGACAAAGAAGACAAAGTTACAGCCTGCACGAATGAACTTATGGTCAATAACCATGACGGCGATGGCAGCAACAATGGTAAGAGCAAAATAGATCCAAGAAATAATACTTAATGCTCTGGTGGAAGCAGCACCAAAACCGTTAAGTGAAAGGGAAATCAAAAGCATAAGTACATTATCCTTGACAAGGTTGTATGCTCTACCGATCTTAGACTACGAATAAAATGGTAAATACACAGATCAATGCCACAGACATGGTTAATTACAACTTTCTTACCATAATACCGCCAGAAGATTGCTTATCACCGGCTTCAACATCAGCAACGTCTGAATCATCAGTGAAAAGAGGTTTAACTGAATAGAGTAGACCAAGGATGATGGTAAGAATATAAAGAGTAATCCAAGCGCTCTTGACTGAACCAGTAGCAACGTAGTTATCAATTCCAATCATTTTGTTATTATCGTATATATATTATTCACAAAGATAAAAATTTGGAGAGAGCATTGGTTGAGCAAAGTCGCAGTTGCTTTTATACTTTCTGTTGAGGCGAGCAAAAACAATTCAGATACAATCGTACCACTAACGTGTTTCTTTTTCTGGTTTTTTTTTTTATGTTTCAACATAGATAGTGTTATCATTATCTGAAGCAATGCGAATCATCTCATGCTTAATTCCAATTGACACATTTTTCTATCGTTCAGGACAGCAGAACCTGCTTTTATCTCCGCCAAAGTCTCATTGCAAGCATGTTGTAATCATGCTATGTTAAATATAGGACGATCGGATCAGGTATAGAAACAACGGCCTCTCAACGGCAAGCATTACATTTTTTCTGAACGTTCAATCGTTCCTATTATTGTCACCTTATGTTAAAAAGCAAAAAAGTAGTTGAAGAGGCAGTTAGCCTGGACTTCCAAAAGTCGTTATAGGACCCCTTTTGCGATCAGCAGCATGAAGGTTTTCTTCTTTCGTCTGATCGTTACTAAACCATTTAAACGCAGTGCTTTGATCGGTGAATTTAACCGCTAGCTGTTAACATGTCCGCCCTGACTAGCTCGGCTTGAAATTCATAGTTTTACCTAGGAATTCATTACCAGAAAAATACTAAAAGAAACATTTTCGGTCAGATAGGCAGCAAGCTACATCAAAAAACCCCTCAGCGAGCGTAGATATCGCTTTATCAGCTATAACATATTTAAATATAATATAAAATACTGTGCCTTTCATTTTCAAAAACAAGTGATCCGGCTAATCAAGACAATATACTGGCGATTTTTGGTACCGATTCCTCTCCATGGAATGATTTTTTCTTTCAGCTGCGCGTCAATCTGGACTTTATCTTCGCCGGTGTTACTGTAGTTGTTTACACGGATGGCAGCTAAAAAAAGGATATGCCTTTGTTTCTAATCAGTTAACTGTCGGAAATCGATAAGGTCAGTGCGGGGTGTCATTGAATGCCCGTTTTGGTAAAATTACTTCCTCATACACGGAGTTATTTCTTTTTTGATTTCTGGCCTCTTCACAGCATTCCATTTTACCAAGAATTCACATTTGTTTAGTTTTAGATGTGCTGCTTAGTAAGAATCGACCATGAATACACTCAGAAGGGTTAACAGGAAATCAATTGAAACATTTCAATCACGCGAAGGTGGCTATCTTATTGTGTTCTAGCAAATTCATTGACCTTCTTAGTAATCGTCTAGATAAAAGTCGTATAGGGTTAACGTGTGGCTTTATAGACTCGAAATAGAGAAGTAAACTGGGTAAGCCCCGTATATCATATGGGGTCTTGTAAAATCAAATCGAATCTATGGTATAGTTGTTTGTTTCTTTTAAAAATCAGGAAATAAATGTCTGTAGGGATCGTTTTGGTCATTTACGCCGTATGGCTCTTGTGTTTCTGGGTATTTATCGAAATGGCTTGCATCACCTTCACCTCTAATTTGAGGAACATAGGGTGCTTTGATCTGACGAGCCAGTATTCTATTAAAGTCGACACCAGCAAACCATGGATGTCGTTTTAAGTCATCACTGCCACCCTTCAAATTACCATATCTTTTTGTAAGATCTGGCGTTAACAGTTGCTTGAGAAGACTTTTGGCATTCATTTCAAAGTAGGCTGGCCATTTTAATTTACACGCTAGGATCTTTTCGTATAACTTCAAATGGTCTTCATCAAAAAAAGGCGGATATCTATATTTGCGTAAAAGAAAAAAAGGAGGACCTTAATAATCAATAGGAAAGTACGCAATGTAGAGGTTGTTTTTTTTTTTTAAATCACTGACCCTGCTAACATTTCGTAGATGAGAACGCCTAGACTCCACCAGTCAACTGCTTTCCCATAACCTTTTGATTGTATGATCTCAGGAGCTTTACGTAAAATGACAAAAAATAAAATAAAAAAATAAGGATTCGTCTCGACATTGCTTATTGATCCAAGTTTTTTTTAAATACCTAAATAATCAGGGGTACCGCACAAAGTCCAAGTGATATCAGGTACATACTTGGCGAATCCAAAATCTGTGATTTTGATATGTCCTTGTGCATCTAATAAGAGGTTTTCCGGTTTCAAATCACGGTAAATCATATCCTTAGAATGAAGATATTCAATAGCGAGTATGACTTCCGCTGCATAAAACTTGGCAACATGGTCGGGAAAGCGTTGGGATCGTCTCAATATCGAAAACAATTCGCCACCAGGTATATAGTCTTGAATGATGTAAAGATTATTAGAATCTTGAAATGTGCCCCACATATTTACTATGAATGGATGAGCGACAGCCTCTAGTATGTGTTTTTCGTTATTGGTATGCTCCACTTGTTTCAATCGAATCACTTCTGTCTTTTTTAGAACTTTCATTGCGTAATATCGTGAATTGACTTTTGATTGTATGAGATGAACACGTCCAAATGAACCTGTTCCCAAAGTTCTAGATATGAAAAAATCATCTAATCGTAGTTTCGGTCGGTTGATTCGGTGCTGGATGATAAATTGATCATTATAGACGGTTGTGTAGGATGGTTGCCTAGGAGTGGCAGTCGTCGTTGTACCAAGCACTGTCGGTGTTGCAATAGCATGAAATGCACTTGTACCGTTCGTTACTGTTGCTGTTGTCACAGCAGCAGTCGAATTGATCTGTGGTAACGGAACTCTTGGCTGCTGTTGGTGGGTTAATTGGGAAACCTGCATTTGTTGTGGCTGTGCATGATGAGGTTTGACAGCTATTTTTGAGCCTATCACTTCAATTTACAGTTAATCTCATTGAACGTCTGTACTTCTTTAAGGATCGCTTATTACCTGGTGCCATTGCTGTAGACGTTGTCATTTAAAAAGCGAACGTGTTAGACAAGTCGCGATATAGTGTTCATATTCTGTTCGTGTGCTTACGTTCAAAAACCTCTATTTTAGGTGCTTTGGCTTCTCTATCATCCTCTAACCAGGAAACTGTTCTTTTTTGCCCAATCTCTGCACCGCCTACGGTTGGCACTGGTGAAAATGCCTGCTCTGTGTCGATTAGCTGTCGCAATGAGGCCGAATAGGTAGCATCTTTTTGCGATGGCAACGTTTGCTTCTGATCTTCATTGTAGATTGTAGACATTACGAAACAAATATCAAACAGTTATCAATGGTTGATATAAGAAGAAGCGGCAAAAGTGATGGTTTTTTTTCTCGGTTTTTTTTTTTTTTTTACTCTCAAAGAAAGAAAAAGGAGGATAAGTCTCCCAGAAACTTTTTTTTTCACTCCTAATGAATTTGATTAAACTGTCAAAATTTATGCATGTTCATTGGAAATTCATTGGTTTCACTAAAGCAATTTTAACGATTCTGTCATTTTTAAGTTGGGGAAAACAATAGGTGTCTTTAAGCTACAGCCTGTATTTTTAGTGTGCTCTAGCCCTTTATTCATGAAATCGAGAGATTTAAACCAATAATGCAAAAATGAAAGATATTATCGCATGTTATATTGCACTCACTCGATCACAAGAAGAGGTAAATCAAGGGTCGCCCTTAGGCGCAGAAATGTGTCCATTACACAGCCATCCTGAATCTCTTCTTAGCTCCCTATGTTTCACTTGCAAAGAGAAAAAGTACATGGGCAAGAGTAATCAGAATGATTTACAGCCGCAAATAAATTAGAGAGCTTCAAGCTTCTCTTATGTGCAAACCATTAAGTCATAATATTTTCACTAGTCGTATGAAGGTGGGTCTTTCATTGTTGAATTGAACCAACATTATCATTAGAACAGCAAAATGAAACGTGCGTCTGTAGTTAGGGCTTTGAAGGTAGAGGAAGTGTATTGTATACCAATATTCTCAATAGTTAATGTAGTATAGATACATGATCTTCTCTATTAGCCACATCTCTTTCTTTTAGGACCAAAAACAGAAAAAGCAAACAGCTTCAATAGAGATGTAATGGATAAAGTAAATGAACAATTGAGAGTTTCTTAAGAAGGAAGGGGACTACAGTAGACAGCCATGGTTAGATTGACTGCACGCTTTATATAAGACAAAAATATACATAATATTACATAATACATAAAATTTGTGAAAGGCGGGTAAAGAACGGGAAGAGTGAAAAATGTGGGTATTTACGGAAATCAAAAAAAAAAATAACTCTACCATTCATCATCAGAATAGGGTTCGATGGTTAATGGCTCACCTAACTCCATTAGCATATTGGGTTTAACAAGTCGAGTAGAGTATCTTGTCTTTTCTACGCGCTCTTTTTCGATATATTGAGGAATGTCATTGAGACTAAAGTAATCTGGAGGAGGCAGAAGCTCTTCTCGTGCTGCAGAAGGAGGAGAAGATGGTGACAATATGGATCCACTGTTCGTTGGCACTGTGGTGTTATTTTGTCTGAACTCACCAAGCAAAGCTTCATCATCAGGATTCAATAATGTAGATAATGGAGATGTGAATAATTCCCCCGTACTGTCTCGGGTACTTAGAGGAGGACTTATCGGATAACCTGGTGGCTCTTCTAGATTCGCATCAAAGAACACGGGTGCTTCTCGTGAATTCTTATAATGTTGGATAGTCGTCATTCCCGGAAGTCTTGCAAAGTGCTCATGAGATACATTGGCTATTCCAATAGGAATTTGCACCTGCGTGTGATAGGATGATTTCAACAAATTGGTCGGATCCAGCTGAACCATTAGAATGAGATAATAGTAAACACGAATGTGGTTTGACTGAAAGCAAGGTGATAATAGCCATGAAGGTAGCTGTAACTGTAGGTTGGGTACATACAGGTTGCTGCTATTTCCAGAATCTACTGCATTGTCCTTTATATTGATCATTTTTTGGTGAATATCTCTTTTAAACACTTTGTGCACAATGCCTCGCTCCAGCTGTAGCTTTCCTTCGTAGCATTTTCGAAACTTGTAACCCAAACTACCGACACTTATATCCGACGGTATGCAGTTAATTTCAATATCTAACTGTGTGATTTGTTCAGGAACGAAAACCTGAGCTGGTAATTTGACTTTGATGGTGGCTACTGGCGTCTTTTTGTCTTTATACAATGTTTCCTGAAACACCCACGGATTGGCTTCAGGCGCGCAGAGTAAAGGCCGATAAATTGTGCTGACTTCCGCACTGCGCGCTCCGGGATGGTTTGCCGCACCGTCCAGATAGGCTGTCCACAAATAACGAACAGAGAACCCTGTAGGGTTTTCCAGGGATGGCGGGAAGTTTACGTTTGGAAACTGAAAGATTCAATTGTATGACACAGATAAAATGTAAGTTTCCACTTCTGGAATAATCTATTTTTTTTATTATCTTCTACCTTCATCGCAAATTTGTATTCATATTCGCCTGGTTCTATAGTCTGCCAATTATTCAGAAAATAGGCTAATGATAAAAAAACAAGTCAGACCAATGAACACACTATAAAATTTACATGGAAAAGTAATGAATGGGCTTTTTTTTTTTTTTTACCATTTTCTTGACTGCCAAACACTCTTGTTTCGATCTCAAAATAGGTGGTTGTTAATTTCTCAATACGGTCTTCCGTCTTTGTTTCTTTTACTTTAACGCAAGCAACTTCTACAGCTTTAAACTGAGAGGTATTGTATGTAAGATAAGTAATTCAAAGCGAAAATGCGTGCGGTACAAATCTAACCTTGACACGAATTTGACTAGCATAAATTATTTTGCTTGTCTTTAATTTGACATGACCTAAAGACCCATAAGAGAGATAAGAGATACAATGCCTTACTCGTTTTCTCAATACTGAGCGACCAACCTACCTCTCACAATACGGTTGGGTCTTATAGTCAAGTTGGGACCTTCATTAAAGTGTATACTTAATTTTGGCCCGTCTGAGTTCCTTGAATCGGCCTGGTGATACATTGTGCTACTATTGCTTTGAGATGATAGAGCATTTGTATGAGTTCGATTCGCCGATGAAAGGGGCAGTAACGATAGCCTTCTCGCAGCTGGTGTATTTACTATGGTCGTAGTAGCCATCTCTATCAAATGTGTGGAAGAAAATGGCTATAGAAAAAGGTCAAAAATAGGATTTATGCAGTTTTTCTTTCTTAATTCTTTCCCTGTCCCATTCCCGACGGGAAGAAAAGTGATTGGTGGGTCCCATAAGCAACACACAGATTTGCCCAACAGGCCTGTCATTCTAGGGTCCACTTCAAGGCGAACCCGTTCCTGTTATTTGAGAAAACTGATTCCACCCTTTTGCCCGTTCAGAGGGCCGGGAAACAATAGATTTGATGAAACAATATATCAACAAAGTAAAGCATAAAGTTTATCTTTAAAATAAATAAATGAAATTGATACTCATATTTGATGAATATCAAGTAAGACGCATTCAATAGCGTTTCAAACGATGTCTTGTTCATCCCCTTCTTACACAACTTAAAGTTGATACGATATGAATATAGAGTCAACAATCAATTCAATTTTTTTATTTATATGTGAGACGGCCCTCTAGTTTGCTCTGAGCTGACCCGCCAACTTTTATAAATCAAGAAAACTCATATCTATCAAGCGTATAACACAACAGAACGCTATGCTTGTTTCCATCGTAGTCTACGCTTTGACACTCGAAGGTGGAGGAGTTATTTCACTATTACGTATTCAGTTTGACGACTGCCAATGAGATGGACATATACGAAAAAATAGTCATTTAAAGGTCACGAGAGAGAAAATGGCACGTTGAGACAGAATAGGAATGACTATAAGCAGTGTATATCGCAGTTGCAACTTCATGAAGAAACACAGTAACAAGGCGGGTGCACTACAGAGAATCGAATCGTTATCGATTCTAAAGATTCTTGTTTGTACAGTAGCGGATTTCTAATAAAGAGGAAAAGAAGAGGACGGACACATGAACAATCGTTATCTTCAATAAGATCAAAGATAATCAGAATTCATGACGGATTAGTCAGAGATTATTTACAGCAGATTGGTCTGAAGCAAATAACAATACAGTCAATCTCAGAATGAATTATGGGGAAACACCCTTCATCTTCATTGAAAGAGACAGTATCGTTTATCGATCTATTTGGATCATTCATTCGTGAGTATTATAATGCTCCAAAGGTATGCTTTAGGTGGCTCAAGTAGTATCAAAAAATCCACTACACGTTGTTTTGATGTCTATTCGACATTGTAGAAAGCAAATACTATATTGCCTCATTCCATCCGGTGACGGTATTGCAAATTTAGCTTATTTTCATCTGACTCTTCAAAATAGATAGTCTGCAATACACAGCGTATCATTCAACCATAGGAGATAGGTTGCTTCCCGTTCAAACTATTGCTTTCTTAAGAGTGGACGAAAAAAAACATTTTTTAGTAGTAGACCCACAAATAATCTACCTAATTTAAAATGAGTGTAGCTTTCTGTAAGAGTGAATTGAAAAAGAAAGCACGTCTACAAAAATATGCATAAAATGTAAGTGAATAGATAGCATTACATGGCCCGCCCTAATTTTCAATCAATCTATGGACGTTTAGTCAAGCCCCATGATGTAGTAAAACAACTGCACTGCACCAAAGATGATCTAATAGGCAAACGTCAATATTGAAGAAGCAATTCTGAGGTACATCTTATGCTTTTCACTGAAACTTACCGGCTGCCAGACAACGAGATAACGAACACCGTCCAACAAATTCAAATACAATTGCTGTTGTGTATCCCATCTACGGAAGGAAAAAAGATGTGAATACGGCTTATTCAGTTGTTCTTCTGGAGTAGGATCAGTTACTTACGGGTTCTTTTTGAAATCTTTCAGGTCGACTTTCTCTTTACTAATAAAGACATGGACAGCCTTCATAAGTATATACATTCTCATGAAAAGTGAGCCCTCACCATTTTCATATGAAAAACTTACCAATAAGGACAAATATCTTTTTTGCCCACCAATACCCAACCTCGTATACATTTTTCATGAAATACATGCTTGCAACTGAGTCGATGTACTGGATCACCGAGGAACATGGGCCGTTGAGCCGGGTCCTCATGGTTTAAAGCCATTGTGTTTGCCGATGTTGCATGTCCACAGACAGCACAGACACCTTCGCCCAAATATTTGTTGGGCAAGCCATCCTTTGAGTAATATCCAATCGTTGCAGCCATTCTGTCTGTACAAATTTCCACAAAATCTCTACCCAGAACACTATAAGGGCAGCACACAGGGTTAGCTGTTTTACGCTATCTCAAGCCCTATCGAGTGAACCCAATGTCTACCTACCCAAAATAAAGACCGTAACAGAGGAGTAAAACCCCGAATTCAATAAGCCCTGAATAAGCATTGAAAAGTTCGGCAAGTCCAAAGAAAACAAATAAAATGATGATGTATCCAATGAGACCAACCACAAAGGAGACATTGTAGACGACATAGTACCACTTATACACCAGACGAGGGGTCATGGCCTCTAACGGCTTCCTTGTCGCCTTGTGCAAAACTATGCCCCCGCGATAGAGCCGGTAATAAAAAAAAAGTCAGCAACCTCATTCTCCCTATCCCTCGGCATAGTACTTACCGAATCCATTGATAGCTGAAAACACTGTCCATACGAATAGGAATCTCGGCCAGCCTGCATAGATACCGAATAACATGGGGAAGAAATATAGACCTGCCAAACTCACTGTTTGATATGATTTATAATGTTTCTTTTTCCACCATAGAATAACAAACTGTGAAGCGAATAGTGCAAACAGTAGTATAAACGCCATTAACTCGTGTTGTGACTCATGACCTATAAGCAAGATTTAGAAAGTTTGATCTGTACCACTCGACAGAAATAGTTGGTTTGTTGCTGTACCTTTGTGTTGTTGTAGGTATTCAAGGTGAGTATTATAACTGTCAGTTGTTTACAAACAAATTTATTCTATTAGTAAGGTTTCTGAGCAATTATGTCTGTCAAAAGGGAGTGTGCCTTTTACTTTGTTTGTTGCTCCGGTGTTAATTGCGCAATTTGCTCATCCGTCAAAGATCCATCCAGCCAAGAAGGGCTGAACGTAATATCTGGCTCCTCATGGTTCATAGTTGAAAGTAGATGAGAAGAAAAGGGACTAGGTCAATGAGCTCTTATAGAGGACAAAAGAAAAAGATGAATTGTACGTAAAAACCTTATGTTGGTCAGAATCTCAACGAGAGTGCATTGGCTGATCCAAAATGCTGGATAACAGTTAAGAAATAAAAACCCAGCAGCGGGTTCGGAGCATATCCAATTTTGTATTGACTGATTGATGATCGCTTCACATTTCCCACCCACTCCTTTCTCTCAACAGCAATCAATACAACACAAGTTACGAAGCCAATAGTTGGGAAAAGTCATAGGACAAAAGAACGCTTTGATGATTCAAACAAGGCCGGCTGTTTTATCAAAAAGAGAGCCTGCTGAAAGCAACTTTTATAACCATGAACGTCTCACGGAATCTGTAACAGCAGTTTTTACTTTTTGGCAGGGAGCTCAATGACACTTTACTTGAGCGATAGAAGTTCCAATGATAGGATTAAGATGCAAGTTTATTGATGAAAATGTGGGTATAGTGTTGAGACATTGTCTATTCTTCTTTTCTACGAGAGACAGAGAGTGGATTAAATACGAGGTCATCCTTCTTCTCCTCACGCGAAATCTCTGCTAAAAATGGCTCATCATGGTTGTTGGAATAATAGAACTTTGTTCCTGGAAATGACAATGCATATTTTGGATTACACGCAATCGCAGTGCACAAGTTATGGACAGCTTTCTCTAACGAGTGTTCAATATCATCCACCTCTGCCACGGACAATTTTACAATATGCTCAGTGCAGTCAGGCGTTAAAGGGCGCCGGTGTATCCGTATTTCCACTCCACTCTCAGATGCTATTTTCTCAAAAGCGTTGACAGCCAAGAGACAGTGAATCATGGCTGTAGTGAGCATGAAACTGATGCTGATTCTCCCCTAGTTTTTTAACAACAATAGAAATCAATAGGCTTGCCCTAAGCGAAGAAATGAGGGGGGGGGGAACAAAAGTCATATTTACTGCCGTAAACACAAAAGGCAATCGCTCAAGCACAAGTTTGAGGCAATGGGTCCAAGCTTTAGCAATGTTCTCCGGTTGCCCACCTATCTGTATCATCCTTTCGCCTTCAATATTGATTTTCACTTTAAAGTGCTGCTTCATTCCTTCAATCGTGCAACCCTTCCTACCGATGAGCAATGCTTTCACGTGGCCTGGTAGAATTCCTCTTAGGATGGCATTTTGTGATTTTTCTCGTGATATCTGACTCAAATAGTTGAAATCAATAATAATCTCCTTTTCTGTTGACATTGAGATTCAAACAGAAAAAAAAAAAAAAAGAGATCAAAGCTTACAGACATATAGTTTGGTTTTTTTTTTAACTTTATGCACAATTCATTGTCTTTATGTCTCCGAATCAAGGTTTTTTTTTAAGGTTGCTTTTTTGGGTCGCTGAAAACTTTTTTTTTTTTTTTTTTTTTTTTTCCTTTCTGCTGGCGGATGATCGTGTAACAACTTATGGCGTACCTTACGAAAGAGCATATTCAACAATTTCAAGAAAAAGGATACACTGTTCTTTTGGATGGTAAATACCTTGACAATAGGATGACCCCTTTATACATAACCGCTTATAATAAAATATAGCCTTAACAAAGGAGGAATTGGCTCTACTGCACGAAGAGTCAGATGTTCTTTTAAACCACTTGTTAAATGAAGGATACGATATCGTTAAACATCTCGGGTGTATAGTAGGTAAAATAGGAATAGATAAGGGTAGCGAAAACGTAGCTGCTTTTTTTTTTTTTTTTTACTGAAGCGTATTGTTCCATCGTATGCCAGAGCCTTGGACTTGTGGATTTTTAGAATATGAAAATGAAGAGTATAAAACGACAGCTCAGTCTTATAAAGAAATACGTGATACGATTCTGTGGGATAACGCATTTCCAGGCAGTGCTTCTGATTTGATTCTCAAGAAGTATGGCGGGTTTGCTTCTCAATTGTTGGCAAGTCAAAGGGTCTATCTTGTAAGTCAGTCCCCATCATTCAGAGAATTTTTTTGTCGTTTTCTCTCGAATCAACAACATTGACTTTATGGCATTCCCTCCATTATGAACAGTTGAATGAGCAGTTTATCATCAAGCCTCCTTTCACTTTGGGTCAGTCACAATTTGTTTGGCATAAGGTAAGGGAAAGAAAAACAAATGGGAGCCTGATAAAGACCGACAGTAGAGAACTCACATTGTCCGTCATAGGATTCGGACTATTACGATGATGTAAGGCATAGAAAGGAGTGGACAGTGGCTTGCTGGACAGCATTGGATGATGTTGGCGCAAGCAATGGTACAGTCGAACTGAAAGACTTTCAAGGCGGGGAAAGGATGTTGGAAGCACCGGCAGGGAGTATTCTGTTCATGTCAAGCCAACTACTCCACAAAAGTGAAGGGAATGGAAGTGCAGCCTTTCGTCGAGCATTTATGACACAATTTTCAACGAAACCTCTCCTTCATTATGGCAGAGACCATTTACCATTGGCCGCTCAATGTGTTGGTTTGGCGGTGCCATGCGACACTGCATCCTAGATAGAGCCTACTACTTTTTTTCTTTACAAAGTAGCGTGTAGGAAGGGGTGCGCGACAGACAATGGGATGAGAGCGTACTTATTAAACAATCAAACGAGCCAATGAACCCCCTCTCCTAAAGGCGAGCTGTTTCAGTAAAGCATCATTGTGTGTTTTTTCTCTTACAAACACTAGACAAACTGCAATAAATGGGAAGAAAAAGTTCTTTTTTTTACAATGCTCGAAATTGAGAGTCGTTTATATTATATAGAGAGGGAGGCAAAAAAAAAAAAGGTAAATTTACAGAAAGAAAAAAAAAAAGAGGTAGAAAAAGGGAAATACACGGAAAGGAGGATGGACGATTGGCCAGAAAAAAAATAAAAAGTTAGATAGAATATGAGTTTGTTATAGACATACTATGTGTGTGTGTGTGTGTGTGTGTGTGTGTGTGTTTTACATACGTTCTAAAGGTCTGAGACCCAACATGCGCATAGCATTACCAAGAGCCATACGAGCGGTCCAATACATCAACAAACGGGCATCGGCAACGGCAGGGTCAGCGCCTTTCACCCAAAGATTTTCAAAGCAGGCAGAGATATCGTGAGATAATTTGAAAGCATAAGTGACGACGTTACAGGGTTCGTAACCGTTGATGAGAGACTTGACTAAATCAGGGTATTGAGCAACAGTACGAATGACGTTGATGGCTTCGGGTTCCGTCAATAGACTCAAATCCGCATTGGGATTGAGCTCCAAACCACTCTTACGTTCAACGGAAGCGAGACGAGCATGAGCGTATTGAATATAAGGTCCAGTATCGCCTTCGAAGGAGCACATACGAGCCATTTCAAAGTTGTAGTTTTTGATACGACGGGCCGAGTTATCTTGGATCTTGACAGCAGAGATACCGATTTCGTCAGCGACCGTTTCAGGGTCGTCGATTTCGGCATATTTGGCTTCGTTCTTCTTCATGACTTCGTGCATGGTTTCTTTGGCCTCTTCCAAGATATCTTGCAAGAAGACAACGGTACCTTTACGTGTGGACATGCCCAAGACCATACCAAAGTTGACGTGTTCGACACGGTTGGCCCATTCAAACTTCATCAACTCCAAGGTCTTGAAAAGCTGCTTGAAATGGAGATCTTGCTGAGAAGCGGCGACGTAAATCATCTTGTCAAACTTGTACGTTTCATAACGTTCCATAGCAGCACCGATATCACGGGTCAAATACAGAGTGGTACCATCCTTCTTTTGAACGACGGTTTTGCCCAATTTATACTTTTCCATATCGATGATCAAGGCACCGTCGGATTCTTCCAACAAGTGGCATTCTTGGAGCAACTTCATTGCCTTTTGCATGCCCTCTCCTACTTGAGACTCGCCAGAATACACATCAAATTGAATGTTCAAACGAGCATAGGTGTCTTTGTAGCGAACAATCGATAAATCTCTGAAACGGCGCCATAAGGCGAGCGCTTCTTCATCGCCATCTTCCATCTTTTTGAAATAGGCACGAGCGTCATCGTGAATGGTGGGGTTCTCGTCGGCATCCCTGTTGATGGCGACATAGACGTCGTATAAATGTTTAATAGGATCGGCGACCAACTCGTCTTCAGAGCCGTACTTTTCGAAACCGACGGCCAAAAGACCATATTGCTTGCCCCAATCACCCAAGTAGTTCATAGAAATGGTGTCGTAACCATTCGCATCGTAGACATTACGGATAAAAGCGCCGATGATGGTAGAACGCAAATGACCGGCATGGAAAGGCTTTGCAATGTTGGGCGAGGAATACTCGACAATGATCTTTTTGCCGTTGCCGGTGGAGTTGTGTCCGTATTTTTCTTTTTTATCCAACATGGCGTGCACGGTCAACTGGGTCAAGATGGTCTTGTTGATGCGGAAGTTGAGGAAAGGACCGGCACAGGATGCTTCGGTGATGTAGTCGTTGGGCTCGAACTGCGAGGCCCATTGCTTGGCCATGGCGGCGGGATTGCCCTTGACACGAAGACGAGGCACAGCAATAGCCAAGTCACCGTTTTCCAAAGAGCGAGGATAGTCAATCGCTTGATAGACAACGACGGGATCGAGACTGCCGAGGGCGGCCAATTGTGAAGCCACCATATTTCTAAACACATCCATAGGGTTGACAGCAGGATCGGATGCTGAGCCTGGAATATCGGGTATGTCAAGCGATGTAGGTGTGGGTTTCAAGTCGACGGTCAACTTCATGGGTAGATTGGCTTGGTAGAGAGAGGGTTGGTATGATTTCAAGTAAAGAGGGCAAGGTGCTCAAGTCCGTCTCAAAGAAAAAAAATACAACATGAGTCATGAACACCGACACTATGGATGGATGTACTAAGCCACTGGTTGCCGTTTCCTTTCTCTCGTTTAAAATTGGGCAGTGGACGTCCCCCCTCCCCAGCAAAGCCTACCTCCCTTATTTTGGCTATAGAGTCATTACCAAGGTTCTCGGTTCAGAGTTGTGGATAGGGATGTGTTTGATTTAGAATAAGATAAAATAACAGGGAAAGATTCATAAGCGTGCGGGTAGAGAGGATGTGGCTCTTGGATAGGGGCACAGACTGCTACACCCGCTTGCGATAAGAAGCTTCATTATGACATTCTTACTGCACTTGAACTTTATGATCCAAAGCGAATGGTGATATGATCAGATACTGCCCACTGAATGGCAGTTGGCCGCTGGGGGCTTTTTTGAATAGTTAAAATAAATGTGAGGACTAAAATAGCGCTACACCCAGTGAGGAGAGTAAAAAAAAAAAAAAAAAAAAAAAAAAAAAAAAAAAAAAAGCAAACTCTTTTGCCTAAAGCAATGATTCAAGAAGGAGATAAGGACAGCCCTTTACAATGAGATGGGTGGTTTAGAAATGCCTCCCAATAGAAAGGTTTTCTGATGCATTCAAAGTTGACTGTGCAATCCATTCAACGTAGATTGGATCAGTGGGAGTAAAGGGAACAAACGGATGGTAAGTTTATCTTTTGCACACACACGGCAAAACACTGTATAAAAAAGAGAAAAAAGCCTTATCTAAAGCCGATGGGAGCAATGCACCTCCCCCTTCATGGGCTGTCGTGGGTAGAATACTTTTTTTCCCCTGGGATATCAGCACGAGACGGCGATCTTGGGAGGGTGAATTGCTCTCAAGATTTTTCAGCACGAGATCGCTCAGCTCAGGGGTTGAGAGGGTCTTTCCCCAAGATACCGGGGAAATAAAAGCATTTATTCCTTTTGATAAATCTTTTATTTTTTTTTATTTTTTTTTTTTTTTTTTTTTTTTTTTATCTCTTCAGTTACCCTTCTATCGCGAACAATAATATATCTGTATTCAACCCCCCCCCCCTTTTTTTTTTCTTCAATAAGTAATGACTTGTCAACACGAATCGTTAGGGGCGGAAATGTGTCCTTACTGTGGTTATTGTAATCATGAAATCATTTTCAAAGATTTATGCGCCATTTGCGGTAGTCTTGTAGTCCAAGAGTAAAAAAAAAAAAAAAAAAAAAAAAAAAGAGAGAGAGGAATAAAACAAAAAGTCTGACATCGTCATCTAGGCAACATAACAAGCTTGCTAACCGACCATTGGACGTTTTTTATTTTACTCTTGTTTAGTGACCGTGATGAAGGCACTGCGAATAATAACAACCAACACTTTGATATAAGTCATAGATCCGACGGTGTACGAGTGAGTTTCAAGGTAAAAAAAAACGAGAACACAACCCTCCGAGAAAGAAAGAGAGGCTAATGAAAGCTTTTTCATTCATAGGAAGCTCAACGTTTAGAAAAGAAAGATGAAGAACGTTTGTTGAAAGAAAAGAAACTTTCACTTATTGTCGATCTTGACCAGACTGTTTTACATGCCGCTTGGGAACCCCATATAGCGCAATGGGTCGACGACCATAAAGCGCAGAAGGATCCTTTAGCCGAAAACATGTTTACTTTTTCGTTGGATGGAACGAATAAATATACCATTAAACTACGGTAAGTTCGAAAAGGGTCTCTTTGGAGAAAAAGTAGTAGGGAGCCATGTTATCTTACCGACCCACTGGTTCTACTTAGACCTGGATTATCTGAATTCTTGAAAGAAATCTCTCAATATTACGAAATGCATATCTATACCATGGGTACCAGAGCCTATGCCGAAGCGGTCGCCAAAGTCATTGATCCCACGGGAGAGCTGTTTAGGGATCGGATTTTATCGCGTGACGAGAATGGTAGTGTGATGAAAAAGAGATTAGAACGTTTATTTCCCTCAGATCACACCAAAGTCGTGGTGTTGGATGACCGTGCCGATGTGTGGGATTTCTCACAAAACTTGATACAGATTAAACCTTATGAATATTTTGCGGGTGTAGGAGATATCAACGCGCCGCCCAGCATCGCTGCGAGCCCTGCGAACGATAGCAACATGTTGAAACAGACGACGACAACGACAGAAACGACAGAGACGGTCACAACAGATACAACGACGATAGACAAAATGAATGAGACAACCGAGCAAGATGGCCACAGCACCGATAAGGGTGCTCTCAGCGGGGAAGAGCCCACGACGGCGACGATGACGCCGATGACGACAACGACGACGACGACGACGACGACCAACACAACAGAAAAGGACAGCTCTGTGACGCCCACCATTGTCAATGACGATGCTGTGAACGAAAGTATTGTAAACGACATTAAGCACCATCAACATATTCCACCTCCCGCCACGACCACCATGCCTGTGATTGACCCTGAAAAGTTGGTAGAAAGTGAGAATAAAAAGAGCAAAGAAACAGACGATGCAATGGATACAACAGCAGACGCTTCCTTGACACACACGACAAGCGATGAAAGTGCTGCTGCTAATGCTGCTGCTAATGCTGCTAATACTACAACGCTGCATAGATCGAATCCATATTCCACAGACAGCCATTACAACGCTACGAATAGTATGAATAGCTATACCCCTAAATCGCATGATTCAGATACCATCCTCAAAGTTGTTCAAAAAACACTGATTGAAGTACACTGTCGATTCTACGAAAAAGTCGAAAAAGAGAATGCACGACCGAACGTGGCGGATATTTTGAATGGCGTGAAAAGTCATGTGTTATCGGGATGTCATCTTGTGTTTTCAGGCGTGATTCCATTGCAGGTCGACCCTACCACGTCTTCTTTATGGAAGATGGCAACGTCCTACGGTGCCCAGTGCTGGGAAGAACTCACAGGTAAAGTCACCCATCTCATTGCAGCCCATCCATGCACGACCAAAGTCAACAAAGCCCGTAAATATCCGAAAATTCAAATTGTATCACCGCCGTGGTTGTTCAACTCGGTTTGGAATTGGAAAAAGGAAGAGGAGGAAAAGTACAAACTGGAGCTTCCTCAGGATAAGTACGCAGATTCAGAGAGTGACAGTGAGGACATTGAAGATATTGAGGCAGTTGACAGAGCGTTTGATCGTTTTACAAAGCAAAAGGGAAAAGAGAGGTCCAATGGAGAAGAAGAAGAGGCAGGTGCTGCAGGAGAGACCGCTATGGACGACCGGCAGGAAAAGGTAGAAGAGACGATCGATTTCGACTGGACAGATGATGAAGTAGATGATGCTATGAATGAAGAAGACAGTGATGAGGACGATGAGAGTGAAGCATCTGAAGATAAAGACACAAACGAAATAGAGCGTACAAGCGTTCAACAGCGAGAGACAGACGATGACGAAGAGGAGGAGGATGAGGAGGATGAGGATTTTTTAAACGATATCCTGAATGAGTTGGATGAGGAAGAGGAAGATGAAGAGAATGTTGCAGATAGGGAGGAGTATGGTGACGAGAGTGATAACGAAAGCTCTGGGACAAAGCGAAAATTTGAAAATGATGATGATGATGAAGACGACGGGTATTCTGATAGAGAGGACTCAAGGCGCAGAAAGTCCTTCAGATCAGACGACTAGCATCATCGCTTTCTTTATTCATTCAATATCACTGTTTTTCCATTGTTACATGTTCTTTTTGTTTGTTTTCTTTTTTGCATATTCTTCAGTGCTGCTTTCACTCATTTGCACCCATACCATCATTGCAGAAAAAAAAAAAAAAAGAGACAGTTCTTACATTCCTCGTACTTTTATTTCATCATACTACTTTTATACCTTTCTTTACAAAGTAATTTGAAACTAGCAAACATATTAAAATGACTTTAAATGTTCTCTCACCAAAGCCATGACAATCAGGGTGCAGTTTTATTTTGCTTCTTGTCGACTCTATCCATCTTTATATAAATAATGAATTTGCTTTTTTTAAAACTGTCTAAATGGAATATTATACAAGCCAATGGAGGGTTCCTCGTCATTGGAAAGTTTGGCAAAGAGGAATACCAAGATACAGTGCTCCTCTGCAACAATGGGTAAATAGATATTGATTGTGTCAATAAGTAGTGTAAGGAACGGTGAAAAGTGTGTGTGTGTGTGTGTGTGTGTGTTTGTACTATTGCGGAAACAAGAAAGAGTGCATGCCAACCATGCCAAAGGCTTTTCTTTCTATCGTGTCTTTCTCTTTTCCTCCTCTGCCAGTACTTTTAATAATTGTCGCTTTGCCATGCCATTAAAATTCACACATGTCAGTCCTACGGTGTCTGCAATTCTACGTTTCACTCTGTCTCCATAGTCTGCCGCTTTTTCATTGCATTTAGGTGTCATTGGATCGCAATAATAAACATGGATGGGTGTCCACCATCGTGTCATTAAATAATAAGCATAATACATGAATCCTTTGCGAGTATCCCAATAAGGATCACCGAATGACTTGCTATACCTGATACAAAAGGGACGAGGTGAGCAAAAAGGATCATCAGAGTACATTGAGATGCGAAAAAGGAAAAAAAAAAAAAAAAAAACTTACTTGATGCCCACAGGACACACCTTGACACCCAATTCAAATGCACCTTTTTGAAAACGAACAGCATACTCGTTATTCACACAGGTACCTTCTGGAAAGATCAGCATAGGGTTGGACCATGTCTCTGGCTTATGCACATGTTTTTTTAAACTGTTGGATAAATCTTTGCGTTCAGTCATATTGGCACGATCAAAGGTCATCGAGTTGAGATAATTCAAACCATTGTTCTGCAAAAATCCTAATGCGCCTCCATGTTTTGCCATCACCACGCCGTGAGGATATTGATGTGCACTGAGTACAATATAATCAACATAGGAGGTATGGTTGGCCTATGTATAAGAAAGAAAAAAAAAAAAAAAAAAAAAAAAAAAAAAAAAAAAACTGAATAAAAAAGAAAACCAACGATGCGACATCATAGAGGTAGTGTAGACTTACCACAAAGACATGTGGTTCATGTAGTTTTGGTTTCTTTCCAATATACTTTACTCTCGCACCCAACGACAGGAGAAAACCTTTACAATAAAGTTTAACACAAAGCGACTGTGGAGAGTAATAGTGGGCTTTTTTTTTAGTTGGATCCATACATGTGAATATCACACACACACTCGACACTTACCACAATTCGTTTACTCTTGAGGGTGACACCTATGGGTAAAGTCATGAAAAAGGCCATGGTGGAGGCACTAAGAATAAGCGATCGCAATGGAAATAACAAGCCATAGCGTATCAGAGCACTGGGTAATTTTGTCAGAGAATAGAATAGACCCTTCCATCGACTGTTGGATTTTGTTCGTGTGCTTTTGCTAGTGGTAAAACATTTAGCGTAGGACAGCTTTTATAGATACATATATAGTAAAAAGAAACAAGATGGCGTGATGTTCATTAGGACCCACATCCATACTGGGAACTCTCCCTAGACCACAAACTCAAATATTGTAATGAGTAGCTTTCTTACTAATTCTTCTCGGGTATAAAGATTGTCGGCCGCTCTAGAACAATAAAAAGGAAAAGAGATCGCACAAAAACCATTTTTAGTATTTGTTTGTTACCATGGCGTACTTTCCGTCGCTACACAACAGTTTGAATAAATACATATCAAATAAAAGCTTACCTTTTCAAAGCATTCTCCCCTAAAAGAGTGAGTGATTCACTGCTTGAAGAGTTTGCAGACGACGACATGAAAAGCTCACTGCTGCTGTCTGCATAGATGGGTTCCTGTGGCGGCATGATTTTCTTTGCAGTAAGCAGTCAAGGAAAGAGTAAAGGGGGTGAAGGGAAAGGGGCAGGAACAATAAATAAAAAAAAATAATAACAAAAAAAAAAAAAGAGTGGTAGATAAAAAAAAAATTCTTTTCTCTGGGAAACAAAAAAAAGTGTCCACTGTAACTTTTTTTTATTTTTTTTTGGTTTGTTCCATTCATTTCTCGGGGATTCTTTGGATGAGCGACGGTGAAAAATGGATAATTTGCCCATAAGTTCAACGATGGACATCGATTGTCCACCAAAGACCCTTTTGATGTCTATATTTTCCTGAAGAAGTGTAAAAAAAAAAGGGTGTTTAGATAAGCTGTTTATTAGGTAAGCTGATCATATGACCCAAAGATAATCTATCCCCAGGTTCTTATTATTCAAATACATCATCATCGATCTGTCACGCAGTGTGGTTGGCTTTCAATTTTTATTTTAATTTTTCTTCATGGCTCAGAGGTAGATCGGTTTTTTGCATCACATTGAAAAAAGGAGTGGCTGGCTCTTGGTTTGCTCACTAACGGACGATTCGGCGTTCCTGTGTGTCGCACCAATTATGAAACTCTTCCAGCCAATCACATCGTATGAGCTTATAGAAATGAACTTTATAAACTTACATTTTTCTTACACTTGAGGAGAAATACGTTACCCTCTTCTTCTGCTTTTAGCTTTATTTCTTAACAAAACTGTCTTTCTGTTCTATTCATTTACCAAAAACATACGCACTAAAAACATATCAGACTTGCTTTAAACATTCATATCATGGATTGTAAAAAGGCCATTTTAGCCCATTTTGACAGTCGCACATTGGAGTTGTTGCAAAATGGTCAAGAAATGGAGATTGATACCAATGACTTTAACACTATGGTAAGACATGGAACAAAAAGTCTCTTTTTCTTATTTCTCTGCACAAGAGAAAGATCACTGTATGTATATTTTCAGTACTCATCTGTTTTTGTTCTCTGTATTTAGAGTTTGACAATGCCTAACGCGAATATCCAACTTCAGGTGCAAAAAGACGTGCCCGATTCAGCTATTTATTCCAGTGTTGATTCCCAAAATCTCCGCTATGTGGGCCGTGCCTGGCAAGCCAACGTGTCTTCTGTTCAATACAAGAAAGAAGAAAAGGTACCCAAGCAAGTTGACAAGAGCCTCCATGATGATCATCGTCAAGTACCCTCTCTCACTGAAGGCAGCAGAAGTGGTGGAGCCACGGATGTCAAGACCGCCAAGAAGCCAGTCCCTCCTCCTCCTGTCTCTACTCCACAAAGAAAGGACAAAGGCAAGGGCAAAGAAGTGGCGCCTGCTCCTATTGAACCTGTTTCTGTCTACAGAATCCCTGCCACGCCTCGAAAGGATAAAGGCAAAGGCAAAGAATTCGCGTCTCCCATTGAAACTGCACCTGGGTCCTCTTACAGAAATCCTGGTCTTCCCGCTGCCACGCCTCAAAGAAGAGACAAAGGCAAAGGCAAAGAAGTTGCTCCTCCTATCGAAACTGCTCCTGGGCCTTCCTACAGGAATCCTGGTCTTCCCACTGCCACGCCTCCAAGAAGAGATAAGGGCAAAGGCAAAGAAGAGGCGCCTCCCATGGATACTACGCCTGGACCTTCCTACAGAAATCCTGGTCTTCCCACTGCCACGCCTCAAAGAAGAGATAAGGGCAAAGGCAAAGAAGTGGCGCCTCTCATGGATACTACGCCTGGACCCTCTCACAGAAATCCTGGTCTCCCCGCCACGCCACGCTCCCAAACATCGGGTCTACCTGTACCGAAATCATCGCCACGTACAAGAACGCCTCCTGCCGTCAATATTTACATGAAAAAGCCAGCTGCTAAATCGCCTGCCGGTGTACACAAAAAGGCCTCCAGCGCTTCTACTCCCATCAAGAAAGCCCCTTCGCCTGCTAGCAAAAAAGTAGCCTCCCATGTTCCCACAGAAGCAAAATATCCTCTTCACACGCGTATTATGCAACGCATCGCCCTTCGCCCCTCAAGTGTTTCCACTTTGGTCAATTACTTGAGTCGAAACCAAGCGCGCAAAGTGAACTCTATTGATGTAACGAATATTGTTACAGCTGTACGTATTTTCAATCTCTCATAAAATGTCTCTGCTTTTCCAACTCACTCCGTTCATGTCATCTCTTTTTTTTTAATAGTGCGGTATTGAAATCACTGCAAATGATCGTAGAAAATATTGCCTCAAACCTCAATATTATCCAGAAATCATGGTAGACGATTGGCCATTCTATAACGAAGAAGACAGAGACATCGTTCGGTATAACATTGAAGAAGCTGCTATTTTATTACAGGAGGCAAGCAAAAAGCAGAAACGTAAGTCTTTTTCGCAGAAAAAAAAAAAAAAGCCATTTGTTTACTTATAAGCCTCCTTTTCCTTTTCCCTTTTTTTTTATAGGTGAACTTGAAGAAAGAACAAGCTCTCCTAGAGTTAAAAAGCAAAAGCAATCTCCCCCGGCTCGTTGTCCCACGCCTCCTTTGAAGAGATCCTCTGCTAGACCCGGTACCGCCCATAGGAAACCTACTCCGGTCATGCCACCTGCTGCCTCCACCACACCCACGACCCGCCCTTCCCCAACTGCTGTCTCCACCACACCCAAGACTCGCCCTTCTCCCACTGCTGCCTCCACCACACCCAGGACCCGCCCTTCTCCACCTGCTGCCTCCTCCACACCCAAGACTCGCCCTTCTCCAAGCGTGGCCTCTGTGCGCTCTCTTTTGGCTAAAACGCATGCTGCTGTTACTCCCTCCCCTCCTCAGCATAACTTTTACCAGCCTGAATCCATACGAATTACGCTGATTGGTTCCCAAGAAAGGTTCATTCATTACTGTAGGCGACACAATGCGATGCAAAGAAGATACCTTAAACTGAAGCATATCCTCAAGACCAAATACCCCACCTTTATGAATATTCTTGCTACTACCCTGCCGCCCACAAGAGCCACTTCCTACCAAAACCTTCTGGAGCAATATCGTGAGATGCTAAAGTCTGCTTACAAGGACAGCGACAAGGACAGCGACAAGCACTTTGACACTATTGAAGCCATTGCTTCGGAGCTCCTTAAAACAAGGGACCGATTGAATTATTTATGGAAATCACTCAGTCTTAGCGTCAAGATGTACAACTATACCATTCCGCAATAAGTATCTCCATCCTTGACTTTTATACCTCCTTCCTTTTAACCTATTTATCTACAACTTCCCCCTAAAAGAAAAGAAATAGTAACTATTTCTTTGTTAAAAATACCTTTGTTTAAAAAAACAAAAAAAAAAAAAAAAACAAAATACTTGGTTTTTTTTGTCATAATATAAATAAACCTATCGCTCGTTTCAAATATGAATTAGGGGTCTTTTGTTAGTTTTTTGCTATAGGGATAAAATAATAAAAAAAAGAAGGCACAAGAGAGAATGAACCACGAAAAGCTTAGATGAAATTAAAAACAAAGTAAAGAAAGACAATGGAAACTGAAATTATCTACAAAATAGGTCACTCTTGGGTTTCCGCGAAAGAACATGTCAACGTATCAGCAAGTAGTGCCGTCTCTTACTGCAGCAAAGACACAGATGCCTACTCGGTCCTCATTCAATACTGTCGTTACTCATTCCGCTGATTGGATCGAGTCAAAGTGGATGAGCAAGACTTAAAGAGGGGATGTCAATAGGACAAGGTTTCTATAAAGTTATCAAGCTACATTTCCAACGTTCCAAAGGAGAGAGATAAGCAACGGGTCCTTGACAAAAAGTTCTGCTCGATGGACGTGGTACTTTACAGTTTTCAGTAGAATAAAATCAATATCCTATCAAGTAGGGTCTATTTTTTTCGCTATTGGGGGGGGGGAGGGGCGCTATAGAGAGGTTGGATGCCATCATTCTACGCAAAAACATGCTGTGGCTCCTGAAGACCGTTTGTACTGTTACCTAATGTTTTTTTTGCTTGAAATACAACCAAGAACCATCGGATGGCAGATGTCATTACAATCACACCTCTACTACTGAGCCCTCGTGTCAAGTGCCATAGGCACGCTCAACCGATGATTATTTTTGCTATTGCTGTTAAAGACTGTTTCTGAAACATACATGGGATCAGATACCCATGGTATGAAAAGAGAGCAAGTCATTTCAAGAAGAATAGATTGGCATCACAAGGGGTCTTTATCAAAGAATTAGATTTCTTTGTCTCGAAACCCACTTCTCTAGGGAATGGAAAGTCATCAAGTAGTCATCCGCTTTATTCACAAAAGAAGGTGGAGAGTGAGAAAGACTGTAAGCTGCAAAATAGTCCCGAGTAAAGCAGTAGCTAATGTGACGTGAACAGGAGAGCTCTGCATAGGAAGAAGTCTGGTGGACAGTTTTCGCTGCAAAGTGCGTCAAAACTGGCTTGGGATTTTTCGCTTAGGGCGGAAATTTATCTTTTTGATGCCTCCCGTGGATGAACAAGGTAATACTATAAAGTGGTGCTCACCATGAACAAAAGTTTTACAATCAAATTTCGATGCTTGGCTTCCGATCAACGACAAGGAAAGTGTTCGAAACTTAGCCCGTAGTAAGAATTAGTAGCGTAAAATAAAAATCGTTGCGGTAGCATGAAAAGGGCCGAGTATCATTCTTCTTTCTTCTTCCCTTTGTTTTTTTTCTTTTTTTTTCCAGACAATTATTCTCTATTATAAATTTCAACATGAGTAAAGATTCTACTGCCGTAAGCCATATCATCGATCTAATTTCTGTAAAAAGAGTAAGAACTTATCATTTCATTGTATAGTTGGTGATAGACAATGGTTCTGGTTTATGTAAAGCAGGTTTTGCAGGCGATGATGCACCTCGAGCTGTAAATAGACTGAGAACTTCCCAACATACAAATGACATTCTGCTGAATGAGCGGTACTCAAAACGCTTTTTGTGATCAAGGTATTTCCTTCCATTGTAGGTTATTCTAAGCAGCGTGATGTTATGGTCGGTATGGAGCAAAAAGACTCTTTTATTGGCGATGAAGCACAATCGAGGCGTGATATTTTAAATGTACGGTACCCTATTGAGCATGGTATCGTTACCCACTGGGAGGACATGGAGAGAATCTGGTATCATACATTCTACACCGAACTACGCGTAGCGCCCCATGAGCATCCTGTGCTGCTAACTGAACCACCGTTGAATCCGAAAGCAAATCGTGAAAAGATGATTCAGATCATGTTTGAGACTTTCACAACTCCCGCGGCCTATATTTCCATCGATGCTGTTCTATCGCTCTATGCTTCCGGACGAACAACGGGTGTCGTCCTGGATTCAGGTGATGGTGTCACTCATAGTGTACCTATTTATGAAGGCTACTCCTTACCTCGTGCAATTTCTAGCCTAGACATGGCTGGCCGCGATATCACTAATCATATGGCACTCATGTTAGCTGAAAGCGGTTACTCATTTACTACAACGGCGGAAAGGGAGATTGTTCGAGATATAAAGGAAAAATTATGCTTTGTAGCTCTTGACTTTGAAGAGAAAAACTCAACGAATGAATTTTTGGAGAAAGCATACGAGTTACCTGACGGCCGGCACTTTACCGTTGGTAATGAACGGTAAGTCATTTTGTACAAAAATGCCTCTCTAAAATGGCTGAAAGGGGAGAGGCCCTCATGCCAGAGAGATATTATTTCGATACATGCATTCTGACTTGTTCCGGTTGATTTTCATTTGACAAGTTTCCAAGCTCCTGAAGTCCTATTTCAACCATCGCTGCTGGGTCTCGAGGGACCTGGTATACACGAAACAATCTACAATTCCATTATGGGATGTGATGTGGATATTCGTAAGGATTTAAACTATAATATTGTATTGGTAGAGTATGCAATATAAATACTGGCAAAGAAGCAGGATAGAAATTGACTGATTTTTTGTGTTGTTTCGAATGGGCTAGTCGGGAGGCAATACCTTGTTTCCTGAACTAGCAGCTCGCTTACAAATAGAAATGGCACGTCTCGCCCCTTGCTCCATGAAAGTCAAAATTATAGCACCCCCAGAAAGGAACTATTTGGTCTGGATGGGTGGATCTATCTTAGCCTCCTTGTCAACGTTTCAGCAAAGGTGGTTATCGAAGGAAGAATACGATGAATATGGACCTACCGTTGTTCATAGGAAATGCCTTTAAAAAGTGAATATCTTTTGTAAATAATCAATCCTTCTGAGTCAAATCTGAATATCAAGCATCATTAAAACCAACTCTCTGACTTTGATAAAATACTCTATTTCTGTTTGTTCTATCAGACCCGCTCTTGCAAGGAAGGAAATCATGATTTTACTATTTGCCTTTTTATGACAGAAACACCTCCCCCGCTTATTACCCATATACTAAAGACGAGTCTAATGTCATCTTTGTTGGAAGAGGTGCTTAAAGCCCTTCTTACATTATCCTTTGGTTAAACACTCACGCCCTAGAGTCATCCATAACAAAAGTAAAACATACTTTATGTATATTCTTTCTTATTTTAGTCTATTTGATCTAAAGTCCAAAGTGTATGCAATCGAACACGCCGCTTACGAAACGCGAACAAAGACTTGACGACACGTTGTACATCTTGCACGCCCACCCCTTGGCTGTCGTTTTTTTTTTTTTTTTGTTTCTTTTTTAAAAAAAAAGAAAAAGACAGATGGCAGTGACGAAACTGTTTAAAAACGTGCTCTGTTATCTCTTATTTTGTTGATATAGAGATAGATAGACAACGCATCTTGTGATGTGTGGCGCGATTGTACAATGGAATGGCGCGCACATTTGACAAGGCAAGGAATGATACGAAGAAGCGATTGAATGACGTGATGAAGGATGGACTCCTTCGATACGAAATACGTGGGCTCAGCAGAATACACTGGGACAAATGTACGAGTGATCTCGTTGGTAAAAACCAAAAAAGACTTTTGTGATAGCCCCCTTTCGTAACCGACGAAAAAAAAGAGAGACCCAATAAAAAAGTGTGGAGTTGACGAATCAATGTGAGGAACCAATCAGCTGCCTTTTATTCCATCTCTTTTAAAAAATAAATAAAAAAAAGATAGAGATCAAACAATCAAAGGCCCGCCCTTTTTGGGGGATAATCCGTAGTCTTTTTATAAAGTGAGATTTTCATGCGTGAGAAAACCTTATCATGATCGGCTCTCTTTCTTTTTTTTTTTTTTTTTTTGGTTTGATGCCAAGTCTATGGAAAATGCACAGCGCGTTTTCTTGATTCTTTCGAGTTTATTGAATGAAGAAAAAAAGGAAAAAAACGCAAACAACGGTTGATTCGTGCCTGATTTCTGATTTGGCAGGGAGGAGATCCAACCCATGATTGCATATAGAATAGCCAAAGAAAATGGTGCAATAAGAAGCAGAATGTGTAATACTAAAACCTTTTTTTTTTTTCTTTTTTTTTTTTTTTTTTGACAGATAGATAGGCTTATCTTTTTTTTCCCCGTTTTTTTTTTTTTTTTTACCTTTTGTATATAAAAGGATCCCTTTTTCTTTCTTTTTTCGTCTGATTTGAAATTCTTTTTTCATCTTGTCAATTTTTTTTTTTTTGAAAGCTTTGCTCTTTTAAAAAACCTGTTTCCCGTTTTCACTCAAAACAAAAAAAAGATTCATCAAAAGCATCCGGGTCTCTGGCCACAACAAAGTACAGAAAGAAAAAGTTTACCATTTTACCTTTTCTTTTTTCCTCTCAAAAATCATCTCAATTTCGACACGTTAAACACCCCAAAGGGATTTCTCATTGTCACCCATTATACAACAACAACAACAACAACAACAACAACAACCCTCTGCTGCCATGACGTTTATCAAAAAGTACAACTCTACTGATAAAACCATCCTCCAAGAGATCCATCATTCTCCTTCTGATGTCTCCACTATGAACGACAGCGCTGATCTTGAAAAAAAAATAAATGTCGAGATCAGCAGTATGGAAGAGCAGAACGAACAACAACAACAACACCATTCATTGAAACGTGGACTCAAAGCGCGTCATATTCAAATGATTGCGCTTGGAGGCACGATCGGCACGGGTCTCTTTATGGCGTCGGGGAAAGCCATTGTAGCAGGCGGCCCTGGCGGTGCGATTGTCGGCTACGGTTTCATGGGCATTCTTGTCTTTTGCGTCATGATGAGTCTGGGTGAAATGGCCGCCTACATTCCTGTGGCAGGCTCTTTCTCTCACTTTGCGACTCGTTTTGCAGACCACTCGCTCGGTTTTACGGTGGGGTGGGTGTACTGGGCCAACTGGGCGATCGGTGTCGCGGTGGAGCTGACGGGTGTCGCGATGATCATGGAATACTGGGTCAAATCGGTCAACAGTGTGATCTGGTCGGTGATCTGTCTGGGTATTTTGCTCGCGATCAATATCTTTTCCGTCAAAGGCTACGGCGAAGTCGAATACTGGATTTCGTTTGTCAAGATTGTCATTGTTGTTGTGTTTATCATTGTGGGCATTTGTGTCGATACCGGGGCAGCCGGCGGCGTGACCTATGGCGTCAGCAACTTCCACTTGCCCGGCGGCGCTTTCCCGAATGGCTTTTTGGGTGTCTTTAACGTGTTGATTACGGCCGCTTTCTCTTACAATGGCGTTGAAATCGTCGGTATCACGGCCGGCGAGTCGGCCAACCCTCAAAAGACGGTGCCCTCCGCGGTCAAGCAAGTGTTTGCGCGTATTGTCTTGTTCTATGTCTTGTCGATGCTCATCATCGGTCTCGTGATCCCGTACACGGATCCCAACCTGATGTCGGGCGCGGACGATATTGCCGTCTCTCCTTTCACGCTCGTGTTCAAGAAAGCCGGTGCGGCCTGGGCGGCCGACATGATGAATGCCATCATCCTGATCACCATGATTTCCGCGGGTAACTCGGGTGTCTATTCCTCCTCGCGCACGCTTTTGTCCCTGGCGAACGACGGCTATGCTCCCCGCTGCTTCCATCGTGTCAACCGCTGGGGCATTCCCTTTTGGTCTGTCTTGGCCACGTGTGCTGTCGGCTGTCTCGCCTTCTTGACGTCCTTGTTTGGCTCCGGTGTCGTATTTACATGGCTCACCTGCTTGACCTCCTTGGCGGGTTTGATCACCTGGGTTTCTATCGCTGTGACCCACCTTCGTTTCCGTCAAGGCTACTTGGCTCAGGGACGCTCGCTCAACGCTTTGCCCTATGTCGCTCCCTTTTTCCCCTTTTGTGATATTTTTGTCATTGTCATCGGTACGATTGTGATCTTTGGTCAGGGCTACAAGTCGTTTATGCCACCGACCGCCTCGGGTGTGATCTCGACCTATATTGGTCTCGTCTTGGCTGTGGTTCTCTACGTGGGTCATAAAATCTACAGACGTGGTGGCGGATTTGTCAAAACGGAAGAGATGGATTTCGAAACAGGTACCTTGTCCAACACGGTGCTGAATATCCGTAAAGACGAAGGGGATGATAGTAGTAGCGCTCATGCTGATGCTGAAGGGACGCCTCTATGGAAACGGATTGGATCCAAATGCATCTCTCTTCTCGCTTAGACCTACTTTATATACACACGCATCCTTTCAAATGATTTCCTGTATCTATTATGCTTCCATCCATCTCTAAAGACAAAAAATAAAGAGCGTGCTCTCCTTTTTTGGAAAACGGCCGTAAAAAAAAAAAAATATTGTTTATTCTACTTTTTTTTTTTTTTTCCAGTGACTAAAGGTCCATAAAGTCCATAGGCTTGAGATTCCGTATAAAGCAGAGGAATAGAGTAAAAATAAAAGAGGGTCTCCATCTCTCTTCGTGAGCCAACCCTTTCTCCTTTTGGGTACAAAACAATTAAGCTTATTCATCCATACAACTTGTACTCTGTTGTTGGCGTGAGGGCTGATCTGGGGTCTGTGAAAGTCGAGTGGATCACATCCAACGGGCGGTAAAAGAAATATTCTTCTTACGCATGGAAAGCAAAAAGAGAAAAAAAAAAAAGAGATGTCTATCTGCCCGCCCTTCGTCTCCTCTCCACACACACAGCAAGAATAAGGTTGTACCTGCAGGGGAAAGGCAGCAGTTCAGATGTAGCAATAGAAATACCTACCGTCGTCGCTGATACTCCTTCCATGGTTTTTTACTCGAAACGAGCGCAAAAAAAAAAAAAAAAAAAAAAAAATGATTCACTGCTTTATCTACATAAAAAGGAGTATCCTCCATCCTTTTGTGTGACTCTAGCCAACCTACCGGCTCGGAACCTAATTCATCTAGACAGAAATCCATTCTTTTCATCACTCAACTCTTTAGGATAGAGAGGTCGTAGAGCAAAGCAACCCAAGGGTTGGTTGTGTGCTCATTTTGGCAGTGACCTCTCCTTGTTGTTTTGTCATTTTACAATAATAAAATAGTCTCGATTGGGAACAATGCTTTTTTAATTTCTTTTTTATTTGTTATGAATAAAAAAAAAAAAAAAAAGGTGACACGATTTGCAGATGATCAGCCAGCCATTGGAAAACTGTAGCTCACGGACCTTTCTATTGTGTGATTTCAAAGCAAGAGAGAAATGCTCGGGGGTAATGAAAATGAGCCAAAAAGTGTGAGTGTGAGTGTGAGAGAAAAAAAGGGCCAACTTATTTTTGATGTATAAATAAGGATATATACGTACTTTTTGTTATTTTAATTCATAGAGTCCAAACAACCTTTTTTTTTTTTTTTTTTTTTTTTTTTTTTTATTCTTTGTAAATAAACTGATAAAGTATATAAAGGATGCACCTATTTTAATTTATTTCCCTTTCTTTTTTTTTTCGTTCCCTTTATTTTTTTTTTTATTTTTTTAATTTAAGCTTTTCATCTTACTATTCTGACCTTACAAAAAGATAAAAAAGAGGACATCTAGAAGCACGACGCTATCTTTTTTTTTTTTTTTTTTTTGCACTACTACAAAAATGCTGGATCAAAGAAAATACAAGCTTTACAAGACAGAATTATGCAGAAACTGGCAAGAAATGGGCAATTGCAGGTAAATGAAAAAGCAGTAGCAGTAGCAGTAGCAGTAGCAGGAGCAGTGACAGTAACCATGGACGATGGGCCTGCTACACAGCATTGTGTGCTACAATGATTTCCTTTGGCTCATCCTTTTTTTTTTTTTTTTTTTTTAATGGTTCATCCAGATATGCAAAGAAATGCCGTTTCGCTCATGGCAAAGAGGAACTTCGATGTGTAAAGCGCCATGCTAAATACAAGACGGATATTTGTAGAACCTTTCACGAAACAGGCACTTGTTCTTATGGTGTTCGCTGTAATTTCATCCATGATGAAACTTTGTATGGTGCCAAGGCCTTGGTCGTTCCCACCCATACGTTATCCGCCATTGCTCCACCGTTTCTCTTTCATCACAGCAGCAGCAGCAGCAGCAGCAGTAGCACGACGACGACGACGACGACGACGACGGCTGTTGGCTCTACTCGCTCTTCTTTTTCATCCACTGCGTCTGCATTGCACCCGGATGAAACTTCAGTTTCCAGTGTTTCTTCCTCCTCCACAGCTCCTACGTCGCCCCTTTTCACAGCCGAGGAAGAAGAAAAACAAGCCGGTATGCTGGCTGCTACGGCTCGTTTCAACAAGTCCATGATGACATCTTACAGTTTATTCAATGAAAACAAAGAGACAGCTGAGCTGCTATTCGCCGCCCATCGTCAGACCTTCCACCCTCTCTTCCATCCTATGACTACACTGGGTCAACAGAATACCGGCCATGTTGATCTGTGGACGACGACTTCAGCTCGACATGTATTCAAAGCACCCGGTTATGCCAATAGTCATAGTATCTGGACACTACCACCTACTACTACTACTACCACAACCACGGCAACTCCCCCTGATCAAAGTCCATTTTATTTTAAAAGGGATGCCATCTTGTCGGCATTTTCTCCCTTATTACCCAATACAGCTGCCATTGTGTCATCCACAGTTTGATAAAGTCATCTATTTTACTGTTTATGGATGATATTATTACCTATTTCCTTAAATATTCGCTTCATTATTATTATCCTCTTCATCATCATCATCATCTATTTCTTGATTTATTTCTCACATTATTTTGTAAAATCGTGGTTTGTTATATTTTTACTTGGTTCACCTTTATTGCTTTTCTTTTCTTTTTTTTTTTTTTTTTTTTTTTTTTTTTTTTTTTTTTTTTTTTCTTTTTTGGCTTTCATTCATATTCTATTTTGCGTACTCACATCGTCATCCACAACAAAAAACAAACATTCAACCTGCACTCCCCCAGACATTCTTACCCAAAGATTTCTCCATTTATTTTATATTTCTCTGGGAGGTCATTATCAAAATAATAATAAAAATAATAAAAATACGAGTTTATTCTCTTTTTGAGAGGAAAAAAAAAAAAAAAAAAAAAAGTTTCTCAGGCAGACCTTAGTTGAATTAAGCTTCATCATACAACTGAGTGGTTGGAATTGAACTTGACTTGAACATGATTTTCCTTTGAAATTAAAGGAGTCAGTCTGTAATTATTCTAAACTAAAATAGAAAAGTTTATAGAGTGACATGGCTAAGGTTAAGACGAATTTTATTTTATTTTTTAATCTAAAAAAGTAGCCCTCGTTTTTTTTTTTTTTTTTTTTTGCTGAGACTTTTTTTTTTTTTTTTTTTTTTTTTTCTGCAGGGTTTTTTGGCTCGCTCTCTTTTCCATCGAATAGCTCGACCCATTTCTTACTGCGCTTTTCTCAGGTGCAATCCCACGAAATGTTCAGGGACATTTTTATATTGAATCAACTGATTTTTTGTTATCGACAAAAAACCATGAAGGGTCAGCTTGAAAGACGGTGGAGCTGTTCCTGCGTTTTCATTCGAATTCATGCATTTATTTATTTTTTAATTTACTCCACACAAATGACACGCGCGCGACGAGAATGGTCTCAAAAATAAGATTGTACCACTTCACCAACGGGACATTCCCCCCCCACCCCCCGTTTGATGAAACGTTAGTCATCCACTGATGCCACCCTCCCAGTGGACCAAAATGAGGCCTATTTACAGGAGAATGAAATAGTGTTACCCCCCTCACGAGATCCCCTTTCACTTTCATCATGGTTTTCGTGCGATGGATCTTCCACAAGACCGTTTCTCATGGATCCCCTTCCCCCCGCCCAAGTTTTGATCATAGTCGCACTCGTTCATCTTTTTTTGTGCCTCTACATGAATTCATCATGCCGATCCGTAGACAACGTTACTCGTAGCGGGGGGGAAAAAAAAAATGGCCCATGGACGGCGTGTGTAAAGTGTCAAGAGTTCATCAATAGAGCTACTTATAAATAGGTAGGACAACCCTCTGACAAATGGCTCACTCTTCCCCCCGAACCCAATTGGTTTTTTTTTTTTAATTTTTTCTCTCTTTTTTATTTATTCCATTCTGTCAAAACTATTCTCGATGAAGAGTGCTTTGTTCCATCACCACAGCCATCGTTCGTCCGGTAAGTGATCCTACAAAAGAAAAAGAAAAAGAGTGGAAAAGCTTTCTCTCGACAAACGCTTTCTGCCCCTTTTCATCCAACGACGCATTAGCCTCACGGTGTTTGGAAAAGAAGAAAAAGACGCTCTCTTTTCACCGCGCACCACTATCACCACCACCACCATCATCATCACCGACCCTGAGCTCACACAGAGACGTGCCATCACCCTTCTCACAGACGACCTCGGCTGTTTCCTCTTCTTCCTCTCTCTTGATGTCCAAGCCAGATAAAAGGATGACGACGGATGAGCATGGTAGGAGGAAGGGTGATACACAGCCACCACCCCCTTTTTACGACGATCCTTCCCATCCATGGGCCTTTTCTTTCTCTGGATCCGTCACCCATAGTAGAACCACCACCACCTCATTGTCTTTTCCCCCCATAGAAGAAGGAAATGAAATTCTACCTGAATACGAGTGTACGCTCAACAAAGTCGCATGTTTAAATGTCAAATGTGAATATATCAAATCCAACTTGAAAGCAAAGCAAAGATCATGGAAGTAAGTTGAAAAGAGGGTGCATGGATGTGTTGTTTTTTTCTTTTATTTTCTTTTTGAAAAAAAAAAAGACTTTCTCCTCATTAGACGTCTTTATATTCATGTTTACGGAACGAAAATCATGGCGTTTCATAAAAACCCTTTGGACACCGCCTCCTCCTCCTCCTCTTCCTCCATCACCACGGCGTTGACGTCGTTTTTATCATTGAGATCAACAACCACCCACAGTAGAAACCAAAACACAACATCCATCACACCTTTTTTTTGTCTCCTGTTTGGTCTTACTCTATGCAAGACGCTCAAGTCACCTTAGCCACAGACTATCTTAAATATCGCCACGTTTTACGGCTCACCCTCAACGAAGGAGGAGAGGGAGGCCCACACTTCTTATTCACATTCAAAACACTCAAGGAAAAGTTGGATTGGTTATTCACCTTGGAATCCTCCATCAACATAAGTTCAGATATTGATATCAGGCCCATGCCAAAAGCCATGACCGTCATACACCAAACATTACCAAGACGACGACGACGACCCCAGAGACAAAACAGCAGTAGAAGACAGCAGTGAACTTGTACGAAAGGAGACCACACAGCTCTTTTATAAACACAACAAAAATAAAGGAAAAACGAAATAAACTCAATAGCGTGTGGAAAAAAAAAAAGGTAAAAAAGACAAAAAAAGCTCTTTTAAAACACCCACACGGATCATCAAGTGTTTCAGTTTTGTTTTTTGTTTTTTTCGTTTTCAAAATTTCGGACCTGAACAAGGCGTCATTGTGTGCCTTGATTTTTTTATTTCTTTTTTCGTGATGGCAACGTATGAAAAAGCTCTTCTTTTTTTTTGCGGCTTGAGAAAGTCTCATGAAGCTTGTAGCGATTTAAAAAAAAAGTTGGAGAGAACACGTCCATGCATCTCTATTCATTACCAGTGTTCGTTGTTTGTTGTCCTTTTCAAGTCACGAACGGAAAGTAAGAAATTTTGAGCTCCCTCCAATCAAATGGCTTTATGTTTGTCGAATTTTTTTTTTTTTTTTTTTTCTCTTCTTTTTTTTTTTTTTTGTTTTCGCTTTCTTTTTCTTTTTCCTTTGCTCCCCTTTTTCCTTTGTAATTTACCTTTTTGCCCTTTTTTTTTTTATTTTCCTTTATTCCCTTCTGAACACACTTTGATTACCAAACCCCAAGCGGAGACAAAGGCTTTTTTTTTCTTTTATCTCATATCCTCTGGTTTTCCTCAGTTATTTATTTATTTATTCCCTGGGTAAAAAAAAAAAAAAAAACCCACAAAGAAAGGACGCTTCCTTTTTCCCCCCTTAATTTTTCAATAACCTTGTTGCGCGTTTTCTTTCCCATTTTTATTTGTTGTTTTTTTTTTTTTTTATTTATCAAAAAGCTTTTTAGAAAACTGTATTACGCTACTTTTCCAAGCTCATTTGAAGCATTTTAGTCCTCTTTATACCTTTTCATACCTTTTTTTTTTTCATTTTATTAGCATCATTTTTTATTATTATAACTCTTTGAACCCTTTTTTTTTTCTTTTTTTTTTTTTTTTTTTTACTTTGATTTGAGGCAAGCACCGAATTAAATTAAAAAAAAAAAAAAATTAAAAAGAAAAGAAAAGAAAGCGCACAGATCAATTGGAATAAAAAAAAAACCCCCATACACCTATCCGATTGGAGAAAGGCCAAATAGTCATGAACAATAACCTTACCCCGTCTTCACCAGCGATGATGACCAACATGACTCTACAACAAACACCTTTACTGCAGCAAGCCATGATGCAACAGCAGCAGCAACAACAGCAGCAACAACAGTCGCCACAGGTACAACAATTATTGGAAAACAATCACCCTAATAACGTGAATGAAGTGAACTGGCGAGATGAAGTAACTGTGGCTGATAGAGGTCGATTTGTGAGTCAACTGTAAGTCCTATCCACTTTTTTGCTGTTGTCTTTGAATTTTTTCGTGGTCCTTTCGTTTTTAACCCTTATTTGTTTTATCGTAACAAAATTAGCTCCATGGCCTTGAAACATTTATCTCCAAACACAAATGACAATGAAACGTATAATATTGCAAGTAGCTTTGAAAACGGTTTATATCAACGATGTCAAAGCAAAGTAAGTTGATTTATTTCATTTTTTTTTTATTTTATTTTTTTTATTTTTTTGGTTTCGGTCTTATTTTTTTTCTTTTGAAATTTCTTTTTTTTTTTTTTTTGCATCCTTTTTTTTTTTTCTCTCTTTTTTTAATTTTTGACCTCACCCTGTCTTTTTTTTTTCAAAAAAAAAAAAGAAAGAGTCTCTTAATTTCGTAAAGACTCACACCTATTTTACCTATTCCCTTTTTTTTTTTTCTTCTTTTATTCCTATTCCTTCTAGAATCAATACATCTTGGCTTACGCTAAAAAGTTTCAGCAAATCAAGGAAGAGGTCTCTCAGATGAATAACGGTCATAACAATGCAAGTCATTTGAATCGTGGTGTCACAGGTAAAAATGATAAAGTCTTTATATCAAAAAAAGTGTGAAATGGTTACTCATCTCTATCTTTTTTCTACAATAGTCATGAGCAGTAATGCTTTGAACGACTTTAATTTACCTAATGGTGCAAATGCTGTAGCTAATTTTCAAGCACCTTTAAATTTCAACCAAGCCCAGAATGTGAATAATCATCCAATGCGTCTTCCACAGCAACAACAAGCTGTACCGTTTCCCCAGCAACAACCACAACAGCAGCAACAGCAGCAGCAGCAGCAAAATGGTATGGTGCATATGAATCAATTGACTCATCCGTTTTCACAGCAGCAGCAACAGCAGCAACTGAAAGGTACTTCCCAGTTATCTCCTGCTCAATTACAAGCACAAGCCCAAGCTCAAGCTCAAATGATGGCTTATCAACGAAATGCTGCGGCCGCTGCCATGGCTGTTTCACAACAGCAACAACAGCAACAACAACAACAACAACAACAAAGGCCGCCTATGTCTACAACGTCAAATCATCTTTCTACGAATCATCCTCATTTTGTACCACCACAACAGCAGCCACCACAAACGGGTAATCCTAATTTCTCTCAACAACAACAGGTTGATTTATATCTGCGTCAAATGGCTTTCCAACAGCAGCAACAACAACAACAGCAGCAGCAGCAACAGCAGCAAGGCTCTCCTCATTTACGTCAACAGCAGCAGAATACTCAATTCTTACTACAACAACAACAGCATCAACAACAATTATTAAACAATATCAATATGATACCTACTCATAACACTGCTGTTACCACAATGAATCAATTCTTGAGACCTTCTACTACTCATACCGTAGACACCAGTGCTGCTACTGTTACTGCTGCTACTGCTGCTGCCGCTTTCATGGGCTCCCCACTCATAACACAACAACAACAACAACCATCACAACAACCACATCCTTCCATGATGACACCACAACAAAAATTAAATGTGGCTCTCACCAACAACATGATGCGTCCTCCTACCATGCAACAACCTCCTCTTCAACCATCCAATTTAAGTCAAGCAGATCTGTTACGTTTTCAGCAACAGCAGCAACAGCAACAACAGCAACAGCAATTCCAATTGCAACAGCAAAGAGCTCAACAAATGGCTGCTTTAGCTGCTGCACAACAACAGCAGCAGCAACAGGGTCAGCAACCACCACAGCAACAGCATCCTGTGGCGAGCACTCTCTCTATGCCCCCAACATTACCACAACAGCAGCAACCACAACAGCAGCACCCTCCACAACAACAACCACCCTTTATGCAGTTGCAACAACAACAACAACAACAACAACAACAACAACAACAGCAACAACAACAGGGTCAACAAAGACCCAATATGATGATGCCCATGTCCAATATGAATAATACCGGTATACGCTTTCTTGACTTGAATCAAAGAAATATAGCTGCTAATTTCGTTAAACAACTCGACGAGAATGTCCGATTAGGAAGAGGTAAGGAGAAGAAAGACTCTTTTTTTTTTTTTTTTTCCGGCTTTGCAATAGAAAAAATAATGGGTCCTTTTTTTATTAGTGCGTGGTCCAGAAATAGAGAATTTGTCTGATCAGGATAAATTAGCTATTCGTGAACTCTCTTCCCATATGAAGATTATGTATGATAAAATCGATCATCTGCTACCTGTCTTTTTGGCCATGACAAATAACCAAGAAGCGACAAGACGATTAATATTGATGAAATACATGTTTGAAGATCAGCTGTTGGCCTTGCCTCAAAACAAATACTATATCACCTTGGAGAATTTACATAAATTACGTGAACAATTCAACGGCTACTTTGCTTGGGTCAGAAACGCTGTAGGTCAGCAACAACAACAAATGATGGCCCAGCAGCAGCAACAGCAGCAGCAGCAGCAACAACAACAACAACCACTACCACCAGCAGCAGCAGGTCCTCCTCCTCCTTCTGCTTCTGCGCCACCATCTCAAATGAATAGGATGGGTTCAACACCTCAACAAACACATCAACAGTTACAACAACAACAACAACAGCAGCAGCAGCAGCAGCAGCAACACATGATGGGTGTTGGCTATAATCCTACCAATCATCCTATGATGCTTATGCAGCAAAATTCTGCTGCTACTCTTGCTTTGTTACGTCAACAACAAGCACAACAGTTGCAGCAACAACAGCAACAATTACAATTACAGCAGCAACGCCAACAACAACAACAACAACAACAACAGCAACAACAACAGCAACAGCAACATCCAAATAGTCAATCTGAGCCACAAGTGTCTATGCCTCCTACTTCCAATACAACCACCTTTGTCTCTTCATCAGCCATACCCGCTACCACCACGACAACCGTTGTCGCTGGCTCCACTCCGGCTCTTACAAGTACTACCTTATCGGTAGCCTCTCCTTCCGTTACTGCTGCTGCTGCTGTTGCTGCAGTCAACAACCCTATCAATGGAAGTAGCACTCCTCCTCCTCCTGCTCCTCCTCTCAACAATGTCACCACATCCATCGCTACACCCAATAGTATCGCCACCGCCGCTACAGCGCCTGTCATGACAACGACTCCTGTCACTACAGGCATTAAACGCGGCAGTTTGGAACTCAAATTGCCTCCTACTAAAAAGCAACGCAACAACAAGTCTCAAGCCATCTCTCCTACCCATGGAAACAAAAAAGGTACAAAAAAGAATACCAAGCCCAAATCAGGTGCCGCTACCTCCTCTTCCCCTTCTGCTTCATCGTCCTCCTCCTCACCGCTCTCTATTGACACGAAAGAGAAACAAAATGAAAAAGAGCCGCAAGAAAAGGAAGACAAACCTATCCCTTCTCAGCCCTCTTCTGCTGTCACTGCTCCTGCTAGTCTTCCTGTCTCTTCTACTGGCCATGTCAACTCTTACCAGTCCTATCCTCCACAACCGTCGCAACAACAAACTTTCATGTCTCCTCATCCTCCGAATGGTGCTGCTGCTGCCATGATGATGACTCCTCAGATGCAATTTGCCGTTCTACAACAACAGCATCAGCATCAACAACTGCAACAGCAATTACAACAGCAACTGCAACAGCAGCAGCAACAACAACAACAACAACAACAGCTTCCTCCTCACTTACAACAACAACTCTATCATCCCCAACATGCACACCACCAGCAGCAGCTGCTGCACCACCAGCAACCACCACAGGCGCCATTAGAACAGCCTCAACCGCCTTCCCATCCAGATCTTTATCAGCTTTACCAAGGAGGTGTTCCTGTAAAAGCAGGTATGCCTTTAAATCAACATCAACAGCAATCTCAAGCCCTCTATATGACCGCTGTCAATAATGGCATCCCTCCTCAAATCGTCCAATTACTGTCCCAAAGAGCGCTTCAATTCAACATGTTGTTGGTGCAAGCCTCTCAAAATAAAATAAATCTACTACCCAACCAACAGCAACAAATTCAAACCATGCTCAATAAAGAAATTGAAGCCGCAAGACGACTGTTCCAGCAACGTCAACAGCAACTCTTGCAACAACAATCTCAACAACAATCTCAACAACAACAACTACACTCACCAGAGCATCAGCACCAGCTGCAACAACAGCTGCAACAGCTGCAGCCACCCCCTCCTCAAGCCCACTATCAGCAACAGAATTCGCCACAGCATCCAAATACACTTCCACCCTCTTTACCGCAGGAACAACTGCCACCGTCAGATCAGAAACATAAAACAGAGGATCAGGATACTCAGCAGGCTGAGTCGCCTCCATCCCACCCTACACAGGCTTCCCTAAAGGACACCAACACGAATGCCTCCACACTCGCCCCCAACACAACTCCTACTACCGCTCCTGCTACCGTCGTGAAGGCTGACAGTAGTGGTGCGGCTGCGGCGGCTGCGGCTGCGGCTGCTGAGGATGAGCAGACAGGTGCTGATACAAATGCTGTTACAGCGGATGACAACGGTGCTAACGCTGCTGATGAACAGACCGAGGAGGCAGGCCTTACCCATCAAACGAATGCCTCCTCTTCCCCTTCACCTCAATTTATGAAATCTGCTGATTCTTCTATTCAATCGACAAATTTACCCATGACCCCTACCAACTTTATGTTGCTTCAACAACAACAGCAACAACAACAACAACAACAGCAGCAGCAGCAACAACAACCACAACCACAACAACAACAGTATCCCAATGATGACTTGCAGCCCTCTTTTGCTGATAACGGATTGGATCAATTTGTCAACTTTTCTTCTCCATTCAAAGAAGGCTATAAGGATGACACCTTTGGTGGCCCATTGAATGATACCCATCCTTTCTTTCCAAATACATCTTCTTCTATGACAACCACTACCACTACCACCACCACCACCATGACTGCCGCCCCCACTTCTTCTACCTCCATGGTATCTCTACCGGCTACCACTGTTGCTGCTGCAGTAACGACCTCTGTCTCTGCTTCTATGGATCATGATCACCATGGGGTACCCGCCACTACGACTACCACTACTTCTTCTACAGATATTATTGCCACTTCCACCACCCCTCTTGCTACTGCTGAACCTATTCAAAACACCACCCATTATTCATCCAACAGTCAGGACATGGATCACTTTTTACAATTAGACGTTGGTAATGCCAGTAATAGCCCTACGCATCATTTGGATACGACAACGGCTGATATATGGTTCAACAGCAATGCTGATTTGGGCTTGGAATTCGATTGGGATAATAATGACTTTGTCACCCTCGATGATGCGATTGATACCAATACACTTACTACTACTGCTAACGATAATGATCATACCACTACTCATAACAGCAATACTTTAAATGTAAACAAATAATTTGTTTGTCTCTCAAATCTACCATTGTAAACCTTTTTGTTATAAAATAAAAAACAAAAAAAAAAGGTTGTTATAAAATAAAAAAAAAAAAAAAAAGCCAAACATGTGTACCCTTCCTATTCACTTTTTTGCTATTGAAATGAAGGTGAATGTGCATCACTTGAACTACTAAATAGAATGTAGGAAACAAGTCATGTCACTGTAAATCAGAGTAGACAGTTCCTACAGACCATTCTCTATCGCCAACGACGCCTGGATGAGTGATGAAACACCATTCATTAGGTGCTGTATCAGTGAAGATGTTGTTTTGGCCATCGACGGAATTTTGGTCACTTTGTTCCAAGCCAAAACAGCACTACGGGATGAGAAAGCTTGCTAGCACATACCAGTTGTCTTTGTTTATCTCTTTTTTTTTTTTTTTTCTTAAACATGAAAGACTTGGACAAATAAAGTGAATCACTTGTTGAAACTATTTAGAAACTGCCCCCTCCCCCCCCAAAGCAGCATTTGATAAATGTATCAGAAAGGAAGAACACAAGCAGGGATGGATGTTGGACTACTTCCGCTTTGCATTTATGAAAAATTGAATGCACCTTCATAATGGTGGAGGTCTACGCGACGCACCACTGCCAAAGGGATGAAAGCCTCTGCCAGAGCTTTTGCCATAGGACGGTTTTCTTGAAAATGTATAAAGTAAATTCCAATGACTAATTTCTGTAAATACGCATAGTCAGCTTCAATCAGTTCTTGAAAAAATAAAGAATTCGCTACAAAAAACAAAGAGGACAACCAGGAGCAAGAGAGTAATAAGCAAGAACACGAATGGAGTGAGCAAACGATGCATTATCTATTCAGCCACTTGTATGTAGTGGCTAAAAAGAGGATTCTTGATGGTGCCCTACTACATCCCGTCTATGATACATACTTCAGAGGGAAGGATTCTCATCAACAACACAGCGAAATGACTATGCCAACCAAAAATGGATTGCAAGGCATGGAGTTCATGAAGCTATGTTTGTCACACAGCATCAATTTTATGAATTGTGATGACAAACAGCCATTTGCAGATACGACAAGATATAAAGAGATGAAACGCAGAACACTGCTGTCGAGTGAGGATACTAATACAGTACTGCAAGGCATTGGATATGTAGTGAATTTACATAAGGGACATGCAGAATATTTTGATTTATCACAAAAGTACGTATAATAGATTATACTATAAGTACTATGTATTGCCTTCTGCATAAAAAAAATGATAGGGTTTAATCACCCTTTATAATAACTGTTCATTCAACGCATAGTCAATAAGGTAAAATAAGTTGACTGCACGATCGCTAGATCAAATCATGAGAACGTTTACAAGCCCACCCCCTCTCCGGGTACATGCTGTCAAGTTCTGACCTCTAATTGATAGAAACATGCCCAAGAGATCTAGACTGATTGTCTTAACTAAGTTATGGTACACTGAAACAAATGAGATTTCAGGCACACTGGGAGATTTCATCAGGCACACTTCCATCTTACTGATAATGAAAGATCTTGCAGTGGCATTAAACAATTCATTATCAGGAACAATGTTATTCGGTAATAGCTACTATTGCGATTCGGCAAACTAGACTTTCCCAACACCAAAACGAGCAGCATTTTCGAAAGACAGAGGTTCTGGGAACATGTCTGAGACACCAAGATCATTGAGACAAGGTAAAAGCACCTCTTCAACAAGACAACGATGATTCTCCTCACCAACAAAACAACCAGGAGTATCCGTACGACCTTCAATCTGGAAAGAAAACGTTTATCTAAAGCAAAGAGTTAAGCTTGTTAATAAACTAATATACACACTGTATACCACGAATTTTGAAGGATAATACTTACGACGATGTCTTTGAATCTTCCAAAGGTGAAGTTCGCACATTCGTTTCAATGAATGCTGTCACCATTATGGTGAAAAGTAACACCAGAGTTAAACCGGATCAAATGGTTGAATGGGTGTCTACATTGTATATCAACTAGGTACTTATCTAATAACGGAAGACCAGAGTAATAAACGTAAAAAAAGGAATTAAAGTCGAACGCCAAAGATGGTAATTCTGTAAGAGCTGACGGACCAAAATCAAGTTTCAATTGGCGATTGCCATGAACACCTCGAATGAACTTATCAACCAGAGTATTCTGCTTCTCCAAAACATTTGACAAATTCTCCAATGCTGCTCTTGCAGCATCCATATAATGAGCAAGACTACTGTATAAGATGGGTTGAGTGCTTGCCGGGTTGTACGTAGATTTTTCTCATTCCATTATAAGCTCAGTTCGACCTCGCATTCATATCAAAGGCTATCTAAATTCTAAATCATAAATAAAAATTAATCAAAAACTCTTGTTCCGTCTCGCTGACTCCCTTAGTCTTTACCTAACTTATTATTTAAACTGATATCAAGAAGATAAAATTCAGGGTCTTACTCAACGGGAACTGATTACCAATCCTTGTATTCTGTCAAGTACGTCAAATTCCTGAAACCTATCTCTGTACCGTGACTCACAAAAGTGTGGCAATGTTTTGCGATTTTTGATTTTCTTATTCACCTCCCATAATCCGATACAGAACGCGCTTTTTTATCTTTAGATCAGAGTAGTATTTATTCGCTGCAGCTTGACATGCTTCTCACAACTTTTACTTCAGAATTACTGGATGTAAAAGGCGGAATCTCACCATTCACAACATGATCATACACTACATGTTTTCGCCAAAAACAATTTAAAGTCAGCCAATCTTAATCAAGTTCCTGAATTTTATATTCATGCGAAACGTTCATTTTTTAACCTTTGTCAAGTCAAATTTGAGATTATTCTGCCGTTAGCCTCCATTAACAAGTATCATCCAAATCAGTACAATGAGAAGCATTTCTGACGATAAAATAATGGATATATTAGCTCAAATAATTGCTATAAAAGTCTTCTAGAGCTGTTTTAGCCGCCACTGGCGTCTTTACTAGACTAATGGTTGAATCGCAGAGAATTAGGTCGAGCCTATTTGGAAGTTGGGGAAACTAAAGAAGATTAAGTTTTGCACGCTAGACTGAACGCAAAATCGTTCTACACCGGTCAATATATAGCCGCCGTGGATGCCTCCAGAAGCCTGCGAGCTTCAAGGGTACGATATTTCTGCTCAAAACAATTCGTAGGGTGCTCAAAACATCTGATGTCGATTCTAAGATCTAGAAATCAACATTGCCAAAGACTAATGAGCGCAGCTGTAGTTGTTCGTGATGGGCAAAAGTGCACAGTAAGTGGATCGCTAATGAGTGGAAAAAGATTGTCTTCAGCAATGACACCAAAAGGAACCGTTTGCGATCAGATGGTAAGAGTTGGACCTGGGTAAAAAAAAGGGAACTGTTGTGTATGGGTAAAATAGGAGTAGAAAAGACAAAGAAAGTCTATGAAAACTGTGGTAGATTATAGTAGAGTCAATTAAGACAAAGGCAAAGATAAAGATAACTTTCCACACTTCAACTTGGAACCATCTCTATATATTTTCAAGAACTTGATCTGTGAATGACATATGCCTTGAAGAGCTCTTAGATATGCTTGCTTGCAAATATCTGGGGAAATAGAACAGTAACATAAAACATGCTATACCACTAGTATAAGTTGATATGACTATGTGGAAGAATACAACTGGATTTTCATAGGCGGATATAGAGATAATAAGATAATATGGAAATTGCTGGAATAGACATGATCTTTCTGGATAATGTCTAGGTCTTTAACTGATACAAGTGGTGTTGCTAAGCTAAAGATCTCTTATCCGACCTTCAGGTCTCTGCTGCGCCATTCATATTATGAATACCTCAGTATATTATGTCCATTGGATCTATCGTATTTATCATCTGGCACAAGATAGGAATATGTATGGAACAAGTTCTAAGCATTGAATTCTAATAAAATTATCTCATAATGCACAGACAATAGAGAACCTATAATTTATTCAAATGCAATTTCAACAGTAAATGATTAAGTACTAGAAGAGGCTAATGTCATATTATGGGGTAGTCACATAGCCACTATTGCAGGCTTTAATTGTCTTTGTCAATATTATATACGGACACATATGTACTACAATCTTCTTCAGCCACATGCAGTTGACAAATCAATCGTTGTGAGGTATTTCTCGCCTTGCAAACTTTTGAAAGTAACCTTAAATCGATGGAATAGATAATTAAATGATGGAGGCATCAACACACGTATATCAAGGCAAGCACAATGTCCGGTTATTTCTCCGGTTTCAAATTTCTTCAGTACCAGTAACAATGGACTATCAAAAGATGTGTTTGCTCTACGTTTGATAATTGTTCCTGTTTTCTACTACTTTCAGTCTTGCTCAATTGAAACCGGTATAGAATAATGCCCTTTGTATGCAGTTGCGTCAGGAGGAGTAGGAAGACGTACCACAGGTTCTGGGATTGGACAAGATGATGTCTCAGGAATATTAGCATTAGCTAGAAGTGTTTCACTAATAGCATCCATAAATTTCTTTCTCTCAATAGGAGTACCAGTAAGAAAAGAATCTGGAAGGTGTTCAACATCGAATTCATGATTGACATTGTCAAACTGTTTCGCCATTTCTTCTGGATTATTTAACTTAAAAGCAAGACCATAAAGAGAAATATTCAACTTAGATAGAATGCCTACACTCAAAAGCACGTCAAAATCAAAATTCTCATTGAATTTCATAATTTCAAAAGAATATTTGAACTCTATACCATTCGTATATCCAACTCTCAACAAGTCAGTTACCAATAGGGGGAATCTTATCATTGTAAGTACCATTCAATGCATAAACTTTATTTATAGATAAATGTTTTAAGCTATTGATACTAATGAAACTTATATCACTGCCGGTATCAATCTGACCCATCAAGACCTTGCCCTCTATTTTAATAGGAGTCAATTAGATTTAATGGATTCTTACGTGCAATATGATTAGAAATATTGGACTTACAATTATATGCATCAGTCATCAGTGTGTTCTCAGCAGAGACTGGGACCATCTGAAGCTCTTTCTCCATCTTTTCGATCAACTATATGGTCAAATCATCATGAACAGTGGGTTCAGTCGTATCACTTTCTCTGACTGCCAAGACGGTACTTGCAAGTGTGACCCGAATCGTATCCATCACCGCATTTGTAATATTTACCATCCTTTTTTGCTTGTTCAAATGCTCTTACCTTCTTCTTTTCATTTTCGTTCACCAGCGAAAAACAAGCGTCCGGGTTGTGTGTGCTATTCTGCCTATGTCGCTTGCAGAAAAATGTATGACTTGCGCTACCAGTAGAAGAAGAACCGCCATTGCCACTTTTGTTAGTCTCCTTGAATCTCATTTTCTTGTTAGGCCTTTCACCACTACCTTGAAACGACGTAGACAAGCCAAGAGAAGGGTTCGTGCTAGCACCAGGTGAAAGAGCAGTTGCAAAAGTGTATAAAGATGCATCATCACCTAACGCATCTCGGGCTGTATCGCTCAACTTTTCCACCGTCCATTTTTCTTCCTTGTTCAACGCCATGAACAATCGAATGACCGTTTGAACGGGTGGAGTTACCGAAGCCAAAAACCTATCCGCCACCCCTTCATCCGTGCTAGGAATACCGGCCTCATGCATCGTTTGCAGGAACCTTCTCGAGTAGTCAATAATGTTATCCGTTGGCTTCATGCTCATGGTATACACCTGTTCCACAAAGCGTCGCTTGGCAGTACGGGATCCATAATACTTCCGGAACTCATCCTTAGCCTGGGCCCAGCTTGCACAAGTCAACAGGCTTTTATCAACCCAAGCAGCATCACCCGGAGGAAGGCACAGAGGAAGCAGATCCGACCAATATCGTTCAATGTTCTTGATGGATGACGACTTGATGATTTGCTCGAATGTTCTCAAATAATGATCCACCGATTCAAAGACCTCCTCGTTAGGATAACGTCTGAAAACATCAGAACTAAGTTGGAACTTTGGTAAGTCCCTCCTGTTCAGCGTTAATCCGCGCTTATCCATCGGGTTCTCCAAATGATCGGCAGAATCGCGGGTGTCATCCATATTTAACCCCGAATGGAGTTGCCTAAGGAGTTTCATGTTCTCCTTAATGCTGCATATGGCACGGCGGGTCTTGTCCATCTTCAACATGGCCGCGTCATATGCCTCCATGTCACCAGCCACACGTGCTTGACTCAAGATGCTAATATCCTTGACCAGCTCACACTCGAAGTCAACCAAGACATCTTGAATCGCCGACAAATGATCACCTTCAACTCCCTTCACCGAAGGAGTAACATCGTTCACCTTAGTGCCAACAAGGATCATGGATTCAGCACCATCATCAGTCGAACCAACAGGGCTTGCAGCAGATGTACCTACCAATTTGTCAGCCGTGGACCCAATGTATTCCAAAAACAATATCACCAGTAACAGGAGAATCAATATTTGACATCTTGCATTGGAAAAAATTGTTGTATATGTTTAAGAAAGATTATAAAAGAGAAAAGAAAACAAACGGCAATCTGTGAAGAAAAAGTTATCTTCTTCTTATTAATGTTAATATTCCGATAAAGAATGAAGATAAAAGTCGGTAAGAAAAAAGTACTTCTATTTATATTTGTGGATATTGTAAAAAAAAACTTCCTTTTTCGTGACTCTTAGGTACAAGATAATCTGACGATAAAAGAAAAGACGTACTCAACTGTTATTGCACGGTTAATTGTGACAGAGCGGTGCCTTGACCGATTAAATAGGTATAATAAGGTAAGAGAGCTGGTCTGACTAGATGTTCCTTTAACCAAGACTTCGGCAGATCCATTATAGCTAATGAGATGGACAGGATAAACTATACTTAATTGTTCCGATGTCTCCATTTAAGCCTTATGAATTCTGTCCGCATATAAAGGTTTAAAGTAACGGATCAACAAGTTAAATAATAGCTTAAGTGGATTATATCGTATTTGAAGCACGATAATAATATATATTTATATGAGTAAATCCATCAAATGTGTAACGAAATGTTTAAAATAAAAACTTGATCTCAAATATGAGTACTACTCATACCTTCGTTCCTTTTGGTAGGCGGTGTGTTCGATTGCATACATTTGAACCAAAGACCCAATGTATAATGAGACGAAATAAGAAAAGAATATGGATTAAGGATAGTTATTATGTACGGGTAAGATATAACAGTAGAAAGA